CGGGATCTCCTCAACGGCTTTGTCTTTCGCTTCGTTCAGGAGGGTGAGATGGCAAGGTTGAGACTAGACATCCTAACGTCTAATAGAAGATGTTTCGAGCCCTTGCAGTATCTGCTACGCCGAGACGCGATATATCACCTTCTCTGCATTGTTATTAATATCCTTACAGAAACGTGGTGTTCCAAGCCACCAGGTAGCTCAATTCCACGCGATTCTGACAGCTGATTTATAAACGCATTTCTCATATTACCATGGTTTCATCAATACTTCTTACCGCGTCGTTACAGATATTCACTACGTGATTCGCCTGCCTTAGGTACTAGGACGGTCTTTTTCAGGCTAGGTACCTGATATTATTACCTGTAACAAAAATCCCACCGCTTTTCAGGATACATACATCATCATTCCCGTTTCCCCTAACGAATAATCCGATGACGCATATGCTTCGTTGAAATATAGCTACCTAATATGTGTACGATAGATGAATAAATATATTAACTTATCCCATGATCAGAAGCCTTTAACTACGAAGTCATTTTCCTTTCGTCTAGTTACTTGATTCTTGTGTATTCTAACAGAATTCGATGCTAAACGTTGCACTTGTATTGGTCACAAATATAGGATTAGTACAGCATCATGTTAATATCAACTGCATGGATCCACGGGCCAGCTCTGAATATGCAACGCAAGTGTCATAAGATTCTTACACCTATACCCCTTTTCCCGTCGCCGCCAACGTCACCTCGTAACTAACCAGCGACGGATTCCAATTTCCTGCTTTTAACTTCTACATTAAGATGGTTCGGTTGTAACTTCGATGACATCTAAGCAGACCCAGAAGATTAGTGCACCCGTGGTGAAAGCAGCTATCCGTTCCTAGGTACCTTCTCCGTGTGTGCCTCGATCCTGCAGCAATGCGTGCGCTCCGACCTAGACGAATTTTACGCCGACGTCCCAGTAAAACAGATGTGCATGACCTGCAGTGCAACAAACAGATGAGCTTATGCTTTGTTTTTCTGTCGGCTTGTGGCGCCTAACATTTTGGCCTTTGGGATGCGCATAGTGAGTAACTTGGTGGAACAGCATCGATATAACGTACAGCTACATTGTTACAGAATAAGATACCTACCTCAGGTAGGTAGAGAACACGGTTGGTTAGACAATCAGTATATAATAATAACAATAATAACAATTAAGGCTTCTATAGTACCAAACTTGCGAAGAGCCTTCACCCTAACTTAAAACTTGCGCTTCGAATTCGGCATGGAGGTTTATTACTTTACTCTTATTAACGATAATAACTAGGAAAAGCTATTTTAATTTAGTACGCGCCCGAGAATAATGCATTCTGCCGATCTAAGAGCCATAATAAAAGCTATTCCGACTCTGCCAGAGGTTCGTTTTCCGGCATTAGATTATACGGCCTAACTGCCGCTGTAAGGATCTGTGTTACTCTATAACCTAGTCCTTTTAGGATCCAGTAGGAGAGAATAAACTAGACTGGGTATTCCTAGTCTAAAGTGGTTATCTGACAAGGGTTGAGAAAAATGGAGGGAAAATGTGTGATCTGATATTACTTTACGTGGAACTGTTACCGGACTCCTGGGACCCAACAACCTGTAACAACTTATCGATTTCTATTACATGCAGCCTTCCGTCGCCCCACTAGTCTTATGATACAGTAAATACTAGAAAGTTGATCGGTTAGTTCCTTGTAATTTATAAACATAGCCGGTTTCTGTAGCGGCAGTGCTCGTTTGTTGCGTATTTCAAGAAAAGGGGACCAGGTAAGTAGAAAATAGAGCCATTTGAGCTAGATGTGTACATAATTACTGCGTCAAAGAACCTGGATAGTACCTAAAGCTTTCCTCCTTTGGAGGTTGGGGCAAGTTCCATATTCTGCATCTCTAGAATACGTAAAGAGCCATTGTCTCAGTGTCCCATGAACGAGCCGCACGTGGGTTTTGTGCTCACCACCATCATTTCGGGCGCAGGTTAGATAGGCACCTAATGTTTGCCAACATAGTACGTTCTTCTTTACCCTTTTCGGACAGATGATGACCTCGTTCGAGTTCTGGGCTACGTCCGGACGCATAGTCCATCACCCGGTTCAGCCACAAGCGATGGATTTCAAGGCTCGCACGTAGACGAGGGATGGATGGATATAGACTACTGTCCACTCTGCGAGATATTTTGTCCATCGTATGTTTCCCATATCTGTAAGTACCCGCTTCCCAGACTCCCAGGCTAGGTACCAGCTAATCTAGTACCAGATGTATCTGATCTTGAGCGACGAGCACTCCATCTATTTGAATTCGCCAGTCATACTCGGTACTCACAAGCAGCAATCTTGTTTTACATTTCCATAGCACTAATTTTAACTTTAAAAATAACATTTTTAATGATTTAAGAAGATGAGGCTTACTGCAGTCAAGGAATAAAAGCGAAAGCTGATGTTTGGCTCAAAGCAACAATATCTTAACTACCTCCTACCTCCTACCTAACCCTTTTTCGGCCACATTTACAATTACATGTTGCATATAATTAAGCGAAAGAGCTGCAGCTGGCCCCCGGTGTACAAATATTTTACAGGGAAACCCCGAGCAGGTCTAAAAATTGGCTCGCTTAACAGTTCTCGGTGAGTGTCTCTTTGCTTCTTCTACCCGTACCTACCGGAGTAGTCCATCCCCCCTCAACCTTGGATGTTCCCAAATCTACTCGGAGATGAATTAATCCATTAAAATATAATCACCGCTCTTTCTGCAACTGAAAGGCCGAATCCTAAGGGAATTATTGGCTACATTCCTATGCTGATGGCTTCGATCGGCATGCTATGCGGAACGCTATGCACCACTAGATGGAACCGACCGCCTCTCTTTTTTTCCCCCATCTTGTAAATGCGCTATACCCGGAAATACAGCGTTCTAGACCAATCTCACCATGATAAACCGGGACGAAGATGTCCGTATGCAACACTACAGCCATGAATTTATCTAGGCTTCAAAGTCTTCGTGTTCTGCATACTCAATAACTCACAAGAATTCGTAGTAAATACATTTTTCATATAAGAGAGTATTTAACCGATAAAACACGGCATACTCCTAGTAACTCCCTGGTGCAATTCTTGCATGTTCCTGTCCTTAAGGCCGAATCGTCAGCTTAGAGATTAATAGGTCAATATCTACCCGTGCTAGATTAATATTACCTAGAATATTCGACACCCATCTGCAAAGCGGTAATGTACCTAAGTCGGTAACAACCTCTTCTGGGGTCATACCTCGTTGTGAGCCAAGCATCAACTTCTGCATAGACCAATGTCCTCTGATAACTTCGTGAGGCTTCCCGTATCTGTCAGGACTCTAGATGACATGTTCAGTACCTAATGCATGGTTTAGAGTTCCTTGCGGAACAACTTTGTTGTTTTCATGCTGTTTGGTTCCACCTCGTGACAGTATCCCCAGGGGCTGTATATTTGAAGTATATTATTTTATTCTTCTAACACCGTTATAATAGTAGAGTTGGAAGATCTGCATTTGATACACTATTAAGTGTTTGATTTTGATGTAAGCTTCGATTCAAAGGAGAGAGAACGGGCAGGGATACTCCATTAACCAAGATCACGGCGATCCCGATGGAGCAAAATTTAGATATATAACTTCGCTTGGTAAGCTTATGGTCACCACTGACTAATTGCAATGCTTTTTTCACACGCATGTACCGAGATGTACTTGTGTTGGACAGGCGTAGGTGGTCAAGGTGAATCGTGATAAGACGAAGGCCTCAAAATAGGGTATCGTGAAATATGGCTAATATGCTTTAATGCCCTCTTGGCTCTTGTAGTGTTAAAGGAGCAGGGTAATTATCACCAGTGGTCAGGCTGTTGCGGATATGAAGGGAGGCGAAGGCTAATATAACTTATCAATGCTTGAAAGGAGTCATATATAATATATTTGTTTATAAAGGTAGGTAGGTAGGTACCTACTTAAATATCACAGGGCTTCGACTTGATGTGATCTTGAGGAGTATTTGGATATAAACTGGCTTATATATGCGGTTTTAATTGCTGTCTTTTAACACGTCCTTGCACTTCTATTATCCTTCGCCGAATGCTCTCTCTATGAGCCTAGAGAGTCATAATTTCCGATATCTTTACATCAAAATACCTTCACACTGATCTACATTAGTCACCTTTGGGTCGACATAGTTTGAGTCAACATTAGATTTCGTAGTGAAATATCATAATGTTTGGAGAGAGCTTTATTTAAACTGATAACTTTGGGAAAGTTAAAGTTAGTTCACATTATTCTCCTTTATAAATCTTCACATAGTTAATCCATTACCAAACATATAAGACAAGAGCAAGTAATTTATATAAAACTGGGAAGTAAGGGCGAGTTCAGCAACCCTTCTATTATCCTTCAGGTAAGTTGAAGTCCCGTAAGTATGAATCGAGAGCTATGTTTAAAGACCTCGAGCTAGACTCAACGTCAATGTCGATTGTTGAACTGAGTTTGCTAAATATGAACTTCACATTCTAAAGAACAATTTATATTTTATATCGCTGAAGAGTGAAACTATAGGCGATCATCAAAGAGTTAAGGATATATTAATATAAATCCTACAGGTAACTTTAGTGATAGAGGACCCCGAGTTCGTCAATAAAGGTGTAGGAATAGACTTAGTAGAGATATCCGGGTATACAGGAGATCAATGGAATAATAAACATTTATGTGTACTAATATAAGGACTGTTTAAAGACGGTATTGTACTGTGATTGTAGGCACTCTAGTATAGCGCGGGTTTAACTTTCTTATATCTGGTTTGTCTCAGCTATCTTAGACTGTGTTAAGATGCGGCACTGGATAATGGATGTATAAATTAGAGAAGGGTAGTCTGGAGTATTCCTCTTGTCTCCCTGGTTAATTTAGTATCTCTGCTCAGCCCATGAAACATTCTGGAGAGCTTCCAAGTGACCACCCAGCCTTTAGGTTTATTTAGCATCACGCAACAACACTAAAGCCGAAAGAACCATCGAAAACATCGATATCTTCTGGTTCCCTTCCACCTCGCATAGCCTGGAGCATATCTAACTGGGGGACGTTGTTAGGAGGATAGAATTTTAGAAGATTATCAATGTCTTCATCGGTGAGTCCACACATTTCATTCCAACTATAGGCATCGCTAACCCTCGTCATCCAACCCATCCTTTTGGGACCTTCATCGGGGCTTGGGGCTATCTGGCGTAGCTTAGCGCGTAGTGCGCCAATCCTCTCAATAGCATCACCAATGTTTGATGGTAACTGACTCCCGATCCACTTCCTAATACTAGCAGCGAGTCTTGGTCCCTTTCCGTTGGTGCTGACCATAATCTGCAAAGGTCCATCCCGATGTACGCTTCCAAAATAAAAGTCACATTCGGGCGGGACATCAGCAATGTTAGCCGGAATGCGATGTTCCTTGCATAACTTCCAGATTTGAGTTGAAGCAGCAGGATCGTCAATAGCAACAAGTACCATGTCGGGAGGATTGTTATTTGGAGGTAACGTCTCTAGATCTGAAGGCTGGAATACGCGATCGATATAAGTGACCTCATCGTTGTCGAATACGGTGCCGTACTTCGGGATTGAGACCGGAAGAAGGGCTTACGACGGTAACATTGGCATCGGCATTGAGAACGTTAAGGATGCGGCCAGCCGCCACCTAAGCAGTGAGATGTTAGTTGGGATATCTTTTTATTTCTTTAAAAGTAATTCTGGTATACAATCTTACCTCGCCGCCTCCAATCACTAGAACATGTTTGTTCTTAACCTGCCAGGCTAGAATCAAACTGCCACCGCCCTGTACTGGAGGGAATCTGTCCTCGTTATTATTGTTATTATTCGACATTCTATCATTCGTCATTCGACTAGCTTCAAACTCCAACAAGTTACTGCATGATCGTCATGTCAAGGATAATAAATAGGTTTAAGATATCTAAAATATAGAGAAGGGAAGAAAGGATGTTGTAATAAGTTAAAGCATGTTTGTTTTGATTTTAATTACCTATACGTGTTTCTCCGAAAAGGTTCAAATCGAAGAGTGAACGAATAATGAGCATGAAGAGTTTTGATACGTTGCGATAAAAAAAATAAAAAAATAATATGTAATAATGTAAGTTAGGTAATGACGAAGAAGCTAGGATCCATTTATATTATGTCTCAAGTATCGTAGTAGTACATCGTAGTGGAACGTTCAATGTTATAGTATTTGTAGTGGCACACGACAGCAGAACTTATTTACCTCTTAGTAATGTGGGGGAGCTTGTATAGGTACACTAAGCTGGACAATTATTAGGCTGTGCCAAGTACTAATATACGTCATATCGATAACTGTAGGTGTTAATGTTCAATGTTATTAGGAGGCACCTGCAGTAGGTAACTTAAACATTGTGCTTGTATTCCGTACTCCTTGAGGTACCTGCACGTAACATAATCTTAGCGTTACTTTGCATCCTTTGCATCCTTCTGCCTTGCGCCGCAACTCTCCAACTCTCCAACTCTCCAACTACCAACTACCAACTACAAACTACGAGAAAAAATATATCGAACCTACAACTACGAGTCACGAATCCGGAACCTCCTCGAGCGAACTGATGGGCAGATTGGGTTTGTTATTTTTACTACGAAATCCTGTCTCTTCGGATTTAGATTCTCATATCTGCGACTGGACTTCTTCTCGACATCTTCTCCTCTCACAAATTCCGACGGTGGCTACAAAAATCCAGCGTCCTCATGGCTTTTCAAATACGGGAATTCTAGAAGAAGCCCAACATGTCCGGTCGGAGGCTTGGCGGAGGGAGGATACTTGGTAGCGGAAAGGGTTTGGCTCCTCCAGCGCCTCCAGCCATCCAAAGGGAGAGAGCTGCTAGCCCCTCTGCTCCGTCTGACAGCACATTGTCCATCGGCTCTCCAGCTACATCCATCTCTCCCAGCACCCCTAGCCCCTTAGCTAGTTTTGCGCAGGATCTGACCTCCAATGTTAGTCTAGGAGGGCCGAGTACTGGTGGTCAGCCAGGCTCCAAGCTTGTATGCCCCATATGTGAGGAAGAGATGTTGACGCTGTTGCAATTAAATCGTCATATCGATGATGCCCATCAGGAGCTACCTGAATTCGAACAGGATGAAGTCAAATCTTGGATAGACAAGCAAGTCCTGAAGGCTAAGAAATTTCAACCTCTCTCCCTTATCAACCAGAAGCTTCGTGGCCTCGAAGTCTTCGAGTCTAACGAATCACCCCCACTCCCCGTCCCCGTCACCAGTAGGGCAAACAGGGTCCCCGTTCCCGATTCGCCGCTAGACCCCGACGATATAATCACCAAAACACATTGGCAGCGACAGGGTCCAAGTGATCTATGCACCGACCCAGCTTGCGGGAAGAGACTAGGTGCTGTCAATGGCAATATAAACTGTAGACAATGTGGGAGACTATTCTGTGAGGAGCATACGATGTACCAGATGAAATTGTCAAGGTCGGCCTCGCACGAACCTATAAGGGGTTACTGGTATCGCGTGTGTGAAACGTGCTACAAGTCGAGGGAAGGATATAACGACCACAATGGGCTGATAAGAGACCACATACAAGAATTTTCAGCGATACGCAGGAAGAAAGTCGATAGGCAAACCCTAGAGATATCGCGATTGGAAAAGAGGCTTACCAAGCTGACTCAATTGCTCGCTCACTTACCTGAAGAGGCGGGGGTGACCGGTGGTGCGGGCCTGCTATCTCCCCTAGCCGCGCAGAGGAATCAGCGGAAGGCGATTGAACAATCGGTTGTGACATGGGAGGATGACGGGAAGGTTCCGAAATGTCGGTTCTGCCAGCAGGAATTCTCGTGGACATTCAGAAGGCATCATTGTCGAATATGTGGGCGGATAGTATGCGCAGACCCCCAGACCAATTGTTCGTCCGAAGTAGGCCTGAGCGTCACAAACCCGTCTGTTGCCGTATCAGAAAAATCGGGAGGGGAAAATTCTATAGGTATTGATATCCGCATGTGTCGTGATTGTAAGTCTACCATATTCTCAAAGCGAGACTTTATGGAATCTATTATACACAAACCGCCTGACCAACGGGCATACGAGACGCTGAAGCAATTCGAACGGGGAATCCAGCTCATAATGCCTACTTTCCAGAAAGCTCTACTACCACTACAGAATGAGAGTAACACACCAAGCCATGCGCAGATCCAAGAGGCGTCAAAACTCAGGAAGCGGCTTACCGACAGCTTTACTAAATACGACGTGGCAGCGCGACGGATCCGTGATATGAAAACGGACAGCCCAGCACAACGGCAACTGCAGAAGGCCATTCACCAAGCAGCCTCCGCGTTCTTGCATATGCATATGCTACCGCTTAAGAATCTTCCGCGGATGCTGAAACACAGCAGCTCCAGCTCTAGTTCCGCTAAGAGCCGCCTGCTAGCTAATGGCTACGTAGCGAGCCCGCTACGGAATGGCAGTGACATGCTCGAGACGGCTAGCCAGACAAGCGAAGCTAGTACGGGAGTGTCTGCGTTGGAAACGGAAGAGAAAGAGCTGCGCGAGCGGTTGATCGTCTTAGAAGAGCAGAAATACATGGTGCAAGCCATGATTAGCGGGGCGCACGGCGCGAGGCGGTTCGAGGAGGTTAGCGCACTAACGCGGAACGTTGAGGAGCTAGAGACAGAAATCAAAAGCTTGAAAGGCAAGGTTACAGCTGTCGAGGAGAGGTGGCAGGGCCTCTACGCGAATGGCGGGCCCGGTTTAATCTTGTGAAGTGTCATGCTTGAACTTGAGTCAATCCTTATAATTTAGAAAGGAACCTATTAAGGTGTAATAACAAGGAAGAAGACCGCCGAGGAAGACCTAACACGAGGTCGGACGTGAAGAGGTGGCTTTCCTTCGGTGCAAATTTGAATTACTGCATGGCATTGGCATGGCGTTGGTTGGATAGAGGCTGCCTGGTATCTATCTACGAAGGTGCCGTTATTTTAAAAGGAACTTTGAATGCGAGCAAAACGTTATAAGAGTCTTCTTTAGGGGTTTCATTATTCAAATACACACCGTGTTTACCTGTTGATAATTTTATGTTTGGCATATGGTAAGGTGAATAACCTTACCGTTCAAATCTTATAAAATACATACACGATTATTTCTGTTCATTCGTGTGTGACGTCTATTAATACTGCAACATATTGCGGAGTGAAGACATTTCAAGACGGGCGATTAACAAGCCTCTTTGGCGACTGCAGTATCGCGGACCGCAAGTATCGAAGTCGAATATCATTAGTCTCAGGCCGTACCTTAACGAGCTTATAGTCGGCACGTAAGATGCCTGTCGAGCTGCATGGAAGTATAACGTAGCGGTCTCCGTAGCGATCCCAAAACGCCTCATCCGAAGGGGTAAGCTCCTCGACTTGGCGTTGACCCAGCTGCTGATTCAGCGCGTCAAACATGACTAAGGGCACCTGATCTAGCATCTCCCCTGGCTGCGCATTCCGATTCTGAGAGAATGATAGCAAATCTCGGAGCGCCTCATTAACACTTTGGATAGCGATCCGATCGCCGCTAGCCATCTCAACACACACCCTTGAGCGTCTGATGGTAGACGGCAGGGGAGGTGTTAACTGCGGGTCGTAAGCCCACCCCAACTCTTCCTCATCGTCATCTGATGAGCCGCCACCATAGGTGTCACTGTTGGTGACGGGTATCTCCTCAAACGGGAGGTTGAAGCTACAGTTCTCAACGGAGAGACAGAGCATATCATCGATGTGGACACGGACCATCCGGTGCTCCAAAGGTTCCCGACGATCAGCTCGTGGCTTAAAACTAGAGTGATAATGCAGAGGAAGCAATTCCCGTAGCTGACCATCTGCCGCTCTCACAAACAGGCCACGCCGAGGGCGAGTTAGTGTGATGGTAGCGGACTCGGCTGAAGAGAGAGCACACACATCACGGGCTTCTCGACAAACGCGACAAAGCGTCTCTCGAGCCTGCCATGCCAAGGATCGTACCGGGAGACTGTTCCATCATCATCATCGATAGATAGACGTCGCAAGTCCAGGTACAGCCAGGAAGGGGAGGTACTCTGATTAGCACCATCATGATCGTTAGGTATACAATGAACGTTGAAAAAGTTGATGCCAGGTGTGGGAAGGGCCATGCGCCAAATCTGATGTCGTAACTCGGGTGGTAACTCCTGGAATTTAGAGAAGAGGATATTTGGAACGGATGGTTCCGGTGACTGGGAGTCTAGCGAATTCATAGATGAACTTATAAGTGAACCTGTAGATGTATTGGGTTGATCGTATAAGTGATGATTCTCAATCAATGCTATTGGGTTAGCCTCCGAAGTTCTTTATGGTTCGGAATTAAATTAAATTCGAGTTAAATGTATATCTTCTCTTGCCTCAAGTAATTATTATAGGTATGTACCCAGGTTTGTGAAGTTGTAATATTTTGAAGTTAGAAGATAGCGAAAGAAGAGAAATATTAAAAGACTTGTATATAAAGTCAAGCCAATGACATCGAAGTTAAAGGTTAATGGAAAAGTGACATAAATAGGTACATACGTAAGTACTTATACCCCGCATTAAGCTATATGGACATTAGTACGATCAGGCACATTAGCGTAAGGTACAATATATACATGTAGGTACCCTAGATACCTGTACTTAAAACATTCTTAGAATTTAAATTTAAACTTGGAAACAACTTCAAATTATCCCATTAGGTAGTTAATTCAGATTCGACCTTAACAATAACTATCGAATATCACCTTTATCTACGTTTACCTACGCGCCAATTGGTTCAATATTTCCGGCTATCTTTCCATTATAAAATCTGGGCTAACATTAGCTCTATTTGGACGCGAACGGTCACGACGAACGCGTTGGCTTGCATCGTTACCCGCCATCACATTTACAGTCTAGAGTCTATATCGAATAAATAAAATATCCAATGCCGCCCCGAAAACGAAAGAATAAAGAAGCAGTACAGTCCGTCGCGGAACCTCCCTCACCATCCCCAGATCCAGATCCAGAGCGCTCCCCTCCAGGATCCGATGCGTCGCCCACCTCACCCGCGTCGCCAAGTGCCGATTTGTCCCACAACGATTCGGAGCCGCCACGCTTCTTCAATACCACCTTTACTACGTATCGCGTGTCGCCTCTCTACGTGGGGAAGCAGAAATTAACGCCTGCGCGCCTACAACTCCTATCTAAGCGCCTGCGAGACGCTCTCGTCGGTGATGTAGTACGTGGTGTACAGGTCGGGTTAGACAGTGATGCAGAATTAGGGCGTACAGGTGCCTTATATGCTGTGGAATGGCGATGGATAGATGCCGAGAAAATACTCGGAGGTAGCCGGCGAGAAGGTAGCGTAGAGTTAGGAGAACGACAGATGAGAGCGGACGCAGGGGGGAAACAACGAGTTCTATCTATAGAGTTAAGGTACGAGAACGCTCGGTTTAGCGCTCTGCTCTTGTCCGATCTATCTGAAGACGAAAGTATACCGGGTTCTAATTATCAGCCCTCATGGACGTGGCAGACGGATAATAATAGTGGCCCCAGGCTAGGAGAAGATGATCAGACGGCATTCTTACACTTACCATTGCTTCTATTCCGGATGCCTGCACCTCTCAAATCTGTACTCATCGATTTCCTGTCAAACACTTTTGACTGCCGTGTTAGCCCCCTTGCGCTAGGCACACAGACGCTCGTGAGTAGTTGGGAGGCCTGGTTGTCCGATAATCACTCCAGGAGAACTCGATATGTACCGAGTAAAAATACTCTTATTACGCTCGGTTTTCACATTGAGCCAAAGGAGCCTAGAGGACAAAGCAATGGAAATGAACTTGACGATACAAGTGAACAGGATCAAGGCCAAAAGCGAGACCTGCCTCATATAGGCATAAAAACTATTGACATCACCATTCCTGCCTCGGACGTATACCGGTTCCTCCGTGTGGGTGAGAAGCTTGACAGCAAGCCTGCAACCGCCGTCATAACGAGGAAGCGGAAAACGGATGCACAAACCACTTTATCAGATGACCAGCAGAGTAGGAGGCGCCGGAAGCTCGCGGGCGGCAAGGATGAAGAAGGATGGGCATGGCGCAGGCAGTATCACGGTAGTATGGAAGGAGAAGCAGAAGAGAACATCATCAAGCAGCCATTCGCCGATGCCCTAGCCGCGTACATGTGGCACCACCTTGGGCTGGACATGTTCCACCCGGGCGTTCGTGTGCAGCGAGTTGCATGTGACGGATTCGCACTATCTGAGGGGAGGCTCAAAGTATTCACCCCGGTTCGCGGACATGGCAGCGATGGCGATGAGCAGGAATCTTCCACGTGGAAGCTAGTCCGAGGCTTTGGTGCGAGAGCCAAGGGACGTCGGGTTGGGCTTCTGAAGCAGCAGCAAAGATAATAGGACGGCGTTAAGGTGTAAATAGGTAGGGACACGAAGCGTGGGCTTATAACCTAAGGAATCAAAGATGTTGGTACAGCAAAGATACCTAAGATTAGGAATAGTTTATGAGGACGTGGATGGTTAATGATACCCTCGGATGTAGCATTGGTAAGGAGTCGACAGGTTAAATGAAAATTAGTTTATTCTTCAGTCTCGGGTGTCCCCTACATCAAGAAAGAACAATTATAAGAGCCAATTTGAATCCCAAAGGTCAACAGCCAATTTGCTCTCAAACTGGCAAATATTACTAAATGAGTACCTAATCGAGATGAAAACTTCATCATGCGATATGTGCGTTTTAAAAACTCGACTCCTTGCTTGCAGCTTGTAGTGCTCAGCGTATACCTATATACAGTTGGCCGCGGAATAATGCTGGACGTGGAATCATAACCCCCCCTCCCTAAACGTGCCAACGGCTGCTGTTAAATGCAACCAGCACATGGCCCTAATATCGAAGATGTACAAATCCAACCAACAATGCCATACCTCATACAAGACCTAATTGTAAATCCCCTTACGCCCCAAGCCGTTACACAATTTCAATCCGTCAATGCACTCCATCAACACCACCAAGAAATCTCCGTATACGGCCCATCTCAAGTTCCCCCTTTTCGCTCTCCACGGCACGTAATAAGCCGTCTACGACGACGTCAACTTCGCCTTCCGAGACACCAGTGCACAGCGCTACTACACGCCGGTATTTGACTTCAACATCTTTGCTGCGGCCTTTGAGCGAACCTATACTCTTTCGCATAGCATCTTTCCTATTCCTAAGCGCTTGTATACGTGCATGAAGGACCACGGAGTTAGGTAACAGAGCGGCATTCGGTGCATCTCGTCCGCGGGCTCCAAAGCTGCAATTGAGTTCCGTCTCCCAAGAGTTATTTGTATCTAAGCGACCATAATTTTGTTCCAGTCGCATTAAGTGCTTCTGCTCCTCGTCACGACCACGACTAAGGTTGCTTATCTTCTGACGCGCGAGGGACTGCGATTTAGCAGCTGTTTGTAATGTCTCAAGCTGGCGTCGCGCATCTCCCAACTGGGTGGACGTCGTCCGTAAAGAGACATGAAGTGAATCAACATCCTGTTGCTTCTTTCTCAGTTCCGTTTGGAAGCTGTTAGAAGTCTCGTTCAGAAGATGTGTGATAGCTAGGATAAGTTAGCATTGGCATATAAATGAACGGGACCTTCTCCGTAAACTCACAAGTAATAATCTCAGCACTGCTCTCTCGGGTCTTCTGGCAATTGCCGCCAATATTTGCCTTGTCAGTTACCATCAGATCACCATTGGCCCCATCTTCCCCAATGTCGCCGCCAACCCCAAAGTCAACCGGTCTGAGGCCTGCCTTGTTAGCGATGCCGGGATCTGCACCGACTTCGAGTAACTGCGAGATAATACTCCTATTTCCAATCCGTGCCGCGATATTTAGCGCGGTATCGCCGGACTTATCTTGTGCATTTACAATCTCGCTCATGAATCGGCCAATGCCCATCTTCGGTTGGCTAAAGTTGCCGTTTGCTGTCGTGTTTTGACTGCCTGGCACGCTCCCTTGTCTCACAACCCACTCCAGGAGACTCTCCAAGTAGTATCTGCTGGAATGGCTCCTACCCTTCACAGCACTTGTAACGGCAATATGATGTAAAACGGTTCGGCCCTTGTTGTCCCGAACGTCGATAGTGTTACCTAAAACGTCGAGCAATTCGGGGAATGAAACCTGATCTGAGTTATTTGTTACCGCCGATGCTCTCATCAAAGCTGTTTCGCCCGAAGCATTGATTCGGTAAGGATTCGCACCAGCCGATATTAACGCCCGCAGAAGAGGTATTCGAGCTAGAGTAGCGGCCCAGTGAAGAGCAGTATGACTCGATGCATCTATTGGTGCATCGAGGTCCAAAGGTGATAGCGTCTGGAGAGCTTCATTTTGAGAGTAGTCGGAGGCGTTAGCGTTAGGATCTAGAAAAAGCCCCATGAGTAGGTTGCGCTTCTGGTCCGCCTCCGGAGAGAGCTCAAACGGTAAGGGTGGTAGTGGCACAATTTCGTTCTCATGTACGTCAATACCGGCTTGAGAATATTGGAAGGATTCGTTGGGCTCCGTAGGCGAGCCAGGGAAATTATTGGCGTACATATCCATAGAATGCGACGCATATCCAAAACTATCCGCAGGAGTAACAACCTTTTGACGTTTTCGCGACGGCTCTTCACCATTGAAGATCTGTGTATTCTGGGTTGAATATGCCGAGTCAACATTTTGGCCGTAGTCAGAGGTAAAACTCTGCTGAGAATTTACCGGAAAGTCGTCGACGTTCTGCATCGAAGACTGCCGACTAAAACTAGGTGGTCTTGTCGGACCATTCCGACCTCTCGGGCCGGGCGAATCAAAGCGAGCCTTGCTAATAGCAGCGACAGCGTTAGATGCCGTACTCGAGATGTTCCTAAAGAAGGTTCCAGATAACCCATTGGCGCGAGTGTCATTTCCAGCGTACATGCGCTTTCTTTGCGCAGCCATAGCCTGCTCTTTGGTAGGAGTATTGATGTCTCCTCTACCCGCGATGCCACCATCCTGGCCCATGTCGTAGATTAAGAGAGGACGAAGTAATTCTTCAACTCCGTATTGACGGCATACCTCAACGCCTCGATCGAATTTAATCCAGGTGCCCTGATATTTCCCATAACCACCCTGTACCTTTTCATGTTCACCAGTCTGTATCTCCTTTTCAAGAATTTTCGTTCGCTTCCCCTTATCGATGTTGGCAACCTTGAGGATCTGAGTAGCATTTAACCAACTATCTGCGCGGCGGCGCATGACAGCGACCCCGTTAACCTCCATCTCGTATACGTCAGTGCCAGAGTAGACGGCCTATATAGATAAAAGGTTAGTAGGTTATGCTAGACAATTTGAAGTTGATATAGCTTAAAAGGGATGAATAAAAGGCAACTGACAGAATATATTTGTGGTGCAGTATGGTCATGACCATGCCCATTTCCCAACCTCATATTGGAATCGGAAAACTGCCTATAGGGTTGAGTCGGCTGGCTCATGGTAAAAGACTGCTGCGATGAAGGTTGCGATTGCGACATTTTGACGCTGTCTATAGCAGCGACTATGCCGCCGCTTCTCTCAGTGGAAGCTGGAAATTGTGACGCCGACAGAATAGAAGACTGTGATTGGCGTTGATAATTGGACAAAGCTTGAAGAGGGTTATTAGTTGGTTCGGCAGTAGTGTGTGGGATGTCAAGCTGTTGATAATGATGCGAGATAGCGGTTGTTGCCGAGGCCATCAGTAGTAGAGTAGTAATAAGTAATAGCAGTATGTAGTATGTAGAGTAGCGGGTCAAAGTGGATTCGAGATGTGCAGAAAATCCCGGGACTCGTCAATGAGATTAAAGGTAGAAAAAAATGAATCTGAGTCCAAGATAATGTGGATCGGTAAGGGGGGGACAATGCGCTGGTAGCGTTAAAGATAGCATATGGATATGGATTGGATATGGATATGGATATGAATATGCTCAGTCGTTGTTGCTATCAATTTATCTCCAATTAGGTTGCTAGGTATGTACCGTACCTACTTGAGGAAGGAGTTGTGCGATTCCCGGTTGTAAGTTGCAAGTTGCAAGGTACATACATAAAAAGGGTACCTTCCGACGTAATAAGAGAAGGATCGAATTAAGAATAATGGTTGTAATAATAATAATTATTACCAGGTATTATTCTAACCTCGGACCTGTCGGCGTGGGATGAAGTTGAGATATAATTTAATATAAAAGTATACTGAGATATGCCAGGTAAGGCAAGATTTAGAGATGCGAAGACACGGGTCAGATCAGATCAATCAGATCAATCAGATCACACTGACGCGCTTTTTCGCATGCACTTTCTCGTTGGACAAGCCTTTGGATAGACCGTAGACCATAGACCATAGACCATAGAACGTAGGGTTACTCTCGCGACTATTTTATTAATTCCCGTTCCAGACTCCGAAGATGCCAAAATTGGAATTCAATTAAAAGGTAGGAATTAGGAATAGTGCATTGCCGCGCGAAAAGGGCGAACATAAACGGACGTGTCAGTTTCGTGTAATCGTGAAGTCGTGACTCGTGTCTGAGAGAGGGGATGGGGGGGGCAGACGTAATAAAATAAATAAAATAAAAATTTAAGTAGGTAAAACCCGTAACTTAGGCGAGACACGCGCGTGTGTGGCCATTAAAATTATTAAAATAAGGGAACGTGATGCACAGACCGCCTCTTGACATAATTAAAGTGAGGGGAGGGGAGGGTAGTGCCTAAAATGTACCTAGGGTAGACTAGCTAACAAGCGAAAGTGTATATTACATGTAAAAGGTGGGGTTTTTCTGAGAGATCTAGCACGGATAGCACGGATTACGTACAGCATCATGTACCAGGTACGGATGTATGTACATGTAGCTCACATCTCTATTAGGTCAGGTACATTTATGTACATGTATGTAGGTCCATATGATTGAGCTTACCTAACCTTATTCTCTTTAAAGTTCAAATGTCTCATTGAATGAATATTATATGTATCTAAGTACCTAATTCCATCCATCCATCATCTCGTCAACTTTTCTACCGCGATGCCTTTACAGATCCCCCACCCAAACACTCCCCTACATCTATATCGACACCTACTTCGAGAAGCCACATACCTTCCTCTCCTCTGTCGACCCTGGGTAACGGACCGTATTCAAGCCCGCTTTCGCGATTGTCATCAAAAGACAGACCCTAAACCCTACATCAAAGATGCTCATCACTATCTCCGATACCTTCGTTCCGCAAACACCGGCCATGTCAACCGGATGTTGCGCCTATGTCATCTAGCGACAGGCAGGATTGGCAAGCGACGCCGTATTTTAGGCAGGACCGAACTATCAAGTAGCCCTCCAAGCAACTCTGATGAACTAGAAGAGAGAATCGCACTACCCAATGGCAAATCGCGAGAGCCCGACTGGTTAGATAATTGGTCTGTAGAAAAGGTTATGGCCATCGCTACTTCACAAAGCCAGCAGCAAGGCAAAAACTTGCCTTTTCATATGCGCCGAACCGTCGACCCAAAGCAGGTCATTCCGAAAGAAAATTGTTTTGGTCGCCCGCTCACCGCGAAGTTGACAAGGAATAAGCTAAAGAAACATTGGATAACGATTCTCCGTCAGTTACTACCCCCGCTACCCCGAGGAGAATGGGATCAGTTAGGTACTATTGCAAGAGGTGAAGCCGACGCTCAGTATTATAAGATGCCCCCAAGAAGACAAGTCGCACAGCCGCTTTCGATTAGGCATGCCCCCCCAGAGTCAACCTGGACAAAGTTTGTGACGAAACCAATACGATCTTTAGAACGAGGAAACTCGCGGAAGATGAAGAGTCTTAGCGGGCGAGAAGATGAGGATCCCCGAGGGCAAGGACGGCCCATTGGCGTCCGAGTATTAGGTCGAAGGAGACTACGTCGCAGTTTATATATTGGTGTCTGGCAAGCATCACCCATTGCAGAGAAGCATCCCCGGTCAAGCAAATGGTCTATCACCTGGGGTAATAGCGAGCAACCAGTTCCCCGCCCCAGAAAAAAGGATCTCCAGTTCTTTCAAGGTATCAATAAATCCGGTGTACCTATATAGTCCCTACGGTACTATTGAAAAGTAGGTCATAAGACAGATATTATTTTTTCTTAGACGGATTGCTCAGTCTAACAGGCCAGCTAACTTAGTTAAGCCCTCGCGATCGACTCGCATCCCTACCCAATCGTCCATCTTCTTAGCTCCAATAGATTCGTAGAATTGAATGCTCGGCTCGTTCCACTTCAGCACGCTCCATTCGAGCCTACCACCATTTGTTGCCACCACCTCCTTAGCCAACTCAACAAGAAGCTTCTTCCCGTAGCCCTTTTTCCGGTCCGTCGGCCGAACAAATAAATCTTCGAGGTAGATACCTGCTTTTGATCGCCATGTGCTATAGTTGTAAAAGTACAGCGCCATACCAGCCGGTTTATCTTCTTCATTAAATAGAAGGAGGCATCGCGCCGGCCTCGAAGGCGATGTGGACTCGGTATTGGGGGCAGTAGAAGTTGATTCAACATTATCGGGAGCAAAGGCAATGGTAGAAAGAAGCGTGGCCTCGGTTGCTTCAACCGAATCGAGTTCATGCTCGTAGTCAGCCAACTCACGAATTTGTTGAAGAATTATCGGTACATCTACCGGAGGTTATACAATCAGCTATCTTCCCTCGCCATGCATCAGGATCAAGTACTATTTAGCATACCTTCTCGGCGAGCATGTCGAACTTTGCAGGATGCCAGTGCCATTGTGGAACGTTAAATAGACGATAAAGCTTAATACTATACAAGATTGATACAAGCCGAGTATTAGAGAGTTAGATTCTATTCAATAATACTTGTTGGAATTTATACATAAGGTTAGGTAGGTAAATACCACCAATATCAATGCGCATACGCCCTTGATGTAATGCGGAAGTAGGACGCTGGGCGTTGTAGAGGGGTAAAAAAAAAAAAGGCACAGCACCGAGATCCGGGAGCCTGAACCTTAGGTACCTACATATTCCCCACAACACTATGCATACCTTATTCAGGACGGACCGAATAGCCGAATAGGAATTGGTATGTGTTCTCGTTTACTTTAGAGAAGCAAAAAGGTGAATGGATACCATGTATCGTCTTTCCCCTTTGCATCAGCCGCAGGTGCGACGTCGATACCTTCTAGATAGGTACCTGTCTATTCCTAGAGGTCATACAAAACGATAAAAAGACTATTATGCTATTATCAATATCTCATGAAATCACTTCTTTTATCTATAATAGTTACTGAATAGAATATTGAAGTAGTTTCTTTAAAGTACGTTACAATAATCCACTGAGAATAAGTTTCGTTGAAAGAAATATATCCCTAAGCATAAGATATCTGTCAAGTAACTAAACAGTCTTCGTTAAGGTTAAGTAAGTTGCATTTTGCCCAAGTGTAACATCCTGTGAACTACGAACTAAGACTTATAATATGATATAACTAGGTAGGCAATTCTACGTAGAGACATATAAAGTCCAACTAGAATAACTTGGCTATATCATATCCTTTTCACGATAGGCCTAATGGGCAAATAAGCTATTCTTACTTGAACTCGTACAGCTACAATATACCAGCAGTATTAAACCCTGTGTAGAGATCTCTCGAGTGTAACTGAAAGATGGTATCAAAACTACCTACTTAACTAAACCCCAACTAGTTAATGTTCCTGATCTTCAATCAAGCCTGTTAAGCTACAGTAGATATTAACGATATGAGGTGCCGGATAGGTACGAAATTTGTCACGTCAGACAGGGTCAATATGTCGTGATCCACCCATGTTCAGAGCTGTCGCCAATCACGAAGCTTAGCAGCGTTGCAGACTCGGCTTAACATCTCTAAAAGCAACCCGCATCGTCTATAGATATCTTAAGTCAGTTATTCCTATTATGATGCCATGGACCAGGGTCGTGGGTCTCGTCATCGATATGCTTGCAAGTTAGTCGTCTTTGAAGTAGCTGGATTTCGCACTTCAGACAGGCCAAACCAAGAAAGCTTTCCTCGCCTCTGCTTATCTCGACTACATCAAAAAGACTAGTGATTATCTTCTCAAGTTTTCCAGCACGGTTATGCTTGTGTAAGATGGCCGAGAAGACTCTGGACGACACTCCAGGAGGCGGATCTGGTGCCTCTGACTCTGAGATCACCGTTTCAGGAATCAACGAGCGCGCGCTGTTAAGAAAGCTGGACCTGCGACTCTTACCTGCGGTTGGGATATTGTATTTATTGTCATTTCTTGACCGAAGCAACGGTATGACTTGGAGTTTTCTCTTCTTGATCTCTACTCTGGGTATCATGATCGCTAATTTGAATGCTATATAGTTGGCAATGCTCGCATTGAGGGTCTACTTGATGACGTTCACATAAGTAGGCGTGCATGGCAAACTACATAATAGTCAGCTTGCAGCTAACCTTTCATATAGCTGGGAATCAATATCTTACAGGCCTAACACTGTACTTTGTGGGATATGTACTGTTTGAGGTGAGACATTCGATAAATGCAATGATTCAAGCGGCGATATATTAATCAGGGGATAGATCCCTTGCAACATTATCCTCAAGCGCACAACGCCCAGGATTTGGCTGCCGACGTTAACTATAGTATGGGGTATTGTGGCAACTTTGATGGGCATAGTCCATAATCTAGCAGGTTTCCTCCTGAGTAGATTCTTCCTTGGTGTTGGTAAGTAGTGAGAAATCTTATGAAATTATAATCATCACCTCCCGTGATACCACCGTTGCTTTTCACAACAACTAACCTATTAACAGTATGTTAACAATATCTCTTATTGCTCTACCCGTTTGACTATTCTACCCCAAGGTCATAAAGCTTTAGTATAGGCTTACCCTAAAATCGTGCACGAATACTCACATAAAATAGGCGGAAAGCGGTTTATTTCCAGGAGTATTCTACTTCTCTATGTGGTACAAGAGACGAGAGCGGCAATATCGCATATCCCTCTTCTTTAGCGCCGCATCTCTGGCCGGCGCATTTGGCGGTATCTTGGCTTATGTTCGTATATTCTTTACCAAAATTCATAAGGATTTAGTGGCTAACTCAGGCATAGGGAATCGGAAGAATGAGAGGTATTGTTTGGGAGAACGGGTGGCGCTGGATTTTTATCTTGGTTCGTCATGCCGACACTCGTAGTTGATACTATGAGAGTTTCTAACTTCATATACTGTATTAGGAAGGCATTCTCACGGTCGTTGTTGCAACTGCAGCGTATGGATTTATTCATAACTACCCAGATACATCGAAGTTCCTAACTGAAGACGAACGGAAATTTATCCACCAGCGGTTGGCGGCAGACAGCGATTCGACGCATGAAGAACGCTTTAATTGGGGAGCTGTAGTAGAAGCATTAAAAGATCCAAGCTGCTGGCTCTACGGATTGGGGTTTCATACTATGAGCTTACCTCTCTATACGCTGTCTCTATTCTTGGTATGAAATGCCTCGGCTTTGGTGATATCGGCGCAGTAGCTAATTGTCTTATAGCCAACCATTATATCCAACCTTGGGTACACCGCGGCAACAGCTCAGCTGCTCACCGTCCCACCGTATGCGTTCGCATTCATAACAACAGCCTCTGTAGCCGTTCTCTCCGAGAGACTCGGCCAAAGAGCAATCTTTATTGGTGGCTCTGCTATCTTCGCTGTTATTGGCTATTCTATCCTGTTAGGAAACAGTGATCCGGTTGCTAGGCCCGGAGTTAGCTACGTCGGCGTGTTCTTCGCTGCAGGAGGTATATATCCGGCAAGTGCCCTGGTTTTGTCTTGGCCTGCTATCAACGTGTCCGGCCAGACGAAGCGAGCGATTGCGAACGCCATGCAAATCAGTATCGGGAACCTCGGTGCCGTACTAGGTACACAGCTGTACCGTTCTACGGACGGACCTAGATTCATCGTGGGCCACTCTGTTGCCCTTGGGTACCTCGTCGCTAATGCGGTTGTTGTGACAATTCTAGCAGTAAGGTTAAAGAAAGAAAATGAGAGGCGTGAGGGAATAACAGAAGAAATAAAACATGTAGGGGAAGTAGCTGACTGGCAGGGAGATTCGGATCCGAGATGGCGGTTTGAATATTAAACACATTAAATTTCCGCGGGTTATCTATAAGGTAGTAGTACAGTAATATGATCTTCTTATATACTTGAACATTTCAATGCCAAAGCAGCTGAAATGAAATTCGGTCTTCTCTCACTAACGACTAAGGCCTGATAATCGCCTAAACGCCGAATTCTCTAGAATCGGGAATTCACCTTCCATCTGTATATCCTTTGCCTTAAACTGATCCTTATGTCGTCCCATGGCCATTTCTGTCAAAAAGCGTCCTAGACCCTGCGTAGGACTCCAGTACGTCCCAGCGCCAAACCTCAACGGTGGCCCTAAAAGTGCATAAGTAACCTTATATAGGGGCGTCTTGACCGGAATATAGGGCTTGATAGCATCGTGACTAGCGGCATCAATAAATGCCGGGCGGATCGAGCTTGCATGAAAGGATGGATTTGTTTTACGCATCTCAGCCAGCGCCAATTCAGTCTCGCCCTTAACCCGGGCGAATATAGCAGAGAACCGGCCTGGCTGTGTTGTTGCACCCGTCCCTGAGACGTAAACGAAATTAAAAGGTTTCTCATCAGAACCCAGTTTCTGAAAGGCTTCTGATGCCGCTAAAGTGTAGTCCTTCGTGATCTTCACATATTCCCTAATAGAATTTGTTAATGGAATGAAAATGACAGTAAGGATATTTGTCTTAGGTAACTAACTCGGGGCTGACTTGTGTCTGACTGATACCTAGGGCCCATACGCAACCCGAAGCTCCCTTCAGCTGAGATAGTAGCTCGGAATCGTACTTCTCGAAGTCCTTGTGGAGAATAACATGAACCCGAGGGTCCTTAACGTCCTCAACCATCTTGACAGGCCGGCGGCTGAGAATAGAGATCTTGCTGACGTCCTTCATTTTGATCATGGCATCGAGAACGCCGGAACCTACCAGGCCAGTAGCTCCGGTAAGAATTAGATGCATGGTGGTTGAGTACGAGGATGTATGACGAAAATATGGAGATTGGGCGCGATGAAGTCAATATGTTAGAATCCTATGTTAACGATATTCTCTTGCTGTCGTATAATATGTATAAGAAGCACGGATTTGATATGTATAATGGCAATAACTGACAATTGATTCTCACGCTGGGAGTTTCTATGAAGGCTAGGACTTTACTTATATAAATTTAAAAAAAAATCGGACCTATCTATCTAGACTTTGGATTTTAGGATTTTCAGCCCTACGAAGGCAGGTTAGAGCTGACGCCAGCAGGCTTAGACATGAATGCAGGTGGATGTAAGCGGACTTAGTGCATATAAACACTAGCCGTGCATTAATCCCGCGGACGCCGTATGGTAAATACTAACCCCGATGGATCGATATTTAGCCCGACGGCTTGTATCCGAATATGAATGAATTCGGTTCGAAGATGACATAAGGTCAAGAGTTATAGTAAATATAAAAACGTGCCTATTTTGAATTAATTGATAGATAAGTCGTGAGTTAAATTTGACAGGATAGTCTCTGTTTCTACCTCTACCTGAACTAGGCAATTAGCTCTCTTGTCTCCTATAATGCGGATCCCAGGTGCATTATTTGCGACGATACCCTAAGTCTTATGGGCATAGCAGTAGTAATGCACCTAACCTAGATATTTATCGACGGCCAGCATATCAACTAAGAGCCGTGCATCGCTATATGAATAATGTCGAATTAAAAAAATGATTACATTATTTCGAATACTGCTCAAGGAAACTGAAAAGTGTGTTTTCAATTGATGCAGAGATCTTGGTGTATAAGGGTCGTTCGAATTCTATCACGTCAATAAATAATAAGCGAAGATTGATTGAAGAAGGCGAGAAAATTAGAGAAATTATCTACTATGTAGGTAGTGTCATATACCTCACCAGTTATGAGATAATTTGACCCTTCGATTGAATACGGGATGGTGTTCACGGACTTGGTTACCGCGATAGGTAGCTGATAACTTGCAGGCTTCAATTATTGCAGTTTTTAACACGTGGTTTTAGCTTGCTCTAGGTATCGAGAAATAATGTAGAGAAAAAAAGGTCACATAAGCTGCGTGGCGCTTGTCTAGTAATGCATCTTAGGAGATTGTCATACGCAATCGAGCCAACGGCTGCTTATTCGCCTTTCGATATGTGGTAAGAGTTGGGTAGTATTACTATTACTGCATAAAGGTAGAAGATCAAGTATCCTTATCAGCTGCAACGAATACATGTTCTAACCACTTAGATGTAGTAGCTCAGCCCCGGATTCGCAGCTGTATTACATACATTAGTCTAGTTAAAAGGTATATGTATTCGACCATGTATGCCATGTATGAACCGTAAGGCCAGATGAGGAATGTGTCAAGTAAGCAGTCAAGCGAGGTGCGATTACAGGAACCCTGACTAACTTTGATCGACCATGAGGCCAATCGATCTACGAGATTCGGTAAAATGGTAGTATTGCCTAGAAAAGTCTAGTGGACCTTGCAGGACTTAGTAATTCTAAAAAGTCCAACGAATTGGGGTTCTTGAACTGGATGGGACATTGTGATGTAAGTGAATTGAGAGAATGTAATGGTGGTGGTGATGGTGGTGTTAGTGGTGGTAGTGGTGGGTATGGTAATAGTAGCGTATCTTTTGTTCCGGGTTGTTCCCATAAAGCGTGCTTTTCCTTCCAAGCTTTTCCGACTGAAGGATATCTACCTACCTGGTATTAAATAAAAAGAAAAAAGAGAAAACGCATAAGAGAAACTGGTAAGAGAACTTATAAGAGACAATCCTCATAAGAACCAATTACTATCACGTGATACAATTTTCCATCAATAAGGGAAATACTCGAGCTCTTAATATAATATGTATCCTACCTCATAAGGTATCATATCATATCCTTGACTCCTTGACCCCTTGACCCCTGACAATAACTAAACAAGGTGCGGGGCCCCAAGACAACTTCTGCCGACCCAACAACATTTGGACCCTCCAAAAAGACTCACGATTCCACGATTCCCATGATTCCCATGATTCCCACAACAACTCCCGGAGATTAAATTCACTTGGTACTAGTAGTGTTAAGACGCGCCCAGTCTTTCATCTCGTCATATCTCCGCAACTTTCTATGGCCTCCTCTTGTCTGCCGTGTCCCCATGTCGGATCGAATGGCGCCGAAATCAGATACTGATACAAGAGAAGAGGAGCGCCTTGCCGCCTGCTTCAACTGTAAGAAATCCAAGCTCAAATGTGTTCGGCCTAGCGGGTCTTCAACTTGTACGAGATGCACTCAGCGCTCAATTCAATGTTCCGCACCGCTCTTTCACGTAGGTCGACATAAGGGGGTTAAGAAGTGAGTCGCAGCTATTCGTATTTCCGTGGATTTCTATGTATGGCACACAGCCTTGCTAATAGCTCCGATAGCAAACATTCGGGCTTAGAAAAGGCCGTCTTTCAGATTGAGCAAGCCTTAAGAAGGTCTAGCTCTGGCGCTTTAGATCAGATACAGACAGCTGATCAAGCTACCGAATTACGATTTCTGCTTGAGAGGAGCCGAGAGATTTTAGGTAGTGACAATGGATTCTCCCGGCGCATATCGTCTCAGAATGGTATGGAACATGATCAAGCGTCCGTGTCTCCCCAGCAGACATCGACTTCATTAGGAACATCACCTTCTCAAACTTGTTCGCGTGACGACTCGGCAGTGCACACCAAGGTCGAGGAAGACCAACTAAGTCTAGACGACGCTGAGAACCCGTTACAACTACTCGCTAGGACGTCTGAGCTCCTATCATCCATAACGCCACAGATGCAAGGGACCGGAGCAGGACGACTACTCTCTAAATCCACATCTATTCGTGGTGCGGCTGGAGAGGGTGATGATCTACAGAAATTCTTCGGTCGTTTTCAAGCGCGACTAGATGTTGGCGAAGACCTTGACCCTATTGAATTGGGACTCATCACCCTCACAGAAGCCGAAACATTATTCTCTTAGTATGAACAGATTTCCTTGGGAACTAAAAACCATTTAGACTATCAAACTAACGCCGTTCCAGCTTTTACGAAAAACTCGCGCATACGCGCTGGGGCATTGACCCTGTCATACACACCGTAGACTTTGTTCGAGGTCGTTCAGCTTTTCTGTTGACCTCGATAGCTGCCGCATCAGCACTTTTCTCCCCTTCCATGGAGTCATTATACAAAAGGCTCTCAAATCATCGGCAAAAGCTCGCCGGTCTTATCATGTCGAAACGCTACAAGTCCGTAGAGATTATTCTAGCGTTTATGGTCAATATACCATGGATATCGGCCGGTGAGCATTGGGCCGACGATGAAACCTCGACCTACCTTTCTATGGCCCTAACGATCGCCTTGGACTTGTCCCTGAACAAGGTTATACTACCTCCATCCACAGAGCCGCGAAGCCCGAGGGACACTATTGCTACATCTGATTGCATATCCGCCCGAAAAGCGCTTGGCATAGACGGTTTTATCGATATAGATCCAGACTCTCCGAGGGGCCGCAGGCTTCTTAGAAGAAGGGAGAGGACTTGGCTGTCTCTATTTGTTCTTGAAAGAGGGTAATAAAACACCAAGTTCTCGCTTTAAGTCAACTAGCTAACCTCGTTTCTTTACTTATAGTGTCTGTCTCGCGAGAGGAAGGAATTATGTCCTCCCAATGTCGCCACTTATCGAGAATTGCGACCAATGGCACCTAAGCGACATAGCTGATAGGTGGGATGGATCAATTGTTTCGGTGGCGGTTCTGAGGAGAGACTTGGTAATACTCACACCCTTTGCATAACTACCGATAGGATACTTATACTAACTATTTACTAGGCAAATCTGATCTCGAAAGTAAGATCAATATGTGACAGTTATGTCAACGGTAACAGCGAATTATCTGTTGTTGATAGGTATGTCTTCTCACCCTTGCAGTTGCGAGTGTTGCTTACTGAGAGGCTACGTTAGAGTAAAAAATGAAATCACCTTGTTCTTCGACCGGTGGTATCAAACTTGGCCTTTACAATTAGGAGATCGCGAACGTTAGTTTTTCAACCCTGACAAGCTAATAAGTGCGGACTAGCTAGCTAACTTCGCTACAGAACTTTCGTTGCCCCCGTACGTCGAGATTCTTGCATCTCATACACGATTATCACTATATAGTTCTGTGATTAACCATGGTACTGCGCCTGTGGGGGCACGTCACTTCTTCCGTGCCGCTGGTCTCTCGTCTGCGCTGAATGTCTTGCGAGTGGCTGTTCAAGGTGAAGGACAGCTTAGATCGATGCCCAACAACACCGCCATCATGATATCATTCGCTGCCTGCTTTGCCCTCCGAGTCAGTACGGTTGCTGATGGTCGAAGCTCAAGTCTGGCGCCCAGCATCAGGGCTCTAATAGCAGAGACTACGGATGTGCTAGAGAGAATAGGATCGACCCCGATCCAACGGAAAGGCCTTTCTTGTCTATTCGCCGGACAGTTAAGACAGATACTGAAATACGCATCGCGCGCTTCAGAAACAGCACAGGCTCTACCGGAGCTAAACGGAGATGTGACAAAGCACGCCTCCATCTATACGGATTTGAACGCCGCTCACATAGCAAACCACCAAGGGGCGATACAAATGCCGGTAGCATCGTCAAATCTACCACCGGACTATTTATTATTCTCTACCATGTCTAACGAAAACCAACTAGACGAGGCTATCCACAGCACTGACATTGGGCTTAATGCGTTTTGGGAGGATTTCCAGTTCCAAAGCGCTGACTTGGACTGGATGGACTGGTCAACTTTCAGCACCTAGATGTACAAATTCCATGTCTATTGTTTGGGGCAGCACGGCGTTTCGGCGTTGATGGATTAAAGGGGAGCATCAATATGGTATGGTATGGTGGTGTTGGTGTTGGGCACGGGGACAGGAGGGCATTTGGATAATATCGGTTCAATGCATTTGTCTAGGTATTATGATAGCCTTAGTCTTCCCAACGTTTCTAAGATAAGAGACGAACTTGATCACACCCTGCTAAGACCCTTCTCGCATAAGATACTACGATGGGGGTTGCAAGGATACGTTGATTAAAAATAACGATTATCTTACATACGACTTTGTTTACTAAGGAAACTAATAGATTTCCAAGCATTATAAGCATTATGAGTTTCTAGAACAGTGTTCGAAGGTCCGCTACGATGCAGCCTAGAAGCAAGACATTTTTTTTAATATTCCGGCATTGTGTGTACACGATGTGACAGAACATATCACACACGACACACACGACAGGGGCTGTTGATGCCAAATTGAAGATATCATAAGGACCCTGAGATTGTGAGATATCTAGCTAAACAAAGCTATTGGCTAAGCTAACGACTTTCTACCGCTCCCTTGCCTTCGATCCCACATACACACATACACACACACACATTCCGGGGCTTATCGTGCAGTAGTTCCGAACAAACATACCTTTTGGTCAGCCTTTTTAAGCCTTTACTATACTTTGGACATGCATATTTGTCTAGTAATGTATAACTCAGACCTTGCTGATACCTACCTAGGACTAGGGAGGATAGAACAAACGCCATAGCTTTAAAAAGCCCTGTCGGTCGTATATCAAACTCCGCACGTAATACATCCCTCCCTCCCCCCCCCGCAGCCACTCCGCGCTGCTAGTGTTAGTACTCCCTCTTGAGTCGCGACTTATCCAACATGATCGGCTTACTCTCTACCTAGACAAAGGCTTACCCCACACGCCAATTCGAAATGGATTCAATGCCCTGTCAGACCCCCCTAGCTTCTCCCCAACTCCCACCAAGAGTACTAATGTAGTAGTAATCTAAGTCCCCCGCAATCTAACTGGGTGTTCCCGTTTAGGCTTGTCAACTTGTACTCCCAACGCCCTGGTCCCGTATGTAGGTATTTAGCTGTTGGTCGCGAAGCTTTAAAGATTCGGTGTTATACTACAGTGTTCTAAACAAAGGACAAACTACCCAACCTCCTTCTTCTTCTTCCCTCTGCCTCTGGCTTTTCGCTTTTTTCCCCCTCTGAGTCGTAACTTGGAAAAGGAAGAAACAGAAAAAAAGAGAAGAAAAGCTACACGATGTCGTCTTCAGACAACGGCGATCTGCCTAATAAGGCGACGGTGGAGGAGCTCGAGAAGGGGAGCTCGGTGCATGTCAGTTCCACAGACAAAAATCTGACGCGTAAAATCCTATGGAAATTAGACACAAGGTTCCGTCATACCCTCCATTTTCGCATTGATTTCGTTCTCTAGCAATGGGAAGAACGGTGTTTAAACGTGTATAATAAGAAGGTCCCTTCATCTAACCGCGATTAACTAGGATTTTGCCCATCCTCGCCGTTCTGTTCCTGTGCTCGTTCCTGGATAGGACCAACGTGGGAAATGCGAAGCTCTACAACCTTGAAATAGACCTTGGTATAACGGACCACCAGTATGACCAGGGTCTTGCCGTCTTCTATGCGACCTATATTCTGAGCGAGATTCCGAGTAATTTGATCCTCAAGAAGCTAACGCCTCAGATATGGTTACCATGCCTGACCTTCTTTTGGGGCGTGTCCGCCATGTGTCTTGGATTTGTTCAGAATTTCGCCGGCTTCGTGGGTGTTCGTGCACTACTTGGGTTAGTCTATATTCCTCATTTTTAAGAAGGACCCAGCGACGCTTCTCTGCTCTTCGATTATTTTCTTAGCTGGAGCAATTCTTATTATATATGAATAGCCCGCCGCTTGAAATGAGCAATTGCTAACCCTAAGCGATGTAGGCTGACGGAAGGCGGTTTGCTGCCAGGAATAGTGAGTGAGATGACTTCCCTATGACGAAATCGTAACTAATAAGATATTGCAGGTCCTTTACTTGTCTACCGTCTATACGCGAGGTGAACTCGCCTTGCGTATTGGTATCTTTTATACGGCCGCGTCTTTATCGGGCGCTTTTGGAGGTATGTGTCTCATTCCTCACCGTGTATTGTTGTACGCAAGGATCCTATCTAACAAAACCTTAGGACTTCTGGCTCGCGGAATAGCTGAGATAGGTACTCGAGGCGGTCTTAATAAGTGGAGATGGATTTTCGTGCTTGAGGGTTTGTTCGTAAGTGGTTAGCAGTCCTGTAATTGGAATTCGGCAACGTTAACTCTTCTGAAGACTGCCTTGGTCGGAATTGCCGCGTATTTCATCCTCCCTAACGGTGTTGGATCGGCGAAATTCCTCAGCCCAGAGGAGCGTCAATTCGCCGTCGGTCGTCTCAATGCTGCCAGCCAAGGTGATGGCGGCAACCGCGAAAGGTCCGTCTACTTTAGACCAACTAGTTTCGTGTGACATTATATTAACAAATTTCTAGGGAGGCTACTGAGAAGTTCACCTGGTCTGAAGTAGGTCGCGGCGTCTTCAGCTTGCAGACCTGGTTCACAGCTGCTGCATACTTCGGGATCCTCAGTGGACTTTATAGCTTTGGACTCTTCGTAAGTAACCGTCAATATTCTTGTTTATAAGAGAGACATTCTAATGGAAAACTGTTAGCTTCCGACAATCATTACGGGTTTGGGATATACGGCGGACGAAGCTCAACTATGGTCTGTCATTCCCTACGCGGTAGCCTCCGTGGTCACAGGTAAGTTTACTACACGTACCCTTGGCGCTTGAACGTCAAACTTATAGAAAATAGTGATAACTGCGTTCCTTTCCGACCGTTTCCGCGTTAGAGGATTGGTCATGCTCTTTTCGTTGCCGCTCGCCATCATAGGGTATGGTGTGATTGCAAACGTCGACAATGTTAAAGTCAAGTACGGCATGACGTTTCTCATGGCTACTGGTTTATACAGTAGTGTGCCGCCTGTCCTCGGTTGGCTCTCAAACGTAAGTATCGCCCTGGAAATACCCCATAAAATGAACATATTTCTCTTAATGCATTACCATTAACGGTTTATAACCTGCAATGCCATTTTTCTCGCGCTGACCATAGACTGTAGAATTCGGCTGGCCACTATAAGCGAGCGACGACGAGTGCCCTACAGCTTGCTATCGCGAACTGTGGTGGATTTGTCGCCGTGTTCATATATCCGAAGGCCCAAGGACCGGCATATCGTGAAGGCCATACCATCATTCTAGGAGTATTGTGCGCTGGATGGTTTTTGTAAGTGCTCTCATCGTGATGGACTAGATCACCGTCTAATGAATCTTCAGGATCCTCTGTAACGTGTTGTACTGCTGGAAGATCAACCGAGATAAGGCGAATGGCAAATACGATAAATACCGCGGCTTCGGTGATGATCGTGATCCTACATTCAAGCTAGTGTTATAAGTAACTAACAACCTGGCCGAGAGTGAAGGATGGTGTTTGCGTATGATTTTTATGAGAGGCGGGTAACAATATTGTTACGATGGGTATCTGCCTTATAAAACAAAATCAAATTAACACTCAGTCCGAGTTAAATATGAAGGAAACACGGTCCTTTTTGGGTCCTTCCCATGGTATTCGACTGGATACCTCCAAGGCTCCCTGAAGTATTTTATACTCGACTATCGCTGGGATATACGTATAGGCGGGTATATGGACATGGTCATAGAATTAGGACAAGAGGTTTTAATGGGAGTTTTAAACACACCATTTTAAATAGTGGCTATGAGATATGAATTTATAGTCGTGAAACTTCCAGTAGAATGTCGATGTGTTATTCTATTTGTGATGGGTTCGTTGGTATTTATATAATTTTCGTTGTGACTTTCGGTTGACTATGAGCTTAGTAGATGAGCTTAGTAGCTCATATTTACATATTTCAAACATACGAAACTTTTGTTAAAAATGGTATGATGCTCTCACGAGTTGCACATGTAATGTAGATGTTTGTGACCGGCTTCATAAATATTACCCGAGAGTTAAGGCTAGGGCCAATGGATGAAACCTTGGTTACCCTTATAGTTCCCTATAACCCTTGTCCCTGAATTAGCGGTCCGATACGGTAAGATATACCGTACATATACCGTACATGGGTAAAAACGAACCGCTGTGGACCTGTGGCTAGGGGGACAGGGGGAATTTGGGGTTCTGCAGTTCTACATAGCGTCGGTGGTTCTTGAATTACCGAATTTATTCTTCCAGGGATTATTTACCGCGGCATTCCAAAAGCTTAGCTTGCCAAAGCCGCGCATCTTAGGCCTTAGAGGATAAGTGAAATACGCTATAAGCCTCTGAAAGACGAATGCGACAAACAGCGATTATCGGATATTATTAGGCCGAAGAGGAATATCTGAATATTATCTGCTTTCTCTACATGTAACTTTTATTCCTTCCTCTTAACCCCTTATTCTAATTTGCGCAATTACGGAAATAATATGTCGAAACTTTCAGAGGCCGTTAAGGCTCTCATCAACGCCAGCCATGCGCGGCCCGGCTACACTCCCTCGTCGGCAAATGTACAGACTGTCCTCACAAAATTCGCAAGCGACGCTGCCGAAAAGAAGGTCGGATTACCGGCTTGGGTGACTTTGTCGGTATGTTTTGCCTTGGTGCTGAAGCATGGGGAAGATGGATAGAAGAAAAGAAAAAAAAAAATAATAAAGAGAAGAGAAATATAGGAAGGATTAAAAAACAAAGAAACGAGGAACCAATAGCTAAACGTGGATATTTACTATTCTAGACAGCCGTCTCAGCGACATTAAACTGCCCCGAAGCCATGACACAAATCTTCCACCTAGCTAACTCGACCACGACTACCGACGAGCAGCGCACACCCGTTCAGAATGCCGAACTAATCCGAGAAGTCGGGCTTAAGTGTATCTCGTTCAACGGTATCCCTCGCAGCATCAACACTCTAGGCGCATTCCGTAATAGCTTACCCGCCGATGTCGCCTCATCATTGAGTACGACTCCGACGCGCGAGTTGACGCCATCTAACCTCGAGCTTCGTAAGCGCGACGGTCTTGCCCTCTGGGATAGCGTCTACATAGGCTTCGAGCGCAAGCTACTCGACAAACTGGCACAGTCACATCCAGATTTACCCGTCCATATCCTCAACGGTCACTACTCAAACCTGCTATCAAACCCACGAGGCGTAGATGCTCCCGCGAAGGTTGGTCGCGTACTCACGTCGCTTGTAGCTATCGCGTGTCTGCGCACACAGACTGGTGTCGGACCCCAGGTTGTCTCGCATATCTTTGGTCTACGGAAGGCGTACGATAACGGTGATGCGCAAGCCGAAGGAGAAGAGCCCGTCGAGGGCGGTGCATGGCTGGCTACTGAAGACGGCAATATCTGGATATTGGAGAATATTGATAAGTTAGTCAATGTGATTAGCAACGGCGGAGGAACTACATTTGCGCCTGGGTTACGGGCCAAATTATAAGAAGGGAATAACACGCAGATAATAAGCCAACCGATGACGTGCTCATCAGGGGGGGTTGGGATATATAAATGAATTTACGAAGCTGTATATATGTATACACTAGGAATATAAGAGCTTGAATTATAAGCCAATATTCATATAAGTCTGAGAGATACCCATATAAGTGCCTAGGTAGTGTATTTATACATAACACAAGCTAATAGTATCCATTCCCATGCGCAAATACGCATTAATCTAGGTATATACAATAAATATAAATATTCGGTGCGAACCATATTCCGTCTTGACTCGTCCCGTCTGGTATCATCTTGTTATCTCACCCTCTCTCTCTCCCCATACTTCTATGTATGCTTAGAACGTCTTCAGATCATCTGCAATTATAAACTCAGCATCGGTCTTAGCCTTAACGGTCTCAACGTCAACACCTTCCGCAATCTCAGTAAGCGTCAAACCACCCTTGATGCGATCAACTTGGAACACAGCAAGGTCTGTGATGATCGTACTGACGACACCCTTGCCGGTTAGGGGAAGTTTGCAGTCCTGGACAATCTTGCTGCGGCCTTTCTTGTCGAGATGTTCTGTAGCCACTACGATCTTGGTTTGCTCTGGGTTCGACACGAGGTCCATGGCGCCACCCATGCCTTTGAAAACACGACCGGGGATCATGTAATTAGCTAGATCTCCCGACGCAGATACCTGAAAAGCGCCTAGAATTGATACGTCGACATGACCGCCCCGGATCATGCTGAACGACTCAGCCGAGTCGAATGTCGCTGCTCCTGGTAACAACGTTACCGTTTCCTTACCCGCATTGATCAGGTCCGGGTCCGCTTCTTCCTCTGTCGCCGGGTAACCGCCCATGCCTAGGATACCATTTTCCGACTGCAGCGATACTTTGGTATTCTCAGGCAAGTATGACGCCGCCAGCGTCGGGATTCCCACACCCAAGTTAACGTAATAGCCATCCTGTAGCTCCTTAGCCGCACGTCTGGCAATACGGTTCCGAGCATCAAGCGTGCTTGGTTTACCCGAAGTAGGATCCTCCTTAGGTGGTGCTACTTTCAGTACTTCGAAGTGTTTGGCCGCCGTGGCCGGCACGATGCGGTCGATAAAGATACCCGGAAGATCAACGCTGTCCGGATCAATAGACCCGATCGGTACGATATTCTCGGCTTCAACGATGGCGATGCGTGCTGCCTTGGCCATAAGACCCGCATACGTCTTGGTGGTGTATCTATAAGACGCGTGTAAATATCCTATACTACACAGAAATGTCGATTTAAAGAGAAACTCACTTGAAGACACAGTTTCCTGCCTCGTCAACCTTCCAAGCGCGCAAGACCGCTACGTCGCCTGGGAGAGCTGTCTCCATAATGTAGGATTTCCCATTGAATACCCTAGTCTCTTTTGGCTTGCCTTTTTCGAGGACAGCCTCCGGGGTAAACCTCACAGGTATCTCGCCAGTCTCAACGAACGTCTTCCCTCCTGTCGCTGTATAAAAAGCCGGTATGCCAGCCCCCCGCCGCTCTCAGCTTCTCGGCCAATGTACCTTGCGGACATAGCTCAACCGCTATTTTTCCTGTTAAATATTGCTTCTCGAGCTCCTTATTCGACCCCAGATAGGAGAGGATAATGCGATCTAGTCGACCATCCCTAGTAAGCAGAGCTAATCCGTGGTCACCAGAGCCAGCATTATTCGACACGGCCGTGAGATTTTTGAGACCCCTTTTATGTATAGCCTGAATGAGGGTTTCTGCGCATATTACTAGTCAGCTGGTCGCTCATGCAAGTCAATACTATCGACGATAGTCATGATAGCTCGGTCTAGAAACTTGTAAAATCGAGATAGTTGACAAAGCCTCCCCAAAGATTTTAGAAGTCAATCATCTTATTTAGTACATACCAGCAACGCCACATAACCCAAATCCAGCACTAAGGACCACGTCGCCATCCTTCAAGTCTGCGACGGCCTCATCTGCAGACTTGAACACCTTTGAGCCGCCCCGCGCCGCTTTCGTGGATGCCTCAGTCGCGTAGTACCGGTACGATCTCTGGAGACATGGCGTGAATTTAGAGCTACTTATAGTAGCTATAGCCGTAGCTGTAGAAATACTATATTGTCGTCGCGCGTGAGGTACCGCCCATCGATGTGAGAGTTGGACGGAAGCCCTAAGGACAGCACTCCGGGGCCGCGCCATCTTAGAGGGGTGGAGGGGTGAAGAGGTATGTATAATGTAAGAAGACTCTTCTTAAAAAGCCAATATTTCAAAGACTATTTGTGTTATAAAAAAATATAAAAAAAGATTAGGAATATCTATATTTCAGACTTACTTACAGAGTTTCCTAATAATGTATAAGTAACTGATCCATTGGTCGGTTAATTGTTTTTATTTTATCATGACGAAATGCGCTTGCGCCGAGGTTCGTTTTCGGTGTTCGCAAGTTAATTGCTCTGGCGCTTTAGTCGGCAGTTGATTTATGTCCGTTACATCTTTTTGTCGCCCTCTATCTTACTCCAAATTTCCCGGGGCGTCGGATAAGTCCCACGCGAGAGCGAATAGGGGGGTGTTCAACATTTAAGGGTTATAGGGACATTAGTACCTAAAGTATTTAACTTGTAGAGAGCCATAAGATTATTTATATGATTCATTTATAAAAAGCAAAAATTAGATAAATACAGCGATCTAAACATAAGTCATTATTGGTCTCTATCTTATATGCTACCATCAGAAGAAGGTATCCGACCATATCAGATGCGTTTTTATCAACGCTTAGAAAGTAATAGCATCAAATATTCTGATTAATCCCATCTTCCTCGACGAACTTTTCTTTATAAAAAAAAAGCCGCTGATATAGACTTACAGAATCCAATTACTCCAATACCAGGAATCAAATCGAAAGGGGGAGCCAACAAGACTCTATGAGGGTATACCCAACCCTTATGCAACCTAGTAGACTCTTTCTAAGCTACTCCCTCATAATATGCAATGCAATATTGTAATTAGTGTAATAAGAAACCATGTATGCGAAAACGACCTTGAAGGGAAAGAAAAAAAAAGGGAAAAAGGCACTCCAGGTCCAACTCTCACTGACGTCCAACACTCTCTACACGAATGCCTAGGTTAGCGAGCTCTTTCGCATCGATAATGCCCTTGCCGTCGAATAACCATTTCGGCTTGTTCATAGCAAAAGAGATTTTGCTCCAGTCTAGCTTCTCTTTAGGTCTATCCTCGCTCGAGTTTCCCGATGTAGAATAGCCGCTTGTCTTGATCAAGCGACAGTCGGGACAGTCGCTCTCACACGCTGGCTCTGGTCTATATCGCTTCAGAGGATCATTATCAGGGTACGTCCCCGCAGGTGCAACGTGCAGAAAGTACTTGTGAAGTGATATATATCCGACTCGGTAACCTTATAATCGAATGGTCGAGGGTCAACTTTCTTCAGAGATTTTGAAATAGGGCTAGGCTTGTCTGTCTTAGCCGGGGTGCTTCGAAACTCATCGAATTCGGTTGTTATTAGGACAGCATGGCTACCGTCGCAGGCGGTATAGGCACTCGAATAAATCTCAATCGGCCCTCCGTCTTCTCTTAGAGCAGGCTGGCCTCTGATAAGCTCCTTGATCTCGGCTTTGACCACCACCGGGTTGCAGCAGGGGTCAAATACTGCAATCTCCCTAGGGCCTTCCTCAAGGAGCGTCTTGATGATCTCGAGTGCAGGTGATTCTCTCGTGTCAGAAGTATTGGCCTTAAATGCGTATCCAAGCAGGGTAATCTTCTTTCCAACTAGAGTGTTATTGAGGCGCTGAATCACACGCTTAGAGAAGCGGTCGCGCTGGTATTCGTTCATCTTTACCACCTGTCTCCAATATTCTCCCACTTCATCTAAGCCAAGTGACTCGGCCAAATATACGAGGCTGAGAATATCCTTCTTGAAGCAGCTCCCGCCGAAACCAATTCCTGCTTTAAGGAATTTATCGCCAATGCGGGGGTCACGACCAATAGACGCTGCTATCTCATCAACATCCGCCCCCGTCTTCTCGCAAATCGCGGAGATTGAGTTGATGCTGCTTATGCGCTGCGCTAGCATCGAGTTCGCTACAAGCTTTGCCAGCTCAGACGAGTAGACATTAGTGGTAATGATACGAGATCGTGGGACCCATGCCGTATAGACCTTTGCTAGAGCCTCTGCGGCTTTACATCCAGATGGCGTTGCCGAAGATCCGATCAGTATGCGGTCGGGATACGTAAGATCATTCATGGCTGTACCTGCTGCTAAAAATTCCGGGTTTGAAAGTATCTCAAAGTGAACTCCGGGGCGGTGGACTGCCATCTATTAAACTGTTAGCCAGCCAAATATCATCTTAATAGGGCTGTCATATAGTAGGTGCCAACTTACAGTCTTCCGGACAAGCTCTGCTGTTCTACAAGGGACGGTTGATTTCTCCACAATGATGGTTCCCGGCCTAGCATGCCGAGCAACCTCGCTGGTGACAGCCTCAAAGGCTGTCATGTCGGTGGCGCTTCCCGCTCCAGCCCCTTTCGACTTCGTTGGTGTGTTGACTGCGATTAAGACTGCATCGGCCTCGCCGATATATCGTGCTACCTGAGTCGAAAAGAACAAGTTCGGCTTCCTAGCGGGTACGGTCGCCTTTGTGCTATAATACACATGATCAGGGGTACAGAAATGGTAAGATTTCGATGTGCTAATATTAGTGCTAGTTGGCTCATTATCGAAGTAACACTTCCTAGATCCATCGCGAGCGATGCGAACGATATCCGCCAAGCCAGGCTCGTAAATGGGTAGGTGCTCTGAGTTCCATCGGCGGATTCTCTGCTCATTTTTGTCCACGACAGTGACGCAGAGGTCCGGGTTTTGGTAAGCCATGACAGCAGCTGTCGGGCCGCCTACGTTATCCTTTTAGCTTCAAAGAATAATAGCAAACAGAAAGGGGCCAGATTTATTTGCTCATATAAGAAGAGGGGTCGCGCAAAGGAAGGGGGGATAACTAACCGACATAGCCAGCGCCGACACAACATATGTTACGAATGGGACGGGTCATATCCTGAACGTTAGACGTCATTATTTGCGGTAAAGCAGTTCTCTCAAGGTCTGCGGTTAATTCTGCGCGGAGCATTGGACTAGATGTTGAGCTTCCGTCTGGAGTAGTCGGAGCCGTTGAAGCAACATCGGCAAATGTGCCACTGTCTTCAGTTTCAGTTGTTGAAGTAACTATCGGTGCCTGAATAGAACCCATAATAGCTAAGTAGAGCCTGATATGGGCTATTGTTCTCGAGTGCTGGCTTCTAGCGGGCCGAGAAGTAGTTCGTGATTTCGCACGCGATATATGGACAACAAGGGGTAAAAGACGATGATGAAACTGGAACTATGATGCCTCCTAAATCCACTTTGGAGAAATTGCACACGATTAAGTTGCGCAGCTGATCAGATTTATAGTAAGGTGACAGTGTAAGAGTAGATATAGGTATACCTAGGAGGTAGAGGTAGAATAGAGAGCGTGACTGCTAACTCAAGGTAGACAAGTACCTAGGTACCATGTGCAACCAGGAGTCTAGAAGGAAACTGACGATGGTATTGGTGGATGAGTTAAAGGTAGTCACGAAGGGCCTGTCTGAATGAGTGGAAGGATGAGATTTATAAGAAGGGGTGGCCTCTTAGATAAGGGCTGGGTTAGGTTTATGTACACCTAGGCAGGTGTGACTTTTAAGTATAACTATATCCAAACTCAGACACTGCTAGGACGCCACTTGGCTTGAAAAAGCACAAGTAGCTTCTTCTCTAGAAGGGTGGGCAAGGTCATGTTTCCCTCTTAGCTTGGTAAAAGGATGTGCAATTGCGTTAAGCTCCTACAGGAACCCATACTATAGACGCAGGTGGCGGATCTGGACAAGAGCTTAGAGTCAGTGTTCTGTCTAACTCTGTGCCACGGGCCATCGTCACATCGGATATATATGTAGGAGATGGCAGCTTAGGTAGGAAACCTACCTAGGGTGTTGCTTGGGCACGTTAAGTACTAGTCCATTGTCGTAAGTTGAACGAACTGTATAAGCTACCGCATGTACAGTGCCCTTAGCTGATGCCTATAGTATAAGTACGCAGTAATACCTTAGACTGCCTATATAACAGGTAGATACGTATGTATACAGAGATAGCTAGCAGGTAGCTTAACCTAGGCGAACAAGCCCTGCTTGCACATACCGTTGGGTAAGTCTGTCCAGGGCTTATTAAAAGTCGGGTTGCAATCTAATGAACTCTACACAAATGTAAGGTACGTGCAGGGTGTAGGAGCGGGAGGCTTGAGAGAAGAAACTAGAGGGCCTCCTAAGACTCTAAAGACGGGCTTATTGTTAGTATTACATGTATTCGTAATAGTCTATTCCCATAACGAAGAAAGACTGGGGTAAAGATAGAAGATATAGGCAATATGTAGTTTGTATCCATCTACGTACCTATGAACGACATATTTCACCTACCAGACCAATATATAACATGTACTTATACACCATAACTAGTTGTTATAAGCGCGCAGTATGCGGCTCAGGCGAAACGACCTAGGTAAGCCGGCCTTAGATATTTGAATATGTGTCACTGTATAAATACTGTAGGAAGTACAATGATGGGAACAATGCGAAAAGCTAAATGAATCTCTCGATCCTACCACATCTTATAATCGAAGAGAAGAATGAATCAGCTGGGAGAGGGAAAAAAAGAGAGAGAAAAAAGAAGAAAAAGAAAAAGGCTACTCTAATCCAAGTCATACTCCAAGTATGATGGCGCAAGTATTACTTACCTAGGGATAGATAAATAGCCAACAGATAAGCGTACCAGACACACGAGGGTCTAATGTAGGGTGCTAATTCGTAAATGAGATAATCTAGATAACCTCACATAAATAGTGAATGGCCATGTGACATTAACTACCCTAAAGGCTAAAGCTTCATCCAGTACCCCCTTGTAAAATGTAAAATATCTTTGTTGAACGAATCTAAGTCTAGAAGGTATTGCTTAAGCGCGATGTCGGTATACATGCAGATCTACCTATATTTACTGCTGTAAGGTTTGTAGGACCCCGGATTCTCTTGCAGGTCTTTGCAGGTTAACAAGGTTAGTGTGTATCTGAATTCATCTAAAGTTGATCTTATTGAGAAAATGTGCTGTCAATGCGCTATATGATTGGTGCGCTGTCTCTTTTGCGTGTGCTGTCAACAGAGCGTGTCATTGGGTAAATTAATACCAAAGGCAAACGAGAAGATGAAAGAGGTTACTCAAGGAAAAGACTACATGCCAAAATACAGTACCTCAGATAATATACCTCTAGATTCGCCTCTGGGAACGCAAGGTAGGATATCAAATATTACATGTACATATTTCCAGTTTCAAGGTGCGTGATTAAGTATAACCATTATTAGTCTTATGCCCTTGAATCACCAAATAGTCATAGTACCCCGTGAGCCACCAACCAGACCGACCGTGAATACGTATACTATCTACATCTCACAGACACATACTAGGTGGCTACACATTAGGATAAACTCTCTTTAGCAGGTAAATTAGAAATCTAACATGCCTTATCTTCTTATGCCCACCAGACCATCTCATACTCAAGCCACGGGAATACTTCACACCTTCTTTGGCAAGTAAGTAAATGTCAGCCGCCGCTATTGATTCAACACGGGATTCAATCCTTAAAAGAGCACAGATCACTTGCTTATAGTTTAGTATCATCTTCCTAAGTTGGCCAACACTTTTTAGGTTCATCGCATCGGAAATCTAGTCTCAACCTTTCTACTTTTAATAGGAATTTTATCCTCTTCGCTAGAATAAGACTCGCATTTCTTCCCCTCGACCACTAGAATTTTCTGATTCGGTATCTTCACCTATATCATTATGTTACGGGCATCCATTTTATGCATCTTAACAACGGCTTATATCACGATCTACTGGTTAGTCTATCAGTAGAAACCGCGATAGGACCACTCAGAGATAGCCTTAACGTCACTCCTAGGCATATATATATGTGAGGTTAAAGAGAAAGACTCATCCTGATCTGTACCTCCAACTTGAAGCCACCGGGCTACTTGAAGAGTGCAGAGTGGCACCTAGGGACTACACTACGCCAATCTGTCAGCTTCATAAAGCTTCAACTATGGCGAACGGACAGAAATCTCATAACTTTGACGATTTCCCGTCTGGTCTGACGGGGAAACGTATCCTGCTATGCACTGAGAGCCTCGGCCCTGTGAACGGCGTGTCGCGCACCACTAAGATGCTGGTGGATCAACTCCGATCTCACGGAGCACTCGTCTCGGTAGTTGCGCCGTATAATCACACCAAAATAAACACATTTAACCCGATTAGCCCTTCCAGCAATGCCAACCTACTATACCACGAAGAAATACGGCTAACAGGCTATCCTCTGCCTTTCAACCCCGAACTCTCAGTGGCATATCCCGTACGGCTTTCTGAGATATACAGGCGGACGTTCGGAGGCCCTCCAGATCTAATCTATTTGGCTAGCCCAGCATCTTTAGGATTTCAGGTGATGCTGCAGGCCCGGCAGCACGCGAAGGAGTTACAAGTGCCTGTCATATGCAATTTCCAGACAGACCTGGCGGGATACTGCTCTGTTTTGTTTCCTTGGCCGCTAGGCGGGATCGCAAATCGAGTCTTTGGCTTCGTCCAAGGTAACTTATTTCGTGACTCTTCCGTGAAGACCATTTTCTACCCGAGCACATTCGTCAAAACATATCTAGACAAAGTCGCAAACGTGCCAACTAACAAAATGGAGGTTTTGAGAAGGGGAGTCGACACCAAGGGCTTCGATCCGACTAAGAGAAGCTTGGCGTTGCGAAAGGAATGGGCACCAAATGGAGAGCTCATCCTATTCACTTGTTCGCGAATAGCGGGCGAGAAGGGGTTCGGGTTCCTTGCACAGGCGGCCAAGGAACTGGATAAGGAAGGGCTGGACTTCAAACTCGTCATCGTCGGCGGAAATCGTAACCCAGTCGTCTTCCAAGAAGTGAAGGATATGTTTGGCACACTGAGTGAGAAAGGCAAGGTCATCTTCGTTGGTTTCAAGGTCGGAGAGGATCTGATGACACATTATGCTTCAGCCGATATTTTCCTACACTGCTCCATCACCGAGACATTTGGGCTAGTAGTCCTGGAAGCGATGGCGAGCGGCATGCCAGTTATTGCACGGGACGAAGGTGGTCCAAGCGATATTATCGAGCACGGAAAGACCGGGTTTCTCGTTCCACCCGATGACTTGGATGGTTTCGTGAGAAAGACGCTGTTGCTTGGTCGAGACTCAAGACTCCGCGAGCAATTTGCTCTAGCTGGCCGCGCGTTTGCATGCGACGCTACATGGGAGAGGATCAGTAATAAGGCCGCCTGGCAGATGTTTGACACGATCGAGCAATTTGAACAGAACAGGGAGTTAGGCGCATCGATGACGCGGGTACCCATCGTCGGCTGGCTATTCCTGAACTCTCCTACGAGACGATTTTTCCTCCCCAAGATCACTACAGCGAAGCTAGCCTTTTCCCTTTCTATCATTATAGGGTTCTGGGCGCTTGTTGGTAGTTACCTCGTCTTGACAGATATCGGACATCTGTTCAAGACTCATACGCCACGGGTCTCAACTGTGAAAAAATATATAAGTCGTTGGATAATGGGTTGAATATTACGACCAGGAGATTCTAAGTTCGGATTGGAAATACCCTTTCTGGCCCGAATTATATTCACAACTCCTCCTGGATAGCTTGGTTTCCTTTTATACCCAGTTTATTGTATTTAATCATTTATTGCTTAAGCGAGTGGTTGTATGCACCACCTAAAACCACACTACAACTTGGTGAGATGTTAGACTGCGCAGGACCAGCGGGTTACATGCTGGATTAGTTATTGTTTGGGCCTGTTTTCGAGAGCGCATTTATCTGGACACCTCCCTCGAGTGGCTGGCAGACGAGGAAGTAAATTGTAGATAGCAATTTAGTTTCCAAATACGTTACGCAGGACGTCTTGCGTGTTTACAACTTGAGCAAACTCATCGTTTAAAGAAGCAAGGCTTACTTTATGCATCGTTTCGGCATCGATTCCACCCTTTGCGAACGTGGCGCATGCATCGCCGACGAGAAGGATATCGCCTTCATCGAGTTCGCCGGTTGGGCTTGTTATGGATACGACCCTTAGATTGTTGGCCATCCGTGTAGTTGTGCTAACACAGTGGTCCGTCGTAAGACCCATTATGACGAGTTGTCTAACTCCTTGGCCTTTGAGATGGGCTTCTAGTTTGGTGCCAATGAAGGATGAGTTGACATCTTTGATGAAGACAGGCTCCTGCGGTTCTGGCTGTGCAAACGATTGCGGTTGTGCCCCTTCGACTAGTTTGCCATCTATCTCAACCTGAGTACCGGGATAGAGCATCGAGTCCGGATAGATGCTATGATGATGGACGTGATAAATGTCTACCGCGTTTTCACCCAGCTTCTTATTGTATTCCCGTGCCGTGTTTAATAGAAGCGCGACATTCTCTTCAAATTCGGGTGTGCTGCGGCTAGCGCCCCAATGTGTTGGATGTCGGAATCCATTTTGAATATCAATGATAATTAAAGCTGTCTTGGCTGAATTGGCAGGTTTCATTTTGATTTGATTTATCTTCCTTTCTTTCTTAGGTATATATAACAAATAGCTCTAGAAAGATGTCGCGATATATGACGACTAATACATACAACTTGCAGCTTGCAACTCACATATATGTATCTAACCTAGGTAATTAGCTGTGCTTCTCCCCGATGACAACTGGAGCTTCTATCGTGAATCACGGAAATATCGGAATGATTAATAATATTCATTACGTTTGAGGGGTCATCGAAATAGCTTCCGTATGGTTAGTATATATGCACCCACCCGATCATTCTTTAGTCGATTCGGACACCGATGCCGTACACATTTAAAAAAATCAAAAAATCAAAAAATCAAAAAAATCGTGACTAATATAAACGAGACGATGGCTTCAATAGTGACACACCGAAGAGGGTAGTTGAATTGCCGATAATAGTAGGTAACTGACCTCAGCAGTTGGATGTTTTTCCTAAAGGATTGATTTTGTCTTAAAATATGTGTTTAAATGTATTTAGAGAGTTAGAGGATCAAACTATAAGCACGCCGTTTCTACCTTAGGTAGGTACATACTGGTAGTCCTTACCTGTTTCCTAGAGAATTAGGTACTTAAACATTAATAGGTACCTGTTCTAATATCCTACAGCTTCAGCTTAGATTTTAGAATCAGAATGTCATCGTTATTATTGTAACTTTACCTGCACTCTCGTAAGATATAATTTCTTGATACGAATTAGAGATAATATATACGGAATGAAATGGGTTCGGTAAATTCGAGCATCTTGCTTCTATGTATTCTATTATTTTTTTCCATCGCAACCTTCGTTAGTTAATACATATGATAACTAGAAACGACTGCCAGCATATGATAGGTCCAACCTTGGACTCGGTGCTTGGCTACTAGGGCTTGTGACACGAGAACAGGGATTGCTTAGGGGAAGTTGGGGGCTTTGAAGCTTCAAGATGTAACTAGACAGGGCTCAGGGGTCTTAATTAGGGATCTTCTTAACCCATTCAAAACCCGTTTAAGTTCAAAGTAGGTTAGTACATAGTACATAATACTTTAGAGCGTGACGCTTTGTCTCACTGACGCTGACTCTCGAAACTCTTCTCACTCTTCATCAACGTCGCATCATTAAGCGACCCGACATTCTCGGAAACCAGCAGAGCGTCGAAACCAACATCCCCCCATACGAAGCACACCGGGCAGTTATGCTGGCCTACTACGTGTAATAGTATCTTTAGTACAAACCACATACTTGGATACGTAGAATCTTACCTTTATTATGATCCAATTGTTAATATTGGTTATATGATGTACCTCTAATAGGTCCAAATCGGCTTCACACTTTCATTCGTTGGCTTCGCGCCGGTGTAGTGCCCAATGTCACTACGCTTTTCCAATCTCCGCAATGCATTGGTTCTCCATCATCTCTTACATATGTAACATTTCTCTATCGTACCACCTACTGAAGCAGCATAGTCTTTAAACTCCTCATTCCTAATATTTTTGTCATAAGGGGCTCTTCGTTGCCGCAGAAGGAGTATGATAATCAACAAGGGCTACCCAACTCCTCGTGTTTTCACTCCTCCTGATCTCCTGGTTGTCTTAGCTCGACAAGCAAGAGATCTTCCAAACCCTGCATCTTGACCTGTTCTAGGCCGCCGCGCAAGATCGCTCGATGACCCACCGTCATGCCATTTAGTTGGTCTACTGGGGTCTGTTTTCGTTGCGGGTCCTTGTATTATTGCATCTATTCTAAGCTATCGAGTTGATATCCGCCTCTTTTTTCCAATTCTCTCCTTTCCCGAATCCCATTACAACCTGTTCCGTCCAAACAAAATATTGCCGCCTTTCCGTTCTTGTGGCAGGTCCCTTTTTCCCTTTTATTTTTTATTTTGCTGGATCTCCAATCTGATCGGCGCTACTTGGGTCTCCGCTCCTAGCGAACATCGAATAGGTACAATACGGACAGGTTCCACACGTTCTTTACAAACACTCTTTATAGATATACCGATATACTACCATATTCAACCGCCGGCCGGCTTATTACAGTTCAACAGATATATATATATACTTTAGTCCAGACCAATATCATCATAATCGAAAGTCGAAGGCCGTCTCGTTAAGATGGTTTGGTTAAGTGCTGCCGTAGCTTCGCTATTTGCCTCTTCGGCATTAGCTAGCATGGAGCCTATGGTGGGAGGAATCATGAACACGCGTGCGACGATGTTGGATACAAGATTCGACGATGCCAATGCCGATGCCGATGCCGACTCGTTAGAAAGGCGACAGACGACGTCGACACCGAATGATTCGCAAGCGAACATGACTCAGTGGAATACGGATACTGAAGCAGCCTGCTTGACATCATTGTCTCAACTCGTAGCTGCGTCGAACCCTTCGGGAACAGCCGTTTGCTACAATCTATTCAGCCTCGACACGAACGCCGGCACATTCATGGCCGACTTGCGCCTCTTCCAAGTATCGACACCTTTCGGAGAATTTGAAGGTATCCCTCCAGAGGACATCTCCGTCGGGCTTCAATATAATGGTGCCTCTGTCTCGCCAGTTGGTCAGGGTGCGCAACCAGCGAATGTCTCTAAACGACAGAGCTCGACGCCTACAATACTCCAGACGTACATGTTCATTGGTCAAATAGACAAGGCCAAAATGGCTCAACCTATGACGATGTAAGTACTTAAATTAGATGGGACATCTTATACCGTATTATTGCGCGCGAAGGCTTATCTTTTATTTTAAAACAGGGGTGTGCTAGAGGCATTGGTGATGCCAACCGTCACATTGACAGGAAAGAACTTGGCGGGCCAGCAAGTTAGCACGAACGTCTCTTCTAATGAAGCTGCTTTTGTCAATGGCATTTTTTCGACAGATGTTGTCATGTCTGATTTTACACTCGCCTCGGTAGCAGTCGACAATATTACGGCCCAAATGCACGAAGGGACAGTTGCCTTCGTCTTACCCGGTGTTAACATTTTAATCTTCCCCGTAGGTCTAATTATCACCAGTCTCTGGTTTGTAGTTGGATTTGGATTTTACGCGTTTGGTACCTACGAGCGATACAATTATCGGGATACGTATAGGAGGCGAAAGGCAAGAGCTGAAGGCAAACCCGTCAATGCGAGAATATAATCGACCGTATTAGCAGGGTTTAAATTCATGTGCGAGTACCTAATACAGTCGATGCCGTCGAAGTGGGTAGATTAATGTTTAAATGACAGGCAATTTTTTGGGATTTTGGCAGCGGATTTTAGACTATCAATCCTTAAGGCGTGCTGGTTTAGTATTCAGTTGATATTTGTATCAACTTTAGTTATAGGCGGATTAAACTGTTCAATATTATCAAGTAAGGTATATACTAGTTTTATATAAAGAGTCAAGAAGTCGTTATAAATGTTGGTACTCATTACAGTTCTAAATTCTGTATAGAAGACTAGATCTTATAGACAGTGAGCTCATGTCCATATACATTATATATTTTGATTCGGAGGAGAAAATCTAACTCGTTGGTAAAGCATCAACATACAAAAAAAATGTACGCTACGAGTAAAAACATATAACCTACATGGTAGAGACACCTATCTCAAGACTCAAATGAGTGACTAAATAATAAGAGACACTTTATCCAAATACCCTAAATTCTATATAATATATTGTTCCCCCCCCCATATCCAATCAGAAGAGCTTCCCGTCCGGCTTCTTCACCAACATCCCCATTATCTCCTCCAACTCATCCAGCAACTCTGCCGCAACGCCTATCCAATCCTGGAACGTAACGAGTTCCAACGTCAGGCTATCCCCGTCGACGAACGCCTGTACTTTCCACTCGCGCAACGGCTCGAGGTGCGGGTATACCGTCTCGAAACGGCACGTCGCTCCACCCTCCTCCTCCTCGTCCCGGCCGCCTCCAAATCCAAACTTCAGCTCCTCGACGTGGACGACGTCTTGGTGCACCACCGAGTCGAACCAGTCAGCGCCGACTGGCCACCCCGGGAGCGGTCCGCACTCGCGCATGATCTCCGTCAGACCCATGCACTCGTGCAGCGCGCTGGCGACGTGCTGGTGCTGCACGTGTCGTAGCAGGTCCGCGACTTTCCAGTCGTCCTCGAAGCGTACCCGCACCGGCACGTATTGCCATGTCGGTCCCGCGACCGTGTCCGCGTGCGGTAGGTCCGTGTTCCGGCCGCTGACGACCTCGCCGAATACGACGTCTCTCCGCGCGAGCCGTCGCGCGAGGCACAAGGCCCACGCGGCTGTTGGTAGCGTCGCTACTGTTATGTCTCTTAGCCGTGTAGAGATATCGACTATCCGGCTGATTGCGGCTGGGGTCTTGGATGTTAGAGGTACATCCGGACGGAGGATAGAGAGCGAGCTGTCTTGTAGTAGGTCTCGCCAGTAGGGGATACTTCGCGGGATGCCCTTATTCACGACGTGGTATACAAAGGAAGAGAAAGGAACGGAATCTATTGTAGCCTTGCCGTCGTATAGAGCACCGAGCTGGTGTATAAGACCCGGGAGACAGACTTCGTCGTACTGTGAGTGGGAGATGCGGAAGATGAGGCAGTTCTTATCGGCATCGCCTTGGACGAACATGAACTTCACGAAGGCAGAGCCTAGTGGCATCTTGGTTTGAACGTCGACGTCGCATAGCTTATGCGCAAACGAGTCCAAGTCTCCCTCGATCTCGTATTGGTCGATCGCAATATCAAGCGTCTCAAGAACGACGCCAAAGCACTCCTCGCCTCTCTCGACGAAAACTGTTCGCAGGATTTCGTTGCGAGCGACGAGTTCCCGACAGCTTTTGAAGAGTCTTTCCTTGTCGAGGTGTCCGTCAAAATGGAATAATTCGTAACGAGCGGAAAATCGAGGAAGTTGAGTTGTGCCCCTCACCGCGACTTGCTGGAGCGGACGCGCCGGGAGAATATCCCTGATTACATGATCGCCTTGGACAAGCTGTGGCCTGACCGTCTCAGCGATGAAGGTTTCCACATCCGGGACGTCAAGCAATGAAAATGGAGACGGTGGCGGCTCGGTCGACTCGGCGGTCACTTGCTTCTCTTCCCTCAAGACCTTCGCCATATCGTATAATGTCCTATGTTTAAAAATCTCGGGTACCGTTAATTCCATCTTCCTGGCTCGGAGCTCCGACACAAGTTTCATAGCTCCGATGGAATCGCCGCCAAGCTGGAAGAAGCTGTCGTTCAACCCAATTTCATCCTCGTCGATTGCTAGTATTTGACTCCAGGCTTGTCGAAGACTCTTCTGCTTCGCCGAGGTAGCTGATACATGCTTTTCACGTGGACCAGTAGAGAATGTTCTAGTAGAACTTGTCCGTTCGATGGGGGTAATGTTATCGTTCGCATCGTACTTTACGAGTTTATTAGTTTTGTAAAACCGGCCGGTGTTATTCTGGCTAGCCCACTGGGGAGACGGCGTCAACTCGAGATCAGGTTCGCCGGAGCACCTATTAAGAGTTCTCCAACAGCACCTAGAGGAAGTAACCGCTCTGGATCAACAGCGTCAACGATCCACGTCTCGGATACCTCACAGCCAGTAGGGAGTAAAGCAGTGATAGCTGGACTTTTTGCGCCTGTCTGGCTCAGGTGGGTGAGCTCAGATATATCCTCTTCGGCTAGTATCTGAAGTTGGCTACATCTGGCATCTGGGTTCTCGACGAGCTGCTGCGTAATCTTTTCAAGCTGGCGTAACATCCTCTCCATCTGCGGACTCGTTACTGTTTTCGAGTCGAAGCTTGCCATGACCAAAAAGCCCCTTGGGTCTAAGGAACATACCAGCATCAGGGCGTACGTGTTAAACTTGAGCGCTTCCTGTGCCGCCTCTTCATCGCCAGCAGGAACAAAGCCGTCCGCTGGTTGCTTTTCGCTAGGGGCGGTTTCATCAGCATCTGCGCTGGGATGTAATACCAAGCCGGTTCTCAGCTCGCAGGCCTCCCGCGCATCCGGACTTAGACGTCTGATGTGTTGCAGGCCGAAGTGCTCGTGAGGGATTCCAAGGACCGATTGGTCATGGATTTCCTGTAGATACTCTCTCACGGTCATATCATGGTTGACGGCTACTCTAACTGGTATTGTAGCGATCATAGGTCCTTCGATCTGTTCGACACCTGCAATAGGAGCGTTGCGCCCAGTAAGCGTCTCTCCGAACACTACGTCGTCGGTCGAGGTATAAGTTGAGACCAAGAGTGCCCAAGCACCGCGGATAACCGTGGCAATGGTTATCCCGGTATTGGGCTTGCTAGTATGTACGTAGTGTTCTAAAAGAGAATCGGCTTGTTGCTGATAGCCCGAATAGGGGAGGGAAGGAAATTGTTCATTATTAGCACCATCTAGTCGTTCTCGCCAATAAGTTTCCGATTCATTGCGATCCATATTAGTGAGGTAGCTAATGAAGTGTTTGAAATCAGCTGGTCGCTTAGTTGGGAGGTTGTTATATGCTCGATTAACTCGTTCGACCACTAGAGGCATCGACCATCCATCGTAGAGAGCGTGATGCATTGTCAAGACAAAATGCGACTTTCCTGTAGACTTCTCGTTGATAACCACGCCGTATCTAACTAGAGGCTTGCCAAGTTGAATTGGTTCGCTTCTATCTTGAACCAGATAATCGTTAAGACTCTCCCCGGATAACCACTTGCAGTCAAAGTCGTCTTTAACGACTACTTGCATCAATCCTTGGCTTGTGATCTGGACTATCCTCGTCCGGAGAATTGCGCAATCTGCAGAAGCTAGCTCGAAAGCCTTCGCAAGATCCCGCGCTGCTGTCTCATCTGCAAGTTCGACTACGCGCTGTGCGACATAGGCTTCGCTGACCTTAGCTGACAGCGCCATAAGCCCTTCTTGAAGAGGCGTGCAGGGATAAATATCTTCGATTTTTGAGGGGTTAACGTCGCAGATAGCAGCGCAGTCTTGTCGCGCCGAATCCTCTGACCATTGACTACCAAGAAGGGAGAATGGCGGAATCTCGACTACGGCTTCGCTGGATGCGGTTCTCGCAACTAGAGCCATGTCTGAGAGTACAGGGTTAGCGAATATGTCGGCAACCGTAAGCGCGGTGTCCTGTGTTCGTGCTTGAGCGACCAGCTTCATCGCGCGAAGAGAGTCACCTCCTAAGTTGAAGAAGTTATCATGAGCGCCAACATCGATATCCTGTCCAAGGACTTGATTCCATAACTGGGCAAGTTTCTTTTCCGTTGGAGTTGAGGGTTCTTTTCTGGGAACCGTCGCTGCGGCGAACCCGGCGATGTCTTTCCTACTAAGCGCATGTCCCAATTCTCGGAGGCGTTTCCGATCTGTCTTCGCCGAAACTAACAAGGGCATGGTCTGTAGAGGAATATAGGCCGCCGGTACCATATATATCGGTAAATGTTCCGATATGGCCTTATTCATCCCCGTGAGAGAGTCTGCTACTTGGAGTGATAATGATCCTAGAAGAGGTTCAGATTCAGGTACAAGACCTGCTCGCTCTGCTATGAATGCAACTAATGTCGGTTCACCAGCAGGTCCGCCAGGCCTAATTACCTCGGCAGCGACACGAGTACCTGGTGGTAGTTTATCTCGCATATTGTACTCGATCTCTGCGAGTTCGATTCGCTGCCCACGTAATTTCACCTGCTGGTCGCCTCGACCAACGAAAATAATTGTCCCATCCGGATCGTATCTTACCAAGTCACCGGTCTTATATAGTCGTCCACTACGGCCTGCATGCTGTGAACTCCCGGCTAAAAGCCATTTCGGGTCGCTAATGAACGCAATAGCTGTTCTCTCGGCATCATTCAAGTAACCTGGTCCTACTATAGGACCTTCAACCAGAAGCTCGCCAACTGCGCCTACAGGCATGAGTCGGTGGTGATTAGAAGGATCAACAATCCACAGTGTTCCCCAACTCCCCTACCGATGCTGACATGTGCCTTTTGGCTTTCTGCACCCACATCGCCATTAACAGCGCAACCTACGGTACACTCCGAAGGGCCGTACGCATTGATCACTTTCGTATTTCGACTCCAAGTGGCTGCGTCGCCTGCGGATATAGCCTCTCCTCCTAACCCGAGAACTTCAAGCGAAGGTATGATATCGGAGTCTAAGACGCGGGCAACTGAGGGCGTCATATGAGCCATGTTGACGTCCATCTTCCGTATGGCGCCGCTGAGGTCGTTGACTCGATCGGCATCTGAGGGAATACATAGGCAACCCCCTACCGATAATGTGCATAGCATGCAATCAATGCAGACGTCAAAAGCATACGACGCAAAGTCAAGGACTCGCGAATGTGCGCGATATCCGACTATTTCCGCGCGTGGTATCGCGCCGCTAGAATAGTTTTCGTGCGTTATAATAACCCCCTTCGGCTTTCCCGTGCTGCCTGACGTGAATTGTATGTAAAGATTCGCGCTCGCTGGCACAGAAGGTAAACTTGGAGATGTGTTATAGCTGCTAAACTGTTCGCTAGAGAGGGTGATATGAGTTGCGTTTGGTGCAATGCGATGACCGAGACTCTCTTGTAGCTTCGATGTTATTATAGTAGAAGCACCCGTTTGCTCGACGATGGTGCGTAGTCGGCCTTCGGGCTGGCTCGGATCCATAAGCGCAAACGTCGCGCCTGATTTCATGACAGCAAGAACAGCTACGACGGTCCATTTCGATTTCTCGAAACATAACGGAACGATCGATCCTATCTTGACACCTACTGATACGAGATGAGCTGCTAACTGATCCGATCTCGAGCTAACATCTTGGTATGTGAATGCGCCATCCCACGAGTTAACAGCTGGCCGGTTAGGATCTTCCTTTGCTTGCTTTTCCACCAACTCATGCATGCAGATTTCTAAGGTAGGGGGAACTGGCGTATTCCAGCTCCATATCTGTTCCAACTGCTCTGGGGTTAAGCCGTCTTCTTCGAGATCTGTTGGTGGAGTTGTAAGATGACCACTCGAGATACCCTCGTCAGTGTAGACAGAGTCCACACATGAGTTATCTACATCCTTCTGGTCCATTGTTGAATTTGCGATAGCGACAAAGGCGATGCCGATGACGATGACAATAGCAGTGACGACTGCTTCCGAATCGATAACCAGGACTTACAGATCAATATACAATTTTTTCATCGGCTAGAATATGAAGCGCTGGTATATTCGATAAACGAGTGGACCTTGGGGATTTGTCAAGTGCCGTACAGGATGTAGAGTATTAAGTCTGGTGATCCTGAATTCGAAAAATTTCAGAGACGAAATGCCTAGAAGGCCAAGTGCCTAAGTAGGGAAAAGGCCGCAACAGGCACATGATAGTTTTCATACCTGTCTCCATTCTTGCCGACAACGGCAAGTTGATTCTTGTATTTCTTGTATGATTTACTAACGCTGATACGAGAGAATAGTCACTAATGGAGCTGAATTGGAAGCAACTTTCCTTTTCTGCATTAGAGGCTATTTATGGAGGCCGTTAGAACCGAACCAAGATGACACCAGCGCACATCTTCTCCACAAGGGACGGATCAGATAACTTTAAACGGATCAGATAAAATCATAGTAATTTCAGAAACCTGGTTAGAGGGTAGTAAGACTTGGAAGGGTCCATAAAGGGTCTAGAGAAGGGTGTGTAGAAAAGGGTGGAGAGTCTTGGCTACATATATCTGCTAATGTATATACATATAATCGCTATTGCAATGGTATAAGTATAAGTTACCAAAGATTTGATGATGTGTGGTATGTTCTTGGTGGTATGTTTTGTTAAAGCGAATCAACAATATCCCCGCACAAGCCTATAAGTCATTATAATTCTTGTGTTTGAAAGATCTACATTTGCCACTAAGCTCTCCTACGTATTCACCTCCGGTCGGTTATATATTACCTATAGGCGCCTACTTACCTACCTAAGGTTAGGTACATTACCCAAGTACGTGGGTGTGCGTTAATTTCAGAAAAGTCACTAAACCCCACGCATTTACAAATTATGACATACAAATAATCATGTGGGATTGCATGTTTCTTATGTATAGAATATCTACATGTAGGTATTCTATTATATGTAGGTACATGTAGTAATATGCACCCTTTATAACGTACCTCATAACCTGCTTCATATACCCTAAAGTCTTAGATCTTTGGCGAATCAGCTTGTGATAACCACATCTGGACCTTTTGGTAACAACCAGGATCGCCACATAGCTCGATGCATCAACCTGCGTTAGCGGATAAAAAGTTTTACATCAACTGGCTAGTAAAGCATGGAATATGTATATGTATGTATGTACTATGTAAGGGGATTGGGATGGATGGAATAGTTGGGACGGGGGTGAGTTGCATGGTACCTGATGTTCCTAGAATACAATGGAGTGGCATTCAAGAACCAATGATTTTGTCCGACTTCGGACATTTTACCTACGAAAAGAGTTATTGTAATTGACCTTATGAAGTCCCGCTTAAACACTAAGAACGTGAAGCCGTGATGGAATAGGTTTATTGTACTTATACAGAATAATCCGGTGTTCTTTATAGCGAAGCATATTAAACTTCTAGAACATCTTTAAAAGCAATTATTTACCCTTAAATAGAGGAGATAGGTCATGCAGGTACCCATACCCATACTTACGCGTAAATGGGCCTTTAATTTATAGAATGCACGTAGATGATGAGTTATGCACATAATGCATTAACATTCTAATTGTTTATAGTAATTAACTAGCGAGTGGTCGTATAAGTAGTACTCTGTACGTAATTGAGCGATTCGCGGTTAAGTATCTCCTTCAAAATATTCTCGGATCCCCGATATATCCTTCGTCTTCGGTGAACAACTGCGACTAGCTAAATCGGCTTTAGCATATCGAATTCGCCCATATTATCACTCATATCTAGCAAAATAAACACTTCATATTTGGTAACACTTCATTATAAGAATATTATAACCCAGAAAAGTATCGTCACTCAGCCACTCGTAATCTTTACGTCCATGTCTTCGTCTCGGAATATAAAGCATCTATTTTTTTAAACTGTATGATATTTAGCTAGACGTCTGCGCCCTCGGAAGGATTACCTTCCGGCAAACCCAATATCATCGCCGATGACTCTACTGACTGACCGAAAGGAATGTCCTCAAAGTGTGTTAGGATGCAGAGAAAAAGAATCTGTAACCTCAGTTAGAGAAGTGTATTTGCTGTATAGGATTAAGAATAGATAGCATAGCCATCTACGCGATGGAGGCTATCGCCCTTGGAGACCACAGCCATAAAGCGGACCTCGCAAGCATAGTAGGCGGTACAAATATTGCAGCCAGCCAATTACCAGCCAGTAGAGTAGATATGATGGATGTGGTCAACGCGAATGAAAGCCTATTATTGTAGCCGCGGTCCCAGGAGCGTTTCGAAATCGGTTTCATGCGGGATTCATTGTCAACTACAGTAATCTTCATTATTCCCGTTTCAGTGCCTTCGTACGAAGACCTTGGTTGTAGTATTGTCAATCCTTTAACTTCATTATATGACTTATTGTAGTTGTAAATGCTCTTTTCAAAATGTACGGGTATGTACGAGTAACCATGCCAGCCAGGCCCGATGAATTCCCTGGCCTTCAGTAAATTCCCCAAGTCTACTGTATCCTGACACATGCCTCTTGGAATCAAAAATCTCACATGATATGATATATACAGTTCATGGCCATAGCTCACATGCAAGGAAATAGTATACATATAGTTACATGCAAGAGGCACATCTATACGTGCTGTGCAAACCCAAGAGTGTTGTTTCCGCCGTTGAAGGCGACAAAGTTGCTCTTGAAGAAGATATCGCCGTAGATCTGGAGACCTGCCGGCGAAGCTTGTAGACCACCGAAACAAGCTATTACGCATTAGTATGACAACTTCTTAGTGAGACTGTAGTGAACTTACTCTGATCATCGACTTGAGCAAAGTTGATGTCGGTACCTTTGACGGTAGCCATGGTGCCACCCACATCTAGCTGGAGATCGGGTAGTTGTGCATCACAAGGAAACGTAAAGCCACCTTGCTGTTGGTCATCTACGGCGCCATCAACTTGCGCATAGTAGGCCTGTGCCACAGCAGGATCGGCCAAAAGGAGAGTGGTACCGGTGTCGGCAATCGCCTGTGCGCCGGCCGTAGAAGTTTGGGGATCTCCACCATCGATTGCGAATTTCTCGCTTGTGAACTGCCAGAAACCATCTGTTGTATTGACGGGAACCCATGTCATGTCACCTGTGAACTTGCTCGTATCCACACGCCCAAACTCGTATGCGCCAGCTGCTTGCGCGCGGAGATCGGCAGTGAAGAGAGGCTCAGCGAGTGACGACTTGACATTGTCGAAGAACGTCTTCTGCTGAGCTGGCTGGACAGTGTTAAGTTGACTGAATGCGAGACCGAGTAGACCCTACCGATATGTTGTTGTTGGTATCCTCGACAAAAGATCGGGAGACAGCAGTGGCCAACTCTACTGCTTGCTTGGTAACGGTAGCACCGCCAATGTCCACAGTATCGGTGCCGACGTTGCCCGCAGCACCCGACCGTCACCGTAAGAAATTTGGAACGAGGCACCTTGCATGAGAGCAAATGTCTTGGATTGATTTGGGTCATAGATAGTGTGGCCCTGAGTCGCAGTTGCGCTAAGTTGACTGTTTGAAAACCCATAGATCGGACGAGCCGAGTCGAAATCGAGGTTTAAAGTTTGTCACCAATGGTGACAGGAGACAAATACTCAACATCGTAGCCTCAGGGGTTGCCGTCACAAGACCGGTTCCGTTAGCAGCGGACCCGGCAGCCTGGCCCCTGCGGCTGCACCTCCATTCTGACCCTTTTGACGGTGACCTCTTCCTTTCCTCTCTTAGGTTCTCTCTTTGAGATCATCTCAGTCTTTGCTGAGCAGCGCCTGCAACGGATGCCGGTATAGGCATCCATATTTCCGGAGAGTTTTCAACAGAGCTCGAGGTCCATTACGGCCGGTATAATTCGGGTTCGGAACTCGTTCAACCTTGTAAACACCTCGTTTTTGGATTCCAACGGGGAAGAGAACCCAAGGCCAAGAGCCCAAAGAGGAGCAAACAACTTCGCGAAAGACTGCATCTTTTTATAATCGAAATGAAGTGAAAGAAGGATGACGTAAAAAATATATATATACGTATCACCACACCAGTGGATTAAATGAAAGAAGAGACTCGGAAAAGACCTGGTATTAGGTTGACAGTTGGACCAGGAAGAATCGGTTAAGAAAGCGGAAGAATTTACAAAGAAGGGTAATGAAGCCAAAGAGCTTCAAGGAGTAAGAAAAGATTGAAAAGAAACAAAAAATAGCAGCTGCTGAATAGAAGTTGTCTCAGACAACAACGAACTTCATGGGAGTTGAAGTATAGGAAAGAGGGTAAACGAGAGCCAAGAGCTCTGCTTTTGAAGTAAAGACGAAAGCCAAGATAAACGGAAAGGGGCGTTGTGGGGATTAACCCCGGTCGACCATCATTCGATCTGCATGGAAGTCAGAAACAAGCTCTAGCCAAGCTAGCCAAGGTCGATCCTAGATATGATGCATATTTTGTCTCGAGTGCCAGATGGACGGCGGAGTTATTGACTGGAATAGGATCTGCGTCGTCATGCTCTCCATCGCCAGTCGAAACGAGGTCCACTAGGACTATTCCCAGACAGATGGTGTGGCATAACCAGTGGGGGCTGTTAAGTGACAAATAGGTAAATTCGTAATACGAAGCTTGACTGGTTGAAAGGTAGAAGTATCTTAGTGGACATGGAACCCCGGAAACTAATGCAGGGGTTTCGAGCCCCGTAACGGTTCCTAGAGATTTGCGCTTTGATAATGCCTGGCCCTCCATATGGACCCTACCTAGGTACTATTTGCCTGTCTACCGACAAAGCCTATGGTACATAGGAGCCTCCAAAGGTTGCCGAATAAGCGAGCCATCATACCAGCCGTAGCCAATTCGATATAGCCGATCCTGGCTAATGCGGAAGTATTATTGTAATACGGCCATAAGTGAATAGACAGAAATGATGATGGGTTGAGTCCAAGTTGAATCCAAGTTGAAGACCTAGAGGCTCGGGTTAACGGTTACAAAGCCCTAAAAATAACGTATTATAATATTATAAGCAACGTTGGAAAACCATTATGATGGCTTTCTCTATAATCAACTAAGAGATCAAGATATCAATTATGAGTTATATGAGTTATACCTAGATCATGACATAGGTATGTATGTATTGAGCAAAGATGAACAAAGGACCAACAAGGGTTACAAATACCCCGGATAAAGACCAGACAAAAAGGACGGGGCATCTCCTGGTCTCGAATCTTTGAGTGACCAATCGTAGAGCCTTGAACGGAGATTTCAGAGTTTTCAAGAACGACGCAGGGTTCAACCCAGGTACGAGATCAGAGAGTACCTAGATAATAAATGAGAATACGATTGTATTTTAAAAAAAGGGTCAACTTGAAAGGTGGAAGAACTTTTCGTTCTAATATATCGACGCTAGAAGAAGCTTGTTTATGATAAGATTTCTTCTCGTCTCGAGTTACGGGAGAGAGAAGTTGAGATGAAAGTTCCAAGTTCTTGGGGTGATTGATTAATAAATGTTATACCCTTTTATCGATAATTATCTTGATATGCTTATCGGTTAGGTTAGTCGCTTACATATTACACAGTAAGAGATACATACAAATCAACGTAGCTTGAGATGGAATTAAAGTACTAGTACCTGAGTCAATATTAAATGTACCAAAAAAAAAAAGAAAAAAGAAAAAGAAAAAAAAAAGAAAAGAAAAGCATCAAGCCACATTAAACACGTGATACCTACCAGCCACCAATTATTCTGTTTCCATAACCGTTTGAAACTGGCAAAAAGTCTCAACTTTCCCAACCTCACATTTCCCACCGTATTAGTCTGTTTCCTCTCCCCCCGTTCCAACCCCGGAAGAGCTTCAGCGATAAGCAACCATCGCATCTGGGTTCCCCCCCCCGTAGTAGCGATAACAGCTTTTCTGTCTAATCGGAACAGCTCATCCCATAATCGCTACGGCATCCTGCAGACGATCGTCATCGCTGTCGTTATCGTTAGTCAGAAACTGCCATCATCATGTCCGACGACGATATTGAAATCACTGCGTCGCGAAGCTCGCGTCGCAATGCCGACAGACGAACCCCGCGATTCAGTTGGAACTTAGCTTACGAGGAGACCTTCTTCAGATCGTTATGCGAGTCTATGCAGATGGGATATAAAGAGAATCATAGTTTCAAGTCGGGTGCTTGGGAACGCGCTGCCATCGCTTTACGCGACAAGCATGGAGCTTATCCTGAGAAGAGTCACCTCATCAATAAGGCCGACAACGCGCGCAAGAAGTTCCGCATGTGGAGAGGATTAAGAGAGGATCCCGAATTTTTATATAACCCCACTACTAGAATGGTTACAGCAAGTGAAGAGGCATGGAGAAGACACTTCGAGGTAGGTAAAGAGAAAAAAAATAAATAGATAGATATACGGATGGTTTAATAATACTAACTGACTATGATTTATAGAAAGAACCGTTATCAAAAGCATTAAGGGGTCGTCCTTTTGATCATGAAGAATATATGGAGATTCTATTCCCCGATGTTGTCGGTTCCGGAGGTGCACCGAAACGTATTATGAAGCCGAGACGGAGAAACCCCGACGGTAGTTTAGGTAGTTTACCAGGTAGACCGAGCACAGCAGATCAAACCGTCATCGATCCCTCCCTCGACTCGAATATATACACTCAGAGTCCGGTCCAAAACCAAACTCAGCAAACCCAACCTATAAGCCAACCGGTGCCGACTCCTTCTGTTCCTCAGCCTATGCAGAGACCTTCATCAACAACCATCCCTCCTCGAACATCCATAACCGCAAATCCAAGTGCTCTTACGCCACCCGATGAGCACGTCCCGAATACCCAAGCGCAAAAACGGCCGAATCCTAACCCGAACCCAAACCCTAATTATCCAGAGAAGCGTCGCGGTAGACCCTCGCGCTTTTCTTCCAACTTCTATACCCAGCAGTCCACTAATACGCCATCCTCTTCTTCCGCCGCTCCTCGCGCTACTAGTCCCTCTGCGCCGCTTGGACTTCATTCGTCCTTTACCTCTACCAACCTCGTCGAAGACGGCATCTTATCTCTAGCTGAGGCCCTCAAGACCCGTAGCCCGCCTAAATGGTCAGAACAGGCGGTTGAGATCTTTTTCCGCGAATTTGCAGAAGAGGATGCCGACTTGCAGCTAAAAATCGCCGAGAAAGCTCTCACCGACGAGAATAAAGCGATGGTATTCGTCAAGATGACACCGGTGTTGCGGCGACATTGGGTAGGCAGACTTAGAGAAGTCCACATGCGAAATCTAGGTGGCGGACTTGGCCTAGGAGGACGAGTCGGAGAGGAGGCTACTTAAAAGTTATCTATGCTCATGGGAAGCGTTATCGAATCTGGTCTGGCTTTTAGGCGGAGTTCGGCGCACGGGCGTTGTTCAATAGCAAGTCGAAAGCGGCGGAAGGTGTATAGCCAAGGGCTAAAACTGTGCATGAAAAAGCCTTGGAAGGTTCAATATCGCCCAAGCGGAAGATCTCACGACTTTGTAGTTGAGATTAATTGGCAGCCCATATCAGCGCCAATTTACCTCCGGCGGAAAAAGCGGCTCATTGCCGCTCAGTTTCGCAACTATGTTATGATCTGAGCACGTATATACCTCTTATACTGCTTTACGAAACTTTAATGGTATTATTTAAAAGGGGCATTGTTTTCTCCTTAAGCCAAAGCTGGCTCTTTCTCTCCTGTTAACTTCATTCTTTATATGGGTTTAAAACGAGATTGACAGGTTTGACGAAGATCATGGAACTTCCATCGTCATCATATATATTTATTATATCCCGATGCTGAATTCATTGGTGGAACTACTGGCATACCAGTACCATGTCGCGAGTATTACGCTCTATGCTTCTATACTTTTTGATTCCCATGTACCAATAGGCGATTCCAGACCAGCTACTACAGGCATGGTTCTAGTTAGGTACTATTTTATTAGGGAAGGCGCCTATTACCGCAATAAGCTCACAGGTCTTGTTCTTAGGGCTTATAAAGCCTTCGGAATTAATTATTTCTATTCAACTATAGGCCTCTAATCATGAAGGTTTTCAGGGGAGAAAGGGGGTTATGACCTCCAAGTTTGATGATGTTTAACAAGGAACCTAACAAAACTAAGGACAGATTAGGTGCTCTTTAGGTCTACTATTTAGACGATACCCTTCGATCTTACTAAGTCTACTAATGTCTTCTATGGTGTCACAACCTGTAAAAGGTTATGATATGAGATATGTGCATATTATGTTCAAACACGATACACTTATCAAGGGCAGTGTCCAAACTCCCCGATATAGTAGGCGAGAAATTGGTAACAGCCACAATTGCGCAGTTGAGACTTTTAAAGCTATTAGCCAATAAGTAATTGATCTCCAGAAGGTGCCCTTACAACTCACTTCGACGGCATGAACTCATCTGGTGCTGATTTAAGCTGTAACTGTATGTAACTGTATGAATTAAGAAGTACACAATACATTCCATACTACCACACAATTCCGTAGAATATCATGTAGCAAGGCCGTTTTAAGAAGACTAAGCCTTTAGTGCTGGTGATATAGGGAGCAACGATCCCTGTCGGGAGACCCTTTTCACTGCCGGTAAATGGTGAACTTCATCAATATACTCCTATAACTAGTCTAGTACGTGTGTCGTTCAAAGTTTTTTAAGGTCCTGTTGAAATAAGTAGTCAAGAGACTACTCTCAGGTACAGTACATGGTATCTTGGCATGGGATGTATATAAGAAGGACCTCCCTCCTCACTCATACAGTTAGTAGACTAAGTCAATATACAACTACAGCTCATATACCGTATCTTTCAGCAGGTCCAAGGTTGGAAGTTCGTGGCAGAATTTAACCCTTCGTCGAGTTACAATGTACCATCGAGTCCTGTGCTGTTAATAAGGTCGCTCTCCTTCTCAAAGCGTGTTCTAGGATATATTTGCTCTTGAGGTAACTAGTCTGACTCCAGCTCCGGAAAAATAATTTAGGTATCTCTTTTGACCTGGCCACTGGTCTGCCCAGTCCTGTTTCTATTCCGCACAATCTCGTTTCTTTCACACTCCCTTTACCCCTGATATCTAAATATTAGTAAAAAAGGAAAATGCCAGCCCGTATAGTGGAGTTGCATCTGAATTTGAAGCCACACATGATACCCTCTCGCAGATAACGCTCGGAGTCCAACGCTCTCGAGCCTACCATTATGCCTCGTCAGCAGTGCTACTAAACGTATACAGTTCGAGGGCGTTACACAAAGGTCAGCTTTGAAAGGCTAGTTGGCTTGTTGGGAATACAAACGTAGCTGATGCTCATCCAGCATATCATATTAAAAGGGCGACTAGCTATAAGACGACGAAGCACATCTTCGATACTATAAAAAACGCGAAGCACCCTAGGTATGAATAGGCGGTGAATAAATCTGTTAAGACTAAGATTATAGAGGCGGAAAGGCCGCTGTGGGCCGTGATACACTTGAGCTGGGACGTAAGCTTAGTTCTCCTGTCGCGAGTCTATGATTCATGGTTCGATTCCCAAGTAGGTAACTAAGAAGCAAGATGCTATTTTAGTAGAGTGCGGCGTATATGATATATATCTATACGGGGCTATTGCTGAACTTGCTAATATTAGGTACTTGATGACATATAATATCAATCATCCAGCTCGTGGTCCAGTACATTTTAATCTAGAGCCTTCCCAGTGCTTAACGTATATCGTGATCCTAAGCCTAATAATCAGCTTTAAGTGTTAAGTTGTGTGAAAGGTCGGTTTCTCATGGCATAGTTATGGGCTGTAGTTCGGTTAATGGACACTCTAAGTAACGTATCCTCCGGTTCTGGAGCGCTTATCATCGCATTACTCGGTCAAGTTGTGTATATCAACAGCGATTATAGCCCGGTTAGACGGTGAATGATTGGTAGTTTTGTATATCGTAGCCCTTTCCTTATGTTGATTGGCAGACTATTATTGTAGCAGTCTGTTCACGAGTTCTCTAATGACTGTCCTGAATACCAAGGTAGGCTTTCTTTGCATTATTTCTTATTTAATAATGACCGACGATATCCATCAAGGTAAACCAAAAGGGAATGTTAGTAATTAATATCCGAGGAAGAATTATGATACCGTTATCTGATGGCATCTAGGGGATTTATTAACCCAGCGAAACAACTTAAACCGTGTAGTCTATCGTACAGTTCGTGGCCTTCAATGCAACCTATACTTAGCCGCTGACCTTAATAAGATCTTACTGATGTAACACAACGAATCGAGTCATTGGCTTGTTACACAGTGGCGTATAATATAATAAATATGTTTGGATGCGATATTGTGTTGCGTTCTTGGCTAAACAGTCGGAATCAGATGGTCGTGTTTAACTGTTGTGTTACCACATTTATTGACTCCGTATTACTGCCGCCGCTCAATACCATAGTGGCACATTGCGCGAGTGACACTCAAAACGGAATAGGGGGAGCGAATAAGATGTCATCTACGAGATTCTAATAATGGTATGATAGAAGCATGTGGACTATTAAGTTCGAACCATTTTTTTTTTTTTTTAAAAAAAAAAAAAAAAAGAAGAACGCATCCTGATTAATCCACCTGTACAGCTCATTTTTGGGTGAGTTGTCTACCTAACCTAACCTAATGTGAATATCGTTTGGGTGGTGTCGGTAGGCAAACCTGTATTTAGAAATATCACGCTGACGCTTTGTATCCACTAGAGATTAATCGACATGAAATTTGACCGTTTCTAGTCTGACCTCGTTTAGAATAAGTCCAACAAATAAGGATTGGGGATACGCCTAGCTGCCCTATCAAGGGTAATAAAACAGTGGTTCTGCTGGCCTTTCTTATGCGTCTTCCACCCGAACCGCTCCACCTCGCCCGGGGTAAACTGCCAATACCTTAAAGGAGGACGGCGTACTATTTTGAATGGCAGCTCCTCGTGAGAATTAAGATTTTGCATGTTAGGAGCGTGCGTCTTTATAGGCAATAAAGGTGGTAACTCCAGCGTAAAGTTTTTCAACACCTCGAGATCTTTCAGTTGTGCAGCGACGCCTTGCTCGGGAATCTTTCGCCACGGGCCATGATCGTAAATGTCTAAGGATATGCGCAGACTGTGTAGACATGAGATACGTCCTAGAGCTTCCCATAGCTCTCGAACTCTGCTCTTAGACCCATCGACGATGAACGGGGCGTACTCATGAAAGGGAAGACTGAGTGATAAGTCCAGGTGGCGGATACTTGTGATATATGGTGAAGGGTTGTAGGCGAAAAACCTATGTGCCGAGAAAAAGTCATTGAATAAGAACTGGTGCGATTCGAGTATCGATTCCATAACCTCGGGAAACCTATACGCTCAGCAGGTTAGTTTAATAATAGCGAGTCTGACTGTAGCTGGAGACATGACATGAGAGTAAGCACTGGCAGGCTTTGTTGGAGACTTACATTCGTTTACAAACGAGCATCATGGACATGAAGTTTGTACCATCTACGGACTTTTGTGTACCGTATTGGACTCTTTCCTCACATCTCCAGTGACGGTTACCCCAAGTCGACGCCAGCCTCTTTTGCCACATTAATAAGTTTCCTTTGCCCGAGTTATGGGCTATGTCCACTGAAACAAATTATTAGTATTAACAATAACTAGTAAAAAATAGCTTTTGCGTCCTTATAAGGCGTAGGGATATGGACGTTATAGATGAAAGTATGAAATAAACATACTATTCTTCTGGATGAGATCTGGATCCTCGTCATCTTTATACATGACGCATCTCATGTTGACCCAATGGCCGTCCACAAAGTGAATATGTCTTCCACGCAGCGTATGATATTTGTGATCGTAAGGTTCACACCAGACGAATTCATATATCATCCGCCTGATCTCAATAGGTAGGTTACGGAAGAACGGGCTAGCGAGTTGAAGATCAGGTCCGGGTCCATTATTATCTTCGATTGTTAAGGTCGACGTGTTCTTTAGTTTCTTATGTTCGTATTCCGAACATGGGTTGCTTAATCTTCTTCTTCTCTTTAAGCCTGAGCGGAAGAAAGACTTGACTTTCAACTGGATCGTACCAACAGCCATCTTGGTTATGTGTCACACAAATCCTAATGTGAGATGAGGATAATGAAAGCGAATTACACCGGTGTATAAAGAAGGTAGGGCACACGGGGCAGTCTAAATACTTTTACGTATAGAATAGGCAGGGAGGCAGGGAGTACAACCAAAGGCAAGCAGTCATTATCGACATGCACCAGGGAGGCGTCTATCATCGCTCCTCAGTTGTGTTGAGACTAATACACAGGCTGGCACATGTTATGGTCCATGTCACCACCTAGACGAGAATGACATGTCTTACAGCATGATAACATCAAATAGACTAAGCCACCAGTAAGAAATTCAGACTTCGCCATCGTGACGAAGCTGGCTTTAAAGCTCAAGATGCATTCGTGGACAGTCATGCCGGAGCTGTGCTTCATCAAGGTTGTCTCGTTAAAGTAATGGGGAATTTCCACCGCCTTGTCTTGATTGGTCGTTTGGATACTTTATACAAGTTGTACAGCGTACGCCTACGAAAGTTGTTGCAGTCGTGTGCCATTAGGATGGTAACCAATCAGCATGAAAGTTATACCCGGTTCGAGTTAATAACGGCCAATAAGGAGTAAGAGTTCTTCTAGGATCGCTTAATCTTAACGGTAAGGCTAAGTATCAGGGTACGTGGCCACGTTAACGACCGTGCGTAGAGAGTAGCAACAGAGAGATGCCGGCCGGGTTCCCCGATCCAAAAACTATTATTTTTACATTCTCACACATCATCGCCTGTGATCAAGTTGAAGAGTCAACCATCTTGAGTCGGTTATATCCTGATCACAGGAATAGTCCTATCGCCCGATGTTATTGGGGATCCTGAAGGATGACTCTTTTCTGACCTTCCAGGTGATCTCACGCACTGTACATTGCGTGGCTGTGGTCGACGAATCGAATATGATAATGGTGATGGATTCGAGACCCCTCAGGCCACACACCTCCTGAAGAAAAAAAAAGGAGGGTACGATATATCTCAACACTAGGTAATACCAATACTAATTGGACACCTAGACAGGTTTCAAGGGTTCTGACTGATGGAACACGCATCAACCTATGTCTTGTCTTTTCAATATTATTTACCCCACGTTCTTTTTTTTTTTCTCCTTTTAGTTTGGCCAACATATTTTGAAGGAGCACAAGCCAAGCCATCGTCACACCATTTTACATATCTTTCAACGCTATTCCCAACTTAAGCTCCCATGAGGTTTTACTATTCAGCCTATCAACCCCGTCTCCTCTCCCCGGTCATACATAGCAGCACATTTTTATTTTTTTCAGTTATTCAAAATATACCTCGTACTGCCGAATACAAAATGTTTCATATCGGGTAACGATAGAGTTAATATGGGAAGATACTGCGCCGTCATTCGTCAACGAAAAGCATTGGGGAGATATTTAACCCGACCTATCTTAAACAGTATCTCGGCTGCGGACATCATAGAACAGATGGCCCTGCAAGCTACCCTGATTAACTGAGTTACAGTACGTGCGTATTCGATGCGATGCAATGCAATGCACGCCCGTCAGTTCCGAACAGCTGACGAACCATCAAACTCTGACTTTTGGTAGACCGTAGACATGTCGCCCAAGGATTCGTAGAGATACCTGTATTATTATTATCATTATCTCTATCCCCCCCCGGGCGGAATAATGTGCTGGATCGTATTAACCAGCTAGTTCCCTTTCCCACAATAGATTTGTCAGTTCTGTTAATACCTACCAATGGTAGTATGCAGGTTACTATATTCTATAAGTTCTACACGATTCAGTACTGAAGATTATCCAAGTGGTCGGTAACCCATATGAACTACTGTCATAACTTTATCTCGTCAGCCGATAGGTACGATCAAAAAATTAGAGTTAGTGAGCAGAGCTAACATTGATGTGCGTCGTGGCCTTGGATCCGTTGGTGGTGTTGTCCTCACCCAGTAAGCGGTGTCTTTGGGGGTTCATTATTTACATTACCTATCATTGGCGATGCTTATGATTCGGTTTAGTATGGTAGGTAAGCTGTATAATTCCCATTATATGAGAGTAAGATCAATTATCCTACTGAATACCCGTGGATCTACTCACTTGTTCAGCCGGGGAAAATCCACTACTCATAACTCATCGAATTAGAATCCGAAATTTGATCAATCTTTAGATTTTTCTTTAACGGGTGGCGCGAGCGTGGGAGGACCAACTTATGGAGGGTCGTCAGCACTAATGCGCGAGATCGACTGGGGAAATCATGGCGAAATCTTTTGGTATATGTACTCGATACCGCTCGATACCTAAGACTTTATCTATGAACCATGTTACGTGCTTAATGCTGTGGAATCGAAAAGATCCGTTGTTTCGCCTCTTCTATCTGATACAAATGATCGAATTTAACGAAGTATGACATATTAAGGAGAAACTGAGCGACCACACTTTGGTATGTATCTTTCTAATTCTAGATTAGATGTTATTTCTTCATCAAAGATATCAAAGATGCTGAAATCTAACTGACTTAGGTTAGAATAAGCAATTCTACTTTCAACTATTCCTAATATACTTCTCAGCCAGCCACGTACGCCATCATAGGTCGATAACTGCACTATCCATGGATGCGGGTTCATCTTACTTACACACACGTGGGTGCCCCCATGTTTCCTGTCATCTACCCCGTGGAGAGGACTAACCTAGCTCTGCAAATAATTGCCGCAAAGCGTGGGCGTCGTAGATATCTGTTCCGTCTATCTAGGTAGTTTACCTCCCTCTTCGGTGAATTAGGCTGTGCATAGAAGAAGAAGTAAAATGTGTTCGCCACTCGTTCGGTAGGAAAACCAATAGGAATCAAACCGTATCTCATGGAATCTATTCTTTAGCTGCAAGTACCTAATAGTTATGCATAAGATGCAGAAGAAATACGCTGTTGAGCATCATGTCAGATATATCTACACACACCCGACCCCCTCCCCGCGACCCCTCGCGGTAGCCGTTCCGCCTACATGACATATGTAGTCGATACGATGCTTCCCTCTCGTGCGGTCAAATGTCCCCGAGTTTATACCGGGCATAGACCGGCGAAGATCAAGCAACCAAGCACCAATAACGCTGATAGGAGACGACGCCATGCTTCCTGACATATCCGACTGGCAGACGTAGCGAGACATCTTATCGAATTCTGCCATCTAGATGAATACTACGCGGTCATTCTCCGGCGTGACACAATGAAACCGGTCTCGCTGTCTTATTCCCACTTAGTATACTGTAGTAGGAAAAAGAAATATAATCTCCCTGTCTATCTCCGGGTGCGACATTTTCCATATTAGCCAAGATTTACGTTATGCGGCAAACTTGACTTCATGTTGATCCGCTCATTCCTTCTCCTCTCAAGTCCTAGACTTCTGAACTCATTTGTCTCCTGATTTCTCTTCTACCCACCTGTAACCTTATACTTCTCTAGATAGGCGATGTTATCAATTTTCCTCAAATCAACCCTCAAAGATCGGCTATGTCAACTAAGCTAACAAATCTCAACCCCGGGAGATAGCTGGAACGTTCATGCTCTTTATTTTCTTCTTTTTTTTTTTTGTAGCTTCTACTGAATTCACATAACACACTAGCCAGTTAGGCTTCTCCTATTTTTACATCCTTTCCCCTGCCTAAATTTCAATAAAATCACTGCGCCATCTCTGCGTAGATATGCAAGAATAGAAAGACCGAGCCTGAGGAGAATCTTCATCATCAATTCATTAATAAGCTACTTAACCTGTCCAGTAGCTATACACTCGTGTACGCCGTCCTGGTATATACCCATTTGCTCACCAGAGCGCGAATCTAACTCGTCCCTTATCTCCGGGCTGGTAATACTCGATCTAGACATGCATGAACCTAAGTATAGTCAGTTAGCGAACGGTTTATTTTTTATTTTAGGAAGTTGGGGTTTGTATGTTACTCACTTCAGGTCCCCATACTCCTTGATTTTCTAGATATCTGCTCATTCCCCTGATTAGTTCAATCTGCTCCTCTGGTGCCAACCCCGTAATAGCCATCTCCATGACATTTCCAACGTTGACTTTGTGCTGTGCGATGAAAGTTTGGTAGTAGATGAAGGCAAAGAATCCCATAATAAATTGACAGTCCATTCTGTCCGTCATGCCACCGTGGCCAGGGATCGAATCGCCAAAGTCCTTGATCTTAAAGGTCCTCTTGAGTCCCGACGCGAAAAATCCACCAAAAGGTGCGATTAAGGATGCAAAAGTCGCTAAGACGATAGCATGAAACTGCATGGGCTCGGTAGTGAAGGAGAAATTAGTCCTTCCAGGAAGGAAGAATAGATCGGGGAGTGTATACGTATGCGGGAGGAACACTGGGTTAGGATCACACTCGAGACCAGTGAAGATGCTAGATCCAAGATTGTTGACAGGGCAGATAAAATATTTGGAACGCATCAGCACGTTCGTCAGAAGGGCAGCCCAAACAATGGTCATAATCCAAGCACCTAAAAACCCCTCTACCGTCTTCTTGGGAGAAAGCTTGATTAATTGTGTTCGACCAAAAGTAATACCGCAGATATAAGCGAAAATATCATTAGTGATAACCAAAGCTGCGGGCAGGAAAAACCAGATCATGCCCTCGAAGACGTTGTTCATGACGAAGTGAGCCTGTACGACGATCAAGTATAGCGCCATATGCGTCCAAGCAAAATTGGTAAATTGAAACTTCAGGTGTCCGGCCTTGAGGTTGGCGACGAAGAAGACGAAGCCGATGACATATAAGACGAAGCTAATAAAGCGATGATGCGTAGCTAATGGGAGTAGAACCTTGTCGACAAGTACGATATGCTTGAAGTAGTAAATAACGGTCTCGCCGTAGAGGAAATACATGGTGGTGGCAAGCCAATACCAATTCAAGCTCTTGGTAGGACGTAGCTGTCGAGCTCGACTAGGGACACTAGCAATGGCAATGACTTCTTTGAAGGAGACGATTTGTACAGCAGTAATGCAAGCAATGATGTATATGTGGCCTGAAAACAGAGCTGCGAAAAAACCCCCTATCATGACGAATGTCCAGAAGGTTCGCGTAAGGAAATTGGCCTTTTTCTTCTCGTAGTCAGTCATCTGAGGCTGTTCTGGCGCTTTCTATAGACAAGACAATATGTTAGCTCTGAGATCAAGAAGTCTACTATAAAGTCTACTTAGTTATATCAAAACATACTTCGCTAATACCGTCTAGTTGCGGCGAGCTTTTAGTTTTGATAGGAGATCCTGATCCATCTTCGCTTATTTCGCTGAAACTAGATCTCCTACCGTCAGAAGAGACGTGGCCATTGAGGCTTCGACCGGGGAACCGGACACCACGACGTGGTTTTGTCATGGCGGTTATTTCTTATACGCTTGCGCGTATATATATCGGCGTAGATGTAGCGGAAGTCGGCGAAGAGTTTACTAGCTAGTAATGGTCTTGTTTTGCAAACGCGACAACTATTTCGCGAATATCTGTATAGATGAGCTGAGGAGACGGGGAGAGTTTTCGTTGGTCAAGAAACAACAAGATCGACAAGTCGGGGCGAGGCTGTTGAGCTGAAGAAGATACCGCGCCGGTAGAGACTTATAAAGACTATAGAAATTCTGTATTTCTAGTCTTACTAACTACTCTGAATTAACGACTTGGTATAACAAAGGACGAAGCGTTGAGAATCGAAGGGTGGGGGAAATCGGATCGTCGGCTGGTGGACACTTTTAAATCTTGACAGTAAATAAAATAAATAGTGAGAAAAGAGGTTTTCTTTCTTTTTTTCCCTTTTCACGTTGATGTCGGCTACTACGGTCCCTAAAGAAACCCGAGAGTCCGTGTTGTTGAGCGACGATATGTTAGGTACACTTCTTTTTTTTTTCCTTGGTGATTTTTCTTGATTTGGGGCCGCGGTTTTCGATGATTGTAGGTGCTGACGGGCTGAGCTTTAGCACTAGATTTGCCTAACGGTTAGACTTTGCAGGCCTTGCAGACCTTGCAAGGTTGTCGTTTGCCCGTGGCATGCTTGGCTACGTCAAAATGTGGCTCAGTCATCAATAAAGTGTGGCATTGCAGCGTGCCACATTTATCTACATAGGTACATAAAGTACTGAAGCCAAATAAATGTGTCGTCATCCCGTCTATTCGATCAACCTTATCAACTTCACATGTCAACATGTCATTGGATATGTGACCTTTGAATACCAAAACTTGTTGAATGCATATGCAGGTAATATAAACTTTCAACTCCACCACCAATGATTCCCATTCACTATTCTTAAACGATAATCCACAACGAGGTCCATAAAAGAGCCTCAAAATTATATTTTTGTAAATATCTTCGAGGAAGCGAGTAGGGCTGACTACTACGCTAATATCCTTAGACCTTTAATAATAATAATAATCGATACACACATCTTTCTGGACCTTCCAAAGTACATTTCGAACCAACAATACCCTAAGCCAATGTCCTCAATGCTACTAAAAATTAGACTAAGTAGACTGAGTCGTATATATGACGTGATTCTGGTATATTTGCTGGCTAGATAGCTGGCATTGTCCAACTGCGCGATCAAAATTGCTTACCCCCCGAAGAACCGTCCCAACTCCTCACCCTCTTCCGGTGTTACTGCTAGCTCCAATAATTCATGCGCAAGTTCTGCCGTTTCTTCTGATACCAGATCTTCTGAGAAATTTAGTCTTCCTAGACTGAGCAAGTACTTCTGCGATACCCCTGGTGGCTTGGCCAGTTTCCCTGACACATTCACCAAGTCAGCAGTCAAGGGGTTCGTGATGATCGTATGTAATAGTAACACCGAACGTGCTACCAATTTCTGTAGTTCCTTTTGTGAAACATCATCCTCCGAAGATTCGTACCGCATGTCGCCATCGTAGAGCTCGTCTATACACGAGGAGAGCAGGGTGACAAGGCGTGGAATAGCATAGTCATTAATAGCTAATTGCGCAAGTCCGAAGGGGGACCTTGCAAAGGCCGCCAGAGTTCGAAGTACGGCGTTTCGAACACCCCGTTGCTTATACTGGTCAATTTCCCAACGTGGTTTTTCGACAAGTTGATGCGAAATGCGCTCAATCAACGCACCCGCTACAACCTCCAACGTCCTGTCAGGACTGATAGGTCCGATGCTTTCGGGGAACACCGACGTGCATAACCATCGCAGTATGGTCAAATAATCCTCTACTGGATGTTTTTGACTTAGATGTAGGAGGAAATTCCACCTGGACCTGACTCCAGAAATCAATTGCAGGGTCTGTGACACCATCAACGGGCGGTGAAGCTGCACATCCTAGGGCAGTTAAATATAATAAAGAGAGAATCTCAGGGGTCGAAATATTCCTGTTGAAATTTCTCCAGGCTTCCTCTGGCGGATCACCAGGGCCCTCATGATAAAATCTAGGAATTCCTACCTCAAAACACGAGTCCATGGCAACCGGTAGAAGAGAGGGTGCAATATACGGAGAAACAGCAACGGTATATAGCTGTACCGTCAAATATCAAAGACACCAGCTCCATTATAGGCTCCAACTATAAAGTGGTCAGTCGATGCTCCTTGGGTTAAGAAATTGGATACCCACAACACCCTCCTTGTGACAGCTACGCCACAGTTGAATAACTTGCTCGCAGAATTCTATCGGTAGGCGCATAGGATCGTGAGGGTCTCCGATGACAGCCAGTTTTTGAAAGAGGGTAGAAGCAAGGCTTTCCGTAGGTCTCGACGGAAGCCGGTAATTAGCTAGGGACTCGAAAGCTAGTGGGCCACCACGTTTAGAACTATGATTAAGTATCACTTTCATATACTGCTGGCCATTAGTATTCTGTAGATAATATATTGATTATTTATGAGGTTCCGGAGACGACATACATCGAAGGAAGCAGCTCTAGGTAGAGCATCTACGTGTGTAAATTGTGCGTTACTAGTATCGTTCACACCAGCATGATCCAGCATGATTGCATCTTCCGAGTGGGTTTCTAGTGCTGCGATAGGACTATCGGCAGCAAGTCGTTTCCTCTTTCCTTTGGTAGGAGTTCTCGTTAGTCTTGCAGGCGGTTCTACCATAGCGCCGGCTACAGCACCGGTATTCCTACCACGCCGTCCCTTGCTCGGGCTACCAGCCATCTCTACATCTTCAAATCCATCCGCAATACCCCACGATTTGGCAGCGGCATTCTTCTTAGGCGTTGCGGGTCCATCTTTACGCCTGGCACGATCTAGCTCGTCTTTGAGATCTCGCCTTGTAAATTCAAGTTCTGTAGAAGCGGCCTGTTGTGCCGCCTTGGCAGCTTCAAGAGCTCTTTCGTGCTTTGATACCTGCTCGGTTGCCTGCTTCTTAAGTGCCTGAAGCTCGCGCTCGTGATCTTCGCGTGTCTTCTCCAACCGTTTCCGGACAATGCCTATCTCTCCATCTTTGGTTGTAAGCCTCGTTTTTAGGTCTAGTATCTGGGCTTGTAAGGCGGATATTTCGTGATTGGTTGGCACATTAGGCCTTTGAGCTTGCGAGGCTTGGTATCTCGGAGGAATAGAAGGAGCCGGTCGGGGTAAAGGAGGCGGTGGACGAATTTGGCTATATGATGGAGCTGGGGCGCGAGAAAAGGTTGCTGAGGTTGACGGGATGTAGTAGGAGCTGGTAGGGGATTTCGAGGGGTTGAATTAATAGGCTGAGGGCGGAAGTGATTAGTAGGAATAGGTACCGGACCACCCCATTGTTGTTGATATTGTTGATATTGTTGATATTGTTGTTGAGGAGCTACCCTCGATGGTAGCTGGGTTGTTTCTTCTGGTAGGATAGAATTTCCGCGCAGTTCGTCTTGTACGACAGCATCGTCGAGGTCATCATCTTCGAAATCATCAACTAATTGAGGCTGAGTCTGAGACTGTTGATACTTCTTCTGTGCTTGAGTGAATTGAATGGCATTATTCTCGAGCTCCTGTAGGATGTTCGCATTGAGAGTATCGAAGTCATCGTCGGAAAAATCGTCCATGGCGACTCGAAGAGTCAGGATTGGTTATATACAAGCCCATTGGCGAAATCATACGACTTGTAGTATTATTTTATTATAACATTGAGTTGGTCATTAATGTTAAGTGGACTATTTTGTTTTGTTAATGAGGGAAGTTTAATATCAATTGTTTAGGTTACCTAGGTACTCTTAGGCTTGTTTATCTTATCTTCTATCGTCTATTATCTATCAATTTACATGTATCTACAAGGCAGTACCTAGATCGCGTAGCGCGTTAAGTGGTGGATACTAGAAATATTACGTCAAATATAAATGTACGTCAGTAGGTACCTGCATGTACTATTTTTATAACAGATACATATTCGATCAATTGATCTTTCTTCTATTCTTTAACTTAATTCTCCACTTGAATATTTGATAACTTACACCATTCATAATTCTTCTTTTTTTATTACTTTAGTTTAGTTTTAATCTGTGTAATTTTAACCTCTTCTCATTATCAAGGAGATCATCATAGCCAAATCGTGTTTCTAACTAATAACACACGATAACTAGCCAAAAAAATAGTAGCAAAACTATCTAACCTTAGACCATAATCAGCTGGTTGCCTTAACAACATAACCCCAAAGCTGACTCTCTCTATCTCTATCCGGTACTGATATTTGGCTTGGCAGATATAAAAATTCGTGCTGTGGCCTAAGAAGGATTCTCCAATCTCTAAATCTACAAATCTATTGGATGAAAAAGGTGGCTGAATGTTATGGTGGTAGCACGACAACTGCGGTCAGATTCCGAATCTTTCAGGAGGCCTCTTATTATCTTATTATATTATCATATTAACGTTTAGATTTTAATTGGCGAGTTTAGCTAAATAAACTCATTTCAGCCTCGTCAGAACGCTTTGGGATGCCTTAAGGGATATATATTTTGTCTCCTCCCCCCTTTTCTTTTTCATCAAGTGCTCTCATTGTCTTATAGTATACCTCTAATACATCTACTTTATATCTTACAAGTGTAAATATACGCAACTCACCCGTATCATGGATCCTCAGAAGCAGCATTATTATTATCAATTTCCCCCTACTGGTGGACCTCCAGACCAGCCTGGACAGTCTCAACCAGGATATCAACAGCCTCCACCCGGAGCCTCGTATTACCCTCCTGCCGGGCCACCTGTTCCTGGACAGCCCCCTTACCAGCAACAGCCTTATTCTTTTTACAACACACCCCAGGGCCCTCCTCAGAATAGTCAATATCAACAGCAATCCCAGCAGTATCCATCAGGTCCACCTCGGGCTCCAGGACAATACACTCTACCTCAACCTTACCCATCTCAGCAACCACAGCAGGGACAATACGAGAAACCGCCAGTTCCGTACCATCAATGGGGTCCTAGCTCTCGACAGAGCCCTCCTCATATTACTTATCCACAAGCCCCGATTCCTTATTCTCTACAGCCGCAACAACACGGAGGTCCTGTAAGTATAATGCTAGCTTTTTATCTACTATAAATATTAACAATTACATGCAGCTGGGTGTTCCGCAATGGCCGCAGCCTCAGCCTCAGCCTCAGTACTCCGAGCCCGGTTATGGTTACGGCGTACCACCGACCCCTGCGTCGCCTGGTTATGACCTAGCTCAGAGAGCGTTCGTGGCCCCCGTCGATACGTCGGCCGACGTTGAAGCTCTTCGCAAGGCTATGAAGGGCATGGGATGCGATGAGGCGGTTCTAGTACGCGTACTCACTTCATCCAAGTACGAGAATCCGTGGGCGATGGCTCAGCTTGTTGGTGATTATAACAAGCGCTTCATCCGCGATTTGGCCAAGGATATAGAAAGCGAAACACGTGGGGGTGTAGAAACCGCACTCCTCGCTCTGATCCGAGGACCACTAGAACAGGATGTGCGAGTCCTCATTAAGGCTCTCGACCGAGCCGGCACAGATGAAGATGCCCTCATGGATGTTCTTTTATGTCGATCGAATGCGGACATTCGCGCAATCAACGCCGAGTATAAGAGAATCAAGGGCAACGAACTCCTGGTAGATATCAAAGACGACGTAGATGACACGTTGTTCCGGCTCTATAGCATGGTACTTTCTGCCACGCGTGCCGAAGATGCAGCGCCCGTAATCAGTTCGGATATCGATCAAAAGGTGACAGAACTGCAGCGCGCGACTGAGGGCACGATCGGCGCCAATGCCATCTCCGTGGCGCAAATATTCACGAATTCTAACACCGCACAGCTACAGGCTATTAGCAAGGCGTACGAGCGGAAGTACCACCGCTCGTTCGAGGAGGTCATTGAGAAGGAGTTCCGCGGGGATATGGAGGACGCGCTCCTCTACATGCTCGAGAACGCCATCGACCGAGCACGCTTTGATGCCAAGAGGCTGGAGAGGCCACTATACAAGACTCCGCGCAAGGACCGGCTCTTAATCAACAGGGTCGTTAGTCTGTACTGGAACCGTCCACGTCAGGATATGGCCAAGGCTGCTTACCAGGTACACTCTTCGGCCAGGACTTCATTGCGTGCTGCGTTTAAGGGTGTCCTGAGTGGAGATTACGAGGATCTGATGATTGCGTTGATTCGGGAGAGAAAGTGAACGGGAGTTCTTAGCTTTGGATAACTATACTTAATCAATCGATCTTGAAAAGTTCGTCATAATGTTCTTACAAGTAAAAACCTTTGTGTCTCGTGTGTACTAAGCTATTTTTGGTTTGAGAAATAGAATATTGTAGATTATATTCATACTTACATTAAAATTGCTAAAGGTTGTATATAATCTAACTATGTGACTTGAAAGTTATAAAAGAGAAATAGTACCGAGGTAAATTACTAACTACCTAGTTATTAGTAAACTCTATGTTTAAAGAAGGGTCTTATATATGTGGATTATCTTCTCCATGTGGGGATAATATAGAATCATTCTATTATGTAGAATGACATGTATAGGGGGTACTTGATTACATCAACTACAGATCATAGAGGATTCGGTCCATTATTAAACATTTTCTTCTTGTGAGCATTGATTTAAAATGTTTGTAGGTTAATATATCGTATATTTATATTCTGGCTGAACATGAAATATATCTACCTACCTCCTCTGATTTATACATGTGGGTTAAATTCAAAAGAGGGGTGTGGGGGTATCGTGGATCGCGATAGGGTGCCACGTGATTTCGTGTTAAATTGGTTCGGGTGGTTTGTGAAATCCGTGCTGTCCGTGCTGTGCTGGACCGAGCCAGGCCGGTCGGTAAACCTAGGGTAAAAGAAGAAGCGCCATTTTTTGAATTTTGCTTTTTTCTTTTTCCTTTTTCGCTCCCGCTTTCTTGCTGCAGTGGTTTGACAGGGGATAAGTCGATCTTATTACTCGCTTTAGGTACATAGGTACTTTTTAATTTAGGTCAGATTACCACATGCATGTAGGTACATTTATGGAAGCCTTCGAGGCAACAGAATTTCTTATAGCCAATTATCTCTTTTAATATTTCTACCTATTTTCTTCCATGGATTTTATTCATAATTAAATGAAACCTTCAATTTCAAGAAGAAGAAAAAAAAAAAAAAAAAAGAGTTGCCTCCATAGAATTGCTGCAGGGACAACGTGTATGTGGTATATGTGTAGCAATGTACATGTAGGTACCCATAGTAAAAATGATCTGCCTACAAGGTACAGGCCTTTTGTAGTGGCTGCAAGACGCTGGGGCCAAGCGTAAATCTAGGGAAGTCTTAGCGCACATGATCCCCCGACAACCTTGGAAGTAGATCCAGGTGCGCCCAAGGTGTACCTAAAAAAAAATACATTAGGTACATAACCTTTAGGTAGGTGCAGTCGCGCGACTTACATAGACCGCGTAATAAACGGCCAATGGCTTCCCTCCATTTCTTCCCCTCCTAATATTGGAACCCATTCGCTACTTTGGATACTTTGGATACTTTGCCCAAGAGTTGACTTGTTCATATTCCCTTGGATCCAAGTTAAAGTCAACGTCAACGTCCAATGTTCCCCTCCGACTTTTTCAATATCATCACCTATGGGGGGTTAGTTAAATGATTAAACTGATACTTCTGTCGTCAAAACCCGCGTCGCGTCTAAACTTCATAGCTGGATTTCAATTCGAGCTCTTTTACTATTAATTCCCGTGTGGCCGCACTTTTATTTCGCCTCCTCGCTTCACCTATACCTATACTTCTACTTATACCTCTATACCTATACATACCTATACTTTATAACATATATCTTATGTCTCAGTTCCAGTCTCAGATCTTTTTCGAATGCTAAATTTACTGAGTGTTGCATTGGCCTCAACGCGACTATAACAATCCGAATGTTATAAGTCTTAATCTAAACTCTCGCAATAACCGCGACTCTGACGACGACGTAACGCGTATACCTCGCTAAGCGACATCAGCGCCCATAAAGGAAATCCTTCGTCTTCTAAACGTGGAATCTTACCGCTTTCAACAATATCTACCTACCCTTCCAAATAGGCTAGGTTCAAGACATGATTTTATGGAAAACGCGATTGATAGCTTCTAATTAGTTGAATTGCATCCACATCCAACAAGACGCGACAACTTCGTGCCTTTGACCGTGGCACTTTCTCTAACATTATATCTAACGCAACTAACTTCTACATTGGATCATGTCGCAAGTCAACACCTCAAGTTCCTTGACAGGCCTCGGCCACTCGTCACAATCTCAAAATATCCCAAGTTCCCAGAATCAACCACTCAATTATTCAAGCAACGATTCCCAAGATACTACCGCTTCCAATGATACAGATCGTATTTTCACTCCGCCCGAAAGTGACAGTGAGGGTAGCAATGGAATAAGAAATAGCCATAGCTCGAGTCAAGAGTCTCAGCTCCTGCAGCTCTCCCAGCTCGCCGCAGCACAGCAGAGGATGAACGAGGTAGACGGGGCACCTACGGCTGGTGGTCAATCAAGAAAGCGTATGGCCGACGGTGTGGTCAAGCACAAGAGGAATAGCTCAAGCGTGTCCCCAATTCGACCTGGTCACTCTAGAAACACTAGCACCGTGAGCATAGCTTCTACCTCTAGTCGCATCGGAGAGGTAATTCGCTAGCATCTAATAACGCATTGCCGCGATCTCTGCTAACTCAATCGTAGCTATCGGCTGAATTGAGGACCAAATTGTCTTACGCTATGGTCAAGGTCAACAACGGCTGGCAAGGGCATTCTATCGATGAGGTTGAGTCGCTCGCGTCTCAAGTTGCCTCTCCCACTTCTAGCACATCTACGTTGCATGGTAGATATGGGGCGTCTGCAAGCCCCCGAGTCGCAGTTGCTCCTACGAGGCACAGGGCTTCAAGCATGGTTACCAGCCCTACAACGCAACATCCATTCCAAGGTCGCCCGTATGAGCCATTATGGAGAGAGGGTAACATGAAGTCATCTGCTTCAACATCACCTAACACCCAAGTGTCCGCGCTAGCTCCGCCTGCGCCTATACAACCACGTCAGCCTAACCAGACCCATCCTCGTCGTAGCTCCAACGCGAGGTTTGCACCAGCTTACCTATCTCACCCGCATCACGTTTCCCCCCATACTCCTGCTCAGCCAAGTCCGTTACAAGCCACTCCGGGTCACGGGAATATTAGGACACCCAATGTCGACCCTATCCTCTTTTCTCCGCACCAGAATGTGCGGGAGCAGGAAGCGTTGGAGACGTTGATGTTTATGAGCAGCCCTGGAAACTCGGCAAATGTAAAGCATACATTTCCCTCATCTCTCCCTTCATCACAGGGCTCGCAGCCAGTACAGCCATTACATCCGCCGCATACGCGCAACGGCGGAAGAACTGCTCTCCCTACCTCGCGACTAGGTTCGGGAGCCGAGGCCGGGAACCAGGGACGCAAAAGTTTACCAACAGCGCGGCCGCAACATAATCACGCGCCCCAAGTTAAGCGCGTTGGATTTGAGAAGTCACCGGGTATCTACGGTGGGATGGATATTGATGACACGCACGTATCTCCGCGAAGTAGAGGCACACCTCGTCGCCGAACGAATGGATCGGCTCCGCGACCAACTCTATCTATCCCTGCTGGCCTAAGCGGCCCGTCCCGACCGAGAACAGCACTGCGAGGTGATGACATAGAAAGGATGCTCGACCGGGTAGGGGCCAGACGACAGCTCGGATCGAGTGAGGAGAGTGAGATCCACATTCCCCAGAATAGAAGAGTGAATGGCCCAGTGGTGGGAGTTTGACGCAATATTCCTTTTCATGGGGTTGCTATACGGCGTACTTGGCGACTGAGATTGTCATTTTTTTTCATCAGTTGTCTCGCGTATATAACATGTTTTCCGCATTGTCGAAAAAGGATGTAATTTTTTTTCTCTCTCTCAATGTCGCATTCACGACCATATGCATTAAGCTACTGGGGTTTTCATGAGATGACACTGGGGATTGCGGGAGCAACTGGGTGCATTTACGGGAGATTTATGAGCATGATGACTGGGGGTAGATGCCGTTTGGGTGTATATGTTGGAACGGGTGATGAGTTTGTTCAAGCGTAGGTTACCTACATACTATCTTGTCTAAGTAGGGGTTATCTTCGGAGCGATTGAATGCATGTGTTGAATGATTCACCATCAAATCGAAAATGCTCTTAATAGTGTACACGTATCTATCTAGGTTGGGGTTTAGGGGTTATGACATAGGAACGAGTCATGTTTACCCCTGATCAAACCTAGGCGTAGAATGCCATGTATATCGAGGGTGTATTAAACGACGACTTGGGTGTATAAGGGGTATGTAAGGGGTATGTACCAGGGTAGGAGTCTGTAATGATATTTGTATAACGAAGGTTGTCATGTTTCTAGTAAGGATGTCTTGCTACTGAGTTAACGAAATAAATGAAATTTACAGCGATACCAACAAAGTTCCCCACGTGTTCATCCCGGCTATCAGCTTTTGCTTGCAGATATGTCTTACAAGGGGGGGTACCTGAAAAGGGGGGGGCAGCCGACAGCTTCGTACATAGGTACACACTTACCTTTCACTTATTGAACCATAAAAATCAGCCTCATTCAGCTAAGTTACCTAATGTACGTAATCCTGCATCGATTATCTAATGAGGCGAAGCTGATTTTCCCCGCCATGATTTGTTCCATTGCGGGCAGTTTGCTCAAGCCTCCGTCACGGCAAACGCATCCGAATTTTCTCCATGACTTCTTCTTTTTTTCCCTGCCAAGGCTTTCTTTTCTTCCAAGCCTCATTCACTTATCGTCACCTAGTATTAATACCGGTGATTGCTAAGCTCCGACTGCGTGTCCGCATCGCCGCGTGTTTCCGCTTTAGTGCACATTTATAGTAATCAGCTGCGAGGCAAAATGACTGCGCCTCTTAATCACGATGGTTGTTGTCAGCAACGTCGGCGCTTATTGGATTAGGAGGTACATACATGTAAGGACGTACATATGTACATGTAAGTATGAAACCAGCCTCAACTTAATATAACCTACTTAAGTTAAGTATATAATTAAAGTTCTGCTTACTTATAAATAAGCTTTATCGACTCTTCTTTATTTTCGGTCAACTTTTTTCACTTTTTCTACTTTTCCTCTCTTCCTCTTTTCTTGCCATAGATATTCAACAAACTATACTTCCTCTCATACTCCTAAAAGTCATTCTTCATAGCGTATAAAGATCGCTTTAGAATTTCTACTTTCAACTTATATCCTCTATTCCTAAGAAAGAGAAAGGATATCAACATGTCAGCAGCAGACTACTATGGAAATAGTGGAGGTGGTTATCCCCCGCCTCAACACCAGCAGGGCTCGTCGCCTTATCCCCCACAACCTCAATACGCTCAGACGCCATCGCATTCCCCGTATCCATCTCAACCAAACTATGCAAACGGTACCCCCTCTCCGGCGCCATACCCCGCTCAGCCCACCTACGCTCAGTCGCCAGCCCCATCTCAACAGGGTTATCTTACTCCCTACCAACCACAGTCCCAGCATTCGCGACCCGGTTCCGCTCACTCGGATGCTGGCTATGCGCCGCCTCCGTGCCCACAGAACGATGGCCGTCACCCAGGATCGCGTCCTCACTCCGCAGATCCATACGCCCAGAATGATCGCGATCCGAACTACAACCAGGCGCAAGCTGGAGAGGATGGCGAGCGTGGTCTAGGCGCGACTCTACTTGGAGGCGGAGCCGGCGGCTTCCTCGGCCACAAGCTCGGTAAGGGCAAACTGGGCACCATGCTAGGTAGTGCCGTTGGTGCGGTGGCAGCCAATTTAATAGAGAACAAGCTGGAGAAGCGCCATTCGAATCAGAGCCAGAATCAAGCTTATGGACAAGGACAGGGATATGGGCATGGTCACGGACATCATGGGTCATCGCATCACGGAGAGTCTTACTATGGTGGCCACCAAGGACAACATAGTCACGGCCACCATGGCCACCACAGCCACCATGGACATCATGGGCAACATGGGCAACATGGACATCACAGCCAGGGCTGGTAAAACATCTGATAATTCGGTAGAACAGTTGGATTGCTACAGTGGATGCGAAGGGGTTCCCCCACTTCCCTAACGATGAATTTGATATTATGAAAGGCGGCGTATTGGTCAGTATAAGTGGGTTTTATTGGTATAGGATTCGGTGGTTTCCCGTTTCTCTCAAATTCCGGTAGAGAAACAACGAGATGATGTTATGGTTCATTATGTGGTTACTACAATAAGTAGAGGGCTGCTTGTATGGGGAATGCGTATTACCTACTACCTTTATTATCCTCGTGAGCGAGGGTATTCTTAACAGCCTATAGTTGGCTGTCGTTAGCCTTGAATATATCTAGTTGCATGATTACCCCTATGTTTTAGTGCGATGATGTAAACACTTGTGGAATTTAAATGAAGAATATCGGTAAAGACTCATTACCTCTTACAGAAGATGACAAAAACATATAGCAGTGTATAATCATTAGTGTCGATAATATACTGCTCGACAGTGAGATACTCAATGTGATGATAATGATGGATTCTTTAATGTCCAATAGTGAATATAAACTACCTAACTCCTTCCATGTGATCGTCTTCGTCGTTAGATACTAGTCTCTCAGACAAAGCCTTTCTAAAGAATTGATAGTGGCGTATTGGAGGTAGAATTTCAATCCTATTGTTTGACTTCCTTACGTCTCAGGTATAACAAAATGAAGCTACCAATTATGAGACCCCTGTCAATATCCTTCCACTTCCTATCTCTATTTGTCCGTCTCTCTTAATTTCCTCCCTAATGTCCAACGAATATCTTTGATTTCTTTTTGGGGGTTTGGAAAGGTGAAGCAATTTGTCAGGCTAGTGTCGCTATAGTCTTGGGCGGAGTGCTCTCCATCATTTCGTCTTCGTCTTCGTCAATCGCCGCTTGGTACGTTTGCATCTTCTTTGGCGCTGGCTTTAATGACTTTCTAGATGGATTAATTAGTCGATTGGATAGTAAAAGTTCTCTTTCGTTTGGAGTTGTTGTCAACATACCACTACACTAAAATATTGCCTGCCATAGAATTTTTAGGAATATGCAGTGTTAGCTCGATTTTCTCTCACTTCATGTTCGGTAATTAAAACAATAGTTGTGCTGCTTGCATACCTGATTTGTAGTTCGCAGTGTTGTAGGCGAAGAGTTTATTTTATGTCGTGTTGTTGACTAGAGGTAATAGGAGGTTTCTAGTTCTTATGGTGTGGTGGCAATATTTAAATACGAAGTGTTAGTTTCCATATAATTCTATGAGTATCTGATGCATTCATAGTACTTACAGTATTTTACTTTTTAATTTGTAGTTATGTGTCCGTCTGCTAACAGGTAACCTTTGTTAGTCTTGCCGATAGTCTTTCCTGTAGTTTTGGCTACAGCCTTCCTCGAGGGTTGTTTCGTATGTGTTTTCTATGAGCCGAGGTGTGTCGATTAAACATACAAGGAAACTTGGTCTTTCTTCCTTTCTGATCCCGATAGCGTCGATGTTTTTGATAGTTTTGTGTAGTTGTTTTAGGTACTTATGTAAGTGAGATTTTGTGCTCTTAAGGGTTCCCTTTTTTGCCTTTCCCCCTTTTTTATTTTTACTTTTATTATTATTATTATATTTCTTTGGGTTTTTTTTTATAATTGGTTTAACTTAATTTTTTTTGTTTTTTTTGTTTTTTTGTTTTTCTTCTTTTTGTTGGATGTGCTGGGAATCTTTTAATCGATCACGCCATTTTAAGGCATGTAGATTCCATGATTTATGAGGTGGTTCTTCATCGCTGTTCTCAAGATTTTTGGGATCTTTGTAAATGCCGCTACGTTCCAACCGTCGAAGTCTGTTCGGAACGTATTCCAAAGATCTTCGTATCAATGTCGAGGTTCTTAAAGTCCTCGTGTATGTGCTTCTCCCAGTTATAGCATCTTCTTCCCATGGCCGCTATCTTGGGCCGCTTTGAGTTTTCCAGCGAACTTTTCCTTGCTGCTCTGTGATTGACTTGTCAGCCAACCACTGATCAGTGTTGGAGTGACAACGGTTAGATGTGTGTATCACCCCAGCATTTTTTTTTCTCGTTTTCTTTTTTATAATTAGTTTAACTTTTTTTCGTTTTTGTTATGCTTAGTCTTTTTCTTATGTATACTTTATTTTAGTTTTTCTTATTTTTTTTTTTTTTTTTTGTAAGTTTTTTTTTTTTTCCTTTGTTTTTTCTTTTTTTTTTCTTTTTTTTTTTCTGAAAATTTTTTTTTTTTAAAATTTTTTTTTGGTTTTTCTTTTTGTAAGTTTTTGATTCTTTTTTTTGGGGTTGGTTTTTTTTTTCCTTTCTTTTTTCGGTTTTTTTCTTTTTTTTTTTTTTTTGAGAGAGAGAGAGAGATTTTATTGTCCGCCAATCTCATTGTATCGGCAAGTTGCTCGATATCTCGTCAAACTTGCAATGTCGTAGAGTTATTGGCGAACCTACCAACCTACTAGTACATATTATTGATGTTCCGTTGGGAGGCTACGCCTCCTGGAGAATGAGATATCTATAAATACTTGTTAGATTCACTTCATCCTAAGTTTAGCCTTCTCAACACTTACCTTGCATACTTTTCGGATATATGGAGGCCAAGTGACATGTGTAGTGAGTTAGAGGCCAGAGGGCTTACCAGTTGGCGAGAGGAAGGGAAAGAGGGGGTGTAATAGTCTAAGACACGGCTTTCGCCCAGTCAAAAACAAAATAAAGATAACAGCCCATCTTCCCGATTTACCGCTCCAAAGAGGGAAGAGAACTGACGTTAAGCAGCCAGACTGCTCTCCAGCCCCCAGGTAATGACAATTAGTACAAAGTCCCTAAGCCAGGCCCAAAGCTCCGAGCGAAGATCTCATTTTCCAGACGGCATATTCCCTTAAATCAACACCAATCTTTGATTGGCACATGCACCCCATAAAAATGCATGTTACATATGAGCCTGCTTGCGAGGCAGAGCTCACGCCAATCCGGCGAAGGACGGCCATGGGGTACAAGGGGGATTATGCTGAATGAAAGAAATGAATTCTTACGACCGCAAAGCTGTTGGGTTGGTGTTGGGACCAGGTGTAACTGTACATTACCAAGGTTCAGAGTAGTCTACTTTTTATCTGCCGGTTTCTTCGGTTTCTTTGGAACGAGGAACGGGTTGGCAGGTTTCTTCTTTAATTTCATTAGTGATTGGTAGTCTGCGTCGTTCTTCTTCTTTTGCCACCCCTCCTTCAACTTCTTCTCGGCCTCCGCGACCAGAAGATTCTTCTCGTTCTGCTCGTCTTGGTTGTGCTTGCTTGCTGTGTCTAATCTCTCCATCATGACACTCAGACGTTCATCATCCATCTCTGTAAATGGAAGCCCATCGGTCTCCTTGTGAGGCAAGCCCTCGTCATCCATGGTGTAGTAAGTGTCAGGTAGGAGGGACCCCTTCACAGCTGCTTGGTCGAAAGCCCTCTGCTTCCCGCCTCGTCCCATGATGCTTTCTTTTGAGCGTTCCTCTAAATTGTTTTTGAGGGTCTTCTTAAGGGCGTCGAGATCCAATTTTTCTGCCTCTCGCGGCTTAGATGGGAGCAACCAAGCTGTAGGAATGCTCGAGAAGGGGCTGGGGCTTTAGGGTGACTAGGACGGGCGTAGCCTTGTCTGGAGAAGTCTCATCAGAGGGATCCTCTTCCATGGGGGTATCTTCCATATCAGGACCGCTGGCAACCACAGGTTCTTCAAATATTGGACCAGGTGCTTCAAATACCAGTTCTTCGTTTCCCATATGGGGGTTACTTGGTGGGGCGATAGTAGTCTGGCTTGATATACCCACATTGGAGGTAAAGTTAATAGAGGATGTAGGTGTATTCATAGAGGTGATATCAGCCGAGTTAAGGTGAGCGATAGGAAATGGGATAGTCGTATGTATGGAGGTAACAATGTTAGTCGGATAATAATTTGGGATAGTAGGAGTATCAGGAATAGGCTGGCTGTGTGGATCCAGTCGCTATAAATGGAGCTTCCGTCATAGGTTCATCCGGAATATATTGCTGGTCCTTATGGTTATCTACTTCTGGTGCATCTTCCATAGATTCTTCGTTGTCAGGATCTTGACCATTTGCAAGCTCCATTGCTAGCTCCTCCTCAAGTGTCTGCTCCATCAATTCTAGAATATCATCGTCGGTTTCTTCTTCCATTGCCTCTAGGTTTGCTTCACCTGTTTCGTCTTCATCGGTTTCGACATCCATTGCCTCATGAATTCGATCATCGGTTTGGGGTTTCTATTCCATCGAAGCCGAGTGATCAGAATTCATTGGCTCGTTTGCATTAATCTGCCAGCTTTGCTGATCAGAGGAGCCCTGGTAAGCTTGGCTTTGCTCAGTGTTAAGAGGCACAGGTTCCTTAGTGTATGCTTCTTGAGTAGTACCCTGTGAGCCATTAGGGAGCGCCCCGGGAAGGTAAGTTGTCCGATATTATTAAAGTCTTTGTGACTGGAATAGGACATTGAAGCATACTGCTCGGGTTCGATAGGCTCCTCGTCACCGTAAGGGAACACTGGCGCAGATTGTTCGCCACTGAAGTTAAAGATAGGGGCAGACTGTCCAGCTTCTGTGGATTGCTCGTTGCCGAAAGAGAACATAGGTGTAGATTGTTCACCGCCAAAGTTAATGGTATAGTCAGGTTGCTCAGCTTCCGTGAATTGCTCATTACTGAAAGACAACACCGACATTGGCTGTGGAACCTGAATTGGCTGCTCATTAAGGAAGGGGGGTATAGGGGTATGTTGTTCGGGTTGAATAAACTGTTCAGCACCGAAGTTAAAAATGGCAGCAGGTTGTTCAACTTCTATGGGCTGCTGGTTGACGAAAGAGAATGTGGGTGTGGACTGTCCAACACCGAAGTTAAAAGAGGAGGAAGATTGTTCGGCTTGAGTAGACTGCTCGCTGTTGAACGTGAACACGGGCGTAGATTGGGTGAGAATAGGTGGTTCACTGTCGAAAAGATGACCATTTTCGACAGCTTGTTCTATGACCATAGGGTTCTCTAGAAATTGTATATTGGAGTCGTACTGTGCCGGCGGGGGGATTATATCTGGCTCGTAGGTAACAACATGCTCGTTGCTAGACTGGCTGTTCTCGGCCTGCTGCGAATTATCTAGAGACAGCATATCGTCCAGTATATTGTCAATAATCTCTTCCCATTGAGCCATATCATCGGATGGTTGCTCATCGTGTGAGACCTGTTCAATAGCATGATCCTCTACAATAGGCTCGCTAAGCTGTTCAATTGCACATTGCTCAGCCGAGGGCTCCTCCTTAAGAGTCTCCGAAATAGTGTGCTCCTCCATAGAGTTCGTCTCAGTAAGCTGCTCGGTGAAAGACATCTCCTGAATCTCGGGGGACTGGGAGGTAGGTTGTTCAGTAATCGCCGTCACAATGGATTGCTGCTCCGCGGGAGGCAGCTCGAAGGTAACAGGGCCGTTGGTCAAGAGGTTTTCGGTACTATGTCCTTCAACAGCAACAGCTTGCTCAATAACCATCTGTTCCATAGTAGGCTGCACGTCTAGAGGCTCCTCACTAGTGGGTTGAGAAATAGGAGAACCATGAGTAGTGAGCACCTCGATAGAAGGCGTGTCATCACTGAGCTTCTCAGGGGTAGACTCTTCAGGGGTAAACTCCTCAGGGGCAGGCTTCTCGATGATAGTCTGCTCGATGATGGTCTGCTCGATGACGGGCTGGTCGATGACGGGCTGCTCAATGGCGGGCTTCTCAACGGCAGGCTTCTCAACGGCAGGCTTCTCAACGGTAGGCTGGTCAATGGTAGGCTGATCAGCTGCAGACTGTTCGATAATAGGCTGCTGAATACTAGGTTGGTCGCCAACAGGCTCTTTAGACTTAGGCGGGCTTTCAGTCGGCGTAATCTGGTTTGGCTGCTTGGCCATAGCCCACTTATTCCTGAGATATTCACGTGAAGAGATTGTCTGACCTGGAGCCCGTAGTATTTCCTCGACAAGCCCTGTTTCAAGATCATCTTCTATCATAAACGATGATCTTCGAAGATATGTAATTCTCGGTTTGACCTTTCGAAGTATCTCGAGAACAGACTTGTGAGAGTGGACTATAGGTGTGGTGTAGGCGTAAGCGGCTCAAGAGGAATAATAGGGGGCAAGTCTGTAACAGTCATGATGGTAGATATGGCTAGCTGACTTTGGCTGTGAGTGTCCATCTGCGTGCTAATGTGAACCATCTTAGGCTTTCCTAGAACCCGACATAACTTGCACCAGAGAGTAAAAGGGAGCTTTAAGATGGACATAGTAACACGCAGGATGAGAACCAAGAAGCGGCCTATGAGTAGACATGTGCGCTGGGTTAATCCGAGAGCCACGGAGAGTACCTATAATATAACACGTTAGAATTAGGGGTAAGTATAAGGGTCGGGATGAGAGTTACCTGGTGAGGGATGTGTCGAAGAGAGGGGGTTGCAGCGCAGACAATCATGACAAGATCAAGAAGAAACATATCCTTGTCGCTAGTGAGAAACTTATGCATTATCATGGTCGTCGCAACGGTGATCGCGCTGGGATACGTGACACCCCAAGAATCCTTGCATGCGCACATGAGCGCGATTCCGTGGATTTCCCGAAGAACACCTCCTCCAAGGGCATACTTCACGCAAATAGCCGTAAGAGTGTTTGCGAAAAGGGCGAAGATATTGGCAGAGGGATCGTTGTCATCATAACCGGAGAGACAAAAGATCATAATAATGCCGATGGCTCCTCCAAAGGGGGCGGCGAACATGGCGTCAAGGGCCAGAAGGAAGGGAACGAGGATAGTGATAGCGTACATGATGAAAGACTTGGTCGATCAATGTACTAATAGAAGGGTAAATAGAGGAGTAAGGTAGAGAGTAAGGTGAATAGGGGAAGAGGTAGGATAGGGTAGGTAATAGATAGATAAATCAATGAATCAACTAAAGTCAATAATTATGACAATAAGATGAATCGATTGATGAATCGATGATAGAGTGGATTGATTGATTGATGTATTGAATAATTGCTTGGATCGAAGGATCAATAGATCAATGAATCAATGTGTAATTGGATAGTGTAACTAATGATATGTGTATGTCGAAGTCGAAGTCGAAGTCAAAGTCGAAGACGAAAACGAGTACGAGGATGATAACAATTGTTGCACTTGTAGAAGAAAGAAAAGAAGGAAGAGAAAAAAGTTCAGTTTGGGTTGAAGGTCTGTAGAATTAAATAGAGAAAGTTTGCGCCGGTGATTGTGAGAATAGTAGTAACATTGGTACTTAGGTTGGCAACAAATCAATTTTAGAATTAGGAAAGAGGAAGGTACGATGTTAGAATTTTCATATGTACCTCAGGTATCGTGAGTTGGATCAAACACTCAACACATCTTAGGCGGGTCGTCACTACAGTTTTACACATACTGTCCGTGCATCTCTTACTGATAAGGCTGTAGCTTTGTTGAAGGTACGCAACAACAGCTAATCAACATCTGTAAACGATCACTTTACAGGTGTAATTATTCCACCTGAGGGGGGGTTGTTGCCTCAGGAGAGATTTGTTGAATTCTTAGCTTGATTTAATTAAAAAGAATTTTTATAGGAAAGCTAAAATTTACCGCTAAACAATTATTGACTTATATTTCGGAATCAAGAGAAATATTAATTTCTATCTAAAATGCAACATAATATTACTATAGCCTTTCATCCCAACACTGGGTTATCAGTCACGAGGGACCCGGGCTAATTTTTAGTATGACTTTAACCAATATATTTTTGAACTTGATATTTGATCATTATATACTTCAACTATCTAAGCAGCTCACTGTGATATCTATTGTAAAGCCGTGACTCAGTAATAGGTAGGTATGATTGTGTAATACAAGAAGTTGTTGTGTCATTAATTCTGACAGTTGGGCAGGTTAGTCTGATTATGTAATTTGTTTGTGTAGCTGTGCAATGATTGGTTAATCATGCGACCCACTTTCCAAAAATAGTATTTTTCTTCTCTAGAGCAGGGTTCCCCAGATTTTGATCGCAGATTAATTGATCTAGATCTAGCAAAGGTACCTAGGTACGTACCAAGATCTGTTGATTTAGATTTTGGTGGGAGAAAAAAAAAAGAAGTATGTACCTAAGGTACGTATCGGAGTGATTTAGGTACTGATTGCCTGGTAAATACAGAATTTTGATTTACTTCCGAGTTGGTACCTTCAATATGAGGTGCGCACTTGCTGGAGGTACGTAGGTACGATGCTAACATGAAAGCTCGGGCACAATAAATTCTGTCACCAGCCGCCAGACTACACGTGCCCATGCGGATTTCAAACTGGATGACTTAGTACCTAACTACATGTACATTTATCCCTCAGGTATGAATCTAATTGAACATAAATACCAGAAAGCTTAATCACGTCCGGTTTACGAAACATGTGGTAAGCATTGTATGTTTTCAGAAAGTAATATTTAGGTCTACTTATAACAGTTTAAATTATTTGAATGGGATGATTCTGAAGGAATGAAGCGATTAAATATAGATGGAATGTAAGTAGTAGAAGGACGCTTAATGCCGTATAATAAATATGGTGCTGCTTAAAAACCTACCTGACCTAGTCCAGAAATTAAATTACAATTACATGAGACTGACTATCAACATCTTTTGAACTTGAGAGCTAACATGTCTGAAGACGTTTTAAGGTGATTTGGTACTAAGAGCAGATGAAGATTATCTTAGATAGTTAGTAGCAATATAAGTGTCAGAGTTGATAGCATCCTTATTTCATATATACCTAAGGTATATAGTTGAGAGTGGGCATATGTATGGGCTGAAAAGGCGAAAGACTAGAGAACTGCCTTCTTTTTTCTAATTTTTCTAAATGTTTTTTTTCTATATCTAAGATCTATAATCTCAACTATGTCCCTTCTGGCAATAAATACTTGCTAACCCTACAGCGCATTCTCATCTACTAGATCTCGTTCACCATACTTAAATCAATATCCCTATTGCAAGTTCATCCGCTTAATTGCGTAAATGCATTAATATGAATCCAAATCTCATCGCTAAATGTCATATGCTCTATCTAATATACAAATAAAAACCATACATATATATATATATATTTTATCTTCGCCCCTGTTCTAGATCCTCTATTATTTGTATCTCCGGGTTGTTATTCGCTAGAACGCCATCAGAAACCACGATCTCGGGAGCTGCCTCTTTCTCTTTAGTTATATTATTTTCTTGTTTTTCTTCCGATGAGGACTCTGTCTTCTTCGACTTCCACATCCTGCTAAACACGGAACCGATCTTGGCAAAGAATCTAGCCAAAAACTTATATACGGCGACGACAGGTGCGGTTACGATCTCGGTGATCCTGGCGAATAGAGCGTCTGGGAATAGTCGTATAACGATAGCCCACGGGAGCGAAATGGCTGCTGCCACCAGGCAGATAGCCCATTGCACGCCGTTGATAGCAGTGATCTCGAACGCAGCACCTCCCACAAAGACAATGGCGATCTGAGCACCAACCATAATGATGTTGATTACAATGAAGAATTTTGTTGCGAAGCACACCTTCGAAGATGTTGAACTTGTTATCCAGGCGTCGGTTGTTAAACTCGTTGAATATTTGCATCCATACGAACGTGTTGAAGACCATAGTGTTGAGCTCCGTCTTCTGAGTTTGGTTATCAGGGTCATAGCCTAGGATGGAAGCGCCGGCGAAGTGTAGAATTAATGTGATGATAAGTTGGTAAATTGCCTGTCCTACGATCATTTTCCACATATTGGTTGTGATGAGGGGTGCGCTCTTCGGTTGGGGTTTGCGGTCGAGGATCTTTTCAGTCGGAGGGTCCGTTGCGAGTGCGAGAGCTGCAAAGGTATCCATGATGAGGTTCACCCAGAGTAATTGCACGGCAGTGAGTACGGAATGCATGTCGGGGTCGGCAACGGCAGATATGAAGGCGAGGAGGACTGCTGTGATATTGACAGTAATTTGAAACTAGAAGATGATTAGTATCGTATACAAATAGTTGTTTGTATCATGTTGACCTGAAACTTACCTGAAGGAACTTCTGAACGGAGTCGTTAACTGCTCGTCCCCATTTGAGAGCAGTAAGAATAGAAGCGAAGTTGTCATCCATCAGTACAATTTCCGAAGCCTCCTTAGCCACCTCAGTTCCGCAGATGCCCATAGAAAAACCGACATCAGCAGTCTTGAGAGCTGGAGCATCGTTGGTGCCATCTCCGGTAACAGCTACCGTTTCTCCAAGAGCCTTGAGTCTCGCGACCAGAATCCTCTTGTCTTCAGGCGACGAGCGTGCAAGTACTTGTAACTTGGGTAATTTGGCATCCATCTCATCCTGGCTGAGTTCCTGAAATCAGGACCTTCCATGATAAGGCCATCGGTGTAAATACCACATTCAGCTGCGATGGCCTGAGCGGTTACAGCGTTGTCTCAGTGACCATGCGAACGACAACACCAGCAAGTTGAGCTTTTCGAACAGCTTCGGGGACCCGGTCTTACGGGATCCTGGATACCACCAGCCAAACCAAACCAAGTTCTTTAGTATTGAGCGAATTTACATGGCCATCTTCAATCTCGGCGTCGACAGGTGGCCAACTCTCAAAATCCTTGTATACGATGCGATGGTCCTAACGATCTTTGGCATAAGAATCAATAATAGATATTATGCCATCGCGATCGCTATTTGAAAGGTCGCTTGTAGCAAGAGACTGAACATCTGCCTTCGCGCTGCAATAGTTTAGGAGGATTTCCGAAGCTCCCTTCACCAAGAGCCTGTATCCAGAATTGTCTCGTAGCTTGATGACTGCGCCCATGCACTTCTTGGATGAGTCGAAAGGCATCATTTGAATAACCTGTTCATTGTTGCGGGCCTCAGCCAATGATTGCATCGCAAGGTGGTCCCTTGCTAGCTGAAGCAGTGCCGTCTCAGTCTTGGAGCCAATAAAAGCGAATTGACCATCTTCCTCGCCCTCAAATGCAGTGGAGTTGATAGCCACTGATTGTACAATAGCGTCCTTGGTTTTTTGACTAAGGCCGGCCGCCCATTGGGAGACGCTCTGAATACCTGGTTTCTCGTTTTCGGATTTGGCAAAGTTTGATTGGCCAAATGTTCCTGCGACAACTGTCATTTTGTTGGTTGTTAATGTTCCCGTCTTATCAGAACAAATTGCGGTGGCGTTGCCCATCGTCTCACAGGCGCGTAACACACGGACAAGGTTGTTTTCCTTCAACAATCTAGTTGTGGCGAAGGCCAACGCCAAGGTAACCGCCAGAGGTAAACCTTCAGGTACAGCCACAACAATAATAGTTACGGCTACGATCAGGATGTCCAAGAAAGCGGAGGCCTTCCCTGAGCTAGAACGCTCGTCCGTTGAGAGGCCGCCAAGGAAACGAAATAGTAGGACGAAGAAGAGAAGACCAGCTGCTGTACTGCCTAGTTTTGCAATAGCAACGGCGAGTCTTTCGAGTTTCTTCTGAAGAGGAGTTGCTTCGATATCTGTTCGGACAGACATCATGATCTTGCCGAAGCTGGAATGTACACCGACAGAAGTGCAGAGGAATGTGCCAACGCCTTCAAGCACCTTAGACCCTGAAATAATAAAGGGGTCGAGACCTTTTTGATTGGCGCCTGATTCCAGTATTTCCATAACCTGCCCACCCGGTGTCTTTTTGATAGCGTCAGATTCACCTGTCGCTGAAGATTCATCGCACTTTAAGTCGTTGCCGTTAATATAAATTCCGTCGACGGGGACAAGATCACCGGGCTCGAGATGTAGAACATCTCCAACCAGGACGTCGTGAACATTAATCATAAATGACTTCCCAGACCGAACAACTTTAATCTCGCGGTCATCTTTCTTAGCGTTAAGTCTGACGAAAGCACGTTCCTTTTGCCAGTCATTGAGTGATCCTACTAGCGTGACGATAAGTATAGCGATGATGATTGCGACGCCTTCAACCCAGTCCACAGATGGTGGTCCTCCTGGTTCAGGGGTCGTCCCGAAAGTTTCGTAAAGGCCAAGTGCCAGCGATATTACAGCGGCTACTGTTAATAATATGATAACCCGGTCGTTGTAGGCATTCCACATGAGTACCCATATCGGTGTGGCTTTCTTCGCTGGTAAAATATTCTTGCCAAAGACTCTTGCTCGGTCAACAAAGGAGTCTGATCCGGGTTGAGGTGTCCGCTCCGGTGTCTCTATAAATTTATCTGACGTCCTCCGCACGGCCTGCTCAAACGTAATGGATGTTCGTACTGTTGCCTCGTCGAGGCTCAGACCAGCGTTAATATCGGATTGTAGGCCGCGTGCTATTCCGGAGATGCCGCCCAGCGCCTGAAATGCGGGTAAAGATTTTGGATTTTGAAGTTTGTTTAACTGACCCGGGCTAAAAGCAAACGGGTTATTTTCGACCTGGAAATCCGCCTCCGAGCCGGGATCTGGACGGAGAGCTGCCTCGGGGTCTACTGATAACACACTTGCTCCACAGTCGGATGGGACTGGTGTTTGGAAAGGATTAGAGTGAGCTGGCGTTAGAAAAGGATTCGATATGTTCGAAATATTAGAGACAAAGGAACCAGCAGGCGTCACCACTCTGGTTTCATTAGTATCGCTCCTCGGACGCGTTCGTGTATCGATCGCCAGCGTTGGCGGCGCTAAACTATTGCCCGCCATGACTATGAAAATGTATAGCTGCTAGTTTTATCTTAATAGATGAATAAATATGAGGTATATCATGGGTTAAGATGGCAATAGATATTTAGATATGATGAAGTATGATGATCATGTAGGCTTTCAAGAACAAGCCGGTGGTCGGTGAGGGGGTATGATATAAGAACCAAATAAAACTAAACGGCTGGCTATGAGGTGAAGTGAGGCCTAGAGAAGGCACATGCTGACACTGTCAAGGCTCACCGTATAGAATTTCCACTTTTACCGAGGCCAAAAGAAAGGGTGTCGTGGTAATGTTGCCCCAAACTAAACTGCGTAGCAAGCTATCCTAGATAGCCAGGACTCTTGGCCAGGCTGTGCAAAGCGGAGTAATGCGATGGCGAAAGTGTCGGATTAAAGGTACCAATATTTTGGTAACTTAGATGGGCAGGATGGTGGGCCCGTCGTAATGCAGACCGCAGCTTGATCTTGGTTATGGGTTATGATATACTAGGCTAGGTTGCTTAATAGATAGATAGTACGCGTTGGGGGGAAAAGACGCGACTCTTTTAAATGTTGAGTCTGTTCATATGTTTAAGGTATCATCTAGACTCGGGCGCAGTTATCAAATCTGTCTTGAAGGTGTAATAAGGAAGGCTATGTTAGGCAAATGACGCAGTAAGAGGCAAAATGCTGTGTTGGAGGCCGCTTTTGCTTGAAGATAAAAAGGCGCTTCCTATCCCCTCAAAGACAGACTGACTATGACGGTTTAGCAACGAAGTGTAGGAATTAGTGGTATTGGCGACAAGATCACAACATCTAAAACATGGTAGTACTATGTACATAGACATGCATGCAACCTCCGCTTCTATGTAGTGATTAATAAAATAATAAAATATCAATACAACAGTTTGATGGATTAACTACATTATGAAGAGAGAGGAGAAATTTCTGACGTTCCCTCCCTTATGCCAAGAGGGGGCCGAGTGAGGCTGTGTAGATGTTAGATACCGCTTTGACCAATTAAAAGTTGGGCGATACGCAGACTTAACATATATTCTATCTGTTTATTGGCATTACTCCTAGTGTGATTTGAATTTAAAAACCGGATCCATGGATCATGGTACATGGTCTAGGTAGTTTCTTCAAACAATATCGCGATTCATGAGCGAAATTCGCCTTTAACCAATTACACGTGGAAAACCATGTTAATTATACTCACTAACAAACCGGCAATACCAAATATACCGAACTTAAACTATCTCCAAATAATAATTTAACATTAAGCCGTAAGAAAGATACGTGGTTTGATTAATCTTACTACTTTCTTTAGGTATCGTCACGAACACGTTCCCTTGCTTTAGTTGATGATTGATAACCTGACACGCCAACAAAAGGGCGGAGTCAACTTACATGTAGCAACTAAGAATGCCTAGCTTTTAGACAAACAATACCAAGCCTGGCATTAACACTTGGCTTAGATGATCTATTCGACATGACGCATACAACTATTTCCTTATCATCGCAAATTTTGGATGAATCTTGTTTTCGTGACCAAGTGGCTCCTTGGAACAAAATCTAAGCAATGCACGATCCGTATGGTCTGTGACTGTATTTTGCTCTCTACCTAATGCATCAATCGTCAACTCTGAATATCTTATTAGTGGAGTCTATAAAGTGATCGAGTGACTTGATAAGTATTAGTGGCCCCTATGTACCACTCAATATAAACCACGTAGATTCCTAATCAAGTACAAGCCAGCACAGAGTGGCTATACGGGCATTAGACTTTATAGACAGAGTGGGTAGTATACTCAAGTCGTCACTGAAAAAGCTAAGCCTTTTCCCATCCCAATATCTCGTCAGCGCCAGTCTAGAGTTGTCCAAGTTGATTCAATAGTCTAACAACAGGCGTGTCGGAATTCTTGTCATTCTAGGAATTAGTAGCTATCACAACAGCATGTTGCTTAAATTACGATGTGATGCATCGTAAGACATCCCCTACGGCACGCTACTAATCGGGCAAGTGAGAATGCAGCTTGTGATTCACGAACTCAAGGGGTTATCTTGTGTCGGTTAAGATATGGTCCTCCTCGCAAGGCAGACTCGGGAGGCATAAGAAGCTCGGTACGAAAATCGCTTCATCGAACCATACCGAACAAAGTCATAAACTGACAAGGAAGACTTCAATATACTAGATATCAAACAACTTTAATTATTAAGCCTTATGAAAGCTACTTGTAAGGGATCCATATTATCACTACATTAAATCAATATAGAAACGGCGGTACTAAGAGATAATGACATATCGATTCCTATCACGATTTATGCGAAAGATCTTGCCATCAGTTACCTTAGGTTAAGTACTTTACACATTAAGAATAAGTGAGAACAAATTCAACAGTCATAGGACCTAATATTGATAAAGTAACCCTATCCCCCGAGAAAGACGTATAAATACTGCCTTGGGACGAAAAGGAGCGTTTTACCTAGCATATTTTCTAACATAAAATACTTATAAGCGACTGCTGATCGATTTCGGTATAATTGATGACATATCCTTCCAGTTTGATGGTGAGCATATTACGAAACTAACACCCTAATAGATATAAGACAGCTTTCGGATTAATCTAGTCCTACACTACCATACACAGCCTCATTATATGTACTCAAGTGGGCAAGCCGAGGCAGAGGTGGAGAGATCTAACAAATACGCGGGTTGATTCTACTTGAGATATCAAATAAAACCCAAAGAGGTATATATATATGCATTTAAATACGACTGTCGGTTTGTCTTGAATATTAAATAATTACACGGTATCGAGTTGAGTTGTGAAGAATGTTCGAATTATAGAGCAACAATTAACAGGCCTCGGAGTTGCTTCATGCCCAGAGTGAGGGAAATAGCATAAACAAAGTATATGAAGAAAATGCCTCATACTATGTAACACTAGAGTCACATTTAGGGTGGCTATGTCCTCCCTCGGTGGACGGGAGCTACAGCTAGTAGAACAGTAAATGTGCAATATTTTCTACAGTGGCCTAATAGAAACTGATATATCAGACACTTGTGTGTATTTGAAGACACTCCTCCTCCCTATTTATAGTATGGTATGCTTAGGTATGTAGGCCTTACCTCATACATATTATTCATAGTTTTTAAGTGTTTCCAATTATCATTTAAGCTGTGTTATATATATTCAACTTACAACAGGTAATTAGAATCAGATGCCGCTTATTGTGATTCTGAACATCTGTTATTAGACTATAGGTTACCAGGGCCCTAGACTACGGAATTATCATTATGTAACTAAAACAAAGTTCCGTTCTATCTTGTAATATATATAGTTGAAACTTGATCTATAATATTCTTCAGTAGGTTGGCGCTTGGGCGTGACTGGAAAGGTATATTGGGTATATTGCATATACAATCTCAAACAGGAATTCTTGTTAAAATCAAAGCGAGCAGGTATAAGTAATTCGTCCCAAGATGAGACCCTACAAAACTTAGCAATATATCGGAAGATCACCTTTCTGTTTCGACCAAGGTTACACTCGGGTGTCTGACCGAGTACAAATGTGTAATTGCTGTATATGGAATCAGGCATATATGGGAGCACTATTTAGATTACATTCGCACAAGGCAGACTTTAAAGGATACCTAAGGTAAGGCTGACATGATCTTAGGTAATAGTAGGATCCCTTCCTATTTGTAATTATTAACGGTATGAGCCTCAAACTATCATGAGACAAAAACATCTGATAAGATAAATAGAACATAAAAGCTGATACATCTTTTCTTAACCCCTGTTCACTTCTAGAACCATTCTGTGACCTCCTGCAGGAATTTGGAGAATTCGGGAGTAATCAGCGCAAATCGCACCTCAATAGAAAAACGGCTGTTACTTAACTACGCCACCATAAGCCCCACGATGAGTACGACCAAACGTCCCCAGAACCGGACTTTGTTTTATTCTTATATTCTCCGATCAATCTAGCGGATAGGTACGACTGATAATATTCTCGGAATGCGCCTCATGGGAAGACTTCCTTATTAAATCAACCAGTTCCATTTCCGGCAATGCCTTAGGTGATCAGACGAGGGCGAAGGAATAATTTATATCATATGACGTCTTTAGAAATGGAGACTTTTGGAGGATCAAGCCCGATGCCATCTAACAAAGAGAGACAACAAATTCGCAGACTATACGACAGTTTATATCCTCGATAGACTTACGTATATCTTTGACGTAGCACTACTCGTACATTATAACGGTAAAAAAAACAGTCAAGTATCATATCTTATTTCGCAGAAATAGCCGGAGTCAAAATACCACATCTGGATAGATATAAATGATATAAGCGAAAAGGTAAGTTGAGGCTAAATGCCATCTTTACTAATTCCTCATGGAGTATTCGATGTGCAAGCTCCGCATCAACGATATATACGATGGATGCATAAGATAGGATCCCAAGCCGCCTATGGCTTAGATACGTATGTAGTAGACAAGAATTTACATGTCTAGAGAGAGAAAAACGATATTGGCTACCCAAGAGAACAATGAAGAAGGCACCAGGGCTCATCGCACTACTCTCCTGGCGGTGCGCCGCCGCCGCCGCAGCCTCTTCCATCCAGACCAAAAGGCAGAATCCAAACACCATCTATCCGCCCTGCACACAAGACGGATACAAGCACTTCTTGATCCGGAACTGGCATAGCACAACATACAACGACAGCACCGAAGTCTTCACCTTCGAGCTCCAAGCCAATTTCAGCGGGTACGCAGCGCCGTGCCACGGGACGCGCAAGGGCGACGACAATAGCGGATGGACATCATGCGACGGCGATAAAGATAATACCTCGGACCCGAGATTCGCCGTCTCTTTCGATTTCTCGTCCAACGACTACCTCAGCGTCAACCACACGTACATATGCGACCGCGGCGACACCGAAACAGACCCGCACAACCGCCTCGCAAACGTTCTCGCGACGGGCGACGGACGACTACAAATCGGGCTCGTCGACACGCCCGAGGGCCATTTCACAGGCACCGAAGGGGATAACATGACCATCGCAGCGTACCCCGAAGTCGCGCATCGCCTACCGAAAGCCGACTGCGCAGCAGCATACGATTTCAGCGAATGGGAAGTACGAGAATTCAAATTCGGCGCTCGGATGCAAGCCGGCAACCCGTGGATCATCGGAACAACGGTAGCAAGTATCAATTACGACTTGTATAACGCGGCGATTGATTATCTGATCAATTGCCAAGGCGTTAACGACTCGGTTGCCGCGTTTCCGAATAACCCGGATCTGATCAATCCGAAAACGCGGTTCCCGTGTCCGATTAACTACCGCGATGACTTGATTCCGCCCGAAGCGTATCCGAAGACTGGGTTTAAGTTTGATAGGCGGTCGAATGAAGTATCTATTGAGCAGCAGTGGGATTGTGAGGATGATGACGGGAATGAGTAAGTAACGGCATCAAATTGATTTCAGGGATTAATTTACTAACGGAGATTTAACCCCTTATAGAAGTACGCTTCTAGCAGTTGGCAGCGCGCTTCTTTCGTTAGAATGTCATGAAACTCCTACTTCGGATGATAACCCAATTCCCCAAGCGGTCGATTGTGATCCCATAACTGTAAAAGTAGAGGGGAAATTGGTCTCCTAAATCAGTTTTGTAACGCAGTGTAATATCGAGGTGGATACGGGAGTTCTATGATACAGAAAGTAATGTATAATATTTGATGCTAGATACTATTAAGCATAGCTACAATACCTTCACCTACTACCCTATCAATGTCTCTCTGGGCGGCTATAGAGTATGATGCCGAGTAGAGCAAGTTCAATCTAAATCTGTAGCCAGTGTCACACATCATCGTCTCACGGCATTAAAGCTCATAAGGACCTGTGGCTCGTGGCTAACGTTAACATAAAATAATCAAGCAGGATCCTCCTTATGCTTTTCTACAAATCTGAATATCCAAAACGCCACCTTCGAATGCTTTTGAATGCTTTAAAGTGCTATGCAATATTTATCGTGAACTGGCTGTTTCCGAATCCAGGGCCGGCCTGCAACTGGTCCGGGATGATTGGCTACCTCCTACTATTCGGTAGGGGTATATGCTGAGAGGGGATTGTCATATATCGCCGATCGGGAACAGTATCCGGGATGTTCTCAAAGGTACGTAGATGGTACACTAGTAACCGACAATTCGTATCGAGGCATTGGCATTGACTTCATCCCTCAAGAAGCGTGCCCCACTCTTGATCTAAGAGAGAATATCGCTCGCAGCCGCGCAAGCGCCTGTTTCTTCAAAATCTTCTACTTCAGTCATGCGTATGGCTTCTCCTACGTCGTCAACGAAGCGGTGTCTACCACCCAACGAGTTCGACAATGCCGCTTCGTTCCATCAATTGCCACACTTCGTTCTGTCGGCTCACGGGTCGGCTGAAGAATACCCTGACGCCCCGGTCTCGATAATTGCGTACTATCTCCTCTAGTACCTGAGTACCAGAACCATCCATTGAGGTGACTCCGTGGATATCAAAGATGACATTTTGTTACTGGCCTGTGGACGAAGACGCGGCAACGCTGGATGTGCATTTCCCGTACCGTACAGCTCGAGCCGTCGCAGTCTATTCTTCAATTCACCTGTATTTGCAAACGTCAAGGGTTCGGGAATCTTCACAATCAGACATCCCTCTACAAACTCGAGATCCTGCGGGTGTTCTTCGGCATTAGCGAAGCGATCACTGTTGGGGATCCTACCCAGAATTTGTATACGAGGGCGTGTTGCATGACGAATGACTTGCAAAAGCGACAGGCCAATGCCAATCGCAATGCCTAGATTGAGAGAAAAGAAGACTGTGACGGCTAGGATGACAGCCATAAGGGCAAGCTCAGTCCAGCCCTTGATTCGTAGGAAAAATGATATGTCATGCGGCGCTTCTTCGATTAAAGACCAGGCAACTGCCATGATCAGAGCAGATAGGACGGGTTTCTGCATCGTAGTTAGTTTGGCGTTCAACATAAAGAGCACTTGTCGCAAAAGCTCAAGGGAGGCCAACGAATGGAGTATGAGGGCGGGTCACTCACAGGAAGGTAATAGAACCACGGCAAGAGGAATAAGATACATATGACAGTAAGGACGCTGAGTATAAGGGAACTCATGGGACTCTTCCCGCCTGTACTCTTATTGACCTTGCTTCGACCGTAACCTCCAAATGCCGGAATGGCCATAAAACACGCACCAACAAGGTTAGCTGCTCCGAGAGCTACAAGTTCTCGATTAGGACTCAATTGCATCCCTTCGACGATTTCTTCGCCTCCCAGACTCTTGGCCGCAACCGAGGACTCGAAGAAACCAAGCATGCCAATCCAAGAAGGACGTGCCCATAGCCTCTCGGATGTGGGACATGTGCGATAATTGGAAAGGGTTATGAAAAGTGAAGACGTGGCCGGACGCTGCTTCGACTTTGCCTAACACTGGAACACCACTCTGTTCCCAGCCCAGATGCCAAGCCATGAGTGCAGAGAATACAACCACAATGAGTCTATCAGGGAAATATGCTACCCCTGGGTATCGTGGTTGCAAGCGCCTCTTAGCCTCCCTACGCATATGATCAGCCGAATTAAATTCTAAAGACAGCAGAGCAATCCTAAACTTACCGTAACACCATAATGACAACAAACCCCACAATACCGACAATAGCAGTAAGGTTGTGTCTGTCGCCAAGGTGTGTGAGTACGAACTCAAGCTTCTGCACAGTGCTTCCGTGCGTAACTCCCGGCGCTGTTTTAGCTGCATGGTTAAGTCCTAAGACGGGAATTAATTGGTCGATAAAGATAACCACGCCAATGGCGGAAATGAAGCCTCGTAGGAATGGTCGGCTCAAGACGCTATCAAGAAATCCCAAACGAAATACACCCATAAAGAAGACGGTTGCGCCAGCTATGCCGACAGCCACACCAGCCACCTGAGCTTGTAGAATGGCATTGTCGTCGTCGCCCCCTCCGAGATCGATACTATTCTTAACAATAGATCCGATAAGTAGGGAACCAGCTGCCTCTGGCCCGACCACCATCAGCGGACAACTTCCCAGTAGCGCATATATGAAGGGGTTGATGGCGAAGGCATATAGGCCATTGATCGGAGGAACATGTGCCAGGTTATCAGCGTACGAAAGAGCCATAGGGAGGTACATAGACGCAATGGTGATAGCGGCCGTAAAATCGCCTTTCAACCACGACCACTTATACTGCTTGATCCATATGAGGAAGGGCACATAGTATGACAAATACATCACCCACGAGTCCTTGACGCCATGTTGCTGTGCCAATGTACTAGAATCCGTCATCTTTTTGCTCTTTACCCTACTCGAAAATGTTTTTCTCCAACTCTTAAGCTGCGTCTCGCTAGACGGTGCAGAGCCATCCGAATCCGCCACAGACCCTATCTCACCATCAATATTACCGGCTTTTGGTGGCGGGCTAGATACACGAGGAGAGAATGTACCGTGGTCGCAAGGGCCATCGTGTGGGCGTTCGTGGTGGAGGAGAGAAGTGGTCTCGTTAGTGTCGTCATGAGATTGATCGTGGCGCGTGCTAGGTCCTGCAGGATTTATGCCTTCCAAATCGTCACTCATTGAAGAGGATGAGACGGTGCGACTATGACGAAGGCCACTCGGAGTCGGTGGAGCATGGTCGTGAGGATAGGGTCGACCAGTCGTAATAGAAGGAGGTCGTGATGAAGACGACATACTTTTTGACTTCAATTATTAGATACTAACTAGCCTAGGAACGTCAAATGAGGCAAATGCCTACTACTTTCGACTTTTGCAGGCTAGAATTATGAGATTGTTAAGAGGAACTGAACTTTCGTTTACGATCCAGCCGTAGTGCGTTTGCGACGTAACAGGCAGAGAGGCAGAGAGGCAGACAAGATAATAAGAGATTATCACTAGAGCAATCTAATTGGCTTTAAAGACCAACAGATCAACGAGAAAACTGGGAGAATGCAGAGTAGAAGAAGGCTAGGTGATCTACATTATGCATACAACTGGAACTGCTAATAGTAGAAATGATATGGGGGATATTGGAGACATGATGAACGATATGCAAGATGAAGTAGGAAGGGAAAAAAATAACATTTATTTAATTGGTTCATTGATAAAAAGAATGACACCAAAGTACTTTTGTACTATTCCAAGGGTCCCGTAGGACAAGAAGTGGGTACAGCGGGGGGGAAGTTCCATACATGTAGGAGGGAGCATTGAGATGTAACTTCTTAGTATCATTTCATCTCAAAAGGTAGCAACTTCTTCTTAACCGATATATGTATGTGCTGTGCTTACCATCTTATAATTTTAAAGAAATAAGAGGAAAGAAGAAGTGAAAAATAGTAAAGAACCTTTCCGCTTAAATAAACTTTCTCAATGATAAACCGAAAAAAAGGTTTAATGGTCTCACATATTTCATAAGATGCAGGTGTACATATAGAATAGATAAACCCTAAATCAGCCATGCGTCTGCAGCCCACCGAAACGCGAGATCCAGACCCCTCGCGAAGTCATGCAGTGGAGATGTTAATGTACCACGCGAGCCGCAGTGGGTAGAATGGCTGCATGTATAGAATTGGAGTTACCTAATAAATACCTAACCTACCTACCCAGACACCAATATCATTTCAACGTTTAAGAAATATTAAGAAATATTTATGTAAGTTCAAAGCTTAGCTACTTTAAAAATTACTTGGTATTTTCTTGGTATTCACTTGGTATGGTCATTACTTGGTACGATTATAAATCAGACGTTGAAATTTGGCTGCCTATAGATCAGCTATCTAACCTAGTGCAATTCAAACGAAATAATTCATCGCGCATTCATATCATGATAACCCATCGAAATTCCTCCACGATGTCGTCTATTCATATATCGGGTGACGAGAGAGGGTGCTATATCGCATCAAGCAAGTCGTCGGAAAATGGAAACGGAAGATCAACGTCGATGTGTGTAAGCAAGAGTCAACGATAGTTGAAATGAGTGTACTATCCGAAGATGAAGAAGGAAGGCAGACCTTCATTGTCGAGTCATCGTGATAGCATATGAGGTCTGGCTAATAAATGCATTATTACCTGTGTTGATGCGATTACACCAGGGCATTAGCACCTTCCTCATCCTCTTCTGCTTCTTGAGCCTTGATATCGGCTTTGATCTTGGCATTGGTTTCGTCTTCATCTTCGCTACCATCTTCCTTAAACTTAGGAAGGGCCTTTCTAGAGGTCTTGGTCTTCTTGCCGGAACCAGGGGTCTTCTCGCTGTCGGCCTTGCGCTTCTTGCCGCCTTTGGTGGGCGTGCTAGGCTCGCTGGTGTTGGCCGTTGTCGATTCTCCTGAGGCCAAGGCGAGCTTTTTCTTGATAGGTCCGAAACAAGCGCGAGCAGTTGAGGCGTTCTTGAAAGGCGCAAGCTTAGCGAGCTTGTCCCAGTTGATCTAGAAATACGGAAACATGGTTAGTAACTGCCAAGATCTTGGCCATATAGTTTTATAAAGGAAATCACGAGGTGTAAGTTAAAGTTTCAAGACGAAGGTCTCAAGATAGCAGGTATATGATTGGTAGCATAAAATATTTGAGGAGTTTTTGATAGGTGAAGGTGGAAAGGTGGTTTCGGTCTTACCTTGGGAGCTACCTCAAAGCACTGCCAAGCTATTCCTAGAATCTCCATGTCTCGAGCGGTGAACTGAGCATCCTTGATGGATGTTGCTTTTGATGCCATGGTGATGGATGGTGATGGATAGTAGTACTGATTGTAGGGTGTGTTGATGAGGGATGCCTTAAGCCTCTAGAAGTGTGAGGAGGGAAGGAAGGAAGTGTGTATCTAACGTGTAGGTATTATCACGGTAGTGAAGAGGAGTCAGAAGCTTTGGAGATTCTTCTTCTAAATGTTGGTAATCTGAATGAGAATCGATATACTAGCGTAATTGTAAGTTAACCGCAGCCTAGGATAATGTATTTGGGTAGATGTTGGTGCGTGTGGAAGGTAAGGTAGATGGGTAAAACAGGGTTGATTTGAAGTTGTAGGATGTGATGATAAAGAGGTAGTAAAATTAAATCTAGGTTGTTGCCCGATACCTTAATATCTTATTTGAGAAATTTACGTACGAGAACTGTTAAAGTAGGAAAGAACGGAATGCGTTAAGGTGCCTTAGGTAGTTTGTGCACTTGTTTTCACGAAACTACACGGCATCTACTTTCAAATTCACAGAATGCAGCTCGGACTAATATTTCCAACTGCTATATTTCCTTGCCATAATATTTACCAAAGAACTTTAAGTTTTTATTTATTTATTTATGATAAGTTATATATTCTTATGTGTGCTTTCTCTCATTATATTATATTCGAGCAGCTCTTAATGAACAACCTCCCAATCCCTAGTTGTGGTGATTTAATAATAAGTTTTTACCCGTGCGCATATAATCCGCTTGGTTCTCATGGAGTAATACTTTGGTTGCATAATAAATGAAATGATAGCTTTTGGGATGTTTTAAATGGTGATTCCAAACCATTTGCTCAACTTATCAAACATAAAGGTCTAAGTATATTCAAATCATATAACATCTGGGTACTATTGCAGTCGATAAATATTGACTACTAAAACATCATAAAGGTATAACAAATATCCAAATGGTCATGAGAACTTGAGGTTTAATCTACAAGATCATCTGCCCTTGAACTTTGAAATCCCGATCATAACTTGTGTAGACATTGGGTAGCAAGACTTTCTGGACGTATAATCAGCATTGATTCATCCAACTAATGAGAGCATTATCGATTGCAAGTTACCTAAAGTACTGTGCTATTCGTCAAGATAAGAAGAAGGACGAGTATTAATATTCAGATGTTTCTAAATATAAACTCTAAATACCTACCTATGTAATTTACATATGATCATGGAACATTACGTATATTTGTGAGACTCGGTAAATTCATGCCAAGACTCGGTATAAGTCTCACTGGATAATTTAATATCACATGGAAGCAGCATTTTCCCATGAACAGAAGGGATATATATCCGCCATAATGCAATTAAAGGATGATACTAATATGCATAAGCCGTTTCGGAGATGATATGTTACTTCGGCCGATTCTTCAACATCAGTCGGACTTATCCCTGATTCACTTCATCACTGATTGATTAGATTAGATCAAGGACTAAACTACATCACCTAAGCTTTTTCTCAATTTCTAGACATTGTACTACCATAGGCTTGTAATGGACGAGTCACAGAGCCTCAAAAGCGACCGTCGCCGCCGCCGTCCAGCTCTTTCATGCGTTAGCTGCCGAAGATCTAAGATCCGTTGTGACCGCAATTTACCTTGTGGTGCTTGCGTTCGTTCTAAACATAAGACCTGTGTTTATGAACCTCAAGGTCGGCATTCGGAGTTATCTTCTTCTGCAATTGGTCCACATCATCAAGCTGATTCCTTGTCCGCCGTTGACTCCGATACAGCCGTTTCTCCCGTGACCAGTGGATCAAACCACGCCCGTCACGGTGAAGCTTCACACGAGGATCAATCAACTCATTCTTTGAATGGGTCTACGACCGTTGACTCGACCCCTTCTCAAAACTATGAACCATCTTTTGATGTTAGGTCACTACTAGACCGAATCAAAGATCTTGAACGCCGCTTAGAGGACTCTACGGGGAATCACTCGCGTCAGAAGAACGCCACACAACCCTCCGCTGACCCAGAGCTTGTAGCTACCTATCCTAGTTATCTAGCAGGAGACTTGCACACCATGAGTAAAAGTGTCATGACCAAAACCCGGTATCTAGGCCAAAGCCACTGGATGAATCAAATAGGAAGCGTACGTTACTCTCATATTCTTTTCTTTCTCTTCTTTTTTTTTCTTTTTTTCTCATTCTTATCACGTCTTGACGTAGGTATAAATACTATATATATTGACAGGTTACTTATCCATTATTAGTTTAAGTACATATTGGAAATATTCGACCAGGAGTGTCGAGAAAAGAAGTCAGAGCCGATAGCGATGGTAAACCGGTGCAAGTCGCTGGCTCGGACGGTTAAGGCGCAAAGGGCACCCGTACAGACTATTAAATATGGTACTAATATACCGTCACGAGAAGTCGCGGATAAGTTCGTAGAGGGATATCTTCGAACGTCGGAAACTGTCTTCCGAATATTACATGTCCCGTCATTTAGAAAGGACTATGAGAATTTCTGGTTGTCGCCCGACTCGGTCGATCTCCCCTTCCTGATTCAACTTCAGCTCGTTATGGCAATTGGTGCCGCGGTTTATGATGATCAGTATACCATGCGCAAGTCGGCTATGCAATGGGTGTACGAGGCACAATCCTGGCTCATTTCTCCGGCCCCTAAATCAAGGCTGACCCTCACTGGCCTACGGGTCATGCTGCTTCTCTGCCTCGCACAAGAGACTGCATCCGTAGGCCAGGATCTGGTCTGGATCCACGTAGGACAATTAATGCGCACGGCTATCTATATGGGCCTTCACAAGGACCCGAAGAAACTACCCAAGATGAGCTTGTTCCTCTCCGAGGTTCGCCGCCGGTTGTGGAATACTATCCTCGAAATCGCGCTACAAGCCAGCGTTGACTCTGGAGGGCCGCCCCTAATCTATCTTGAGCAGTACGATACTTCCGTGCCGGGCAATTACGACGATGATCAACTGACAGACGACGACACGCCGGTTACGGATAATCCCCCAAATAAGTTCACAGATATGTCTGTGGCTATAGCACTTCGTGGTAGTTTTTCGGCGCGTCTAGCGATTGCCCGGCTCCTTAACGAAATCGGTACACAGAACACATTCGATGATACCATTCGACTTCACAACCAACTCAGTACCGCGTACAAATCTCTCTCACAACAGCTCCAACGATTCACGCCTGGCGACCGACAACCGACAGGGTTTCAACGACGCCTCGTAGACCTTCTCGTGCGCCGATACTTCATGGCACTCCATCTTCCTTACTTCAGCTCGGCCATGAGTGAGCCGGCTTACGCTTTCTCGAGGAAGACTGTAGTAGAGATGAGTGCAAAACTGTATTCTACTTTTTTCCTTCGGCCGCTTTTAGCCCTCGGCCACTGCGACCTCAAATGAATGAGTTGGGTCAAATGTCTATTGTCCCAGAAGGGGACGACCTGGCCCGACTTACTACTTGTGCAGCAGGCTTTGCTCGCAGCATCCTCTCACAAGCATCGATGGCTATCGGTCTCGATCTGCAAAACCAATTGCAAGAGGATGATAGCTTAGGGCCGCCCACCCCCGAGCGGACCTACTTAATATTTTCAAAGATGCCACCGCGTGGGTATATTATCGCATCTATATTGGGGAGACGAATGTAAAAGGCTATTTATTTTCATTAGCACTATTAACGCATATCGAAGGATTAATGAAGGGCCTAAAACGAACAGATATCGTAGATTCGATTATTACAGCTGGCACCGAATCAATGCAAGACTGCTTTGAATTGCTCAAGCAGCAGATTGCCCCACAACCTGATGAAGCTACCAGCACGAATAATGCACAGCTTGGTTTCGATAGCATGATGGCGATGGATCAAGATTGGGAATATAATACCCCGGTAAGCTACTCATATCCAGGCTAATGATAACAATAGACTAATATATAAGCCAGATTCAGAATGTCCTCTTCAATTTCACCAACATCGAAGCTGTGTTAGGCGTGACTACAGATTCTGATATGATGACAACCGATTTCTCACAATGGCAATAGTAGTCGAGAACATAGCTGCCTACCTACTTAGGTACATACCTTATAACCAACTGCGTACCTATATATGTTAGGCACCTCCGACGCGCCGAATACTGGAATTAGCTGAAGAGGTAAGTCCGATATGGCTAAAATTCAAGAACCGATACTGCTACTTATCAAGCTGCAGTGTATGGTATTTTACGAACTAGCTAAGGGACTAAACGTAGCCGCATACTTATTATATATCTCGCATCATAGAGATTTTGCTCTTGCGCAGACGAAAACGCCCCTCAATTCATATCGCATCAGCCTTTGCATCCTCCACATACTCCCTCCTACTCCTTGATACAACGATTGTCCTCTACCAATTGTACAAGAGGCAGTTGAAAATATCGTGCCTAATATGTTACTAACACAACTGATACTGCTTGCAACCCAAATTTAATGCTGGCTAATAGTCTGCTGTAACATCTATGCTAGGCACGCTATTGAGGACTGCGTAGCTGCGTGGTGCCATTTGAAAATATTTCCTAGTAAGAGACTGAAGCAAAGACAAAGCGTCGGGGCTCACCGATATCTTATTTCTGTTGTCAGTTATCGAAGCGGTTTCCCAACGCTGCCGACTGCCTAAATATCCATTCATGGGCTGTTAGTCCTTGATCCTCGTCCTCCTTTACTTCATCAGGGACACCCTTCCCTCTGATTGTTTTCATGACACATTTGTCTTCTGGTCGGACGAAATAGACGATGCTATAACGCGGATATCGGCCCTGAGATCCAGGAGATGGGATCACTCGATGGCGCCCGGAACATAGTACGCCGTTCGTGAATTTAACGGCGGCATCGCCTAGGTTAATGATAGCGCAACCTTTTTTAGGCTTGACCCAGAGCCATTCACCCGGGCACATCTGGTTGGCCGTTGCTAAGCTGTGCCTTCCTTGCTGACTCAGACCAGACCTGGAGTCCACCCAGCCAGTTCATCAAGATGGTAATCCTGCGGGACTAGAGATCAGCGATAGCCGTACGGGGAAAAAAATAAGTAATTACTTACGTCCCAAAGTCGGTGTGCGAGGGTGTCTGAATCTCGGGCATCTCATCCGTTTCTCGGGGCGGGCCCCTAGTGATACGGACATGGTCTCCCGAGGGCTCTTCTATTCTATGGCGGTTCGTGAGCTCGGATGGATCAATGCCAAGCCTTTCCGCAAGATATTCATAATCATCATCCCGACAGAATGCGCGCTCTTGATATAATCGGCAAAAAGAGGTTTCGCGTCTAGGATAGCGGGTGGCCATGGGCGGCTCATACGGTCGTTCGGCACAATCATGTCATTTTTGCCCACGTTGAAAAACTCGGCAGTATCTCGAGTGCCAGCCTTATCTGTTACGGTTGATCCAGCATATTTGTACCCGAATAGAGACTTGGCCATCTTATAGTCCATCTTCTCAGCCAGTGGTAACCGGAATACACGTTCTCCCGCCAGCGCAATCTGCTCGGCACCCCGGCGGATGGTGTTCCCTGTAGCGCAGCCGTCTAGGTCTAAGTAGAAAAAGCCGCGTCCGACACATGCTTCGAACACGCGATCCTGCTCGACGGCGTCGCCATTGAAAAGTTTAGATAGGGTGATTGTCTCTAGCGAGACCGTAGGCACATCTGAAGGGAACGGCGGGTATAATTCCGGAGTGAATTCGGTATATGGTTCTTCCTTATGAGGCATGGCTAATTACTTGTGAAATATTTTGATCAGCTCTACAATAGTCTCAGGTTATATCGAAGGGGGGTCGGAGATCTATATAGGTACCTAGGATAACCGAGTTTCCGTTCCGTGTTGATCTAGAAATAGGACGGAAACCTCGGGTAGCCGAGTGGAGGTGAAGCGGGGAGAGGTCCAGCGACACGTCTATGAATATGTCGAAGATGGAAGGTTGCGTAGGGAATACCTAATATGGGAATCCTGCAGCCAACTCGACGCCGATCTCAGTGCCGACAGAGCTTCCCCAGCTTCTCCGCATAGTCTTAGCCGGTATTGTCCCGCTTGTTGATAAACACCAACTTCTGCGCGTTATAGTCAAAGGGGGTCAGAACAAAGAAGTCAAGGATATCAAGTAAAGGGTGTAATGAGTATTTTTGTATAACAGTTTGGAGAAGGGTGTATATTTAAGTTTCTTCTCAGTCTTGATCTAGATACCCCATTAAAAATGAGATCACTACCTGCCTTATAGGTTTAAACTAATAAACATGTGATAGCTTTTATAATTGATAGCTATTTCCTTGGCCTATATATACCTTACCTAAGGTGCTTATTAAGGTAGGTGAAACTATAATGATTTGGAAGCTAAAGCCCGAGTCTAGACTTTTTCTCGTAGTAATTGCACATTGTTCTCAACGTACTTTCTAATACATATAAATTGCTCCGTCTTAACAACGGGGTAACTACCGGCATTTGATATCGGTATGTTCACGCCGTTCTGCAACGCGACCGAGTCGACTTAATAGGTAGTTTCCGGTAATGGTACAGAAGGAAGTTATATACTCATGAACATATTTGTGATGGTGGAATAGGTGTCTTTGATTCGCAGTTTCTTAGTCTTGGCCACAGAATCATACGCTACGACGCGGGAATCGGTAACCACAACGGCACCTACGGGATCATCCGGAACGTCAATGGGCCGCGACCCCGGGCGGTTCGCGCGCACGAAGAAATTCTTGAATGTCCGGTATTGCTCGATATCCGAGGGCTCAAAGTCGGACATGTTAATGTTGTATGTATCGACGAAAGCCCGGATTTGACTATGCGATGCCGGCGTACCTTCTCTCTCGCTCCTCCGGACGGACTTGTTGTGGATCCAGAGCCGCATTAGATGTGCCGTGTAGATCCATTCTGTAAGTGGGTTGAAGAGTACCTAGTAGCAGTTTGATCTTCTTGGTTAGGCTTGCCGGTCTAGTTTAGGCTTTGTTAACTCGAGTATATTTTAAGTCGGCTTTATTAAGTTAGGCTTACCTTGCGGTCAAGGGACTTCTATCTATGTTCCCCATTTGCAGACTGCGCGTGTGACGAGTCAGTAAGCTGAAGTAGGATATCTAAGCTACACTTACTAAATGGCATTTTGCGAGCAGATGGTTTGGAAAGGAATTGGGCGAAATGGTATAGATACTGGAAGAATTCGGTGAGTCTTATGGTCGCGTGTCAACGATTAATTTTCTTTGATTATGTTTGATGGCTACGGTGTTAAGCCCCTTACTCTGGTTACACTGCAAGCTAGCGAGTATCTATTTATTCTTAAATGCGTAGGTAGTTAGATAATTATGTATTCTATTCTGGTAATTTCTCTCTTGCGTAAATTTTATCTATATGAGCACCTTGAGACTTGAGATTCCAAATTTGAATGTTCTGAAGCTGGAATCTCTAATAATATGTTCATCATATGGCTTCTCTAGTGACGTCATCGTGACCTCGAAGTTATAATGTCTTAGTCACCGGAAGGATGGCAAAAGACAAACAGGGTTCGACTTGGTCAACCTCGCATACATTTACTTCACCTCTCTCACACGAACTCGTCAGGATTCTAAACATCAGTTGGATGCTAAAAGTTGACGATACCGGTAGAAGAGTAAGAACGAAGCCGGGTATCCATCACGTGGACCGGAGCAAAGGAGCAAATATCTTGTCCGGTAGAAACAAACCGAGTAGGGATCATTTTGTGCCCCTTGCTTCCCACCAAGTTATTGCCTAACTTTGAGAAAACAGGAGATGTTCCTGAGAATCAACATAACCTTAACCTTGCTACTAGTAGCTTACCTACAGGTATATATGACAACGTCGGTATAGTTCTTAGACCGAACAGCACATATACATATTTCGCGCCGGCTCGAAATATATCGAATAAGCAATACTAAAACACTCCGTAAAAGGAGATCCGCAAAACTAACCAAGCCGTTGCCGTATGGGTACTCTTTATACTATTACTCACTAGTCTAATATCCACGTGTTCGTGTTCATCATTGTCGGGATACCAAGGCAATGCCTTAATTCTAAATTGGATTCTTCTCCGCGTTGCCCAGATCCACAGCAAGACTTATCCTTGGGGGTCAAAGTTGGAGAAAGATGGGGGAACGGTCCCCGCTCTTCGGTCACTCGTTTGTGCAATTAGCGAACGACATCCATCACCGCGAGAGCCGACTGAAAATTCAAAAATTCCCTAACTAGTCCTAATAAGGCTTACATCTTCCGAGGAGGTCATCTACATTAGGTACTCTTCTAGAACAAAAACACACGCTGCTCGGCTTGGTATTGCCAGAGACTAATTTAATGAAGTTTTACTCAGTACTGACAACAATAGGAAAGAATAATTTTGTCCCTTCCCCTGAGGCGATTGGGGTTGAATTTGGAGACCCCAGATGGCGCCGTTTCTAAAAGACCGTTTTAGTCTGACACACGGGAGGCACCCGGGAGTGAAAGCCGTTCGCTTTTGTAGTCGCGCTTATGCACCCGAGGCCTTCCAAAGTTCCTTTCTCGAAAAAGACAAAACTCCCGGATCTAAGAAACGGCAATTTATGTCATTTAGGTAACTTACGAAGCCAAGGAATAGCTTTGTGGGGATGATGCGCCTCCTGAACTTCCCGACTTATTGGTAATAAGTATGTATTCCCAAGTCTCTGGTTGGGCCATGATCAACAAAATCTGGAGATCGAGACTCGGTCCTATTACGACATCGTTCGCTCTTCTACATATTCAACGCTGACCGTTTATTTCAAGCGTCAGTTTACCCGGCGGTGGGCTGACCGGGATAGATTCTTACGGTTTGTTCAATTCAATGTTTGACTCAATCTAGGGATGTAAGTATCACTAAGTTGAATAAAAACATCCAGTTAGTGTTCTTTTCTACGTAGTTCCCTTGCCGAGAAAAATTTTAACTATTAGACAATGATTGTTTGCCGACATCTCTCCCTTGGAGCCCACATCAAGTAGCTAGCCGTACACTAGTATCTTACAAGTCTGGCCCTTGTTCGTGATGTTGGCTACCTAGGTTAGACAGGTTAGACTATTTCTCCTCAACAGACACCCTTGGCACCCCGGTTCCCCCCCCCAAATACCCCAAGCGCCAAGACACCGAAGAAGAGCCTCGTCTCCTCGTTCTCCCCCAAATCTTTCCTCGTTATGATTCCTCTCACGTAGTTTGCCCCGCATTATGGGGTGCTCGGATGGAGAAACGGAGATTGGGAGAGTGGCAAGCCCTTCCCTGCCTTCGCCTTCGCCTTTAGTTAAGCTTCTGCAGCTCACATGGGCTGCATGAGCTGGTCGGTACACGAGGGTGGTACCACAGGGCGTGTCTGCCCAGGGCGGGTTCCCACGATGCTGGTTAGATAAAAACCTCGCCATCCCAGCCATCCCCTCTGCCGGTCATCCTTCTGGCATTCTTTCCGGGCTTCCCTAAAATTGGTTGGATAGTCCCCTTTGTTTGGGTTTTCTCCGAAAAGTCATTATACCCACCAGCCATCAGGATAAAGAAGCTAGGGGAATCACTACTTTCAACAAATATCCATCATGGCCGACGAGATAACAAGAGCCGAGCCTTCTCAAGGCCTGGCGGCGAAGCGGGATGTGGAAACACTAGAGCATACGACAGCGCCTGTAGATACTCCTGGAAACTTACTTGCCGCCGCTTCGATGGATCCGGCGCATCGTGCGCGCGTAGAGAAGTCGCTGTTACGCAAGTTGGATGCGCGATGTTCTCTTTTCGTCTTCATCTACATCCTTAACTATCTCGATCGCAACAACATTGCGGCCGCGCGACTTAAGGGACTCCAGAAAGATCTGAGTCTCGATGATGTACGGCTCCCACTTTGGCACAATTGACAATTTGTGACCAACATCTGTCAGGTTCTTTCTAGATCACCATGCTAACTACTAATAGACTCAATATTCAACTTGCCTGAGTATCTTGTACGTCGGGTATATTTTGATGCAGGTACCATCGAACATGTTCATCAACCGGATCCAACGACCATCTCTCTACATTGCATGCGCTATGCTTCTGTGGGGACTCATCTCTACACTCAGCGGGAACACATACAACTTTACCGGCATGGTTGTAGTGCGATTCTTCTTAGGTTTTGTCGAGGCTGCTTTCCTGCCAGGAGCGCTTCTGATTCAGTCTAAGTGGTACACGCGAAAGGAACTGACGACGAGAAATGCGATTCTGTTCTGTGGTAACATTATCTCTAACGCCTTCTCAGCCCTTGTAGGAGCCGGTGTGCTGTCGAATATGGAGGGCGTTCTAGGCCACGCCGCTTGGCGATGGCTGTTCTGGATCGAGGGTGCGGTTACCATGGCCACAGCCATCACCGCTGGCTTCGTTCTTCCGGATCTACCACACAATTCTCGCGGATTTTCTGCCGAGGAGCTTGAGGTCGCACAGCTGAGAATGATCGAAGATGTAGGCGAGGCCGATGTCGATGAAGCCAATCAAGGTATCTTCGATGGTTTGATTATGGCCGTCAAGGATATTAAGATTTACCTCATGATGCTTACCTTCACGGCCTATGTCGTCGGTCTTTCTTTCAATGCCTTCTTCGTAAGTAGCGACTCATCAAAGCCTCCGTAGGGTTCAAATTAGCTAACTTCTACGCAGCCTACTCTTACTGGTACACTCGGATTCGCCGATATTCCAACACTGCTCATGAGCTCGCCGCCTTGGGTCTTCTCGTGTATCGTTTCGCTACTGAATGCTTGGCACGCTGACCGAACTCAGGAGAAGGTGTGTATACCCATTTCGCAAATCACAGTTTACTATTATGCGAGAAAAGAAACTAACTGGACTTATAGTTCTGGCATATCGTCGGACCCATCCTTGGTGGACTTGTCGGTTTCGTCATCAGCATGTCGACTCTGAATGTAGCCGCCCGATACGTGGCTCTGTTCCTCCAAGCCAGCTCATACGCAGGATTCATCGTCTTTTACTCGTGGATCAGCTCATCATTCCCTCGACCGCCGGCCAAGCGTGCCGTAGCGATCGCGCTTATCAACGCGTTCTCGCAACTAGGCAACGTGGCGGGCAGCTACGTATGGAACCTGAAGGACAATGGATACCGCAAGAGTTACGGTATCGTCACAGCTATGTTCGGAATCACGATCGTCGGTTGTTGGGCGTTCCGTGCCATCCTGGCAGACCTTAACAAGAAGCTCGAAGAGGGCGAGCGTGCCTGGGAGACGCAACCCGACGAGGCGCGCGTATCTGACGCGAATGCCCCTGACGAGGCGCTGCGGCTGCACAAGGGATACCGATACATATTATAAGGAAATGAGTTACGCATATATATGGAACAGGCCGCTCAAGATTTTAGATACCCCTTGTCTTGCTTTATTAGCTTTTGGATGAAGACAATGATGTTAAAGAAGATATAAGATAAAAGTAAAATAACACTGCTGAATAGGTGATTCTTGATTTTCTTGGTGATTTAATGATACTAGGTTAATGTATGGAACTTAAAACCAACAATAATATTTACCGATACGAATAAAAGAGGATATGTCCATATTAGCAAATAAACTGGAAATTATTGAGCAATTGGTAATTTAAGATAGTCCATCGGTGTTCTCACTAATTGAACCATGGAAAGTAGAAGGAAGGTTCACTATAAACGTCATAGCCACCCGGATGGCCGATCGGGTCGGTCAATTCCTAATAGATTGGTTCCGGTCGGATGCATGTCCCGCCAGGTCCTCAGTATTTCTTCAGAAGGAACAACCACAGAATAAGGTTTATATCTTTTATAACACTATATCATATAGATAACTATATCTAGTAAAGTCAGCTGACTTACCTTTTTTTTACTATCTCCATCACAAATCTCTAAGGCTAAGATTTCCTCTACGCATCTAAACTTGAAACAATATATATAATGGGACGAACTGAACCCTCAGTCGGTAGACCACCCGCTAGCTTCCGTCGCGATGCCCGTGCGAAAAGGGCTAAAGCAACTATTAATAAAGTTATACCGCCCCAACTAGCGGCGCATCCGCGGGCTCGCCGGGGGATCGAAGCTTCAGAGTTGATTGTTGATCCCCCTTCTCCACAATCGTCTACTCAAGCTCCCGGTGGGACGCGACAGCATACCCGTCGGAAATCTACCGTGGATGAGGGTCATGACGGGGCCGGAGAACAAGGAGAGAAGGACAGAAGCAAAGGCCCTCGTATCTCGTTATGCGTCGCAGATACCCTAGAAGCAGCATACTCCCTACTCCTCGTCCCGGGCCACGAACCAGAGCAGCGGCGAGATCTCTCCAACACGACAGCTCGTGTTGGCGTGTTGAATATGGCGTCGCCATTATCTGGAGGCGGTGGGTTTCTAAACGGCGCATCGAGCCAAGAAGAATCTCTGTGTATGCGCTCGACGCTTCTCCCGTCCCTACGGGATGAATTCTACCGTCTTCCTGAGCTCGGTGTTGTCTTTACGCCTGACGTGCTGGTGTTCCGTGGTTCTGGTAGCGAGCCTCAGGGTAAGAAAAAAAGGAGCGGGGAAAAGGTAAGGGATGATGAGGACGAGGATAGAGATGAGATAGGGGTAAAAGATACGGGGACAGGGCGGGGAGGCGAAGAGGAAGAGCTCCTATCGAAACGCGATCGTTGGTTCGTCGATGTCGCATCTGCGGCCATGATACGAATACCTGAAATCGAGGTCGACGAAGAATCTGGATTTGCCCGGTATGCTAGCGCTGCGGACCGCGAACTAGCCGTGCGTAAGATGCGCGCCGTGCTACGTGTATTTACTGCTAAAGGGGTGCGCCGGGTTGTGTTAGGTGCATGGGGATGTGGCGCATACGGTAATCCTGTCGGCGAGATTGCGAAGGCATGGAAGAAAGTCCTAATTAGCGGGAGCAGGAACGGGAATAAAGGAGAGAATGGTCAGCAAAAGAGGAAAGGGAAAGGGAAAAAAAAGGAGTCAGATTCAGACTCATGGGAAAGCTTCGAGCACGTCGTCTTCGCGATCAAAGACCCGGGGATGGCTCAGGCGTTCGCAACGGCTTTTGGTGAGGAGTTTCTCGAAGTAAATAATTCTTTTGGGGGAGAAGGTAATATTGGTAGTGAGGATGGAGAGGACGATGAAGAGAATGCTAATATGAAGGAGCTCCGTGATAAGATTCGGGAGCTAGAGGTGCGCGCCGGACAGGCACAGACGCCTCAGCTTCGAGCCGGGCTTAGTTCGGTACTCGCTGGATTAAGGAGTCAATTACCAGATTCTGATGATGTTTCCTCCCGGGCGGACCCTGTAGATAGTCGAGGTGACAGGGATGATGAAAGTGAGAGCGAGGGTGATGACGAGTCGACCAAAAGAGAGTCGGGGAGCGAGATGAAAACCGAAGCGGGCATTATAACGAGAGTTAAAATTTAAATAAACCAATTCGAACCTGTACGTTTTTCTATAAATGTCTTACGATACGGCTAGTATAAGACAAAATGCATAGGTACTTAGATGAGACATACTGGAAAGCAAAACCTTGTCTAAGAATACTATCAAATAAGTTCATTGGAATTCCACTTGTAACCACTCAAGCCCTTGCCTAAGGGAGTCGAATCGCTAATCTTCCCCCCAGTATAACACAATTCTCTGCATAGGGTATAGTAGAGATCGGATTTCTCTTCTCATTCAATATTCACTTTTGTAAAATTTATTATTACAATTCATGCGGCATAATGCTACAAATGGATCTCATCCCTTGTCTATGACCAATCATTTCCCTGACGCCCCTGGGTACATAATTTTTCTTCATTCACAGAAGCAGCTCAAGAGGGTTCTCTACCACCTTCTTGAATTCCTTGATCCATTCGGCACCGACTGCGCCGTCAACTACCTTGTGGTCGAAGCTTCCAGTGACTGTGATCTGGTCATCCCACTCGACACTGGTACCATCCTCACCGGAGGGGATAGCAACCTTCTTCGTGGTACCGACAGCTAGGATAGCAGCCTGAGGGGGGTTGATGACGGCGGTGAAGTTGTCGACGGCAGCGTTCATGCCCATGTTGGAGATGGAGATAGTACCACCCTGGTATTCTTCCGGCTTGAGCTTGTTGTCGCGGGCCTTCTTGGCGAGCTCCTTGACCTTGGACGAGATAGATTCTAGACCGCGGGCCTCAACACCAGTAACGATAGGAGTGATTAAACCGCTGGGGGTGGCGACAGCGACAGAAACATCGACACTGTTGTACTGGCGGATAGCATCACCCGTCCAGGCCGAGTTGGCAGCAGGGACCTTCTTAGAAGCAACAGCGATGGCCTTGATAAGGAAATCGTTAACAGACAGCTTGTACTTGCCGTCGGACGAGCTGTTTAGAGCTTGTCGGAGCTTTAGAAGCTTGGAAACGGAGATCTGGCTGCTGACGAAGAAGTGAGGGTTCTCCCTGACGGACTCTTGTAGGCGCTTGGCGATGGTCTTTCGCATGTTGGATAGGGGGGTATCTTCGTAAGAGGCAACAGGGGAGGCAGAGGAACCGGTAGTTGTGGTGGCTTTCTTAACATCGTCTTCCGTAATCTTACCACCGGGGCCGGTACCCTTAAGAGCAGAGACGACAACCCTTCTCCTTAGCCAATCGCTGGGCTTCCGGAGTTATGTTAGGTAGTCGCTCAAGAGCGGGCTCGATCTTTCTTCTTCGTGAGAGTATTGTTCCGGCTCTTGGGCAGGCGTCGGGGCCGGAGCGGAGGTGGCATTAGACGGCGCATCCGACTTCTTTTCCTCCTTACCTCCCGGTGCTGCGGCGTTACCTCCTGCGTCTGAAAGACTGAAGGACTCGAAGGCAGATAATCGGTTCCCTCTTCGACGAGAATAGCAATTGGCTAAAATAGTAATGTAAGCGTTTCGGAGTATGGAATGGGGAAGCGCAAAAAGTCACGCACGTTGCCAACGGGGACATCTTTCTCGCCGGCATCCTTTAGAATCTTAGCGATGACACCTTCCTCTTGGAATTCGAAGTCCATCTGAGCCTTGTCCGTTTCAATCTCGACCAAAACGTCACCGGGGGCAATGGTGTCACCGGCCTTCTTCTGCCATGCGCCAATGTTACCGGCCGTCATTGTGGGTGACAGTGCGGGCATCTTGACGACTGTGTGTGGCGGGAAAGATGCATAGTATCTGGCCAAGGGCATAAAGCCAGATCTGAGGCTTGTTGTCCTTAGAAGGCCTTGCCTTCTTAACACGGCGCCGAACATTTTTGCTATTGGAAGAAAATAACTCTTCCCCGGATGAAAATATATATTGAAAAGAGGAAGTCCGGAGCAATTCGATATGGCAAAATTAAGGAAAAAGAATAGGACAGGTCGGGGTATCTCAGAGCAGACAAGTTGCCAGCACCTGGGAATGATTGACCGAGTCCAATTGAGTTGAGGTGTGGGAGTTGAGGAAGGGAGACGGCGCAAGACGGGGACGTTGGAGAGAAAAAAAAAAGATTAGATCTGAGAAGTTGAGGTGTGAGAGTTGTTGATTGGCGGCGGGTTATTTTCGTGACGGGGTCCCTTCTCAGCAAAGTACGGAAGTACCGTCCGTCTACGGTGCAGTTATGGGCAGCCTTGCCCCAAAACTTTCTAGGGACGTTGAGAGAAGCTCCGAATTGCTAACGTGTTGCACTAAGAACCACTAGCGCTACATATAGGTACCATATTTTTTCTGGGTAGTGATGTATTGGTACCTTTTATTGTGTAGATTACCTGATATTCACAATTATAATAGGTAGAATGTATTATTTACTTAAATCTATATTAACTAGGATAATATGTAATTCTCAAATGATATATAAATGAATAAGGTATTAGAATTTATTTGTAGAAATTCTATTTTCCTTTTATACCTTTATTGTTAAACGTGGTTTCTATACGACTGTGCGTTTATACTGTTATTGGTATTATTGAGAGGTAGAGATACACCGTCCTCGTCGGAATCCGTAGGAATATGGAAATGGGTCTCCCCAATGGATTCCGCCGTGCGATCTATTTCTGATTGGCTGAAAAGGCGCAAGCTAATAGAGCTCTAGTTAAAAATGTGAAGTTTAAAAAGTACATCTATCTCATCTTTATTACATCCAATCCGTCCTAAGAGCTTCTCTATTAAACATTTACGTCGATATTTAACAGTATTGAAATACGAATGTCTATAAAAACTGAAGAAAAGAGAGAGATTCATTTCAAAGCTGCGAGAAGAATATGCCTAAAGGATTCGGATGATTATGAGATCTAAGAAGTTAGGGAGGTAGGTAAAATGGTTGAGCGAGCTTACATCCATAGTTGTAAGCAGCTGGGTTATCAGGGCTTATATCTTATCTATGAGATAGATAAAGTCGTAAGACACAAAAATGACAGAATTATGGCAGCTGTGGCTGGCTGATGATGGAAATCTCAATTAAGGCTCAATTAGATCGATGTGGCTAAGATCGGTACTCGTGTAAGGCCGCCAATGTTACCTACATAGTAGGTAGTACTTCGTACATACATTACATAACCTAAGGTAAGCAGCTAAGGCCGCTTTTGATTTATCCGTTTGTAGTATGTAACCTTGAACTCCCCACCCACCCCTTGCCGCGGTTTTGGACCTTGGGCGGACTTGTCATCAATTAAAATCTACAGTGGAGAGTGGAGGAGCAACCCTTGTTCAGGGAACTTTGCCAGCTTGGCCAGACCAAAAACCTCTAAAAACTAATAAAAGTCCCTACGAAATTCGTCATTTATTACGACTGCGCCTTCTTTTCCCCTGGAGGTATAAGTTGTTAGTTTGCGATATATTTGTAGTGATCAAGGCGACGAGATATATTACATCGAGCATTGAAGATCGAGAGTGTTGAATCGTTCGAAAAGGACAGACTGACGAATCTCCCTGGATCACGATTAAAGTCGTTAAAGTCGCGAACTCGAACTCGAACCCGAACTCAACTCCGAATCAAACCCCCCTATCTTCAACTAACCGACCTTCCTCGGATGGCCACTATTCCTTCTCCTTAAGCTCGGCGAACCATGAGCTCTTTAGTCTTTGTGGTGTCCTCTCTTGAGGCCATCGCTGCATCCAAAGAAGCACAGAGGAATAAACAGCTCGCCGAACTTACCGAGAAGGCCCTCAAGGCTATTAAAGAAGAGGAAACTCAGCTGCCTGACCCTCAGGTTGTCTTCGCGCCCTTACAATTAGCTACCAAGACTGGAAGTAGTCAATTGATTAATACCGCCCTCGACTGCATACAAAAACTTACATCTTCCTCGTACTTCTCCGTAAATGTTGCCACAGGTAGCGCGCAGGAGGATGGCACGGAGCAGGCTCCTATGATAGATCGTGCTATCGATACGATATGCGATTGTTTTCAGGGCGAGACCACTCCCGTTGACGTCCAGCGACATATCGTCCAGGCCTTGTTAGCCGCTGTGCTGAACGACAAGATTGTCGTACATGGAGCTGGGTTGCTGAAGGCTGTGCGCCAGGTATATAATGTCTTTTTACTGTCGCGAATTCCGGAAAACCAGCAGGCCGCGCAAGGAACCCTTACCCAGATGGTTGGTATGGTATTCGAGCGAGTCAAGGCGAGACTACATATGAAGGAAGCTCGCATTAATCTAGGCACATTGAAGAATAGCTCTAGCAATGTCACATTTGAACAAGCAGAGTCTGTCGCCAATGGAAATGACGCCGCCGAAGAAGAACAAGAGACACCCGAAGAGGCGAACACCGAAGGCTTACCTCAGCTCGCACGTTCTCAGTCGACGAACGAAGGCGGGCCGAAGTTGACCTTAAAGGACCTCGAGCACCGAAAGAGTTTTGACGATTCAAACCTGGGCGATGGTCCGACTATGGTCACCCAGTTAAAACCGCTTAGGAAGACGGCAAGGAGGGTTTCCGAACAGACGCAGAGTGACACGGCCACTGAGGCGGAAGAAACTGCCGAGTCCCTCGAAGCCGAAGATGAGGTCTACATCCGGGATGCATATCTTGTCTTCCGGTCTTTCTGCAACCTATCAACTAAAGTCCTACCTCCAGACCAGCTTTATGATTACCGAGGCCAACATATGCGATCCAAGCTTATTTCACTCCATCTTATCCGTACCCTTTTGAATAACCACATGCTCGTTTTTACTTCACCCCTATGTACCATCACCAACACAAAAGTAATGAGGCGACCAATTTTCTACAGGCTATCAAGTTCTACCTCTGCCTTAGCATTACCCGAAATGGGGCCAGCTCGGTTGATAAGGTATTTGAGGTTTGCTGCGAAATATTTTGGTTGATGCTTAAATTCATGCGAGCGCCGTTCAAGGTAAGCCTAGCATCCGGTTTATTAACTTCTATTAATCTAACATTGTAACTATAGAAAGAGATAGAGGTATTCCTCAACGAGATATACTTGGCGCTTTTGGCTAGACGGACCGCGCCACCCTCTCAGAAGATCTATTTCATCATTATCCTCACCAGGTTTTGTGGTGACCCTCGCGGATTAGTCGAGACATACCTCAACTACGACTGCGACTCTCATCTCGACAATATCTTCCAGACCATTATAGAAGATCTATCGAAGCTTGCTATCAACCCCGTATCTATCACAGCTGCCCAAGAGCAACTATACGAGGAGAAGAATTCGAATCCCAACATCGGCTCAGATTGGCAATTGAAGGGAGTATTGCCGCCACCTCTAAACGTGAGAGACATCGTGCCCCCTAGCGAACCTGAGCCTGAAATACCGCGGGAATATGTCCTTAAGAGGGCAGCCTTAGATTCTCTTGTTGAGGCTTTACGATCGCTTGTCAATTGGTCTGTTGTTGGCCGTCCGGACGTGAACGGTGCATCGCGTGATAATGATACGCGCGCTTCAGTAGACGATATCCGGGAGTCTATCGACCCCTCGGCTACCGATAGTAACTCTCGCTTTGAGACGCCGCTACCCCCATCTACTCCCGTTGTTGACGACGATCCGGCTCAATTAGAGAAAGAGAAGGCTCGAAAAACGGCACTAGCTAATGCGATCCGTCAATTCAACTTCAAGCCGAAGAGGGGAATCAAGCTTCTAATCCAGGAAGGGTTTATTCTAAGCGACACCCCCAATGACATCGCTAGGTTTCTAATTTCAGATGATCGACTTGATAAGGCACAGATTGGTGAATATCTTGGTGAGGGGGAGCCAAAGAATATCGAGATTATGCATGCTTTCGTCGATACTATGGACTTTGCTCAAAGGCGCTTCGTCGACGCCTTAAGACAATTCCTCCAGTCGTTCCGTCTTCCTGGAGAAGCCCAAAAGATCGATCGATTCATGTTGAAATTTGCTAATCGCTATGTCATGGGCAACCCAAATGCTTTTGCTAATGCGGACACTGCCTACGTTCTAGCTTACTCAGTAATCTTGTTGAACACAGATTTGCACAGTAGCAAAATAGCTAGGCGTATGACCAAAGAAGACTTCATCAAGAATAATAGGGGTATTAACGATAATGCTGACTTGCCAGACGATTATCTAATCGGGATATACGAGGAGATTGCGGGTAATGAGATAGTTCTCAAGAGCGAACGCGAAGCTGCCGCGGCTGCGGGTAGCTTGCCTGCGCAGTCATCAGGTTTTGCTGCCGGACTTGGCCAAGCTCTCTCGAATGTTGGTCGGGATCTACAGCGAGAAGCATATGTTCAACAGTCTGAGGAAATCGCGCTGCGTTCAGAGCAGCTTTTCAAGAACTTGTTCAAAAACCAACGAAGAACGCCGCAAAGGCTGGGGTCAAGTTCATCCCGGCGACATCTTTCAGGCACGTTGGGCCTATGTTTGATGTGACCTGGATGTCATTCTTTTCTGCCTTCTCGAATCAAATGCAGAAGGCGCAAAATTTAGAAGTAAATAAATTGTGCTTGGAAGGGATGAAGCAAGCTATAAAGATCGCATGCCTTTTCGATCTGGCAACTGCACGAGAAGCCTTTATGTCGGCGTTGAAGAACGCCACTAACCTAAACAACCCTCAGCAGATTCTCGCCAAAAACGTAGAGGCATTGCGAGTCATCCTGGAGCTCGGACAGACAGAAGGTAATTATCTGAAGGAGTCTTGGAAGGATATTCTTATGTGCATAAGTCAGCTGGACCGGTTACAGCTTATCACTGGTGGTGTCGATGAAGGTGCCATCCCGGATGTGTCCAAAGCGCGCTTCATGCCGCCTGAGAGAACAAGTACGAACGACTCTCGTAAATCGACGGCCTCTGCCCGACGGCGAAATAGGTCTAACCCTGGGGCGAGAGGCTTTTCTATGGAAATTGCGCTCGAGAGCAGATCAGACGATGTCATTAAGAGCGTAGACCGTATTTTCAGCCACACCGCGAATCTAAATGGCGAGGCCATTGTCCACTTCGCCAAGGCTCTCACCGAGGTGAGCTGGGACGAAATTAAAGTATCAGGTTCTAACGACTCCCCACGAACGTACAGTTTGCAAAAGATTGTCGAAATCAGTTACTACAACATGACCCGTGTCCGTTTCGAGTGGACTAATATCTGGGTGGTTCTTGGCGAGCATTTCAACAAGGTAGGATGCCACAACAATACAGCGATCGTTTACTTTGCGCTTGACTCGCTACGGCAGCTGTCAATGCGTTTCATGGAGCTTGAAGAGCTTCCAGGTTTCAAGTTCCAGAAGGACTTCCTAAAGCCATTTGAGCATGTCATCGCCAACTCAAGTAACTTGACTGTTAAAGATATGGCCCTGCGTTGCTTGATCCAGATGATCCAAGCCGAGGTGAGAACATTCGATCAGGTTGGAGGACCATGTTCGGTGTCTTTACTGTTGCAGCGCGGGATCCTAACGAGACTATCGTAAACTTGGCCTACGAAAACGTTACCCTTGTTTATAAGACACGATTCGGCGTTGTCATCTCTCAAGGAGCCTTTACAGACTTGATAGTTTGTCTTACTGAATTCTCAAAGAACATCAAGTCCAGAAAAAGAGCCTGCAAGCAATGGAGACGCTTAAATCGATAATTCCGAAAATGCTCAAAACTCCGGAATGTCCACTATCGCACAAGTCCAATCAAACATCTGCATCAGATGGTAGTCCACTAGAGTCGCCTAATACTGTGTCTAGACAGCAGGGCGGTACTTCAATCGAAGAGGGTTTCTGGTTTCCAGTTTTATTCGCATTCCACGACGTCTTAATGACAGGGGAAGACTTGGAAGTAAGATCAAATGCCTTGAATTATTTCTTCGAGGCCTTGCTTCGATACGGTGGTGATTTCCCGTCTGATTTCTGGGATATACTATGGAGACAGCAGTTATACCCAATCTTCATGGTACTTCGGTCGAGACCGGAGATGACCAATGCTCTTAACCATGAGGAACTGTCTGTATGGCTATCGACCACCATGATCCAGGCACTTCGTAATATGATCATCCTCTTTACACACTACTTCGATGCCCTCGAGTACATGTTGGATCGCTTCCTCGAGCTGCTGGCACTTTGCATATGCCAAGAAAACGATACGATCGCTAGGATAGGCAGCAATTGTCTTCAGCAGCTAATCCTGCAGAATGTGACGAAGTTCACCGATAGTCATTGGGCTCAGATCGTCGGATCATTCTGCGAGTTATTCGAGAGGACAACAGCTTACCAGTTATTCTCAGCTACAACTATCAACGTGCCATCCGCGCTATCGCCACCTCCCAACGGACTAGGTTTCGAAGTACCTCTTACGCCTACAAGTGACTCGCCCACAGACGAAAGGTCGCTAAAGATTAATGGCACAGATAGGGGTAGCATTTCATCTGGAATCGAATCTGCTTCAGATGCCACTACTCTACCTCACCATGCCGAAGACTCCTTACGTTCGCCAAATGGCAACGCCTCGAGCCGTCTTGAAGACTACAAACCTACTTCTTCACTCCAGCAGCAGCCTGTAGTGGTAACGGCAGCTCGACGGCGCTTCTTTAACCGCATTATATCTCGCTGCGTTCTACAACTCCTCATGATTGAGACGGTTAATGAACTCTTTTCCAATGACACCGTCTACTCTCAGATACCATCTAGAGAGTTACTGCGTTTAATGGCGCTCCTTAAGAAATCATTCCTTTTCGCTAGACGGTTCAACGAGGATAAGGACTTACGCATGCGCCTATGGCGGGAGGGGTTCATGAAGCAACCACCCAACCTCCTAAAGCAGGAGAGCGGCTCGGCTGCCACCTACATCCAGATCTTATTCAGGATGTTCGCCGATACGTCGCCGTCGCGTGCAGAGAGTCGACCCGAAGTCGAGAAGGCTCTAGTACCCCTCTGCAAAGACGTAATCAGGGGTTACATAGCACTAGAAGAAGAATCGCAGCAACGAAACATTGTAGCATGGCGTCCAGTCGTCGTTGACGTGCTGGAGGGCTACTCAACATGGCCGGAAAAGGAGTTTGCCGAGCACATTCCTTCGTTCTATCCCTTAGTAGTTGAGTTGTTGGGTAAGGAACTTAGTGCCGACCTGAGAGTTGCTCTACTCGCTGTCCTGAGAAAGGTTGGCGAAGTAGGTCTCGGGATTGAGGGGATGTCCGGTGGCCGGCGAGAGAGTGTTGCTAGCGTCGCCATCAGCGGGGAGACACCAACTACGGAGTTAGAAGTCGGTGAGGTTGGTATGGGTGGCATAAGGGCATGAGATGGCGGGCCGATTCTATCACGACGCTAGTTACTGGTGGTCATTCGGCACTTCCCAGAGAGCGACGGGAGCGAGGCCGTCGCGAGTATTGATTTGTCATAAAAGGGGCATTGGAACAAAAATGGACGCGATTAATAGACGACTACGGTCACATCCGGTGTTCGGTTGGGCGGGAGGGTCCATTATAAGCAAGTTAAGCTCTTGTATGATAGATACAATTTTGTTTTTTTCTTGGTGTTTTGCGTATGTAGGCACTGTACGTATATACGTACGTTGTCTCAGCAGTGATGTTTCGTATTGTACAATTTTAAACCCGTTTTGCCCTCCGAAGAGGATGAGATAGATGAGTGAGGCCTCATGTCTGAGTATGTCAAGTATATCGAGTCTTAATTACCTTCCTAACCTAAGGTAGACCGGAAGCCGCAACTAGATTCCCAAATGGGAAATGTGTGTTGACGGAGCTATTTCGTCTGCTCGTAGCTGGTTTCTGGCGCATGTAATACTTAGATCGTACATACCTAGACGCCAAGGTTAGATATGTAATACCTGGGTAGGTAAGATATCTATCTGGGACAATAGACATCCTGTACGTCACAGCAGTTCTCCAAACAAGCTTTGTCTGCTCCTGTACGAAACCAATGACGTTTCTAGTAAGTCTTTTCAGTTCCTGTCTTGGAAGTCATCTACTTACCGATTGGCTGGTTGCCCCTGGTTGGTTCTGGACTATATATAACTGTTACTAGTATATTTATATGTATGCTAGGGAGGTACTCCTGCTCGTCTTCCAAGGTTCTTACACACACTTGCACTCCTTCTCACCCCCAATGTAATCCTAGTCGTCGCGTGTACAACGACTTTCGTATTGTACGGCTAGATTTCTCGTTAATGATTTCGTTCGTGTTTGCTGGTGTTTTATTTTTTGAGGGGCTGCCTTATATTCTATGTAGATACCTACCTAACCTACCTAATCTAATCTATTTACTTGTCCCTATAAACCTAGGACTATCAAACCCCAGGCCATTCTGCTCTTTTCTTAGCTAACATCGTATCAGGTTTGTCATGGGCCGTACTCCATCGTATTAAAGTATTCCCTAGTTCTAAGCAGGTCTACGGAGTTAAGAGATAGGGGCCAAAATGGGGTTGTAAGTTGCACACAAAAAAAAAACATACTAAATTCTTCCGCGCGGTTAAGGATTACGATAGAAGTTTGAATTGTAGTCTTCTTCTATATTAGATACTGCTTATCAATTTTTTGTCATCTGCTTCATCATTCGCGCCGTCTCTATGGGCGAGGGGGGGTTTTGTGTGACTTCGCGTTGTCTACGGGGGCCGAGATTATTACATTATCTACCTAGGTAGGTACCTATCTATCTATCCCCATCCCCATCGAGGTTGACGATATGAGATTCTCGATTAGGTTTTGCATCGTCCGATAGGTCTCACCAATCCTTCCGGTTTGTTTTTCGGCGATAGTTTATATGCTTTGTTCTTTTTTGATAAAGTATTATCTACCTGATAATTATAATTATAATAATAAAAAGCGTAGCTAGTAGGTAGGACTAGTTTAGAGCCTCAGACGATAGCATGACTGCATGGGCTTGCAAGAGATTGCGATATGTGCAGACCATGTTTATCTAATATTACGGAATGTTGAAGCCTTAGGAGAGAGACAAATAGGAGGGCAGTATAGCAAAGCGTGGTAGGCATGTCAAACAAAATAGGATCTTATCTAAGTGGAATGTGTCCGACCAGTATGTGTTTATGTTTGGTACCTCTGTATAGACCTCTTAAGCGATGTTAATACATGTATTAATAGACGAATCAGCATCCGCATCTCAAAGTCGAAGGGCGTTATTCAGTATTATAAGATTACCTACCTATGCATTTAGAGGTTGAACTACCGGGGACAGAACACACCGAGATTTAAGTAAGGTAGGGTAGTCTCTTATTCCGGAAGGTTTTATTATTGGATAGGATCCCGTATTACTCCCCTCGCTTACTTATCTTCATGCTTTACATGACTCGAGTTACTAGGGTAGCGAGTATGATAAGTGATAGATCCCTTATAGTATGTATTAGGAAATAGGGAAAATAAAATACTGTATACTCGAACTGTCTATTGGTAGACGACATCCTATTTACGTGAAAAACTAGGCACGTGTGCTTACGTTAGGGCTGACCGGCGAACTGGAGGAGGGTTAAATTATCTATCTATTGTTCATTATTAGTAGACGTTATGTTGTTTTTATCTAAGACATATATGCGCTACGATGCAACCCTCAAACGAGATAATGGGTAACACAACATTTTCAGGCAGTAGTATAGAGAACAACAAGTTAAGTAATAGCCTACTCTAAGTTATTTCTACGTAGTGACATAAGATTGAATTATTTGTCTTCTTTCGCCCCTAGTCCCGAGAATATTATACAAGAGAGAGATAATACGACAATACGTCTACCGCGCTAATCTTCCAGAAACGGGAAGGAAATCCGCATCGTTATTTTGTCTATTTATGTGTAGTAACTATGCTATGCATATCTTACCCTGGCTGCTTCACGATAGCTAATTAATTATCTCTTGTCATGTCACACTAGTAGTCCCCCTTCACGACTTCTATTCGTACATCTCGTTCCAGTTCTGCGGAAGACTTGGAGACGAGTGTCTCCTGAGTTATATTATTGGCTCAACTAGGCCAATAAGAGGCCATACAGGGGTCGAGACATGTATATAAATTTCCTCTTCGGGGACCTTGTTGCGTTCACCCTCTGATTGGCCAATTCCTACCCCAAGTAGAATCCGCTTCTCCCTTCTAAGCCATCGGCAGTTCTGTAGGTCTTTTCCTCAACGGGAAGTCGACGACGAATGGAGATGTGATACTGTCAGTTTCTAGAATGCTTCGGCCAGAACTAATTACAGGGGGGGAGATAAAATAAGCTATTTGTCCACATACATACGGTGCCCTTAGATGTGGATGGTACCTACTCACAGTCTTAGCTATGCTAATCCCGTCGTGTTCACGATATTCTACAGGCCGTCACTATCCAAAGCCACAGTCCGGGCATGTCCGAGGTTCTCTTTTACAGACTAAAGTATATCTCCTTGCCCCTGACCTGGAACCCGTGTGCCGGGACGACTACTCAGCCTTACCACGGCATGTTGCAAGGTATCTAGCTACGTAAATGTTGCATATAAAACTAAGTGATTACGTGAGAATGTGTGGTGGGCTCTGGAATATGTTGTTGATCCCCACCGCATAGGAATGGGGCTTTATGGTTTTCGAAAGCCGGGCCTTGGTTCGACACTCCCCTCACAAGTCAGCTCCCCGACAGGAAGAGTTCGTTGTGATACGCTATAGTTCGGATGTACTCCGTTGCCTAAAACTCAGCATCGCACCATTATATTACTCAGCCCTAACTGGCGAGTAATGAAGCATCAAGGCTCGATAGCCACCGCTTTAAGGGGCCCTATTAAGTAGTTAATCGAGCATCAAGAACTCCTTTACATCAGTTTCAATCTAGCTCAGCTGAGATTAACTTAGATTGACTCGTGCGTGGGGGCAAAGGAATCCAACCCCTGACCGCTACCTGGAGACGCCGTTGCTGCAGAGCCCCAAATTTATCGGGCTGTACCTTGCTTAAACCCCTGACGACGTGCCTCGTATCGTGGCTATTGAGGTTAGAAGGTCCTACATTTCTATCTTCGTGGCTGCTGGCTAAGGAAGACGAGCTGAAGCAACTACGTAACATACATAGCATCAGATGCGACTCTCCCTTTTCGACGCTTTAGATATCTCAGCGTGCTTAATAAACGGCAGACCTCTCCGAGTCGGAAATGCTGGTGTGAGATATCTCCTTGAATACAACGTTACGCTACTACAGCAAGTATCAACACGAACATCAACGCAAAAAGATATCGTCTAAGGTGTGTCGCATAACCGGCTCACCGGTATCCTCACAAACGAATCAAGCTAGTCGTTGTAACCATGGTTGGAATACCAAAGAGTAATCGTTGCACATTTTGCAAACTACGGAAGACAAAGGTAAGCCATCTAACCTTGCTCCACTTCCCCTATCCCCACGGGCTGAAGTTGATATTTCCGAATAGTGTGATGAGAACTGGCCAACGTGCGGTGCATGTGCTCGAGCCGGCAAGGTCTGCTCAGGAGCACGGAACAATTACAAGTTTGTGGTGAATGGCTGCCACAATGAATCGACCAACTCGGATGGTGCCAGCGAAGCCTCCGATAACAGTAGTCATATTCAAAGCCAACGGCCACGAGAAGCTGGCCCGAATGGGACTATGATCATTGACATGAAGGAGTATACCGCCGCCATGGGTCCCGGCACATTCCACCGGATGCGGCTTACACGTCCACATCGCGCTAAGAATACCAAATGTAGTAGGCCAACACCATCCCCTACGCCGTCGCCCACACCATGCCCGGCTATGAGCGCTTCAGATCGACTAGCAGCCCAATTAGTGTATTGCTTAGAGTCTGCATCTGGAACGGGCCGTGATATGCTGATATGGGGCCCATCAGTGTGGATGATACCGCAGAGACTCGGATCAGAAAGCGCAGTATTGCGAGACACAGTCAAGTTGGTTGTCGCATCTTGGGCTAACAGCCAACGGGGTATACTACCACCAGAAGCGTGGTTGGACTTGCGACTGCATACGCAAGCTTTAGGAAGTCTGAGAAAGGCCCTTCAAGAACCGGGGCAAGACTTGGTGACAGACACAATAGCGGCGCAATGGTTGCTGCAGAAGCTTGAGGTGAGTTTATATTGGCGTATTCGGAGAGATAATCAAGGAAACATTCCTGATAATTATGACAACTAGCTCACATATGACTTCGAACGAGGCGCAAACCAAGAGCGTCACGCTGCTGGATTAACCGCTGTGGTCAGTAGAGGCGGCCACTGGCAAAGCTTTGATGAATTAGGGCTTCACGCCACCTTCGACAGCTTTTTCAATATGGTAAGTCAAGAGTTTAATAGCGTATCAGATTACAACAGCTAACAATAGCAAATCAGCTACAAGAGGATGTACGCCTAGGGAGAGACTGCGTATTCATGCACCCGGAATGGGCAACAGCTTTCAGACAAGCAATAGATTTTAACACAACACGACCCGCTCTCAAAGCCATGTATCGTCTATGGGTCGAGATGACGACTTGGCCGACCCTAGTAAGACTCGTACGCACGCTATGTCAAGACCCTACAGATACCATGACCGCAGCCGAGCTTGTACTCAGAGCCACACCGGTGATAGAGTACCTCGAGCACGAGAATGAGACAACACTACAATCGATGATGGAGTCAGGAGATATAACCGAGGTAGAGAATATACTAAACCCGGACTTATTCCCGACATGCTACCAGTTTCGCGACATCGACACGGCAAAGCTATTCTATACTCACGCTATGTATAGCATTATTATCCATCGAACTCTGCAAGAGGCAGACCTTGTCTTAGAAAACTACAACCCGAGCGTGATGAAGCGGTGCAGGGAATACAGCAAGCGAATATGGATGTCATACTGCTGGATGAGTGCGAAGATACCTCTCGCCGTCGAATACACAGCTGCTCTGGTATTTTCTTACGAATCCGCAAGCGAAGAAGAACGAGAGTTCTGCATGAGAAGTCTAGTGGATCTGGAATATTATAGGAGGCCGCCACCGGTGGGTCAATGGGTGAGATGCAACTATTATGGCTAACTAAAGGGGTATACTGGCCGTCTACCTTTTATTAAGAGCCGGGACATAACCATCGAAATCTGCGGAATAGGTTGTCGGAGCTAACAGGGCACATGAATATTTGAACTCATACGTGGGCTAGGCTAAGCTAATGGTAAAAGAGTACAAAAGTTTTTAGCAATCTGATATAATTACACTGTTCATGATGCCGTCTTCCTTATTCCGTAAGACAAGTATGGATGACTGAGTGATGTATGCAACGAACTATATCCATCGCTCCTAGCATCCACATTCTTGGTTCTTACCTAAATATGGGGCGCTATGAACTCGAATACTAGAGTCTATTAGGCTTGGTTCTATACGTCGGGAGAATTAAAACACCAGGGCTACTAGCTAGTCTAGTCCGACCGCATAGGTATATCCCCTCAAGCTATTACGCTATGGAATTGGCTGACCCCTGGATGCCAGAAGCAACAGAAGGCTGAGTGTATGGATTCTTCAGCCCTTACTAAGGATTTAGGATCTCTCGAATGAATTGTTGGAGTTCGTCAGCTTCTTCGGGCACAGTTCGTTCGGGTAAGGTGAGTATTGCTGCCTTCAAGACATTATCCTGCGCAGTAGCATCTCTTACAAGACTTTTAAGCGTATCAATCTTGTAGGTAGAAAATGGTGTGACTCGCTGAATGCTTAGAAGGACCTCGAAGAAATCAATGAGATTGAGATGCACCAACATATCCTCTTTATCAATCGACAGGGCAGCAAAATGTAGTAGCCCGCCATTACCGTTAGACTTGGCGTATTTCTGGTTCAAGTCGGTAAAATCAGACCAAGTGACAGCACGGAAGTTTAGGGCCGTCAGACGAGGTAAGATTCGTAGTACACGGCCTTGGGCGAGCGACTGCTGCTGGGTACCGAGAGGATGGTTTGCGCAAAGCGACAGTATAATCTCATATACGTCGCGATCATAGAAAATTCTCCGCCACAATAGCCCTTGACCGGGCGGCTTCCTGATCGCGATTTCCATGCCATTAGCTGACAAGCCATCGGCTGGTCGAGTTTCGCAGTCAACATCTAGAAGATCACCCAGGACTCTGGAACCCTTCTCGCCAACTTCGACTTGCGGTGCGCTCAGCCACTGTATTAGGAAGTTTGTAATTATATTGTTCATCCTAGCTAGAATAGCAGCGTCGCCTGGTGACTTGGTGGCCTTTTCAAGCACGGTCATGGCAAGAATGTTTGCTGACGGAGCGGGAGATCGTAGAGCTTGTATTAAAGCCTCTTCCGAAGCTAGTGATAGTATTTGAGTGAAGTTAAGGGGTCCAAGGAGCTTGATAGCTAAGCTACATAAAATCTTGGGATCCTGTTGATACTGCTTAAGGATCTCGGTGATTTTTGGTAAAAGTCTCGGAATAAGAGGCGGGATGTTGGCGTCTATCGAATAAGTGTTAACAGGTACGATTAATATATCTATAATAATATAATCTTAGCTAGGTGAATCTAGCTGGGCAACCCTACCAGTCAGCTGAAGTTCCACATCGTCGAATAGCTTAAGAGTTGATTCTAGGCTCGGATCTGCGATGAGTTCATCCAAATGCTTTTCTAATTCCTCAACACCGGTGACTGGGATCGTATCTATATCCATTTTAACGACGACCCGGCTCATTATGAAGCCTGAGAAGTTATGAATAGGGAAGAAGATATCTGGATATGGGGAGATATTATCATGTAAGTCCAGGCAGACAAACGATGCGTTGTATTAGTAAAGTTGACAGTTGACTTTCAGGGATGAAGATGGGATCTCCAAAAGACTGGAACTAAAAGAAAGCTATAACCTTAGTGGGGGCGGGGCTATGGAACAGCTAGGTGTGTACCCCACAATAGGTACATTGGAGATGTACATATATAAAGTATCTACGTACCTACAGACCCCACCAAGTCCCCGCCGAAATTTTGAGAAAGCTTGACTCTAAATTCATCCTTTTTCAAAATAATCACAATTTTGCAATTCACATTCGATAACAAGCTATATCCAACAACCACAACATCTTCAATAAGAGGTCACTTCATGCATAAAAATGTCAGGTCGCGGCGGTAGAGGAGGTCGAGGGGGCCGTGGTGGCCGCGGTGGTTTCGCAGCAGGTCGCAAGGCCGCGCCCCAAGGAATGCCTGGCGCCGACGAGCCTGGTCTGATGTTCAATGAGAAGCCTCAAGACACATATCCCGTAAGCTAACACCTCCTTCCCATCTACCTACCTACAAAGACTCAATTTATAAGCAATATTAACATCGCGATCCCCTCCTAGAAATCCTACAACCCCCCCATCGCACCCCCCCTCGACGACTCCGAATCCCGCGCCATAGCCTCCTTCGTCGCGTTCCGACGCGCCTTCCACAGCACGCCCTTCTACACGCACCGACACCTAGCCAACACGACCGGCGACGCAGCAACATCCAAGCCCGCCGACCCCGTGCGCCGCTCCTACGGACAGCCGCAAATCAACGCGCGCTTCGCTGTCAAGAACCGCGCCACCCTAGACCCCTTCCAAGCCGTGCCCATGTACAGCCACAAGTTCGCCGACGAGACGCGCACGCTTCCCGACCTGAAGGCCCGCGAGCACGAGTACGTCCGCGCCCTGTTCCCCGAGGAGCTATGGGCCACGTTGGACGGGAAGGATATGGGCGGGCCTAAGGGCGGGTTTCTGGGGAGCAAAGCGTCGCGGGAGAAGAGGGGCGTTAAGCGCAAAGCGATGGTAGTAGATGGCGACCCGTTTGCTAGTGATGACGAGGGAACCGGAACTAGAGCAGATGGCCTGCGCAGACGTCCGCACGAGGACGAGACGGAGGAGGAGCGCAAGGCGCGCATCGACGCGGCGATAAAAGATGGTGATAATGAGGATCCAGCCAACCCCGAGGACGTGGACTTGGACGAGGAGGAAGAAGAGATGTCGCAAGAAGACGATGATTACGGAGATGACGAGGGCGGCGATTACGATGCGGAGGCTTACTTCGACGCGGGAGACAACGACGACTATGGGGAAGATGAAGGGGTTGGGGAGAGCGCTATGGATTTTTAGTCGCTTATTTCCGAAATTGAAGTTGAAGTCTAATTGCATTGGGGTTGGCGTTCACGAAGGAAGGGCCTTGTATTAGATATATCACAAGGCCTATGATACCATGGCATTTTGGCATATTAGCATTTCTTAAAACGAATAGAAGAACTCTTGCTTAACACCGATCTTCTCTAAATTATATACAAACCTCTCATCACGAGTATGTATCAAATGGTCCGATATGGGCTTTTACCTTAACACATAAATTCAAGGACAATAGAGATATTAGCTTTACTGAATTATACACACCATAATACGCCTTGTATTGCCATCTATCCGCTGGAGAACCATTAATTGAATATCTAGAAAGGTTTAACCCCTTTTTCTCTTCTCCCGCAATACTCGCTGACCGATAATGCCAATAAAAAAAGAACAGGGTAAGATGAACCCATATAAAAGTAAAAGGGATCCGGATCAAAAGAATGAAGTAATGGAAGAACCATGAAGAATATATCCCGACTTAGAATGCAAGCTGTCTTGTGCTATTTGAAACGCGCTTCTTTACCTGCAACTTCGTACCCTTATCCTCGCCCCTCGTTCGGAACCAGATGCGATCTTGGAAATGCTAGTTACTCGTTAAAAATAGCTACGCATGGCATCTTGGTATCCGGTGCCTCCCTTAAGGTCTTGCTCAAAGTTTTGCTGCACATTGAGGACCTCGCGAATATGGCGCATGCTGAGGGGCTCTCCTTTATTAACAGCAAGTGCTTGGGCAGTGCCAATTGTGTTCTTGATCTGCCGACCGTTTAGGTTGTGTCGTGCTAAGCTTGTATAATCCTCCTCATCGAACGGCATCAAGTCGATACCTGCGACTACTCGGGCACGTTCGATAAAAATCTTGAAGATAGCTTTCTTCGCCTTCACATCCAAATCGTCGTATCGCAGCGCGATGTGGATCCGAGATTGGAAAGCGTCATCGAAAGTCTACAAATGATTAATTCTAGCGTTAGTTCCCTATCACCCAATATGGACAGAATAGGAGTGAAAAGAATACATACCTGCACACGATTCGTAGTGAGGAATAATATGCCCTGGAAATATTCCAGCTGCCGGAGGAATATGCTCACAAGAGCATTCCGATGGATGTCATGCATATTCCGTTTCTCCAGAAATACGTCGGCCTCGTCGAGTAGGAGAATAGCGCCCCAGGCATGACATATGTCGAGGATCTTCTGTAGCTCTGCTTCAAGATAGCGAGAGTCGGTTCCAAGATCACCGGCTGATACCATATACAAAGGGCACTTGAGATACTCGCTTATACCCTCTGCCGTCAACGTCTTCCCGGTCCCAGGAGGCCCATGTAAGACAGCTACTAAGCCCTTGCCCTTGCCCTGAATAACATCATCGATACTTGCGGCTGGGTGGTACTTATGAGACTCCACCAAAGCCTTGGGATTCTAAGTTAGCGAAAAGTTCAACAACTACAGAAGCCAGCTTAGGCGGCTGCTTTTGTATCTAATAATAGATAGAAAATAAAGCTTCATCACTTACCTTGACTATTTCCTTGGTGTTTGACTGTAAGACCAACGAGTCGTAAGCATGCTCGTTCCACGAAATCTCCTTAATGCCAGAAACGGTGAACTCAAGCCAGAGCTTCTCGGCAAACGCAAATCCTAAGACGACAGGTGAGGCAATCAAGTATTCCTCGTCGGTAAAGACTGGTGGGGTGTCAGCATTTCCGTCTTCCCCAGCACCCACTTCGTCGTTCTTGCCACTCTCATCGTTTTTACCCTTCTCCTTCTCATCCTTGCTAGGAACTTGATCAAGCTTCTCTTTCGGCGTCTCCGAGTCAATGAAATCTTTAGGTACGCGCACAGTGCGTACATTTCCCTTATTGTCCTTGTATACCTTGGTCACAAATTTAACTTTGCCACTGCCGTCTCCGGCGGCACCTTCGAGGCCGGCATCACCAGTACCCCCGGTATCGTCTCCCGAGTCACACCCACAATCTTCAGCCTCATCGTCGCTATCATCGTCGTCGCTAAGGACGTCGTGATCCTTGGGCCGTACAAGGGAAACCGGGTAGTTGGGGTTTATACGACGATGGATGGCTGGATCAACCATGATCCGGCCATTGATATTGACCTTGATCACAGACTTCTTTTTCTTGTGGTATGCCATGCCTTGATGACCCTTATAATGCACACCACCAAGGCTAACGAATTTCTTACCACGCTCGATAAGATCTTTGCGTAGCTGAACTTCGTTCTTGTGGTATTTAAGAGGATAACAACCTAAACTCGTGATCTTACGAGCACCGCGGAACTCGGTTATCTCCTCTGACATGCTGCCATATCCGAACTGCTTGCCGTCGTATTCGAAGTACTGTGCTCTTAGTGTTAGCGACCGAGTCTACAATTCAGAGCTAACGCTTTATGACAGGGGAGGGAGACCTACCTTGCCCTCTATGTAATAGAATTCCCCCCTAACAATACTATAATGTTTTTCGGCTACTTCGACCTTGAAGACGCGAGGTTCATCGACAGAACCATACGTAGTTGCGTAGGCGAGCGTATTCGGCTTCCAAAGAGCCCATAAAAGATCGAATGTAATAAGGCCATTCTCTAGCATGGGATATAGACTGGTAGTCATATGAGCAAATTGTGTCACCAGCTACATAGAACGCTTCATAACTTACCTCTTTTTGGTCTCGGAAAAGTCTGTGTCTATATGTTTAATAAGGACCCGTAGATGGCGCCTTTTCTCGTCAATCCATTTCTGGACTTTTCTACGTTCTTTCCGTGAATCTCCTTCTGGCTCAAGGTCCTTGAGATTTTTCACATATGTACGCATATCTTCCAGATATCTGTAATTATGGTTAGCAATTTAAAAATAGGATTCAACTTAAGTAGCTCACAAGAATAGCATCTTGGGGTCTAGCTTGGGAGTCTCCTCAACTAAACTGACACCTTTGACGTTTCCGATGATATCCTTGAGGGCCTCTCGTAGTTGTTTGCTTTTAATATCGACGATTGTCGTCTTATATTTTCCCTCCCAGTCAAAGGTCCTTCTCACATGAAAGAGGTATTCGTCGTATTGGGAGCTACTAGCATCTTCAGCCGTATCTTGGAGCTTGTAATTGTGGATCTGCGAGTCCCAGACTTGATCCACGCGTTTAAACTCGAGACGTTGGGCAACTGGCTTGGTATCACGGGCGTCCTTTGTTTTAGATTCCATGTTACGGCCTGCGCTACCGTCTAGCAAGATGTCGTTAGAACTAAGCCGTCTTAACCGACCCACGGCTGGCATGCCACTACCACGGCCCTTATTCATAATATGCATAGTTTTTGGCCTGCTATCTAGTTGTTCATTCCGTTTCTGCGCATATCGATTACCTAAATAGGCATCATTATAACCCATAGAAGCACCAGGAGGCGGATATCGATTGTCGTAATAGGCATCGTGGTAACCTATCATAGGAGCATCGGGAGAAAACTGGTACCCACCAGAATTGAGACCACCAACGAGCCCTCCTTGAATACCTATTCTGGGAGCACCTTGGTTGAGAGACGAGGTAGGGCCGCCGGGAGGATTGTAGGTGAGGTCCATAGATCCCGTTTGGCGCAGGAGCTGTTCGACTTGCAATCGTAATTTGGTAAGCTCTCGTTCCGCGGCCTCGCCCATACCCCCCTTTTTGCCGAGATGAGAGCCATCTTCATCCTCGGCGTCGGTATCGCTAGTGTTGCTTTCTGAGGCCTTGATTTGCGATTTTGACTGCTTAGTGCTCGTCTTGGATGACTTTATCAATTTCTTGGCTTTCCGGAGATCCTGGCGCTTCTTCTGAATCTTCTTCTTCTTCGCGCGCTCTTCGCTCCCAGACGCGGACTCGGTGTCGGTGGACTCATCTGAGGATGAGTTGGTAAACCCGTCCTCGCTACTGCCAGAAGAACTCTCACTATTGGCAGGAGATGCCTTCTTGGACTTACCAGACTTTCCTTTCTTTCCTTTTTTATCGGGTTTACCAGGGGCTTTCTTTTCGTTCTTCAATCCTTTAGTCTTCTTACTGGCATCTGGGAGAGCGGTCGTAGGGCCATCCTCGACCGGAAGAGCTTTGGTATCGTCATTATTAGGGAAATTGCCTTCATGACGGTCTGCCGAATGGCTGGTTTTGGTTTTCTGCGATTCGATTTCCAAATCCATTTTGGAGGCCATATATGCTAGACAGCCCCGGTGTAGGGAGTTTGGGATTTTATGGAGGATCAGAAGTAAATGCGCCTAAGAAAAGCGCACAAGTAAATGGCTTTTTAAGAGTTTAATAAGCTGGACGACAATATAGAATGGCCTGAAGCTGAAAGGCGGGGAAAATTCCTGCTTCTGTTTGCTGTGGGCACAATTAAAATCTTCAAACGTCGTGGGTGATCATGACTGGCTGGTCCGTAACCTAAATACACCGTGTCAGCAAGGGGAAAACAACAAAGTATGATAAAATAGGAATTAAAGGGTGTGAAAGGAGTCGTGTAATTAACAGTGCCAACTGTCAAAATTTCTTTGGGTCGCCTTTTTCTTCCAGTGTCGAGTCCAACAGCAGTCGCCACGCTGTACACGGCAGTACAAAAACTCTTCTTTTTTATCCAATAGTACTAGAAATGAGACGTTACGCACCTATCACGCGACGGATATTGCCGTCAGTATTCAAGAAGCCAGGCGGAGTGAAGTGAAGAATGGATAAGTGGATGATGTTGGAAGATGGCGGGAGAGGGCAATGGTAAGAGATAGTTGTATAAGACAGCTTCACAAGCGGAAGGTATATGTATTATGTACCGAACTGTCTGAGGATAACGTGTACATCCTATGTCTCTTTACTATAGCTTTAGAATAGGAGCCAATATAATGGATGAATACCCAAAGTTAAACAAAGAGTTACTAGAACGAAGAATAGCACGGCAGAAAGACGTGTGTGTGAATATATGTAAGAAGTGTAGAGGGTGTAAGATTATGGTAGTGGTAAGGCAGAACAAGCTGGGGAGAGACACAAGGATGACTTTCGTGGATGACGATACCTACATATGTAGCCTAGATATAAGTATGATATGACGAAGATAACATTAGAAGTATGAACGTGCGTCGGTGTATTTGTTAACTTAAGAATTAGGTTAGGCACTCTGCACGTGCAAATGAGCAAGTGAAAATGAACAAATTAGAAGGAAGGATAACGGAAGAATAGCAAAGAACGGCAACAGTAGTCCCTCTAGAATAAGAAAGGGCGACTCCCGATGCTACTACTTTCTTCAGCTGTACGATTTAAAAGTAGGCAGCGGCGTGGCGCATGCGGTGGTATAATACGTGCAGGACCTATCTTACAGCACATTTACTCATATCAGCATATGTACTTGCACCTTTTGGTTGGATACACAACCTTAGCGCCGCTGTAGCCTATTCCATCTTCGATTCCTGGGGAGAAGCAACATCCTACCTATAAGAAGATGGAAGTAGCGCTGATACCGATGGTCGCCTATGGTCGCCTTACGGTCGCCTACCATTGACAGGGGTTCGTAACTGAGTACCTTACCTAACGTACCGAACATTCCGTGAGAATGGATTAGGTATACATGTACCATACATATATATGTCATTTGTACGACTTATAACCTTACAATTTACCTAAAGTGCTTGATAATTTCTATAGTTATGATATGAAGAGAAATAATGGTATATTTCTGTACTTTAGGTGCATGCATGTAAATGTGAATCTATAGATGTGAGATCAACGCCACCAGACACGTCTTATGCGTAAAATAATAAATATATTCTCTTGGCTACATTCAACGTTAAACTGCACGTATTTAATGTTCTATTATATGTCTTAACTGCCTCTTACATACCCGCCCACCTAAGGGAGTAAATCTAGGCCCCGACTCACCCCACCATCTGTGCCCACGTTTACATTAGGTACGTAAGTACATTCAAGATGATGGCTTAATTAATTATTTGAATACATATAGGAGGTAGTAACTAGAAGGAGGCTTGGTGTAGCCCACCCCAACCGCATATAGGGCTACATAAACTAGAACCACCTGCATTTAACATACCCACAATAGGTATTAACAAACAATAAATGTAACTATAGCATTTATAGTGTAGTAGTACATACCTATTATTTAGTGTACTTGTTGCAAAAGAGATTGAGTAAATCACGGCCATGCCAGCGTGGTTGCCTTATAAGCCTGTAGATCACTCCGGTAAACTTGTCCGCCCTACTATGCCGGTCAATAATAGTTTAAGCGGCTCATTCTATTACTACCCGATTTAACGCTATAATCCGGTATATTGGCCATGTTAGCCTACCATCTGCCTATCTGCCTATGTACAGCCACTACATGACCAGCCTTGGAACACTTATAGAGGACCAATAAGGCAACGTAATAAATATATACATACGTAAGACCTTTCGTCAAAACATAATGTTATATTATTTATAGTTAAGACGGCATATAAGTAGATAGTAAGTTAGGAACATGGGTGCATGCTGGGCACGCATGGCAAGCATATGGTACGATCGACGGTAAACGATGTTAAGTGCTGATTCCGGTGCTGCTGTTGATATATTGCAGTTCACATGCTGTACGAACCTAGCTCTAGTTTGCTGCGCCGCCAGCAGCCCATTAGGCTAGTAGACATCACGGCACCGGTATGTAGTCTCGTGCGCGGCCACGTCGATTGCTTCTATCATGTCTTCCTCGACTAAGTTTAGGCAACACCTTATAGGCAGCTAGCTCTGGTGCGCGTATCATAATCTAAAAGTAAGAAGGTAAGGAGATGAGGCTGAAATCATGACTTATACAGAAATGGAGCTAACCGGCTGCGTATGTACGGCTCGGGGCAGACTTACGGTTTTCGGAGTCACCGGAGGTAAACGCCCCTTGAGAATTTTGACCTATTACTTACAGCATTTGGACGAGGCCGCCGTTACATTCTGATCAAGTAGCCTTTCTAGACTCTCGCATCCCGCATCCCGCATCCCCCATGCCCCTCACCGAACGCGGCGTTGCCTTCCTATGTTTCTATATGATATGAGTCGCGGGCTATTAAATGGAGGAAAGAAAATTTTCCTCGCAATCCTACATTTTGCGGCGGGCAATATGCAGGACCATACATTGATTATCTGCATCGTTGCAGCACTACACCGATATTGTTATCCAATCAACTGGGCAATCCCACGAAGCCTCACCTCCTCAACAAAATCGACCTAGGTCAACGGAGATATGCGAATCAAATATAACAGCTTATTCGTGCTTAAATAGGATTATCTAGACCCGTGAGTGTTGGAAGTCATATTAGAACTCATATAAGCGCGGGATATTTGTATGTATTCGTCGGGATTTTAAATCGTCGGGGCTATACCTTCGCAAGGTATATTTCATCGAAATGATTTTTTTCATGAATTCTCATACTAGTGAAATTCATCGTTGCTGCACCGGGATTCTGCAGAAATCGAGGCAATGCCATTGGCTAGCCGATAGTTGATATCCAAATGATGCAACTCATAATCCGAGAGCCAGGTCCCTCATTTTAGAGCCATAGCTCAACAGGCGTATAATAAGCAAAATGCTTGCAGTTCAATACAGTCGAAATAAACCCGACATGTATCTCTATATTCCTTAGCAACTATAATTGCGAACACCTCAATTGTGAAGATCTGAATTCTATATCAAGATTCTAGATTGGGATTCTAGATCGAGGCATTAGGAATCATGGACGGAATACGAGACTTGGAAGCTTCCAAGCATTTGAAGTTGGTATAGATAGGTATTTATGTAAATATGCCACATACACTAAGTATTTATCCAGTAGAGATAGCTAAGAGATTCTAATAGTAGGTATTTGAATCAATGCGAGATTTCCCCATCCCTGTACGTACCGTACTCCACCTGGGCGGCAGCATAACGTCATGGCGGCTTGCGAAACAACTTTTATTTCTCCAACCAAAAAGCATTGCGGACATCACAGACCGTAGCTGGTCAAGATAAAATAAAATCAAGAATTTTTCGCATTTGAAATTGCTTTTGGGGAACGTCAATCCACCTCATTGGCGTTCTTATTGGTACATGAGCTAGGGGACATGTATTAACTATACCTTTTTTTTCTTCTATTTCTCCCTAGTTACCTCTTTCCCCTCTTTGTTTCGCATAGTTTACCTGTTAGTTAATTCTTCTTCAAGTTTATACTTTCTCCAAAATCAGCTCTAATTATAGTTTCGATCGTCTTAAGACTGGGACGATACTTCTAAATATCGATATCTTTTAGGTTACGCATTAAAAATATTATGGGAAGGTTCAATTGGAGGAAACTCCTAGGATGGGATCGTCACCCTTCGAACGGTCATCACGATTGGTCATTTCACGAAACTCGTCGTCGACGTAAGTCAATTCACTCATCTGTCAAGTTCCCTATCTGGCTATATTCGCCCTTATTTCTTCGGACATTTTCTATAATTGATCTGAAATGAGCTTCTGGGCTAACACACGTCGGACTCTCCGATATGAAGTCCTCCCCGTTCATCGAGACGATGCAGTCGAATCTGCCATTCCCGCTTCAGAAGTTACCAAAGTTGCCCTCCGCCTCCGATACCTTATCGAACAGTGCGTACCATGCGAACTAGAAGAATTGCAAATTACTCGGCCTCATAGCAAGATAATTACACCTAAAGTTATTAAAGCTGCAAAAGAGGCCGGAGGATCGGAGAATCGCTCATGTGTAGTGTTCTGCCTCTTAGTTGTCAAACGTTGGTTTAAGCATCAAGCCATAGTTGAGCTTTGGGATGCCGACCTGCATCAAATCCGAGCTATCGCTTGCGAAGTCATAGCGAAGCAGATCATCGAGTCCGAGGATGATATACCTTATCTGCTACAATCGGTTCTGCTTAAGCGCTACTCCGTCGTCGTCGACGGCGAGGATACCCCACCTGTTAACGTTATCGAGAAAGCTGTCGATCTTCATGCCCTGCGTGTAATTGCTTCTTCGGGCTATCAGAAATGTATCAACTATCTCTGGAGAGGTTGGCTTGTCCAGGATGAGAATGATCCTGCCAGCTTCGTCGACTACAAGGATCGCGACAATACTACATTCATGCTTCATTTGGATCCCGACCGCATGCGAGCACCCATGTACCAGAACGCCTTCCAACTAATCATTTCTTTCGTTTACTTGGCTCTCTACACTGGTGCGATCAACACCATTAACCCTGATGGTGATCTGGACTTTGTCGAGATTTTACTCTACGTTTTCACCTTTGGCTTCCTATTTGATGAATTAGCAAAGTTCTATAAAGCCGGATACCATATTTTCAGCTTCTGGAACGCATTCAACAATGTCCTATACTCGCTACTGATGGTTTCACTCGCTATGCGCATAGTCGCCTTTACCCACCCACCAGATGACGATTCCCGTCAGAAATTCAACCAGCTTTCGTACAACTTCCTCGCGTTTACGGCGCCTATGTTCTGGATCCGCCTACTGCTCTATATGGATTCATTCCGCTTCTTCGGTGCGATGCTTGTTGTGCTAAAGGTGATGATGAAAGAAAGCATGATCTTCTTTGCTTTGCTAATTGTTGTTGTTATCGGTTTCTTGCAAGGTACGTATAGAGTAAAAATATGTATGAGAACCCACTAACATATTGTATAGCTTTCATTGGCATGGATTATGCGGACGACATGACAGGAGAAGATACGATTTTTATTCTACAGGCCATGGCTAATGCTATCATGCAAAGCCCGGATTTCAGCGGGTTTGAACGTTTTAGCCCGCCGTTTGGAATCATTCTCTACTATCTCTTTACATTCGTCGTCATGGTCATCTTGCTAAATGTATTAATTGCACTTTACAACAGTGCCTACGAGGATATATACGATAACGCTGACGATGAGTTTCTGGCACTATTTTCTCAGAAGACCATGCAGTTCGTGCGTGCACCGGACGAGAATGTTTTTATCGCCCCGTTCAACTTGATTGAAATATTCCTCTTGATCATTCCTTTTGAGTGGTGGATGCCCAAGAATCAGTACGAACGTCTTAATGACATTGTAATGGGAATAATATACTCCCCCTTACTCTTCTGCTCTGCCTTGTTCGAAGTCAGGGCAGCTAAGGATATCCGTCGAAATAGGAGGAGGGGTGAGGAAGATGATGATACCGAAGAGGAATGGGAGCAGATGGCGAACGATATTGACTTCGAAAGCGAGGGCTGGGCAAAGAAGGTTGCTGGTAGCAAACCTAACATCGAAGAGGATCCTACCATGACAGAGGTCAAGAAGCTGAGAGAGGACATTGAGCAACTCAAGGCATTGCTGGAAAAATTTAGCAAGAACGTCGATGACAAGGTTGGAGGTGATGGTTTACTTTGATATATAATACCCTCGGCAAGGACAGTCTACTTAGATTGCGATCGTAATGAGTTGTAGTTTTATTTAATAGTCTACATTAATACCAGTATAGGGGTTTACTTGTATTAAAATGATCAAGTGGCGAGCTAAAGGTATAATGATATATGCCTAACCTATACTTATATGACAATGAAGCCAGATAATTAAACAATGATCACTCCAAGTCAGGGACTTCTGCCTACAGGTTTGCTTAATCTAATCCTTACATACAAATAGAGTCCAAGGTTTATACTTCCATCAATGGGTCCCTACCTGAATGCTCATTGTCTCCATAACAGCAACGCAATGAATAAATCTAATGCCTTGGCCGAAAAGAAACGTTAGGATATCTATATGTTGTAGCTTATCTCAAAAGTATGAGCGACATATCTAAGCTTAAAGTATATACATGGGCTATTGAACTAGTTGCTGCCGTAATGCTGTATTTTCTTTCGTTCGGTTCCCATTAATACGAAAAGGGGTCGAGCGTAGATTCATGGTATTACTAAACTCTATAAAGTTAACCACAATGTTATAAAGTTATTCAATTGCAATGCATCTGCAATTACATAGGTATAAATTCTCGCCCTCCCCTAGAAAATTCCGGTCATTGAGAAGTAACCAAATCACTTTCTTTCATTTTCGAATCTCTAGACTGTATTATTGAAGAGATCCCCTAGGTACATCGAACTATCAAGTACTAGCAACTACTAGGATTCTTTCGCCTCTAAACAGACAAAGCCTTACAGTAATAACAAGAAGATCAAAGATATCAAGGTACGTAATCTCAACCGCTACTCTTATAAACAAAACAGAATTTAACAACAAAGGACATCTAGTTTCGCCATGGCTAGCAAGTCTTCAAACTCACCCGAGCTATATGAAGCCCAATCCAACTTTCCAATGGACTCTCTCACTCTCCATTTCGTAATAAGCTAGCACTCGGTTACAAGCCAGATCATTACCCCATGGAAACAATTCCTAAGCCACCTCACTGCGCATGCACTCAGTGCGAGTGCCCTAACCTCGCGCGGACTCCCACAGTATACACCAGCAACTCCGGTTACATCTCGGTCGAGCCACAACCGGCTTTTTGCCTCAGATGCGAGAATCTTGAGTTATGGGCAAGAATTCACCTTCATACAAAAACTGCAAATGCGACTGTCGATGCCAGCTTAAGCGTGTGGATGGTCAATTGCAGTGTGGCGACTGCCTCGAGGCTAACCAAAAGAACCTCACCACCATCAGACTCATGGGAAGGAAGGCGTAGGGGAGTAAGAACTATAAAGATTGGGGAAACGGCTAATCATATCCTGTAACCTTAACGCTTGGCACATCTTTTAGGGGGGAAGAGGGGAGGATTATAGTTTTTCTTTTTTCTTTTTTACTATCATATTCATCATGGCGGATTATAGCGGGAATATTCCTTGTATTCAACCGGTTTCAAGACGAAGCGGTTATCGAAGTCAACGACTTACGACATGTTCTGGTAGCTTATAACAAAACTCCAGATAATATACTTTCTTATGTACTTACAATAAAATTTGTTCTCATCTATGCTAATGACTTACTATCGATGTGGCGATATAATAAGACTGAGTTGATATTATTTAAATTCTTGCTTAATTAACTCGACGATCTCGTGACTATTGACTTGTCATGTTAGCATTGATAAATCATGAATAACATACCTGTACACGTTGGCGTGATCACTTGTAATAGCGTTGTTTGGTTCCTAGCTTGCTGGAATTAGAATGGCTAATGAGTATTACTGACATATCTCTTCAATAACATGGAACAATACTTGCGGCCGTTCGCATCATATAGTCCATCTCTCACGAACCCCGAGATACAGGATTCAATCAAGTCAATCGTCAACAAATATCCTATGCAATACAAGCATAGACCCTACACACCAAGGAAAACGTGTATGTTGTTATTGCACCGTTCAAATCTTCTTCGCCCATTCGCTTCTCGCCACCCAGCTCCTTAGTCTCTTGCCATAGATGTAACTAGGGATGGTTAGTAGGCTGATTCCTAGGTTTAGCATTGCGATTCCGATGAATAGGGTCTGAGGCCCAAACTTGGCAAGCAGACCGTTTCCGATAGTCGATGCGACGAAGCTTAAAAGCGCTTTGACAAAGTTGATGGTCACAAATGCCTGATTGGCATCCTTAGTATGACAGTCAATAACGTAGCTGATCGATGCCTGAGAGGCGAATGGCACGGCTATCGAATGCATCGTAATCCACACTAAGCACCAAGTTAAGGATAAACCTTTGGAAGAAGCGATCCCGAACCCGATAAATCCTACTGTGCTAAATGGGATAGCAATGAGCATAAGGACCAAGCGGAACTCAGGCTCGAAAACTCCCCCGTTCCGCTTTGCCATCCAAACAGGGATTGCGTCGGCCATCCATCCGGAAAGTGGCGAGAAGATTAACGTGGCAAGGGCCAGGGGAATGTTGGTGAGTCCAACCTGCGCTGGTGTAAGGTTGTACGGAGGCGCAGAGAATATGTTGACAGACAAGACACCAATCATCAAGAGCCAACAGAAGAAAGATGCGTAGACGAGAGTTGAAAATATTACGGCAGGGAAACAAATGAGAGGGAATGGCTTAACCACACCCTTCCAAAAGGCGTCGTCAGATAACCGGCCACGGAAAATACGGAGCTGGCTCTTGTAACTTTCCTTTGGCTCGCTGAGTGGGTCATCGCCTTTGAGATCCATACTCCCTATCGAGGATGCTCGCGACCCTGGGCGCTTCTCGTCGAACTTGGTGTTGCGCGGCTTCGTGTACGTGGTCTCGACGATTATGAAGTACATAAGGGGTAATATTAGGCAGAAGATAAGGGCACTAATAGCAAAGGTACCAGTGATACCCATCGCCTCGATGATGTAACCGGAAATGATCTGGCCTAGCAAAACACCTGTTCCTAACATCACTCCCCATAATGACAAGCGTAATCCTCGCTGGTGGACGAAGAATAGATCCGAAACCGTCGACGTGACCAGCGTCTCTAGGGGAGCGGAGGCGATTCCTTGAAAGATACGCATAGCGGCCAGCGAGGGGAAGGACTATAGGGTCTTAGTATGGAGAAGGAGGAAAAAGCGTAAACACTGTGGCTTGACGTACATCTGCGAAAGTACCCCAAATATTTGATATTAACAGCAATAGTGTAGATATAACGAAGAACGGTCTCTTCCCCCAGATATTTGCTCCCGAAGCCGTAAAGAAAGTCACTGCGCCTGTAAACAACAGGATAGACCCGACCATGAATGTAGATACCATGTCAGGACTGGCATTGTATTGTTTACTAATTATCACCAAACCAGGTGAAATCATCGGGCCAAGCCTGTTTACGTTAGATTATCTGCGTAGGTCAAAGATATAACTCTGAGTCTACTTACGAAGTCGTAACGCCGGAGCTGAAGGCGAGAATGAGCATGATTGAGTTTTTCTGCACCATTGACCACTGCATCTCTTCATTAGTCCTCAACCACTTAAGACTTAAGTGTTGTAAATCGATAATACTGACGTTAAGGGGATCATTAGGCGAGTCGCTCGGTTGCGGAACCAGGATGATGTCGCCATCTTTCTTTAAATCGCTGGTACTCGCTAAAAAGACTCATTTTAGCATGGGAGATAACGGACAGCAGAGCAAGAGGAGCTCTCATAACTGACCTGTATCGAAGGCCGGACCCTCTTCCTCGCCAAGCTTTGATGTCCCCGGCGGCCTGGTCATATGCCTATCCTCTAGTACCCCGATACCCATTTTGAAGGAGGAAAAAAAGAAACCGACGATAAAAAATAAGTAGTATTATAAGAAATACAGTAGCCGAAGCGAAGGTAATGAAAATGAAATGAAAGGTAAAAAGACACTGCCGGCAGCGTCTGGTCGGATAATTAAAGATTGAAAAAAAAAGAGATAGTAAGAAAGGAAGGAAACACATTGTCGCAAAACACACGGCGGTACATGTCTTACTTATCCTTCAAAAGAGCGACCTTGCGATGATCATGTCGCACAGATGGCGGTTGGTAATAGTCCATCGTGTGTTCTTAGTGGAGTCGAGTTGGGCTTGTCCCTGTGTCAAGCGATTGATCATCATCAGATAGACGAGTCGTCTACGTTGTACGTATCGAGCATAACAAGGGGAACCCGCATCGTTTCGCTATGATAAACGATATTCGTACAGAGGGAGAGAGCACGGTGAACACAGAGAAAGGGCTTATCAAGAAGGCCAATGCGATTGATCTTCGTCTTGACTGTTCCGTACTACACGAAATAAGTCCATGTGAAGAGGTCGACGGGGCCGAGAAGCGCGGATCATCAGGGTTATAAAACATACATCCCTCCCACAACCCGGTCGGAAACAGCCATGCCCCTGTCGATCCGGCACGATTTATCACGGTAGTTGAAGATAGACTTAGATGGTTGGTTTAGCATTTCCAGCCTTGTAAGTCCCTTGTAAGTCCTTGTAAGTCATTATAAGTCCTTGTAAATTCTTCTAATTCTTGCATTCGTTTCGATAAACGCCCGATTCGGTGTTACGGACTCGGCATCGGGGGGGGAAGTCTGGCTGCCTTATCACACCAGGGGATGATATCAATAATACATAATACATGTAGTTAAAGACATTCCACGTTTTACAATGAATTAGTTTATGTATGGACGATTCTTGCTTACAAATTATGTGGCTTAACTTTCTATGATGACATATGGCTTTCACGATGCATAAATAAGCCCAGATATTTACGTTTCGTCGTGAATTCTACTAACTTGAAACGAATCGGGCGACAAATCGGGGTGAGACCGACTCCGATACCCCGATTAAAACCACCCTAGCACACGGACGCCATGCGGCTGATGAGATTTCTTATTCGGCACCCCACCTCCTATATGGTCGGTATATAACATAGACTGTGCGGTAATGTAGTTTATCTAAGCTTCATTTTATATACGAAATAATAAGATAAGAGATTCAATTTTACGTATAACTGTCATACACATTTAACCTAGTCTATAACACCTCTATTAGAATAATGATAAATGTAGTTATAGTATAGTTAATAGTTACGTAGTTGTATATAAAACTTACAAAAGCCAAATATAATCTCAAACAATGCAGGTACCGGCTATAAGTCAGGCCAAAGCCATCTCAGCATAGCCCTTAAGAACAGACATCAATCAATATATAAGTGGTTGGACCTAGTGGCTATTTAGTTTCAGACCTATCATCTTGTTAAATAAACCCCTAATGTAAGCCCATTTAGATCGGCCACTTAAGAGGCTTCGTTGTACTGTAGTGTTAGTGGAAAACAACATTAATAATAATATTATAGACAACCTAAGTTAAGCTAAAGATCGGCGGCTAGAAACCGGTATAAACTATTGATATATCTAAACGTACATGATTTGAGACAAATTCCAATCTCTTTTTGACAGGGAGCATCTTGGGCTCGTATTAGTCAACACAACAAGTCCCATTAATCACCTTGTGTTTTCGAATCTTCATGCTGTTCTTGACTTAGTGTCGATTGTTCAGGTTTCTTTTCCTCCAATCTTTCTGTTGTCTCCTCATCCTTTTCTGTCTCCTTAGTCTTGGCACCGTTACTCTTATCGCCCTCATCTGCTGTGTTACCTACGTCGTCATTGGCGTCGTCATCCCACTCAGGTATCAACTCGTTCGTGGCCTCGCCCTCATCACTCTCGTCATAGCCTACCAGTACACTCTTAGCCGCTCGCCTCCCCATAACTGGCAACCGCTTAACTCCTGCATCGCTAGCTTTCTTCGGCACTACCTTTGGATCCAATAACCCACTTGAACTAGCACACTAGCCTGGTCCCAGTAGACGTGTTCGTGATATAACTTGCCTCCCCGCAAAGTCACAATACTTACTAGGAGAATCTCGACTTTCTTGTTAGTCGGGGGCACACCTGGAAGTATCCAGGGCATTTCTTGCGTATGCTTGAAAGAGACGTGTAACTCGTCGACGACACGGTCGGAACCGATTGTACGTGAAAGCAAAGTGAGTTTCATGGATTCGGGGTTCCTGTCAATGAAGAACTCGGAATAAAATCTCTGGAGCTCTTCGGAGCCAATAGCTCCTGTCAAGGTAGGGACATAGGTGACGTGAGGGCTCTTGTGGGCCGTATAAGTTGACAAGGTCTGTTGTAAATGGCGGTTGTAGAATTTACCTGATCAGTGTTAGCGATATTAAAGCTACCATCTTATTCATCCATTTTATATTGTCGATCGGGTCAGATAAACATCACGAATGAATAAGGGTAAGCTTTCCACATACTTTCAATATTCTGCTCGAGTACCTTCTCCAGGTCGACATCTCTCCGAAACGCCCTTTGCACCGTTGCTAGGCTTCTAGTCCAGCTAAGCTCTGCGCTGACTCTATCAAACTCGTCCAGGTCATGTTCTGCAAAACCGGGTACTGCATTATAGGTGTAGCTTGGATACGACACTTGCATTGTCCCTCCAGAACCCATACCACGATCAATTTTTCGTTTATCGGTCCTTTTCTTGCCCTGGATTCCTACTATCTGCGTCTGCTTCACGATACCAACTTCTTCGCCAGTACTAAGGTGAACAAGTACATGAATACCCCCCGGGAACTTGGTACGCGTGTCTGGAATGCGCGTAGGATAGTATGCGATGAGACAGCAGAGCTTAAACTCGGGATTATTATCGAGTACGTGGAAGTGCTCTAAGCAGAAGCTGGCTGCATCGCCGTACGCTGGACTACCGTGTTAGAAATACAATACATACTATATCACTCTTAAGGAGTAAAATCCGGGAACTAGAGAGGGGTATCTCAGTCTGTCTAGACTGTAAACATACCAATGATGCCGTAGGTTTCGCAAGGGCCCAAGTTACTCCTACTTAATGATTCTAACTTCATTCGATACTCATTACCGCCGTTGCCCATAGGGATATACTCGACATTGAACCCCTCACTCCTCCATTCATTAACAGTGAGTAGATCGAAGTCATTGTCTTCAGCAGTGATATATAGCTTTGGGGGAGAGTGTGGAAAGTCCTTAGAGAGAAAGCCGGGGTCATTATGATTAGGACCAAGGTTGGAAGAGATAATTCCTACGTTCCTATTACCGCGATTCGGCATAGCGGCGCGTCGATAATGTTGGGGATATTAATTTCCATTATTCGTGATGGAATAAATAGAGATGTAATTGGAACACTAGGATTTTTCAAGGCTTGGTATGAATTTATTAATGATTAACAACTTAAATTTCTACATCTAGAACCATTTAACCTCATACTCACGTAAAAAATAGTTTTTGATTCCTGGTTGGTCCCCAAAACCGGGCATAAACAAGTTAAAAGATGAAGGTTGATTTGGTGATGACGTCAATGCTGAGTTCAAAAACCTGTCTCTCAGCCAGGGTGGCTATCAATATATGTATGTGTAGCCACACCTCCAACAGAGACTACAACTGAAAGCCAATCATAAACCGGAAAAATCAGCTGTTATGATATCTGGAAGGTAAATGTGCCTATCTGAACTGATTATGTTCGTTTTGTATGTATGCCGAAGAAGTATGTTATAAACTTATTAATCAATCATATCGTCCCTCTGATATGAGCCATAAGAATTATATGATTAGCTTTATGTATAGTCGAAGCTTAGTCGTCCGCAAGGAAAAGTCTTTAGTTTGATCTTAATGACTTCACGTTAAGATTTTACAACAGCCCGTTGGGAATAATTTCGGCAATCTAAGATATATACCAGACAGATAGTTGTATTAAAATACCTACCTTTCATAAATAATCCAAAGAACGTTAAAAGTGCTCGGATAGTGCTCGAATTCAATACTACCCAATATAAGATATAAGTTACCAACATACGATACCCCCCGTGTTAAACGACACCACTTACACGTAGATCGACGAACACATGGGTAAGATTTCAAACCAACTGGTCTATAATTGCGTCTTATTAAGCTATATAAGAGAGGCATTATCTAATGTAAATAAGCCTGCGATGGCTAGGATGACGCAAAGGGCCACCTTCTGGGCTACCTTCTGGGCGCCGAGATTCAACATAAGACAGCCAAGACGAACAATACCCGGGCTGACCATTCGGTATCGGGGTCGGTAAACTCTTAACATCGTCAAGCTTTATTCGGTCAAAAAACTATACCCATCATTTGACAATGATCACTATCAGAACCCGATGCCAAGAGACCGCCAGTCATACAATTACACCTAAATTCTCGTTGTCCAAGACAATATAGTCGTACTAATGACAAGAAGATAGCGCCTTGTAGCACCACAGCGATAATACAAAGATGGGTTCATTCCTAGACGAGTCATGTATAGGTATTTGTAGATTAATAATGAATCTTATTTCAAATCATATCAATCAGTCATTATCATCAAGAAATAGACACAGAACGACTACTTTGGTGTCGCTATCCTAAGTCAATGGTATCAAAAGCGTTCCCGGCCATATCCTTCCATCCAAATACAATATCCGCGTGAAGTTCCAGTTATGGAAACCCTATATCTCAAAACAAAATCCAAACACGATCATCAATGAATGAGAATTGCAAGCGATTCTTGTTATATAGATCCAACATAATCATCCACAGCGGGTCACTGAATATCGGTACGCCGCTTCTCGGCGTCGATCCGTACCCTTCCAAATACGATCGGCCTATTGCAAATTTACCCCTAAGGAGCATGGGTAACGGTTCCTTTCTCCGGGTCGCCGTCCTCGCTCGCGGAGGCTTCGCGCCCGGTGTGTCCGTGCCCAACGGCTTTGCTAACGCTTTCCTGGCCAGCTACCTCTACCGCGTCGGCATCATGGCCGACATCCATGCTCCTGCTCAAATGCTCAGGACCAAGTAGAGTTAGAAGGATAACATAAGCGTAAACGCAGCCCATAAAGATGCAGACAACAATGCCATAGTTGTACCGCTTTACCTCGCCCTTAGGCGGGAGAGGGAAACGCTCTCCAATTGTGGCTTCGATCGTGGAACTGGCGGATGAGACGAGGTTACCAAGCTGGTAACTGGTGCCGACGACGAAGGTTCGGAATGCACCGGGCGATAATTCCATTAGATGCACAGGGATGACACCCCAAGCACCCTGGACGCAAAACTGCTCGAAAAATGCGGCGGCGATAATCCTTTCGTTAGAGACAAATGTGTAAGGGTATAGCAGAGCACCTCCGATGATGCACATAACGATGATGCTGAGACGACGACCAAAGATCTGCGAGCAGAAACCCACAACGGCTCCTCCGGACATGGCTCCCAGATTTGCAACAACTTGGGTCACGGTGACTTGATTAGCGTTGAAGTTGAACTGGTTTTTCAGCATGGTAGGATATAAGTCCTGAGAGCCATGAGACATGAAATTGAAACCAGCCATGAGGAGGACCAGGTAGGTAAGTAACATCCAGTGATGCTTCAGAGCAACCTTGCCCTCCTGCACGAACGTCTTGCCGATACTTCCATTAGCACGTCGCATTGCCTGGTGTTCTATGTATGTGTTGGTCTCGGGTAGAAAGTAACGCCAGATGATGAAAAGGACAGGGGGTCCGGCACCGAACCAAAATAGAGGACGCCATCCGTGGGACGTGGAATTGACTAAACCGCGGGCGAAAGCTGTAGCGAGGAGATAACCGAAAGCGTATCCTTGTTGAAGAATACCGCTCATTAAACCTCTCGTCTCGTTCGGTAGATCTTCTAAAGCTGTTGCAGCGGCATTTCCATAAAGACCACCCATAGCAACACCGAAGAGAGCTCGACAAGCTAAGAATTGACCGTACGTATTACAGAAACCGGTTCCCTATAATTCGCAAGTTAGCGATCTAAAGTTACTCTTAAAAAGAAGAATATCGCTCAAACGCGACGCTGGAACCACAAAAAATGAAGCTTTGCCAACACTGCGCCAAGCGACGCCAAGCTGTGGGATAGTGATTGGCATCCCGAGCTTAAGGAACGCCACGCTACGAGGTAACTTCATGGGGGTATTCATGGGGGTGGAACCCTCCAATGGATTTTCTGGGGAGCATGAAGAATGATGTAAGTGATGTGCAAATGTGCGACATACCAATTCAAGTGCGATAAATAGTATGTTATTTACGATGAAGGGCCATTTCCGACCATAACGATCCGACGCGATACCGAACATGATGGAGCCGACAGATCGAAACATGAGGACAAGCGTGATGCCCCATGTGATATCCGTGTTAGACCTGTCGAACGATTCGGCCAAGTCGTCAACTGTCAACGATACAGTGAAGAAATCGAATGCATCCCATGTCTATAATTCACACAACATATTGTCGAACACGGTCAGCAACAATAACAACAAGAGAAATAAGATGAGGGGAAACTGATCAAACTTACCCAGGCCCAAAATGCGACACCAAAGAAAGCCCATTGGTGTCGATTCAACATTCTAATTAAGCGAATCGGGTTGGGTGCTTTTGTCATGGGAGGCTTCAGCGTAGAGATACGCGTAGCCAAATATTCTCTCGCCGACATGCCATAATGAGGAGGATGCATCTCGGACTCATCGGCAATTGCATTTCCATAAGAGTTGTGAGGCGCTGGTGCGCCTTCGTTCTTAGCGACTGTCGCCATTGTTGAGCTATATCAAGCAAATGAGGCTCTTTTTTGTGTGATGTTGTTCACTGCAGTGACAGAACACACAATGACCAGAGTCGAGAGGGACTCGGTCTTATTTAACAGAGGCCGGGGTGGAAAAGAATAAAAAAAACAAACGGCTTACGGCAGATAATGGAGATAATACGGGATACTTGACAGGTTATTATAATGTGGTTTTCCCTCACCTAATGACAAAAAATACATAACATATGTATAACAACCTGGTCATCACCCCCAACCCCAAGGTCCTCTGGCTTCTAGGCGGTCTAGGGGATTAATCTTGGGGTGGTGCGGGGGAAGGGAATGGAATCCCTGGAGCTACCGGGATGCCATATGCAAGTTACGGAGATGATGATTGGGCAGATATCCGGGCGGATAGCTGACGTTATGTTGCCAACAGTCATGAGAATAAGAAGAAAAATCCGAGAGCGGTACCACCGCGGCCTCTATAGGCTTGGCCTATCGAATACTCTTGCCATTTTTCTTTGTGAGATTCGAGCCAAGAATAAAAGGAGCACGAGGTTTCTTTCATCTTTTGGGCTAGACTATCCGACGATCGGTAGTGTACGGAAGCTATGATATAAACGTTGCGTTGAAAGAGGAGGAGGAAAGCAAGGGCTGATGGTAACCTAGTAACCTACTAGGTTAAATTAGAGAGCTCCGCGAAGTATTACTTCTCTCCCCTGACGGTGGGGATGATGAAGCGTGAGGGGAGAGTGTTGTTCCGTTTGCTCGAATCGCATACGTGCCTTTTTTTAGGGTAACCAAATGCTGAAGTTTTGTTGTTGTATTCTTATTACCACGCACTTACTGACGTCCATACTACCATGCTACCATGCTACCACACTACATACCACCTACCTAGGTATATTAGGTAGCTATGAGGTATGATGTATGTAGGTAGGTATGTATGTAGCTCTTAGCATATCAGCATACCTAATGCATCTCGAGCAAACCGCGGGCCTATTACAAATTTAGTTCGATACCTGCTATAAGGTCGTGCATTATCATGAAGTTACATCATTGCTGGAGGCGAGAATAGAAATGTCATACCGAAAGAACCCGAATGGTCAGCCGCATAAGTAAGTCTAACGGGGCAGGGGAAGCCTAAGTAAGATGGCCGGGTAGCAAACTATGTACATAGAACTGAACAGCGTTTTTCTCGAACACAGACTCATTACAGCTAGGTTCTCATACGATTTACTTCCTTGGCCATCCCCCTCATTTCCCCACGCCAGGATAGAGATCCCACTAGGTTAGTAAGTCCAAAAAGCTGGAACACGAGCACACACTAACATACTTCAGGTATGGAAAGCTGGAGAACCCCAATCCAATTAAAATCAACACTCTAAGACATACAAGTCACCATTAAAAGATAATACATACCTACCTACCTACCTTAGGTACTCATGGCGTCTTATTACGCCACAATATTTGCTGAGGCGTAAACGATTCTGTATTTAACATGCGAGTCTAACCTCTAACGGCTCATCCTAAAGACGTGTGGGGAGAGAATGGGGACTCCCCAGAAAACAAGGGCATCGCCGGCGATTTTGTCCATATCGCCTGGACCCTGCTGTGCTGTGGACCGGTTATGTTATTAACAGGCCATATCGCTGTCGCCAAGTTTCTTATTTAATATTGCCCTGACGGACAACCCAACAAGTTCTAGGTCTAGGTCTCAGTCTTAGTCTTCTTAGCCTTGGGAAACGCAACGCAACGCAAACAATTATCGGGTCCGTCATCTAAACCTATCGCACGAGCTTCCAGATCTTGTCCCTCCCTCCTTACTGCGAAAAGAAGATGCGCTACGACGTAAAAATGCCGTGGCGTCAGCGAGAGCTATCCTATGGGCGCCTGCAACTGCAGGCTCAAGCCCACTGATAAAGTCGGATGCGACTGAACACAAGATCCGGGAGGACAAGACGATGTCGCTTAGCCCTAAGGACTACGATCTGGACCTCACGGCCAAGACTTGAGCAATTGAGTGATTTCACACGCACTGTTTTTGTTGTCGCATGTTTACGAGGTGAAGAAATTGGGTCGGTGGGTTTGTATTTTTATTTTTTATTTCTTTCATCTATTCTACTTACACCAAGCTAAACTATGAAATATTCCCTCAATGCTGTACCCACGATATCGAATGCCCGCATCAAAAAAAGGTTCTAGCCCGCCACGCAGCCTACTGTGGGACCGAATACTTATCATCTGTTAGTCACTTACATATTTGTGCCGACAACAAGAACAAACCAAACCATCTAAGATGAGTCAACGACGCCAAAAAAGGTACGCGAAGGTTCCGGCTACTTCTTCCGGAATATTATCGGATTTGCTTCGGTTGTAAGCCGTTTCCTCGCCACCCCGTCCGAAGACCCGAGAATCTTTTTTTCACGGAGGCAAGTGAATTTGACCTAAGCATGCATATATCGAACTACTTTTAATCACATGGAAGAAAATATCGCCAAGTACACTATGTGTCCAATATGGCCCCATGGTAAGGATTAAAAATATGGGAAGTTGGAAATGCTAAGCACTTATAAGATTCATCGACGACAATACTAGTAGGGCTTTTATAGTATAATATAATAACAGTTATACCTATTGTTTTATGTCTACTGGTTGAGTTAGGTTTGACAACTATATTTAGTCTCTACTCCAAGTAGTATTCTAATAAACTTCACGTGTTAACTTAGAGTTCCAATATAGACAACGTCGGAACTAACAAAAAGAGACAAGTTTTAATTCAATAGTTATAATTAAACCACAAGGATGACAGTAATGTAGTTTACCGATAAAATAACCAACTATACCTATTAGTCGTACGTACTTTTCGGCTTTCTTATTATGGAAATTCCCCTTGTGTTAGGTTAGGTAGTGTTAAAAAGTCCCAACTCTGACCGTCTAGACAAGACGCCATGAAATCTTGGTTTATATTGGCATCAGTAGTACCGGTAGTAAAAGTCGGTAAAAGTACGGCACCGGCCCGTAAGTCTTATACCTACCTAAGTTGCTAAAACTACTGGTGCTTGTTCATCTCTACCCGCTCACTAAAGCTCTTAGCATCTGACTGTGGGGATAAAGAGATTATACTCGCCTATTTTCTTACCGGATTTGGTCCAAGTGTTTTTTTTTGCTAGCTGAATCATATCTATTTAGGATCAAGATGAAAACCCTTCCGTTACTAAGAACCAACATGGCCTCGGTATGAAAGTGGTTTTATAATAGACGGCTTGTCGTTGGTAGGTTCCAATGTTACTGCGGAGCCCTATTGACGGCATACGTAATAAGTTAAGAGCAATGAGACGTAGAAAACAGAAATAGAGAAAGATGACATAAAAATCTCACGATAACTTCCCCGTGGGGAAATAAAATTTCAGACTTTCCCAAGATAAAGCGGCAAAAATGTAGGCTGGTAAGTCGGAGAAAGGTATAAATAGGGAATAGGATAGACGCTACTCTCTAGGCATCACAATGCGCTACGCGGCTATTACGTACGTAATCGAACCAACTTACACCGTCTATCATAACTCTAGCTTCAAATATAGACCGACGATGCCAGCATTCTCAGTAACTAATCGTGTATATCGTCTCATTGTTAGCTTGGCTCAAGTTCCCAAGTTCCCAAGTTTGTTAGAAGCACGATCTACTAAAATAAACCCTACCTTCTGCCCAGGCCCTTATTATGTCTCCTTACGCATCGGGCTAGTTCCAATGGCGAAAGCCGGCAGCTAAACTTGCCAAGTTATCGGAAGGCCAAGAAAAAAATATATCGTAACATTGTTGGTTGGTTCTCCGTTCCCACATTCCCCATTCCCCCATTCTCCATATCTCGCTCGCTGGATCCTTAGCACCGAGAGAGTGAGGAGAAGTCCAAACGCGGGGTCCCCATGGTGTAGGTATTTTTGTACCAGGATCATAACTCTTGGCTTTGGTTACACATGGCATGGGGGTTAGTTAGCTGGTGTTTTTTTTCTCCTTCTTTTGTTATTTGGAGAAGAGGTCACGCTGGATGGGACATGCCCCATCCGGCGCGTGTCACTCAAGTCAGCGTAAGATAGGGATAGGTAGTTCGTTAGTCGAATAACTAATGAAAGAGGAGCTACGCTTACCTACCTACCTACCTACCTACCTACCTATATAAGCTGGATGATCTCCTGACGAGACGCAGTTTTTTTACCTCGTAGTAGTAGTAGGCCCCCGTAGAGTCTAGTATTCCTCAAAAGACTGAAAAAAATGGCTGGAGGCGTCAAGAAACCCGTCAACATCTTCAAATTGAAGGATTTGGGAGAGCCCAAGAACGTCTTCAATTGGCGATTATGGTTCGCCGTCATCTCCTTTGGTCTCCTCGGCGCAGCCCGGGGAGTTGACGAGGGTCTCATCTCGGGCGCGTTCGGTTCCAAGGATTTTCAGAGGACAATCAACTATTCTTCATATAGCGATATCGAGAAGACTAATATTAAGGCTAATGTATCCTCTATGGTCCAGATTGGCTCTGTTGGCGGTGCTTTGTTCGCCTTCGTTATTTGCGATCGCATCGGTAGAATATGGGCTACACGCCAGCTCTGCGTCTTATGGATTTTGGGTATTGCAATCTTTATGGGCAATGGTGGCAATCTTGGAGCTGTTTACGCCGGACGATTTATCGCAGGTCTCGGAGTTGGCCAGACCCCTGTTGTTGGTCCTATTTACGGTATGTATTAGAATATTTCCTCTGTTCTTTATTATGCAGTAGTTGATATGTGCTAACTCATTCGCAGTATGTCAGAACTTACTTTCATCCTCCATCTTCCATTTAAGAATCGTCTTTTCGAATCTTCCTATGTTGGCGATTATTAGGAGACCTTCCAGGATCGTTACGATGGGTCCTCGGGTTTAACACGGAATGCTGACCTGAAATAGATTGCCGAAATTGCGCCAGCCTCCATTCGTGGCCTGTGTACTTGTATCTTCACTGGTTTCGTGTATGTAGGCATTGTCCTCGCTTACTTCACCAACTACGGTGCCCAAATCAACCTAGGCGATTCTACTCACGTTCGATGGGTATGTATTATTCCGTTGCCTCTCATTACATGGCTCATGTAACTAACATTGACGATTGCTAGCTCGCACCTACAAGCTTGCACATCATTTTTGCTGGGCTCATTTTCATTTTGACGTTTTTCCAGTATGAGTCGCCACGTTTCCTCATCAAGCAGGGAAAACATGACGAAGCTACTGAGACAATGGCTCACATCCGCCATTTGGCAGTGGATGACCCCTATGTTCTCTCGGAGATACAGGCCATTAGGACCGCACACGAGGAAGAACTTGAAGCTACCATGGGATCTAGCTGGTACGGAGTCTTGAAGGAGATGTTCCTAATCCCTAGCAACCTCTACCGCCTATACCTTAGTGCTATGGTTCAGTTTCTGTCTCAATGGTCCGGGGCTGGGTCTATCACCTTATACGCGCCCGATCTTTTCAAAATCCTCGGTATCACTGGCCAGAACGAGTCCCTTCTAGTCACCGGCGTATTCGGTATCGTCAAGTTCGTGTCGGCCGTCATATGTGCCTTGTTTCTTGTAGACGTCATCGGACGCAAGCGTGCCCTGCTCAGGGATAACATTACAGGCAATTGCCATGATTTATGTGGCTGGGTTTCTGACGGCGGTCCCGGAGCTGGGAGTAGACGAGAGTTATGTGCTACCAGCAGCTGAAGCAAGTGCCAGTCGTGGCGCTATCGCCATGATCTATATATCAGGATGCGGTTGGGCACTTGGCTGGAACTCGATGCGTATGTAAAATCCAGCCCCTATTTCTAGGATAGCAGGTACTGACCACGATTACAGAATACCTCCTAACGGCAGAGCTTTTCCCTTTGCGCATCCGCGCCCTTTCTACTTCTATCGTGATGACGCTACATTTCGCAAACCAATACGGCAACTCACGCGCTGTGCCTAATATGCTACTGCCCACAGCCCAGGGAGGTATTTCGCCCATGGGTACATTCTGGTCCTTCGCGGCCATTACCATTGTTGGTGGTCTATGGGTCTGGTTTTTCGTCCCTGAGACTGGAGGCCGTTCACTTGAAAGTATGGATCGTCTGTTTGAACTGCCATGGTATAAGATCGGGCGTCGCGGTAATGCGGATGCTGACCTCAAAGACGAGGCCTTTAATGAGAAGGCGGGTATGGGCGGCGGAGGTAGATCAAGTCGAAGTGGTCGATGAGAAGAAACCAGGCGGAGATTTACGTGTTTAAAATCGCCAAGTATTCTACACAATTAAAGAATTGGGGTGTACCTAGATAGATACTGATAATTCGAGAAGAACAAACGCAATTAGTTTTTTTTTTCTTCTACTATACGAGCATTTTAGAAACAACTCATGCCCGCAAATCCCTATAAATTTGACTAGGCAATTAATCCATGACGAGAATATAGGTTTATCTGTCAAGCCCTAGGCTTTTAGTTAACCTCTCCATAAGACACCGCAAATACCTTTGTTAGGCAAACACCGTCCAGTCCCCAGCAATATACAGTTTTCTTCCCCTTTCTGGGACGTTTCCTCGTCCCTTAGAAAGTCATCTTCAAGGGTTGTATAGTTTGAACACTTCGCCGGATGCATCGCTCGACATGTACAACTGTCCAGCCCCGTCGAAAACTAGACCAACAGGTCGCGCGCAGCTTGATGACGAGCAGTTTCCTTCGTCTGGCGGGTAGAAGATATCTACATACCCGGTCTTACAATTAGCGGGTGCGACAGGAGCGTAAGCTCCGCCATTGGCGGCATCACGCTGGAATGGTACCGCAACAAGCTTATACCCAGCCGGAGGACTGCGATCCCAACTGCCATGCAACGTAACGAACAGGTTGGTGTACTTAGGTGCGTCAAATTTAGCGTCGAGAGGTGCGGTATGAGCTTGGAAGGTAAGTCGCGGTGGTGTTGACATTCGCGCACATGTGTTGTCGTCGAACGTCTGGTTCGGCGCCAGAACGAATTGCTGACCAACGTCTAGTTGGTTTCCGCTAGTAGCATTGGTGATTGCTGCCTCAGGTTGCCACACCGTAAAACATGTCGGATACCCATACCACTATAGTATTGAAAGTCAAAAAATGGTTCTCTTCATGGAACGTGGAATGATTAACCGAAAGATTATATAGATATGAAATTTACTTACGTTATCATTGGGAGTCATGACATCTCCCAGGAAGTTGAGTTCCTCGGCTGGATTGTCGTTGTGAATATCTGTCGATGTTCCGTTGATGTCGCGTGTGATTTGGTCGGCGCTATTCTCTACGCCCCAGAGCCTACGTAGAATCAGTAAGATTATCCCCCGTAATTTCTCTTAGAAATCGATGGGAAGGTTTGTCATACATATTGTTGCCGTCGAATACTAATCCAACTTCGTTTCGCAAGCCATATCCAGCGCGCCAACCCTCTTTAACATAGTCGTAACCACCGTTTGGTGGGGCGGAGATATTAAAGACTTTGACAGTGGCCCTTGCTATTCCCGGATCGACAGCAGCATAGTCAACGTTGCCTGTGGAGCCGTGAGAAACGACTAGAAGGTCTGGGTAGTGAGGTGGGATAATCAATGTTCTTGTAACGTGGTCGTTGGGCGACATGCCTGAAATCACTGTAGTTGGCTCTCCATCTATATCGCCGGTTGTGAAGTTATATGACCATCTGAAAACCGTTGTGGCTGAACTGGCATATAGTGTATCACCATTGATTCCAAGATAAATTCCGTGGTTCAGGTCGGGCATGGAAATAAGAATACGCGAGGAATAAATGCAACCATCAATATCGAGCTTGTGTTGACTGATCCCGACCCGTTTTTCCACGATTAGAAGTCGATCCCTACTATCAATAACCATACCACGAGGCGAAGATAGTCCATCTGCCACTTTTTTGCCTATCCAACCTTCGGCCAACTTGAACGGATGTCGAGGAGGCGGGACACCGGGACAAGGGTCAGCAAAGCCGCCAACTAGAATGGGTGCCTTTCTGTTAGAATAGATGTCCGATTTAACACAATGTCCCCTTTCTCTTGTGGATGCTTACCGGTGAAAAGTAGCACCGCTACTATGATTGTAATAGGATTATACCACATCTTTGTTCGATTTGGTTCGAAAGACGTCCTATATCGTGAAGTACGAGGGGAAGATTTAATGAAAAGGAGTTGACAAGGGTCAGTTGTTATAAATAGCCCATGTGAAGTTGAGCGGTGGGAGGCAACTGCAATATACTAGGTTACCTGGTAAGGTATCTAAGGAAACTTTATCTTGGAACTAAGTAAATAAAGAAGGCAGGTGAAGAATAGGTAGTGAGCATATAAGCTTAGTTGTATCACGGCAACTACGATGTAAGTATCAAATTATCGGAAGCAGCACCCAATAAGCATCAACGTATTAGGGTGAGTAAAAGTATTAGGTAGGAGTTGACAGGTAAATAACTTGCTCTTGCTTTTTTTTTGTAAGTACAAGATCGGATAGTGCCTCTCACGTGGATTTGGTTGGGCGCATGGGGATTTTGCTCTATTGGTGACAAATATTAAGAGGGTATAAATTTTGAAATCTGCCTCCTAAGGTGCCTAGGGTTACACATGCTCTAAGCCTATCTTTTAAATTCCCTTTTTTTATCCTGAAAATTTAAACTTTCTATACTTTGCTTCTGATGGATATAAAAAATGGAAACATATATCAGTCAAACCGAAGAGATGTGGTTTCGACGATGATATAATACTGACGTCATGTACGATCTATAAATATTATCTTTAGATATTATAATGAGAGGTCTATTATCATAAATAATTAAAACACCTTTAAAGTTATTCTTAAATTCATGACTTAGAAATATCCAAGATGAAGCAATACACCGCCGAGGAATGGCTGCCGTCCAAGTCAGGGTTAGGTGAAAGTCCCTTATACCGTGTCCAGGACGACACATTCTATTTCGTCGATATTAAAAATAACCTGGTACACACTGTACCGCTTTCAAAAGGCTGGGATGGAAGACACACGCTCGAATTGGACGAGCCTGTCACCAGACTCGATATCGTGGATGGGGAGTCGAACTTACTGGCCGCGCAAACAAAACTGGGATTTGCTCTACTTAACCCGATTAAAGAGACACTAGATCGTATCACAGACATCCACCATGTGGAAGGCGCGAACGTAGATGATAAGGTGCGAATGAACGACGGCGCGATCGACGCTCGGGGCAAACGGTGGGCTAGCACAATAGCTTAGGACGAGGAAAGCAAATTGGTCAGCTATGGTGTTTACAAGGCGGCAAAGTGGAGAATGCATCAGCTCGAGATCGATCACCAGTGTTAAACGGCCCCGTTTGGTCTCCGATGACAAGATCATGTACCTTTGCGACACGCCGGAAGCTAAAATCTATCAGTACGACTACGATGTCGAGAGCGGTAAAGCTACCAATAAGAGACTTTTTCACATCTTGAGGGTGGAGGCATGCCGGATGGTTTGGCAGTCGACATTGAAGGTCATGTCTGGGTGGCCGCAAATTCTCTTGGCAAGATAATCAGGTTGTCGCCTGAAGGAGTGATTCGAGAAACATGTGTCATACCCGGCGCGAAGATGTGCTCATGTCCAACATTTGGTGGGAAAGACATGAAGACAATATTTATTACATCGATTCGGGATGAAGACGGGGAATCTACCGGTAACGTTTACCGTGTTAATGTCGATGTTGCGGGTATTCGAAGACACGCTTATAAGCGGAACTAAATTTAAAAGGGACAATCTCATAGTATAACCTAACCTTACGAATATAGAAACGGGATAATTCTAGCTATTAAATACTTTCTCCGATACTGTAGATCCACCTATGCTTCGTGCTTTCCCCCTTTTCCACCCTCTCGCAGAGCTCACGAAGCACCTCGCCAGCCCACTCGAAATCATCAATATCTAGATAAGTCTGTGCACTTATCCTCGCCCACTTGCGGCCATTATGCGTGAACAATGGGAAAAAAGTTTTGTAGTCAGAAACCATCCTCTCCATCATCCATGAAGATGCACGAGATGCCTTATCAAGTGTTAATGGCAACGCGACGTTTGTTGTCGCACACTGTGACATCGTGCCGGACTTATTATCCATGACCTCAGTTCCAAGAATCTGCGCGATCCTTTTACCCCCTTCCTTAGCTAATCCATGGGTATATTTGAGTAATTATCTTCGCTACCGAAGGTCTGCTCCCGCCATACGATCGCATCTTTCACGCAAAGATAGGCGCTCGTGTCCAGAGTCCCCATGAATTGAAAGTTATTGACAAAGGGCGATGGATGACTCTTCGGTAACGGGTTGAACCTGTCGCCGGACTTGGAAATATATCCGTGGGATGTAGGGACTGTCGATGCTATCAATGATTGATTTCGGAATGGGACATATAGGACGGCACAGCTTCTCGGCACGTAAAGCCATTTATGACAATTCGAAACAAAGAAATCGGGATCCAGAGCCTCGAGATCGAGATCAAGCATCCCAACGCCCTGGGCTCCATCTACTAGGCTCAAGATCCCTTCTTCTTTGCAGACTCTTATAACATCCTCGAAGGGAAATCGAACTGCCGGGAGGCTAGATACTGTGTCGAAGAGACACACTTTAGCTCGTTTCCCATCCCTTTTCCCGCTCTCTATTGCATCTTTGAGCGATGCTACAATGACGTGGTCTTCGCATGGATAGGCTATCTGTATCTCTCGAGATGAAACTAGGCCCCGTCCCGAGTCAACGAGATAGTCAATAGTCTTTCCACAGGCACCATATATAGTGCTGAAATAGAGAATTTCATCCTTGCAGTCTTCTTTCCAGTCAATATTTCGAAGGACCGTGTTCACTGCTCCAGTAGCATTTGGGACGAACACTACCGTATCAGTTGGTGCCTTGAGTAACTTCGCCATAGCTTCTCGAGACTCGTTGAGAATATCGGGCAGATCATAGCGAATGAAGGTATCAGGTGTTGCTTCAGTACGATCTTGGTACTGGCGAAGTTTATTTCTTACTTCGCGTGGGCTTGCCCCGAATGAGCCTGTCGATAACTAAGTAAATGCACATAGCTACCTATCTAAGTTGATGAGACTCACTTACCATGATTAAGATTGCGGTGACTTGGGTCAAAGTCAAAGTGTTGAAGAGCTCTCTTGCCAAATATATGCAGGTTGCCTTCAGGTTTACTTCGCGTCGTGTTATCAGCCGCTCTTAGAGCCACGTTGTTACTGTCAACAGTCATCTTGAACGGTATGGTACAAATATTTCGTCGATTCTTAGTAAAATATAAATAGTTCCGACATACCATACATGAAAATGCTCTACGGTATAACTGTTACTATAAAACTACCACGGCTTTCCAACTCTTATATAGACTTTGTTTGCTAAATGTCTTAACTAGGAGGTAGTATTATAGATTACAGATAACTACCCCAGTATAATAGTATTAGTTAGTCACTATCAAACAGCGCCGAACTCCACCCATAGGTACAGAAGGGCGTGAAGCCTACTTCCTACGTAACATCTGTCATGATATACTCCGATATCGAATATGTTTTTAAGCCGATCGCGGAAATCGCGGAATTGTGCCTCGGGTAGTTGCGGGTTAAAATAAGATACGGTATGTCTATGGTGGAAGAGAGTATATTTTCTTTATTCTTGGGTATCCAATTTTGATATCATTGAATCTTTGCTTTCCGTACGCGGCATGAGTCATTCTCCTTTTTCCCTTGGCCCTTTATTTGGTTATGGCTGTTATTATACTCACCAAGTCAGTTTATAGCCAAAGCTACAGATTGCTTATAAGTGGTTCTCAAGTGTAGATAGTAGTTAGCCAGGATTTAGTCTAAGGTATTACAACATTAAAACATAGACGAGATTATAATTTACCTAAGTAGCTTTAATATCGAATATTAACTTAGGTAGTTAAACTGTATTTTCTAGTGTTTCCTGCCTCTTTTTTAGATTCCCAACCCATATAATATTCATAATGACAGCCCCTGTAATTGCACTTTGCTCATCTGTAAATCCCTAGGTCGTAATTTTGTTACCTTTAATATTTTTATACTTAAGTTAGGTAGCTTACCTATATATTCTACCTTCAAGCAAACTATATCTACTCATACCTTTAGCGTCAGCTAATGTTATTCCAAGGTTCTCTACACGTGCTTATTTAGTTATGTATTATATGTTAATTGTAGGCAAATTTCCTCTCTAAATAACTCCTTGTCCATCGTAGTCCTCGGCAACTTGTATTAACTCTGCTATTTTCTAGGTTAAGAAGTTATAAGTTCCCCTCGAGCTAATACGGAATTGATCATATACTAGGTACTCATGCGCTTCTAATATCATTGGCAAATATTCCCCACTCGGGCAATATGCGTTGCCACGAAATATCTATAATAGTCCCGATCTCTCTGTATCGGTAATGCGGGGAGAAATGAATGCCGGATATAGTACAAGACTTGGGGGAGGGGGGATATTAGCCATAAACTATCTCGGTTATCTGTCTTGGATTCATCATAGCATCTGTCAATCTCAAGTAAACTTGCTTTTCTCGGTTTAAAATACTTTATCTTTTCTAACATAATTCCTTTTAATTTTCCAAATCGATTCTAAATGGCAGATCAAAGGAAGCCGCGGATAATCCTTGGCCTCATGGTCATTGGTCCCGAGGGAAGTCCCGGGGCACGTATGACGGATCCGGATGATTTCAAGAAGGCCCTGGACATCTTTCAAGAGCGAGGTTACCATGAGCTCGACACGGCACGCCTATATATCGGTGGGAAGCAGGAGGCATTTACAAGACACGCCGGTGGAAGGAGAGAGGCCTATCCATAGGCACAAAACTATGGCCGCTACCACCAGGATCGCACGAGCCAGAGGCATTAACAAGTGCATTCGATACTTGTCTAAAAGAGCTTGGGACAGATTCTGTAGATGTACGTGCACAGGAAATAAATCTCGCTATTGAGATAGGCTGAAGCAGCGTAATAAACGGTACTGACACAAACCTAGATTCTCTACCTTCATGCACCTGTAACGGAACTCTTTTATAAACAATACAGATTACGAGTTTCAAAACCCATGGGACCTGCTAACTGACACCTTAGGACCGATCTGTGCCTTTCGCAAAATACACTCGAAGCTATAGATAAACTGCATAAAGCTGGCAAGTTCTTGCGACTAGGTCTCAGTAACTATGCGTCTTTCGAGGTGGCCGAGATTGTGATGACGTGTAAACACAATGGATGGGTAAAGCCAACAGTGTACCAGGCCATATACAACTGCCTATTCCGGACTATTGAGGACGAATTGATTCCAACCTGCCGTCGTTATGGTATCGCCATCGATGTATATAGCCCGACTGGAGGCGGATTCCTCCTCGGCCGTATCACATCAAAGGATGACGATCCGAAGGAAGGAAGATACGCGGCAGGCCCGTTTCAGCATTTGACGCGAGGGCGGTACTTTAGAGACGGCATAATCAAGGGGGCACAGCTCATCCGTGAAGCTGCTGAGGCACGAGGGTTGAGTCCCTTGGAGGTAGCAATGCGCTGGTTGGTACACCACTCAATACTACAGGTTATCGAAGGGCAGGATGGGGTCGTGATTGGCTTCTCTAATCTACAGCAACTAAGGGACAATCTGGACTACAAGGGACCGTTAGACGCGGAGCTTCTTCAGGTACTACAGCGAGCATGGAAAGCAGCCAAAGGGGACATGGAGACATATTGGCAGCTACCAATGGTATACACGTACGACACGAAAGAAGTGCTTTTGGGTAAGTGAACAAGTGAAGCAGGCATATATTAGGACCTACCAGGTACTTAGACAAGGCAATATAGCGTAGCAGCCTACATTCATAGTTAAACTAGGTACCTACCTAGGTATCAACATTGAAGGGTAAAGTGTAGCAGCTTATAAGACCAGTATACTATTGTTTTCCAAGCCTCATTGTATGTTTCTTATAACTAAGGTTTCATCAAGTAAAGGAAATAAATTCACTGAGAAGCCATCATGTCACGTAAATTGGTGGATTACCTTGTTAGGGTTATGGGTTAATGTTTGGTGGGTATCTATTCCGTACCAGATACTCTTCTTTTTAGGTAGTTAGATACCGTACGCAATATCATTATCTCTTGTCTCAATAATACATAACTGTCCTTATAATAAATACCACTTATTACATGATCTCTATTTTATCTAAACTAACGGCTTATAGTGCCGGTAGCGGACACATCGGGAACCTGGTGATATCAGTGTCGGCGCCTGCAGCGCGCCCTTGATTGGCTTCACTTCGGCAATAGGGGCAGGTGGAAAGTGACGACTATATGGTGGGGTGTATTAGCAGATATATTGTTAATTTCAAACTAGAATCCTAGGAGAAAAAGAGAGGTAGGAATGAAGGACTTACGGTTAATGCTATTATAAGCTTGGGCGTCCTTAACTCAAATGTGACGAAACTTTTCCCAGCTTCTCACCATTGCCATTATGCATGAACTTTCTAACGGTGTCACAAGCAACATGAGCAGCCCCATAGCTTGGATAGCCATAAAACCGGTGCTAATTGCGCTAAACGCGATAGTTTTCAACCCATTCTGCACGGCAAGCTCCAGGCTCGATTTGTAACAACTGGAAGAGCAGCCTCGCTCTTAGCGGGGTTCGTATCGTCGTATACGGGACCGACAGTATGAATGACTTTTTTACAAGGAAGGTTATATGCATCGGTGATTAGATAAACCAGTATGGCAACACCAAGGTGCGACACTCATCACGTAGCTTCGGACCAGCAGCACGGTGGATAGCGCCATCACCACCACCGCCGAGTAGAGAGGTATTGGCAGCATTTACGATGCATCTACGGACAAAGTGGTGATATCGCCACGAAATAGACCAATGCGATCTTGTGCGCGAAGATGCGCCGTTAAGGGGAGGATCCTTCGGGGCTTCTAGTTTGCTGTTGCGATAAAGAAAGGTAAGAGAGCGGATATCCGACGCAGATATGTGAGCCATCCTGGCGACGATACGAAGCATTCGTGCGTTAAAATTTTACATGGTCGTAAGAGAGAAGTTGAGGTTGAAGATTGAAGATTGAAGATTGAAGATTAATGGTTTGATGATTGGTTGGAAGATGCGTAGAAGAGGTGCGGAAGCTAACCTTAGAGATGTGATGCATACATGTACCTAAGGTACATTTGTACTGATTGAATTACAGGTAGATGGTACCTAACATAGGACAACAAACTTTACATGATAGGAGTATCTACCTACACCTAGGTACAATCAATTGACTGAATTACCGTACAGGTAGGTGGTACCTAACCTAAGGTACTACATGTACCTAACATTACAATGACGTCTTCATATGTACCACCCTGCTCTCTGCTCTCTCTGCCCCTCCCCCGCGTACAAGTACTCAAGTATCTAAAAGATGGTCCCTTAGGTAATGCTAACATCAATGGAAGTTGGACTTATTAGACTTAGACTCAAACTTATACATGGTAATAATACGTTGACCTTTATAAGATATGATCCGGATGCGTCCCACGTCTGCTTTGTGGACAAAAACTTTCTTTTATAGAAGAAAAGTAAATATTGAAAGCAAAATGTCGAAAACAATTATAGAAAACAACTATCTAAAACAATTACAATATAGCCAAGATGGACGGACTCAGTTCCCTCAGTCCATGGTCAACATATCGTCAACATATCGTCAATCTTTAAACTACTTATGTGTTAGACAATTACCAATTTGACCGCACGTGTATTCCTACACAAATATTCTCCCCCGTATAGCATATCTAACTATATCGTTCCGAAGAGATTCCTACTACCTAGCACAATGTCGGGTTGGAATCCAAATTGGCCCAACCCTCCCAACCCTCCTAACCCACCTAGCCCTCCTAACCCTCCTAGCCCTCCTAACCCTCCTAGCCCTCCCGTCCAGCCCCCCCAGCCCCCCCAATCCCCTCAAGTTAACCCTCAAGTTAACCCCCAAGATAATCAAGATCTATCTTACGATCCATTTCCACCCCCATTTCCAGCTCCGTTTCAATATCCGTTTCCAAAGTCTGTCCCATATAACCCCGGCGATCCAATTTCGGGTGGAATCCCAACACCCCCTCAGGTTCCACCAGCTCTGGTTCCACCTCTGCACTTTATACCTCCGGAACATCGACCACCTGCGTCTCAACTTCCAACTGCAACTCCACCTTTATATCAGACAATACCTCATTTCTATCATTTGGACGTACTTCGACCTGAATCCATACCAGCTGACCTCACCAGACCTTTATCGTCATTGGCAAGAAAGCATGGCATCGCTCAACATCCCCTTTACCGCCTAAATCACCCTGACGGCCTAGCTCACTCCGGCCTAAGTCCAGTATTTCCTAGCACGCTACCCCCGGGAAAGGCTGATCCGATACCAAAACCAAATCTTGAGGAATTAGACAGACTTTTCAGGGGAGAGAGGGAACAACTCCTTTGGTCCAATTCCGGCGTCAAGACTTGGAGGCTAGAAGCCCTTAATGATGGACTTGTTTGCGGATGGCCATCCGCAGAAGACCGCTTGAAGAGCAACTGGGATCAATGGGAAGCCTTCAAGACCAACCTGAACGTCGTGGACGAGAGCCAGTGGCTTTCGTGTTTTCGGAAAGAATTCTGGTTTGATTCAAGACACAATGTTTTAAATGCGTTACGTGAACCTGTTCCAGGCCTCAATGTGTGGCCTGATGAAACGTGGTACTCAGTTGACAACCCTATAATTTGGGAATATACCAGTTACGCTATAGAAACCTTCACCCGTGTTATAGGGCTATTATGTGAAGAACAGAATGGATGGCATGTAGCCCCCTTGTTTACATTATATTATCTTATTTTCAACCTGGCTATTGGCGAGCTGGTAGCTAACATTCAATCAAGGCTCGATGCTTTATTATTCACAAGCCCAATACCTATAGGAAACAATCCCAAATACCAATTTCCTGACAATGTTAGGGCTTACAAAACGAAATTCGTTAGCCGTCCAAGGGAACAGAGGGCGTCCGCTGCTGAAATGTTCCAAGCAATCGAAGATCTGACAAGGGGGAGAGTTGTCCTTACCTTCGGCGACGAGACAACTATAGTTGCGCCGGCCCAGGCTACCACATCAAGATTCCGTAATCAACCCAAGGCAATGGGAAGAGCAATTATGTCTTTCAACGTCCGTTATGCCTTACGAACCCTACTTGAAATGGAGACATCGGTTCCCGAAAGATGCAGGCAATTAATCACTTATACCAGTCTTGTACGAGACCTTTTTCCTACAGTGCTGTGGAATTTATAACTAATCACTCTCTTAATTTCGTAGATGCTGCACGAGTTTGCGGTGAGTCTCAAGTCTATTTTCTCGACCCCTCACCCCGCCCCCCTTTTTTTTTAGAAGGCAGTAGAGACTGAATAAGACGAGTAGCACGCGATGTGGATGTGTCGATTTCCCAAAGGTCCTTCGGATGACGAACCGGTAAGATACATTTTGCTGAATATTTCGTATTATTGGGAAGCTTACTTTCCGTTCTACTAGTTCTTTGAAGACGAATGGATCGCAGAGTTGGGCCACTCATTCACGAAACAATTGTGGGGTGGCACGATACAACCTAGCCCAACCCAAAAATTTGTACGCGGGAGACATAGGGGCTTCATAACCTTTCATATACTTGAATTATTCCCCAGTCTTGATTTTGTTGCAGAAGAAAGAGATTATGATAAAAATGTTTACGAAATGTTCAAGAGAGGTGAACGAACAGGTTTTCATTTCTTGCTACCTGCCGCGTGGGCCTCGGCTATCATGTGTGAAGAATTCTGGACCTATATCATACCCCAGCGCGGCAGTATTGCACTTCAGGCACCACTACTGTTTGGCATGGGAACTTTCAATTCCGCAGTATATGAGGCCCGTAGAATACAGAACCCGGAATTCTGGACTCCCGAGCTAAGAGGAGTTTATGAGTCGGCTATGACGCGATGGACAGACGTAGGAGCGCGTATGTCACTCGCAAGACATGATTGGTTCGACGAAGAGTATAAGAAATGGAAAAATTTGACCTGGTCTAATACGTGGTTGGTCGCCCAGATTGAACATTTCACTTACCACCACGCGAATCGGAATTTAGCTAGTTGTCGAGAGATATCAAAGAAAGTCATACGAGGCACAAGGCCGCCGTATGGATATTTCCCAACCAGTTTTACGGGCGTCGCCTATTTAACAGGTTTACTTATGTTATTATCTCGTACGTCAGCCTGCCTATCACTCTCTATCCCCAATCCCTCCAATTAAGTTGAATAGTATATTGCCTTTCTCAAGACCACAGAACTCCTCCCATATCCTTATCCGGATTTTACTAACTCTCAAATAACACAGTTCCTAGAGAACCTATGGGTGATCTATTAAAGCCAATGATGCCGAGTCAGGTCTTTTACTACCCAAGTCGTGCAGCGGTACCTAGGTTTAAGTCTCTATTGCCTGGGTGGAATGAACCTTATTGGGGACCTTCAAATCCCATGGATTATATCCCACCAAACGTTGTTGAACCATTTAAAGATTATACAAGTTTCCCCGATAACATAAAGCAAATTAGTGATACTCTTGTATACTTTGAGTTCGAAATAGGCGCCCCACTGTAAGTTATATAAATCTCCATACCAATAGCTATATCTCCTAGAGCCGTCTCTCTAATAAAAAACTTCCAAATATAGAGGATGGTTAGTAACCATTGTCGACTGTTTTACTCAACTACACGTGGAACGCGACTCGAACCCAGACCCTAGCTGGGGAAGCTTCTCTTTCAAGACACCTCCATACGACCCGGGGTGGGTTAGAGCAAGAGAAAAGAACCAACCATTCTCCAGACCAGTAAATCTTCGATATAAGGCTATTGTGCCTTGGCAACTTGCAAACCTTCCTCAGCCACGATGGTCCCCACCACCTAGTCCATATCTACTCCCAACCAAATGGCCAGCAGGGAATTACAGGCGCTTCCTTGGCTACACAGCCCAGAATACACGCGTGAAGAGAGAATATCCTCAACACTTGTATATCGGTGATGTAGCAAATCATAGGGTCCTCAATGATGCCTGGGTCGTTGAATCAGACGGAAACGATGGGTTTGATGTATTCGATATCACTAGTAAGTTAACCCTGACCCTTCCCCTAGTTCTAACCCTGACTGCTAACTAATGTTCTAGGTGAATTAAGAAGTCTAGGTGCTACGGAAACTGATTATGGCGCCATGGTAGTGATTGGGCCTCAAGGTCCGGCATTGAATCAAGATGCAAGATCGGACGTAGTTCGTGCAAAATTCAACACCAGTATCAAACCGATTGGCAAGTTGATGTTACGAAGGTGTATAGAGGAGGTCGCAGAATGTGATGGCCAGAATGGGCGACCTGCTTGGACCAGCTGGGGCCCACTTGTCTTCGACATAACCAGTGAGTTATAGATATCATATTTAGGAGCAGAGCTATGCTGACTTTTCGCAAGACTTCCCTACCCGGTTATCGAAGAAAAAGAGGGGTTAATCGAGAGTTCTGGTGGCCCATTGTCCAAAGATCTGACAAGATCAGAATATGAAACAAACCAGCTACTGGAGCGTCTAGTCCCCTATACCTGCGCGCATCTCCACGTACCACAACCAGTACGGAATATGAGGTATTTTACACCGGAAATGCTACGGTGGTATGATAATCCCTCTCATGGGGTCTACATTGCACTAGGAAATGCGGTCTACGATATTTCGGGTCAGTTATTCTTCGTTGTAAAGGGCTCTAACGAGTTCGATACTGATATCATTTAGACTATATACGTTTTCACCCCGGAGGTTCCCAATTGTTCATCCACTGCACGGGACTCGACGCTACTCAACAATTCCTGCAGTATCACCAACCTGAGATGATGAATGTTAGTAACTACCGGATATATTCATTTTTCACTCGATGGCCGGAATAGACTTGGACAGTATTATATATATCTACTCCAATCACAGAAGTTCGCCTATAACTCCTATGTGCCGTTAGCTAATCTCCAATTTATATAGTCTTACCAATTTATGCAAGTCGGCTACCTCGTCCCAGAGTGTAATTGGGAACATTTGCAAGATAATCATGTCGTTGTCCATAATTGGGTGTTTAATATAAGCTGTAAGACCCCCCCCCCCTGAATCCTTAATCGCGTCAAATCGCTAATTTACTATGCATTAAAGCGCTTCAACAAGAGGATCCAAATCTCTTCAATTCTCTCCGTACATTTATCCGCCGAGATACTACAGTCGCCGTAACTGGCGACGATAACGACGCCGCGGCATTAATTAAGTTATTTATCCATAAACAACATCTCATCGTTGCAGGTTTAGCGAAGCAGGAACTATTGGATATACCGTTGTGGGAGTTTTTTAAACACAACCACCATGAGAGCGTCCAGGGCGCGTGGGTTGCTGTTGAAGGCTACGTCTACAACGTTGGGGGTATGTTCACTACGCTACGAATTTTTATTCGCCTAGGTTCATAATAAACTAACTCATTCTCAGATCTCATGAAGTATCCCGACTACTACTATTATAAACTAGAATTCAATTGGGCTGGAAAAGTGTTGAGTAATCCTGATTTAGCTCAATGGTTAACGACAAACTACCGATCTCGGTGTATAGGTAGGCTTGTCGAGGGACCTATCTTGCCAGAACCAGAAATAGAACCGGATTTGACCCCGGAAGCTCCTAGAGGAATCGTAGATCTGATTGTAGAAAGAAGAGAGGGTATAAATGAGTAAAATAGTCGAGGAATTTAAAGACAGAATTCAATTTATATATAGATTAGGTACCTAGGTATTTAGTAAATCAACCTAATATTGAAATAATCATCAAAGCCCTTATATCATCCTACTCGCTCTAGTAAGGCAGCCTTACGCAGTCGTAACTTTCATTTTGACCGATCTAATAAGGGAAGTCCTGCTCCGACCCTATGAATTATTTTCTTCGAGGCACGAATACTTGTTAAGAAACATCTCCCAAAGGTGATTGTGATATTGATATGAAGTCATTTCATTCTACTCCCTGGGCCTTTCTAAACCCGTCTTGGAACTCAGTGGCAGTAGTGACATATCCCCTTGTGTTAAGGATCTTATTAATCATAATATCATGGACAGCCTCATCTGGATCCGCACAGCCATTTGAGATGACTGTAGTAACGTATTCGGCGTCGGTAGCTGCAACCGCAGTCCTCATCACGCACCCGGATGTGCTTAGGCCGGTAAGGACTAGCGATTTGATGCCATTCTGCCTTAGGAATTCGTCTAGACCAGGGGATCGAAGAGCAGAAACATGACCGGGCTTGCGGGTAAATGTGACATCGTCGCTGCCACCTTCTGATAGTTCGATAGCCTCTTCGCCGCCGCTTGACCTCGCGCTCGCGATCGTTTCCATAAGCTTATCGGCGCCCCGACAAGTCTCAAACGTCGATGTGTTTAAATCTATCAGGGCATGGATTACCTGGATGCCTTGCGACTTTGCCCAAGCCCTCATACCAGCTGCTACACGAAGAGCCATAATAGCCTTCGGCCCGCCGGCTTTTTGGACAATAATGGAGTGGAAGTCGAGAAGAAGTAAGGCTGTCTGGGAAGGTCCATAATAACTAGGTGTGGTTGGATCTGTCTTGTCGAATATAGCGGAAGGACCTGACATGGTTGGTGATGAAAAGTTAGGAAAGGTTGATAAACTTGTGACTTCTTACAAGCAGCTTTAGCAATAATGCAGTTCTAAAAATCGATGAGATAACTAATGATATTTTTAATTGATTGATTCGAATCAGCAGACATTTATCTGTCTATGGCTTTGCCGACGCCGGCTCCGGTATCTAGTAACTGTATGCCCGAATTCGCTTCCGAAATCACAAACTACCCGGACCTGATATCTGGATAATGTACTTAGGTAGGTAAGAAAAGTTATCGACGAACTCGATATAACCAAGGAAAATCTAACGAATGTTTAAATAAGTGATCGTTTACCAAAAAGTTGTAAAATGAATTTTCGGGATCAGCAATTGCCATAGCCTTTCTTGAATTAACAATTATTATATCCCCATTTACTACTATCCGCACATTGTTAAGTATAAGCTTGTTACCTTACCATCAGATACTAGTGAGACCTGCGTTGTAAGTCTAACAGCCTTCTTATAAACGTGATAACTTATTAGACGCGATAGTAATGAGGATAGGGGTTATAAGAGATTGCTGCATAAGTCTTCGCAAGTGTTGAGTCATTGCTTGGCTTGAAAGTGTTTAATTAGAAACAATACCTGATGAGGGCTTTGAGGGTAACTATTTATGACATATTTATTGTATGCTTGTCTATACACACTATATATGAAATCTTTCGTGGCGTCATCAATCATATAAGAATAACTTGTTATCGTCTTAAATGCCGTCTTACCCCTGAGTAGGTGCTGGCCTCCACATTCAGTAGGCGGTGCCGAACTTCGCTTTGTAGTCGTAAGCAACTGGAATGGTGGCTGAGACCGCCTAGGTTGTCTGGGTGTCGGAAGCATTTATGGAACATACAAGGATCACACATATGATCGTCATATATAGTGCGTATTCAGCAGTTCAAAATAGAAACATCCCTCCATCGCTTGATCAACAAAATCTTATTTTATCCTAATGCGGTTCCACCCTTGGCTCAATTAGTACCTGGCTCCAGTGCCATGATACCCGCTTGCCGTCCTCGTAACCGAATAACTGGGGAAGATGCCCGATGGTGATAGGCTGGTTCTCCGGCGAAATGAACTTGTCGTGCTATGTATCATGTACCACATCACACCGTCAGCAGCGTCGTAAAAAGCTACAAACCCTTGAGGCTTGCTGACTTCGCCGGTATATATAAAGTGCACGGCAGTACTCGATAGAGTTGGCACATCTTTAGTTTAGGTCATCAAACTTACACCATGTTCTCTCCTTCGCTTGCTTCTCTCGCTCTCATCTCCCTCGCCAACACGGCATGGGGACAAGCCGCTGGCTGTGGCCAGAAACCGTCTTTCACACCCGGCGACTTTAAAAACTTCACTGCCCCGGGGGATCGCGAGTATCGCGTGTGGTTACCGGCAAACTACGACTCTAGCAAAGCGACGCCGCTTATTCTTAGCTACCATGGTGCCAACAGGGTTATATCACGCCAAGTTGAATTAGATAAGTTAACCGATCCGTTCTTCAACAAGGACCATATCGTGGTATACTTGCAAGGTCTAGAGGTGAGTCACCATAACATACCAATCGCACAGGTACGTGTTATTAATATCTGAATAGGTTAGCCGACCTGGCCACACGGAATGGGAGGGAGCTCCAGACTGTAAATCCGACGACATCGGGTTCACAAACAACGTTCTCGACGCTGTTAGCAAGGAGCTATGTGTGGATGAAAAGCGCATATATGCGACAGGTAAATCCCAAGGTGGAGGTTTCGTCGGTCGTCTTGCATGTGACTCGGGTCTTTCGAAGAGAATCGCGGCGTTCGCCCCGGTCTCGGGAGCTTATTACATCAAGGAAATCGACAATGAAGCGGACTGCCACCCGGAGACCGTCGAGGTGCCTTGCGACGCGGGTCGTTCTAATATCCCAATCCTAGCTTTCCACGGCGGCGCCGATACCACGATTAGGTACAACGGAGACTTCCGGTCGGGAGCCTGCCTGCCGGCTGTCAGTTCCTGGGCGAAGCAATGGGCAGCGAGAGATAACTTGGACCAGACGCCGGATAACACGACAATTGCCAAGTCGGGAGAACGGTGTTAAAATGAGCTACGGAGGCGGTTTAGTCTCGCTGGTGTATGACGGTGACAACATTGGCCATGACTGGCCGTCTACTCAGACGAACGCGGATAACGATGGAAATGTAGCGGCTTTCGATGCCAGCACGGAGATTATGGAGTTCTTCCGAAGCCACAAGTTATCTTAAACTATTCTGTCGTATTCTATTCGATGATACCTAGACATAGACTTGGTTACCTATTATCATATAATCACTAGAAAATAGACTTGTTAGCTATAACTAGCTTTATATCCATATAACTTTGCTGCTTTGACTAGCGTTTCTTTGTGACTGAACCCGATTCAGGAGTCTACGTTGTCAGCTCCCACCCGCAAAAGGATAAGACGTAGATACCTCGGTGCAGCATGTAAGCTATTTATATTGACACTATTAAGGACATCTCTGAGCCACGCTGAAATAGTGTTAAGCAATATATGTATTTGGTATTGGTTGTAGCGTAATTTGTAATAAGATTGATTATACAATCATCCATCGTCGTCCGTCGTATAGCGGAAGCCCCCGGATTTAACGGACCTAAACTTGAAAGATTACAATGTGGCACAGGTTACATAACCCCGGCATAGTTGATTCTAAGCAACCTGTTGTAGCTAGTATGATACTAAGAATATAACTATCGGATCCCGGGAGCCCTCGGGACGGAGATCGCGCTTCGTCCGTAGGCAAGGCTTGTCTTGTATAACGAACTGGGCTAAAAACTGTAGAGAAGACTGTAGAGATAGCTAAAATTACTATCCACTGCTAGGTGTAATATCTGCTGCTGGTTATGATGATTATATAGAGTTACGGGGCGGTTAGACATTTGCCAAATTGTAATAATACAGAACACATAGGTGGTGAATGTGTATCCCTTTCTCTGAGTTGGAATGGGGGAGTGGCCATCTTTTACGACACAGTTGTTCTCCGCCGCCATATCCTGGTAAAACCGACAACACAACGAGACTTGGCTCGCGGACTTAACTATAGGATTGATAATCAAGATAAATCGTATTAAAGCTACTCATAGTCTAACGTATCAACTGCTCTTCATGCTCTGCGTTTTTCGCTTCATAATCACCTAGGAGAAAACTATAGGAGAGTAGTCGTTACTTTAACCCCTTAATACTGTTCTTCGACGAATAAAAATGGCCTCAAAGCTCATACGTCTGATCGGGCTCATAGGAGCTTTTGCCCCCGCCTTAGGGGTCTCTATTAAAGGACTTCGTCAGATATCCCCTCCGTTATCGTCGAGAATCATCGCCAGGATGAATCAATCTGATGCCTTCGTCGAAAATATTGCTGTCCGCAGTAACGGTGACCTTGTCGTGACGCTCCTTAATCCGTCGGCCTCGGTCTATACAGTGAAGGAGCCATATACTGATTATCCGATTATGTCCCTCGTTCACACATTTGACGGTGCCAACGGTACAATTGGGATTTCCGAGACGAGTCCCGATACGTTCGTCGTCGTAGCGGCACTCATCCAGGACGCTGCGAGGCCCCTGCCGAATACAACGTCGCTATGGGAACTGAAGCTAGGCGACGGAGATCAGCAGGCTACTGCTCGTAGAATGGTCCACATTCCCGAAGCAGGCTTAATAAACGGGATCATCTCCGTACCGGACAGCGACTCTATCATCTTGGCTGCGGATAGCCAACTTGGTGTTATTTTCCGAGTTGACGTCGCAACTAGCGAATACGAAGTTATACTTGATACCCCCGAGCTGAAATTTACTCCCGGGGCAAGTATCCAACTCGGTGTCAATGGCTTAAAGGGTATGTGAAAAAAATACCCGTGTAATGCTGATACCTGAACTTTCCATTCCTCTATTGTCGAGACTCGTCCTTCTATAGTAGCTAACAGTTAATAGTAAGCAAATAATATCTCTTAAATATTCCACCGGGTTTACCCTATGCTTAGATGTCTTAAGTCTAAGTCTACCAACCTTTTTAGGAATGTTTAAGGTCTAACATATATTGGTTACTAGATTCGTGACGGATATGTGTATTTGTCTAACTCGAATCTATTCTCGATTTATCGCTTCCAGATTGACGAGAAAGGATATCCTATACAGGGCGCCGCGGTTGAGAAAGTCGTCACGGTTGAAGGCGTTTCGTTTGTGGATGATTTTACTTTTGATAGACATGGAAACATATGGGTTGCGACGAACACCAATAATACAGTAGTGGCTATTGGAAAAGATGGTCGTCAGTCCGTAGTGGTGGGCTCACTGACGGAACTTACTGTTGCAGGAGATAGCTCTCTTGCATTCGGTAAAACGTCGATTGATCAAGACGTTCTTTATGTCACTACGTCAGGAGGAATTCCCGCTCCCGTCAACGGTACAGTTACCGAACCAGGAAAAATTGTAGCTGTTGATGCGAGAGGATATTACTAGCATGAGCTAAGCTGAGTTATACATGTATACCTAATCTAAGTTAGCAGGGCTATATTGGAAGAGGGCGATAATTTGTTGCTTATTATAAATGGATGGCGGGCAAATCCTTGGAGTTAGCACTAGAAACTGGGTTGGTCTTCGAGGGGGCCTCTAGTTACTACGCAAGTAGAACATGATAATATTAAAAATAATATTAAAAATATGTTAGTTAGAATTCCAAATCGGGAGCACAGTTCCATTGCATTGGATGGATCCTAAGCTCTAAGGGTCTAGACACTAAGACCTGGAGGATAATCTGGAAGTCTACCTAGGCTTGTGATCGGGAGCTGAATATGTACGGAATACCACTGAGGAATATCAGAACGTTAAAGAGGTTGAACATGAAAATAAAGAGGCGTAACCTAAACGTTAGGAATAAACAAATTCAATTCCGTGTTTAAGCGTTCAAGGCTTACGGGAGAAACGGATGTAGTCCCGGATTCGCAAGCATACCTGACCTAACCGTATCTCCAGATTTTTGATATATATCCTGGTACTTTATGCGGGCAATGGGCAAAGATTTTGGCGGGGAAGAATGAGAAGGACAAGTCGTAAAAGAAGATTTCGCCTTCACCGCTTGACCGCCTTACGAAGTGTACAAAGGTACATATCAATAATACCACTGGAAATTGTAGGTCCCTGCTTCATTGCCCCCCTGCCTCCGGAGGTCCCTTTTAAGCAGCTAGTATGTCCACTTCTTTTGATGCCTAAATGGGACTAGGTCTAGATGCCTAAGTGAACTCTGAGAGTTTAAAGAAGCATGAAGGCACGATAAAAGCGATAAAGTACGATAAGCATGAATCATGCTGACCCCTGGCTTATAAACTATTGGTCCTATTCATCTTAAGTGGGCCTAGGTACTTGATAAAGACAACCTAAAGAAAGTGCCAGTGCCAACTGAAGTTATTGCTGACCATAGGTTAGGTACATTAGGTACCTACTGTCAGTAGCTAATTCTAACGGGGGTGGCAGTGGCGTTTTAACAACAATTGGGTTTATCGGGAGTATTAGCCCCACATGTTAATCGATTACAGTGAGAACCCTGCAATCTTGTACACTTCCCCTCGGCAGCCCACCTATCAAGGTTGCCCCTCGCGGGCAGAAAAGAAAAAAAAAATTTGGCCGCCAAAATTTTTTCAGTTAGGATTTGGGACATAGTATTTTCTACTACTAGGACACATAAACCTCGCCCACCACTCCCCAATCCACATTCCACCCTTTTCCCAAATCCTCCTTTTTTTCTTATCACCACATACAATCTCTTTTTCTTTCCATTTTATTCTCTTTTCTTGAAGAGTGACCATCTGAGCCTCTCCAACTCAGATTCGGGTTCATCCTCTTCTCGAGACAAAAAAAAGAGATCTTTGTTCTTCGCCGCGGTTGGGCTTAGACTGGATTAGACGAGCCACGATAGAGTAGATTCTGAACACACGTTTGTCGGAAGTTCTACAGGCTCCAGACGAAGGCCACTTCCTAGACTTGGGTGTGTCTCTTTAGACTTTCATCGTCAATTACCCGTCACCGCATTCACGACCGAGAGAATTAATCGACTCGAGATAATATCACACTCGACTACTTTCCATCAACATATCCTAATCGATTTCCCCTCGAAAGAAAAATAATTAAAATGTCTACGGCTCAGGAAAACGCTCAGTCCATCAAGGTCTTAGATGACCTGATGCAAAAGCTCACTATTTCCAAGGATGCTGCTTCTATTAAGGATGCATCTCACTCTCTGGCCTCTTTCATCAACGGTCGCATCGAGGACCAAGAAGCCCCCACTAGGTAAGAAAATTTTGACGCTATTATTCATACACACATACACATATACAAGACAAACACGCATTTATCGTTTATATTGCATTTTGCAATTTACGACTTCTTTGCTATGTGTGGCACGTCTTTGCCACCTAAATTCTAGCTCCATTTTCAAATTTTTTTCTTCATGTTTATTTTGAATTTCGCTTTTCCCTCTGCCGTTCCTATCCTTTTTTCGCCCACACCCCCACCATGTGCACGTGCCAAAAAGTGTCCTTTACACTGGCATTATGTCAACCCCTCCCCCCACTCATTAGATAGCCATAATATCTACTAGGCGAAATAGAAGAAAAAAGGGAAAGGGGGCTACGACTTGGTGGAAGTGTTCCTCGACATACAGTTGCGATCAAAAACACTTGCTTTTATCATAATTCATATTTTCCCTGATAAATCAACATATGCTAACATGAGATTAATTCTCTCGCAGAACCGTGGAGGCCCTAAAGAAGCAGATTACCAACAAGAAGGATGCTGCGGCTCGCGAGAAGGCAGCCAATGCCGTCCAGGCCATTGCCCAGCACTCTGAGATCGCCCCTAACGTCGAGCCCTACTTGGTTCTCCTACTACCTTTGACCCTAGCTGCTATTGGCGACAAGATCACTGGTGTCAAGAATGCTGCTATTGCTGCCACCACCGCCATTATTGAGGCTGTCAACCCCAATGCTGTTAAGGCCGTCCTACCCGTCATTGTCAAGTCTATTCTCGAGTCCCAGAAATGGCCCGAGAAGATTACCGCCCTTGACTGCATTGATATCCTTGTTCGAACTTCCCCTGCCCAGCTGGCATTCCGAGTTCCTGAGCTCATCCCTGTTATCTCCGAGTCCATGTGGGATACCAAGAAGGAAGTGAAGGAGCGTGCATACAAGACTATGGAGAAGATCTGCGAGTTGATTGTCAACAAGGATATTGAGCGATTCATCCCCGAACTTATCAAGTGTATCGCTAAGCCTGAGAACGTCCCTGAGACTGTACACTCGGTGCTACAACCTTCGTTACTGAGGTTCAAGAGCCTACTTTAGCTTTGATGGTTCCTCTGGGATCGTGGTCTGGCTGAGCGAGACACTGCCATCAAGCGAAAGGCCGCTGTTATCGTTGACAACATGTGCAAACTTGTCGACGACCCCAACATCGTTGCTCCTTTCTTGCCCAAGATGATGCCTGGTCTCCAGAAGAACTTCGATAACTTGGCCGACCCCGAGGCCCGTGAAAAGACTAAGCAGGCTCTGGATACTCTTATCCGCGTTGGTGACATCAAGGATGGCAAGATCCCCGAGGTTCGCCACGACGGTGATGTTGCTGTTGTCTTGAGCCACCTCCAAGCTGTCATCCCCAGCAAGCATGCTAAGACGGTCGAGAAATTGACTCCTATTCTGGAGTACATCTCTGCCATTGGTGGCCAGCTCGTTGATGAGAAGGAAACCGAGCCCTCTACTTGGGCCGCTGCTGTCAAGCCTTTCGTCACAGTTGTTGTTGGCGATGTCGATGCTGAAAAGGTTGTCGACGGTCTTAGAAGACGCGCTTCTTCCGGTGCTGCGAATGAGGCCGAGGAAGAGGTAGATGACGATGAGGGTGAAGACCTCTGCAACTGCACCTTCTCTCTTGCCTACGGTGCCAAGATTCTTCTTAACCAGACCCACCTACGTCTCAAGCGTGGTCGCCGTTACGGTCTTTGCGGTCCCAACGGATCCGGTAAATCTACTCTCATGCGTGCTATCAACAACGAGCAAGTTGAGGGTTTCCCTAAGCAGAGCGAAGTCAAGACTGTCTTCGTCGAGCACGACCTAGATTCTGCCGACACTGAGATGACTACCATTGACTGGACTATGAAGAAGCTAGCAGAGGCAGGTGTTACCACTAGCAAGGCCGACGTTGAGAAGCGCCTTGAGGAGTTTGGCTTCACAGAGGTAATGACTCAGGGTGAGATCACCGCTCTGTCTGGTGGTTGGAAGATGAAGTTGGCTTTGTGCCGTGCCGTCTTCGAAGCCCCGGATATCCTGTTGCTCGATGAGCCTACTAACCATCTCGACGTGAAGAACGTCAAATGGCTCGAGGACTACTTAATCAACTCTCCTTGCACTTCCATCATTGTTTCTCACGACAGCAGTTTCTTGGACAATGTCACTCAATACATTATCCACGACGGCGATTCAAGCTGAAGAGATATAAGGGTAACCTAAAGGAGTTCGTCCGTAAGAACCCCCATGCCAAGTCGTACTATGAGCTTGGAGAATCCGAGATCGAGTTTACTTTCCCCGAGCCCGGTTTCTTGGAGGGTGTCAAGACCAAGGCCAAGGCCATTCTACGTGCCACCAAGATGAGCTTCCAATACCCAGGTACCCCCAAGCCTCAGATCACCGACATCAGCTTCCAATGCTCGCTTGGTTCCCGTATTGCCGTTATCGGTCCCAATGGTGCCGGAAAGTCGACCCTCATTAACGTCCTCACTGGTGAGCTGATCCCGACCGCTGGTGAAATCTACCAACACGAGAACATCCGTATTGCCTATATCAAGCAGCACGCCTTCGCTCATATCGATAACCATCTCGACAAGACCCCCTCAGAGTATATCCAGTGGCGATTCCAGACTGGTGAGGATCGTGAGACCATGGACCGTGCCAACAAGATTATCACTGAAGATGATGAAAAGGCAATGGACAAGATCTTCAAGGTCGAGGGTTCGCAACGCCGATCATTGGTATTCACAGCCGTAGAAAGTTCAAGAACAGCTACGAGTACGAGTGCTCTTTTGCCTCTCGGAGAGAACGTGGGCATGAAGAACGAGCGCTGGGTTCCTATGATGACAGCCGACAATGCTTGGCTTCCGCGAACCGAGCTTCTCGGCTCTCACCAGAAGATGGTTGCTGAGGTTGACATGAGGGAAGCGCTTGCTTCTGGTCAATTCCGACCTCTAGTCCGAAAGGAGATCGAGACCCACTGTGCCAACTTCGGTCTCGATGCGGAACTTGTTTCCCACTCGCGCATGCGCGGTCTCTCTGGCGGTCAGCGTGTCAAGGTCGTTTCTGTGCTCGTGGCAACGACCCCACTTGATCGTTCTTGACGAGCCTACCAACTATCTCGATCGTGACTCCCTAGGTGCCTTGTCTAAGGCTCTCAAGAAGTTTGAGGGTGGTGTCATCATCATCACTCACAGTGCCGAGTTTACTAAGGATTTGACTGAAGAAGTTTGGGCTGTCATGGACGGTAAGATGACACCTTCAGGTCACAACTGGGTCCAAGGTCAAGGCGCTGGCCCTAGGTTAAAGCAAGGCGACGACGACGAAGAGGAGAAGTTCGACGCCATGGGTAATAAGATTGTGACGAAGAAGAAGAGGCTAAGTTGACTAGCTCCGAGGCTAGAAAGAAGAAGAAGGGTAAGTCCAATCTTGCAGAAAACCCCCATAATCCCTGATCCAGTAACTAACCTGACTATAGAGCGTATGGCCCGCCGAAAGCGTGGCGAGGAGGTCTTCTCCGATGAGGATGACTAGACGATTCGCCATTATCATGGCTAGCACGCATCCTTACGACTTACTCTTGATTCACGAATATGATCACTTTTTCCTTTGTTTGATATGAACATAAAAAGTTCGGGTTTGCATGGTTAGGCATTGTCTATGTTTCTTACACGCCAAGGTTGCCCAATGCTCATTGCAACTAAAGGGGGGGCGTTTTATCGCATGGTCGAGCAGGACGAACAAGGAAGGGCATGATACCGCTGGATTGGAGGCCCAGAGGTTAGCCTTTCGAATTCTTAACTGGGCGGGAATACCATAGATAGACAAGCAGGTCGTGAATAGACTTGATATAGAGTTCTAAGTCTTCTTTTACCCGTAGCTGTCAATGTGATATTGTAATCTTGATTTATACTCGGTGCCATTTTGCTTTTGGGACTACTCTTGGGCGAATTATGTAAAGTCAGGCACTATAATGAATTATAGGCTGCATTTACGGGTCGGGGGATAACATCTACTAAACGACAACAACAATCGTTTGACTAATGCCCTTCTTTAGATTCGCCAACATTTCAACCCTACCTATGTATATTATGAGGTGTCGGATCCGGGTCAAAACGTAATGTCACTAATGGGAGGAATTCTTTGTCCTGACCTTTGTTTCAATTGTACCTCTTCTTGACTTTCCGAGAACGGTAAGACAGACTCATTAGATGCCTACAAAGGCTTTCTAGATATGCATTGAGTGGTAGGAAATGGAAATATCCAAGATCCAGGTCTGAAGGAGCAATGCAATTTATCTAAACGTTAGCATTTCGTACTTTTGACGTTAGCATACCTTGATAACATAGAATGATAACAGCAACGATAGGAAGAGAGCAGTAGCAGGTATCGTATAAGCAAAACCACGGGGATAATTATATACATAGTTATCTATATACGGCCTCTCGTACAAGCTCCAGGACCATATCTTAAGTAGACCTAATGTCTAGAAACCCAGTTAAAAGCCAAATCGAGTCCACAACGCCGGCTTACCCGCCGCCGCTGCAACCTGGGCAGACCATCCAAGAGGTAGCAGGGGCGTATTTAGAGACATTTAGGGGGAAATTACCTTCCAATTATTTCTGGGACTGGCAGCCGTTTTTCGAGGCGCTGGTCGAAGGGAACATCTCCGTTCATGGTGTTAGCATTGTATTCCCGCCCGACGAAAATGATGAAATGGGCTTTCCAGATGATGGCCGGGGGCGCGACGGCCATATAACTGTTAGGGGAAAGGTACCGAAGCCGCCTGGTAGCGGGTCGTGGAATTACACGTGGTATATTCCCGAATGGTCTCACCCTGATTTTGACCCGAGTTTCACGGTGTCATACTCGAGAGGATTCCGCCAGCTAGGCTCTAGGGATCCGATTGTTAGACTTTACCCGGCGTTGCGGCCCCAGGACCAACTTCAGAGGCCGACAGAGTGGGCGAAACGCTTCGGTATCTATCCGGGAGAACTCGGGGGTCGAAGTCGTCTTAGTCCGACGTTATCTGCGACTCGAGATCCGTGGGAGGACTACGCGAATCAGGTCAACTTGCTCCCAGAAGAAGCAAGAAGAAAACTCGCTCAAGAGACGAAAGATGCGGCGCTGAAGGCAGGGAAACCCCTTCCTCCTGAAGGCTATATCGACAAGGATGCGTTAGATAATTTGTTGAATTCCGAGAAGAGGTTGACGGGAAAGCAACTACGGGTAAAGGTTGCGGCATACCTAACTGACGAACATGTTCCTCTTAACCTGCAAGTCGAACCTCCTACTACCTTGGAAGAGTTCATAGACGACCTTCGGGAAAACCATCCGCATATCTTAGATGCCCATAAGACGTATTTCCAGAAGGCTTTAGATGATCAAGATTATCAGCGGGTCATGTTCCATGATATGACGTCCGACGAGATGGTATATAACAATATTTATACACAGTCTAACGATCCGATTTGCGATCTTGAAGGTCCGATTCATCCGTGAGTACCGGTGTTTGTTATAAAATGTGTGCTTTATCAGCTAAGCTAACGACTCTCGACTGCTCCAGTGTTCTCACAAGAGACAGGTGGAGAGATTCCTCATCAAAAGGGGCTGAAAGATTCGACCCTCGATATTTATATAACCTAAATGGTGTAAGAGAGGAATGGGATATGGTGAGTTCTCTTACCCTCATCCCTCATCCCTCATCCCCCTTTCCCCTTTCCCCTTTATCCCCGAGCGCGAACGAGCTCGGAATTGGTAAAGTTTAGCTAATTCATTTCCCTGATAGAAAACGAACGATACTCTATGGGCTGCGATACAACCAGCGCTATTGCTTGTATCAAAAATGCTTTTAAGCGGCCATCCCGGCATACGAGATTTGATGGACCTAAGGACGCGATACAAGATTCCGGACGACCTAGTTGCAGAGCGAGAAAATCCCAGGACGCCTCATGTCGTTGGATACAGGTCTATGGAGAAGACGGTTTTGAATCTCGAAAATTCATGGCCGGAGATGATTCAGCTAGATCGATTGGGATACGATTTTATCGAAAATGTGTGGAGGGTTCTCTTCTATTGCCTTCGCTTCGATATCAGTTGCGCTTGGTTTGAGCCCAATGAGTCGGAAGCAAGATCTGCTGTTGATGGCGTCAATGAGGCCAGGACCTTGATATATGGTGTAACTCAGCCGAGTGGTCACGGCAAGGATAGTATTATCACTATTTGGCTGGCGGCTGAGTTGATATGGCCGTTGCTGGTGCCTCAATATAGCCAAAGCGAGAAGTTGACGGCGTCTTTCCTACTTGCCTCGACGTTATTACATGAGTTCGGTGTAAGATAAATAACTCCCTTGGTTCCTAAACTCTCCAACTGCTTGTTGTGTGTCACATTTGCTAATATGATCCTCATCGCCTTTGCATATTTTAGCATGCAATCAACAGTGCCCAATATATTCTAACAACGGAAGAATTTTTTACATCGTATCCAAACCAACCTTTAAATACTGTGCTCCTTCTTAAACAATTATCGCATGTTCTTTGGGATTATGATTTAGAAGAGGGAGACCCTTTTTGGGATGGTATAGGTGTGGCTGAGTTAGGCTTCGATCTCGAGAAGTCGATTTGGGGGTTCCTCGCCAACGTCATGTTAAACGGCTCATTTATTAAAGGTTCCAGGCAGATAGCTTCTTTGCCACTTGCAGCGGAAGCAAATCCGTATCCCCCTGCTAGAAACCCCCCTCCACCTGGATTATTACACATACAACCCATCGAAAACGCCGTGTGGCCCACCGAGAATTATTGTCATCCCGTCCCCATCGACTATATGGCTCAGTTCTTCAAGGAGTCCTTCTGGACCGACGTCTACCCTGTATGGGGTCCCGAATCCCTGAAGCTGAGCCCCAAGAATCGCCTCCTGAAGACTACAATGTCATCTTCCTGGGTACACACACCCATGGGCCAGCGGATCTATGGCGATTCGGCATGGCATTTTTTGTCCTTCGTATACCGGACGCTAATAAAGAACGACTACAGCATACTAGGAGAGTATTTGAAAAGAAAGGCGTGGCACATGATAATGCCTTCGATATTAATGCTCCGCTGGGACTATGATTCCAAACAATTGGATATAGAAACTATCAATCCCCTAAACACTCACATCACGAAATTGTTTAACGAAATAGAAAAGGGGCAAGAGATCCATCGGATTTGCGGACTAGACTACGATACCATGCTCCAAACGTACGTTGCTCAAAACAATAGCAACATTGTTAGCGGTGTTCATCAAAACGTCCTGTCCTTCGTGGATTGGACCCAAATGAATGAACGGAACCGGGAGCAGTATTTCACTGAAGGCGGGACTATTATGCGGGAAGTAGCAGCAACATATAGATGTTTTATGAAGGACATTGCATATCTACAGCGTCTGATGGTAGATTTTCTCAGCTTAGATTTTAATGCCCGAGCCTTTATTTATACAAACAATGGCGCTGCGGATACAGGTCCCCTCGGGGTCATGTACCGACACATAGAAGAGGCGTTTGGATGGGCTCAACACTTTGTAAAGATACTTAACATATTTTCCAATACAGCAACAGTCCAATCCGTCCAGCACGCGTGGGTCACATGGGAATCACATATGCGATCCTGCAATATAGCCTACACAGACCTCCTGGAGATGTTGGGTAATCCGAACCGGTGGCAACCGGATGACCCCAACTGGAGAAGACGTTTTACAACGGTACCGTCCTCCTACTGGAAAAACCGCATGGATCGATTGCGTGTTATTGCATACAGACAGTACGTCACGTTGGACCCACGGATCCGTCATGTTTTCGATGAATGCGAAGGGATCATGGAAGGTGTACAAGGACCGTACGATCTCCCTACTCCGTTCCAGGACTTCCGAGGATCTGTTAGCAGTCTAGCACACGTAGTAAGAAATCTGAAGAGCCTGGGTCAACCTCCGCCTGCAGATGGAGTGTATAAATGGACTGCCCCTGGCCCAGTACGAAAACTTGCACAGGAAGAGCGCCGATCTTTCACGCCGGAACCGCAGCCTAGCCCCATTACGACCGATTTACCCAAGTTCGAATTTACTCCCTCAGGCAAGGAAGAAATAAGAGACGCTTTTGGTGTACCGCGCGACGCAAGGACACTAGGAACACGCGCGCCTCGACGACTTAATATACCGGACTGGGGCTCAGGTGGCGGGAACTTGGGTGGTTCCGCGTCCGGGTCGACATCAAGAGGCGGTGCTCTGGGGACAACAGGAGGTGGTGGACTCAGCAAAAACCGACGTCAGACGAATAGAGGCTACGCACGTTGGAACAAGAATCGGGACGGCGCACAATTTATCCTTTCCGCGCAGAAGATGAATAGCCTAGATAGTCTCCAGGAGATAGGGGTGTCGAGTTCAACCATCGACGAGATAGTTAAGTCGGCCCCCTTCGGAACAGGAGGACGTTTTCAGAGTGGGACGGGGGAGACCATCTTCACGCCACAACCTATTGGTTCTAGAGCCGGGAAGCAGCCGACTATATTCCCCAATCCGTATGCAAATCCTTTGATCACGACAAATGAATCTATTTTATATGACGAGCAGTATCTCCTCCAGGAGGCGCAGCGGTTGGAGGAGCGTAGGGGACAGCAATACCAAACAACGGATACCTGGCGGGACGCGCGAGCTACAGGCTTCGGTGGTACTGAAGGCCAAAGTCCGGGCTCGTCTTCAGGATCGCCGAGCGCATTCCCGTCCCCTGCTCCTAGCACTTAGTCCAAGCACCACTAGGATCGATTCTGCTCGGGGCCAGTAGGATTTTCTCGACCCCAGACGAACCCCTAGATGCATACAATGACTTCTCCCAATCCCTTGTAAGCGACTGACGTTACGGATGACGATGAGTATGTATAATAAGATAAATGCGAAGAGGGCGGGAATGGATAAGCTAATAAGAGCAACTGTTGGGTTAGAGGCCTAAGCGAGTTTAGGCAATTAGGTATTGAAGTCTTGTTTTACCATCAATGTTAATTAGGTTAATTTGTTTCGGACGCGTATAGAGGTGTCCTATTAGTACTCCGTACTCAAGTGATGAAAACAAGCACTCAACGTGACTTACCTGGCAGTAGTCCCCCTGGGCAGGTACAAAACTTCCAACTGAAACCTCAAGGTGACAAGGCTGAGAACTGTTGTCGAGATAAAACGAGGACTTCAAGGTATATGCTGTATAACATAAACTTAGGTAAAAAAAATATATCACTGTAGACAACCATATATAATATATAGCTATACTTTTTTTTATTACTAATAGATGAAGGGCCTCGAGTAGGCTTAACATGCGGGATCTTCTACTACACATCTAGCCAGATAAAAGCCATAGTGTTGGATCATGCCTTATCTCGAATATTTTAGTCCTTCGAGTACCTGAGCTCCCTCGAGGGCTTCTTGTTGGGCCAATTCCCATCGAAGTTGGTCTGAAGGGCTAGGCGGTTTGTCGTACGCACCTACACTAGATTCCTTGGGTGGCCTTCTGTAATTTGTGGTCTCGTATCGCAACTTGATAAGCGGATCGCTAAATAACATGGGATACGTCGCCTGGCCGTATGGCAAAAATCTGGGGTCGCGCTATTGGTGGCAGGTCAGATAGTGGACTCCGTGGTGATACATTCAAACTCGGCTCCAGGGGCTTGATCCTTGCAGGAGGCGAACGCTCCCACCCAGGATGGAAAGGAGGTAAAATTGGCCCTTTAGAAGGAAGCGCCCTACAGTTTGTTGAAGGAGCCAACCCATTTTCAGTGTCATTTGCTCCCTTAAGGCCATGGCCTGGTGTAGAACGTGGAGGTGCAGGTCTCTTAGTTCGAGAAACGATTCCACCAACCGGAATTCCCTCAATCATCTTTCGTTTCCGCCGGCGAGGATTAATCTTAACAGCGGCAGTGATAGAACTGGGCGGTTCATACAAAGGAGGCGTCGCACTCTTTCTATAAGGCGTCGCGCTGCGATTTAATTCTGCCAACCTAATCGGGGTCGGAGATTTACCAGAGCGTGCAAGCTCTTGGGCAGCCTTTTCGTATTGTTTCCGGCTATTGCAATTAGCTAAGAACGTACCTTTGTTAGCAGGTCCAAATTTGATCTCTGGATCTGCCCCTGCATTGGCTGAAGAGACGAGGGCGGCCGGTGCTGATTTCCTTGGTTTCTTTGATTTGGTAGTCGGGATGATAGTCTGAGATACCGGAGTAGGGTGACTAGGAATAGGAGATGGGACGGCCGGCGGAGGTCGACAAGGGAGTGCGTATCCGAGATTATCAAAGGGGCGGTCACCGATCTTGGCTAGGGTTTGGAATATCTCCCAAACTACGTATGCTCCACATTGGTAATCGTTTCTCATGGAAGACGGATTTTTAGGTGGTGGCCGAGGTTTGGCAAATTCGATCGTGTGTCGCCTCTTCTCGCCCAAGCTTTCCCGCTTCTTGGATGTAGTCTCCCTCTTCTTCTCGGCTAGAGCCTCGCGCCTTTGCTTTTCAAATTGCAAAATCTCATCGGGAGACAACCAAAGGTGCGGCTTCCTATCTTTCAAGTCGTCAACCCAAGCATCACAATCCCACTCAATCCAGTAATCTATAATGTCGCCCCAAGCACTATCGGACGGCCTCGTTAGGTTAATAAATATGACCTTGCCTCCTTTATTATGCACAGCTTTAGCAAACTCCTTGACCATCACCTTCAGACCGTGGACCTTAAGACTAGTTCCTAATATTAGGAGGAGGTCCGGTCCGACGGAAAGGTCGTGTTGAACTATAGGAGATATGAGATCGGACTGCGGATGCTCTTCCCCATAGAGGACAATGTCTGGCCTAAGCTTGCCGATACCTAAGGCTCTCTTCCCCTTTTCCTGGCGCGCGGCAGTTGCTCCCGCGCAGTGGGGGCATTCGGGCTGTTCACCCGACATCGTACAGGATTCCCGTCCATCTTCATCCCAATCACAGAGTTTCCCGCAAACAAAGCAGCGAAGGGCATGTAGAGAGCCATGAAGGAACACACATTCAACGCCCTTGTCTTGAGCTAAAATTGAACGGGGAATGTGTCGCCCGGAAGTATCAGAGCTTTGTGAGGCTTGTCCAACATCCACATTAGGGTCATCTTCGTCCTTTGACGCTTCCAAATTCTCTTTAGAATCCTTCCCCCAATCTACCAGTTGTTGTTTAGCAGACTTCCTCCTTTTATTGCCTGCACCGCTCTTCAAGTCCGTAGAAAGGCCAATCTTCTTCTCAATTTCGTCGATATTTTGAGTATATACCCTGGCAAGTTTTCCAACATCACGTAGTTGCGCGATAAAGCGGTGAGTTGTGGTTGGCTCAACTTCCTTTACCTTTTGCCTTAGCGTAGTAGCGAAGCGATAGAATACGGATGTCTTCAGTGGATCTGCCCATATATTACAGTCGAATAGATCTCGTCCTTTCATATTACGTAGGCTCGAATTAGAGGTCTGCGAAGACAGGAGATCTAAGGAATTTTGTGTGTCTTCTTGGTCGGATGCCTCAGAATTTTCCGCACTCTCTCGTGAACTACCCTCTGTAGATGAGTTCGCATTTTCGTAGGGATCGAATAAAACAGGCGGTGGCGAAGAGAGAGGAGACGAGCTGAATACCTTGCCCAGAACAGCTCTCGGAGTAGTATCCCTCGTTTGAACGTTACGAAAGCCCTGTCCTACGCAGAGAGGTGGGTCATCAGTCTGGGATGAGGTTCTTGAAAGTCGGGAGCCTGAGAATAATGACTCTTGGGATGTAGAGGATTGCACGGAATATTGCGAGGCGTGTCGAGGTAATGGTGGCCGTAGTCCTGACTGCGACCTAGTAAGTCGCTGTAACGATATATCAGAAGCTACTACTTCTTGTTTTACAGGGGCCTCTCTCGTAGATCGAACAAGGGTTATCATATCTTCATCAGTGCTGCCAACTAAGGTATTCGCTCTATCCTGGGCTTTTTGACTATCCGAGCCGTCTGCTGCTTTCGTTGGTTTATGTTGCTCTGTTATCCTTTCAGTCATATGTGATATTCTTCTTCTTTTGGTCGGGCGTTCGCTTATAGAAAAATCAACAGCCTGCCCATCGTTATCTTTACCATGACCGGCCTCCGCCCGTTCAAACTGGGCCTGGATGAGTGAATAGAGCCCATTTTCTGAGCGGAAATCCTACACGAATAGTCAGTCCCTAGATGTCTCCAAATATAGCAAGGATGTGATCATACTGGGATACCAGAATTGGTACTTATCCCAGCGCCTGTGATTATGACAACTTTTTTGGCCTTCCCCAGCGAGTTGGCGACGTCTTGGAGCAATTCCGAAGAATTTGGTGTGACTTGGAGTATCGTCATGCTGAATGTTCAAGACCAGAATGTCCAAGGTTGAGTCGCGAATTCGGAGGGATTGTGTTCTAAGCGCGTAAAGGAATCATTGCGCGAGAATGGTCCGTAAAACTTGTGGTCTTAACACGTATCTACGAGCTTGCCGCGTCCTATTCCTCTTCCTCTAGAAGCTTCAAGGGGAGCGCATAGGTAGAAATCGAGGATAAAGACGCGTCAGCACGCGTGTATCGCGGATTAATTAAGTTGTTAAAAGGTCGGCCTTAGAATCTATAACTAAATAGAAACAACGGGATATGGGTTGTTAAATTCAAGAGGCGCGATATAATGGGTTGTGGTATGCCGACGGTTAGAGATACGTTAATCGTGTACAAGACGGGAACATAGAAGCTATCGATCGTGGGGCGGGAAAGTATACGAATATAATCGGACAGTCGAAGGTGATTTCGAATACAAATGACGGCAACAGAAGTGCGAGTACAGGACTATATAGTGTAAAAGAAAAAAAAAGTTAAGTAAATTCTAAAACACAGAAGGAAAAAAAGGGTAACGTGATTCACAAGTCAGAGGCCCAAACAAGTCAGCGGCCCAACCAAAATATAACCAAAAATCAACATTTTTAAAAATCTAAAACCATTTTTAATCAAACTTTTCCAAATTTAAATATGTATTATATAACTATAAAACTAATATATAAAAAAATTGAAAAAAATATTATTGCACTATAACATAAGTTACGATATTTTTGGACCCACTTTTATGTTTTTTATTTTTAATTAATTAAAAAAATAGTATAAAAATAAAGAAAAATATTATTATTATTAAGATTTAAATGCATATTTAAATTTAAAATCCGAATTTTAATAGGAATTCTTTTGAGTAAAGTGCACGGTTACGCACAGACGTATTTTGTATGTATTTTCGTTGGGCCGTTGACTTGTGTGGGCCTCTGACTTGTGAATCACGTTATATAAACTAAGTTGTGTAAACTAAGTTGTGAGATAGTTAAAAAGTACGAGTAAGTACGAAGTCGGCAGTAGCAATTGTAGCAATTACCTTCAATCTTGAGTACAAAGCGCGAATCATCTTTAGCTGGTGTGGAGTCAGTAAACACTGGCAAAGCTGACTGAGATGGCAGTAACGCGTGCTAAGTTGCTAAATTTACCCCACTAGTTTGGTACCTCGTACTTTAAAATGCGGAGATTATTTGATTAATCGCATTCCCATATATACTTGCATGCATGCTCATAGAATATATGCATATATCAGCTCAATATTTTGTATGGAGGTCCTCAAACAATAAACCTAGGTACCTAACCTAAAAAATTCAAGATTGACAAAATGTACCTAATTTTATTATCTACCCTAACATATTCAACAGCTTCGTAAAGTCACCAACGGAACCGAGACCAGTTACACAGTCATAGCCCTTTACACTCTCCCATCCAGGCTCTTTATCATCGCCAAATACACAATTCTGACTGACGCCCGTCGTGATGTCTTGTAGCGTTTCCCTAACAGGTTGTGAATACAGCGCTGGATTAAGCCATCCTGTACTATTCTTCCCTGCCTTCAACCTCGAATCATTGATCAACGCCACTAGAGCAGCTACAACGGGTGTGCTGGCACTCGTTCCAAGTACGTCGGTTTGGTAGCCGCCTACTTGGATGACGTAGTTCGTACCGGTAGCACTAATATCAGGGAACGCCCGTCCGGATGCATTATATAGACCTCTGTGAGATCCGTTGAGGGTAGATATGTACTCGTCCACGACGCCCTTCTGCCACTCTGGCCTAGAGAAGTAGTTGCTGAAGCCACCTGTACTAAATTCGGCCCCTTCTAAAGGTAGAGTATTTCCTGTTGCGCCTACAGCCGTGACATACGGGCAGCTGGCTGGGAACGTGGGGAGGAATATCTTACGCCTTCGGCCATCGTTACTATAACACTGATTCTGCCCTATACCACCAGCGCCGCCATCGCCCGATCCAGAGAGAACTGTAATACCACGAGCTGCAACAAGAGCCAAAAGGTCGCACACGCGAGTAGCATCTATTAACAATAATAGTTAGCTATTACTTCGGGTTGACAAGTTTAGATGTCTCAAGAGTGGTAACTCTTTAGCTGACCAAAAGGGAGAAAGAAAATTATTGATGTCACGTACATGGAGTTGGCACCGACTGCTCATCATCAGCATATGAGATACTCATAACGTGGGGTATTTCTTCGTCCTTGAGGTCAAGAAGGTACTGGAAGAACTCGAGGTATGGCTCATTATCGCTCCTATTCGATGGCATTAAGTCTCCCTCACGATCAACCTTCTCGCCTCGTCCTCCTGTTGAATAGTAAATCACATTCGCCGGATAGGCAAGGGCCATAGCGTACTCGACATCTAAACTAGCCTCCAACCCCGCTCTCGATTCTGGTACATTAGGCTGAGGATTGGTACCATTATTTAGCGTGACAACCGTGAAGTTATAATTCAGTGGTGCGAGTTCCGGTGAATATCTTCCAAGAAATTCGGAAACATCGTCGTATTTGATCCACTGCTCAAGGAAGCCAGCTATTCCGAATCGGACAGGCGACTCTATGGGCGTTTTAGTGTCGGTATATGTCACATTATAAAGCTTTTTGAGACACGCTGGAGTGACACCTGATGAGCAAGGCTGGTCGTCGTCGCTCGCTTCGAAGGCTGCTTTTCGAGAAGGGCGGTGCTTAAGTCTAGATTGAGGTGGTGGCATGAAATTAGAGATTGGATATATAAACTCGACATTTCCGTCAAGTATCCGAGGCAGTGCATATGATTGAGCACGAATGAATGATGAAGAGTCCTGGAAAGAATAATATCCTAGGTTGGCGCGAAGGATCCTATTAACTTCCGCAGCAGTCGAAGTAAATTTCACCATTGAGCCTTCGTTAGTTATATTTGTGATTTTGTTCGACCTGAGCCACGAGTGGACCAAATTCAACGTCTTTCGGTCGGGTGCTTGGTAGGCTTTTACTTCATCTCTCGTGAGATGGTATCCGTATTCAGCATGTCGCGGATCGCTGATACGATTGAGACGGGTTTTTAGTTCATTGATTCTAGGTTGCTTGAGTGCGATTGACAATTGTATCGGTTCTTCTGCCTTCGCTGGCTTCTCGAACTTCCAACCAGCCGGGAGATTGGTTACCACCTCGCGAGTGACCAGCGTTTCTGCGACCGCATAGCTTGCCCATGCTCCAATTAGAGCACCCACAAAGGTTAATCTCATGGTGAATTTCCCTAGGAATTAATGGCCATTTAAAGTAAAGAACCGAAGCACCTCTATTCAATAAGACTACAGACCCCAATCTAATCACAGAGAAAAGGTGAGCTCTCCTACTTCGCTGAAGAAATGTTTAAATGAAATAATTATTTATCAAGATATTACCTCCAAGAAACCTTCAACGCCCTTAACGGAGCGTACCTATTTTCTAAGCACATAATCGCTTGGGATCAATTATGCTAACATATACATCCGGTTTAGCCGGGGCTGGTGCTGTACAAATTAGTAGATCTGGCCAGTGGCCGGAGCTTTCTAATACCATTCTAGGCTTGCGATGGACACATTTCTGTACGTTTATTAAGAGACTTAATCAATACTAGCTGGTAGCTAAGCTTAAAATAGAAACGGTGTCACGGAATAAATATGTGTATAATAGATCACTTTAGGAGATCTGGCCTATAAATACGCTTGCCTAGGAGGCTAGAACGTGTGAACACCGCAGTGCCTAGGTAGCTATGTTAATAATTATTATGCTAGATGACGTCTGTAACGTATGTTACTACTTCAGGTTCTATATACTGATTTATCTTTCCTAAGACGGCAATCCGCCTTCGCGGTACGACTCGCCGAGACGACATTCACTCGAGATTAAACTTCTCCCCTATCAGATCTTCACTTAAGTACCAAAGACGCTCAGCTATGTTGGGATCCTTAGCGAAGTCTGCGCTGGGGAAGAACTGACAATCAGCCAAGTAGAGACCACCGCGAGCTGGCATTATACATTAGAAAATATATCAAGCTAGTGAATAGAGGATAGAGAGACTCACTATTCAAGGCCGGGTCTAACGCTGCGACAAGGGTCGTCGACGCGCCTTGATCGCAGTTCTTCCAGAACGTGGACGTCTTCGCAATAGCATCGGCCATCTCCTCATCGTGTTCTCGGCCAAGCTGGCTATCAACACCTATACGAACAATAAGTTGGTCGGTTCTTCAGGATCAAGAGATTTAGGCTATGTTCTACCTCCTGGGTGTACGGCGTACGACATAATCCCATTCGCTTGTAAGTGCTCTTGGAGATACAGCGTGAACAATACGTTAGCGGTTTTGCTTTGAGAATATGCAATGGTAGGCATGTAGCCATCTTCTTGGATCCTTCCGAAGGTAGGTGGTAAAGGAGAAAACGGCTTTTCTTCTTCAGGGACCTCCTTGTTTTCAATATTGTAATCGTGGAATCGAATAGTAGATAGTCGATGTCCGTGGCTAGACAGGTTGACAATTCGAGTCGCCCCAGCAGGTGATTGTTTAGCTGCTTCTTTTAAAAGAGGTAGCATGAGCTTTGTAAATAAGAACGGTCCGATATGGTTCGCACCGAACTGTATCTCGATCCCCTCAGCTGTCCAACGGCGAGCATTGTAAGTAGCACCAGCATTATTCACTAGTATATCTAACTTCGAGATTATACCAGCGACCTCAGCAGCCGCTTTGCGAATTGAGGCCTGGGATGCCAAGTCTATTGTAACGACTCGTATATCAACTTCTGGGTATGATTCTCGAATGTGTGATGCTACGCTATCGAGCTTTTCTTTGGTCCTTGATACCAGGATCAGAGTTGCAGGTTTCTGAGATGCGAAGGCGATGGCGGTTCCTTCACCAACACCTGCTGGTGCCACGCCGGTAATTAGAACTATTTGCTTCGTTAGATCCATAATAAAGTCTTAGACAGGAAGATATACTTACCATTTCTGCCTTTAATGTACTGAGCATAAGTACTGGCGACCTCCAGTCCGGAAGTCTTCTCTCCCCACTCTGGATTCGACGTCATTTTGGCTACATAGACCTTACAACATAATCCACATCCACGGTGAGGGGGCGTGAGAAATGATGCTATAATCGTTGGTTATTTTATGGTACTTACTCCTCAGATAAAGATGATAGCGAGAGTGTCCTTGAATTATTCCTTACTAACCGAGCCTGACTCCCGTTGTGCCAGACTAAACCGCATTCCTACAACATGGGGTCCCTCAAGAATATCGGCATTATTTACAATTCGTACAATCGGCCATTCTAGGCATTCCAGGCCGGAAGTCGATGATCATGTATAGGCTAAGGTCGGGGGGTAGTATATGTCCAGGATACTCCGTTTGGAGGTCATTAAGGTATCTACCCAATAGTCGGCTGTAGTCCCCGGACAAACTATCCGACGTTCCATCTGGGTCACATCGTAATCCAGTCCCTTGCCAAGCCGAATCCTCTTACCTTAGGTCTCGGGGACATGGCAGCGTGACTAGAAAGGGTCTACGCTCCACCGACTTGGGGAAATCCCCATGTAAGAATCTCCACCCCCGCATCGCGTGTTGGGTTTATGGAGTCGTCTAGCATTAGGGGCAACCGGCATATTTAAATGTTGGTGGTATCAGTACGTTATTGGCCGTCGTCATACACCTAAAATAGTTTGATTATCCTGTCGCAACTTTGGTGTTCTAAATTCTGCCACAAGGAAACTCCTATCTTCTCCCATCTCGGGAGATTCCTTTGTGCATTGACTATCAAGATGGCAGCTAACGGCCATACCAATGGAGCAACAGAGCGACCCAAGACGGATGTGAAGGTAATAGTGGTTGGGGCTGGTATGTACTCTATGCAAGTTATATAAAGCCTCCGAAGCGAGTATCTGATTGGTGATTTCTAACCTCGATTCTTTAGGATTTGGTGGCCTAGGAGCGGCGATAGAATGTCACCGTCAAGGACACGACGTCGAGATATACGAGGCATTCCCAGAGCTTAAGACTCTTGGAGATATCATCTCATTTGGGCCAAATGCGGGAAGAATTTTCTACCGCTGGTCAAATGGCGAAGTAGTCCAACGAATGAGGCCCCTGAGTATTGACCTGAGGAAATATGGGTTCAATATTCACAAATATGACACCGGCGAAATTGTTATTAACCAAAAGACACCTCAATACTCTGAGGATGCGCCAAATTTTAACGGTCACAGAGGCGAGTTACATGAAGTAGTCTTTAACTACGCGAGAGATGATCTCGAAATACCTATTCACTTAGGACACAAGATTCAGACATATTTTGAAGACGAAAAAGAGTCTGGAATCGTTCTAGAAGATGGTAGAAGAGTCAGTAGCCTGATAGATTGAGATTTTGCTATTGCGGTTAGCTAACTGTGTATAAAGATCGCCGCCGACGTAGTCATCGCGTCGGATGGAGTACGATCTAAGGCACGGAAGTCCGTACTTGGATATGAAGATAAGCCAAAGAGTAGTGGATATGCTGTTTGGCGGTCATGGTAAGAGTAGCTCTCTAATTAACACATAGGATAATAGCTAAGAAAGTATAGGTTTCCAAACAAGGACATGCTCGCCGACCCGGAGACTGCCCAGTTCTGTAATAACGGCGATACTTTTAACGGGTGGATCGGACCGGACATGCACTTTTTGTTCAGCACTATTAAGAACGGCTCTGACTGCTGCTGGGTGCTAACTCATCCGGATGATGAACATGACATCGACGAGTCGTGGAGTTTCCCAGGGAAGCTCTCGGAAGTTAAAGAGGCATTGAAAGGTTGGGATCCTCTGTGTACTCGAATCGTCTCGAAAACACCCGAGGATATGCTCGTTGATTGGAAGTTGGTATATCGGGATCCTTTGCCTACCTGGGTCAGCCCTTCTGGGCGAATCCTGCTTTTGGGAGATTCAGCGCATCCATTCCTCCCCACAAGTGCCCAGGGAGCAACTCAGGCGCTCGAAGATGGCGTAGTTATTGCTGTGTGTCTGCGACGAGGCGGTAAGGAAAACGTACCGACCTCTGTCAGAGCACACGAGAAGATAAGATACGATCGCGTCCGCCAGACCCAGAAGACCGGCGAGAGTACACGAGATATGTGGCACAAGACGGACTGGGAGAAGGTAAAGAAGAACCCCGAGATGATTCAGTTCCCAAGGCAAGAATGGATTTTTGATTTTGACGCGGAGAAGAATGCTGAGGAAACATATGATACTGTTGTTAAGGAACTTATTGCGGCATAGACTATGAATTTGCATGCACAAGCTACTTAGGTATCTATCTGAACGATTCGTTATAACTTATACTCGCTTTCATCGCTTACATATGTCTGTCTCTTTAATAAATAGTGAAAGTCTACCGCGCCAAGGTTGTTATTGAAGCCTAGGTGAATTATACGTGGTTATGTGATATATTATTGCTTCATCGGAGTTGATGTCGGTTGATTTAAAACGTCAAAAAACTTGTGAATTCCGCATGTAGCCACGGTATAAAAAATTTACCTTCTCAATCATCTTATTTATCATGACCGGCCCTCTCCTCGATGTATTCCGTTTGTGTCTTCTCACCAAGGGCTGCATGCTTTCCCGTGCAGCGATATTTGCGAAACTTTCGTGCCGGAACCTGAGCTTCGAACTATTTCACGAAAGTTAGCGAATTCCTCTATATCCATGCTAGTTTGAAAGGCATACCATTTCATCTATCTCTTCTAATGTGCGATCCTTCGCTTCGGGCAGGAAGAAGAAGATCCAGATTCCGGCAGCGGCACAAGAACCAGTCCAGATATAACCATACTTCGGTCCCCAGTTTAGCGAATCGGGATTAATGAAATACGGCGCTGTAAAAGCTACACCAAATTAGTACTAAACATCAAGTATACCTAGCGTTTATGAAGCATTGAGACATACTGGTAAGCCACTATGTATAATTAGTTTCAACCCTAGGATGAAGACTTTGAAGGACTTACAGCAAAGAAGAACCCGACGCCTGTAGCTAGACCAAACGTGTGCGAACGTAGACGCTGCGAAGAGAGCTCGCCTCCGGATAGCCATGCATAAGGTGCGACCATAGAGTTGTAGGCGACTATGTAGAGGACGCTCATACCAACGAGAGCTTTTCCGGAGCTTTCTGTATTGGGATGGATTGTGTATACTATGGCTATGATGAGCTGAGAAATCCCACAGAAAATAAAACCTGAAATCATCATAAGTCGTCGACGTCCGAATTTGGTAATTAATATGGCGGTAGCTCCTAGGGCAGCCACCCCCACTCCAGTGAGGATACATGAGTTCTCGAAAGCGTTTCCTACGTTCGCCATCTCGAAGAAGTAAGTTCCGTAAGCTGCCTATATTAGTTACGTACTGGGAACTAGAAGCGAGTAGATGTACGAACATATGACAAACATCGCACCCGATGCTGCTTGACTTGTGAGAGCAAGTATAGCAACGGTTGTCCTGCGGCGGTCGATGGGGTTTCTGACGAGATCCATGTATCCGATGCCCGACTGTAGTCTGGCCTCTGCCTCTAGAGTCGTCTTCATATCTGTCAATTCTTGCGAAACAGACCATCCTTCAGGCCGTAATCGATATAAGGACCGTTCGGCTTCATCAAATCGCCCTTTCGCAGCTAACCAGCGGGGCGATTCGGGGATGAAGAAAAGTCCGATAAACAAGATCCCGGGAACAATGTGGACGATACCTAAAGGGATAATGTAGGCATCCTTAGTTGCGATCTTGGCTGTAAAGTTATCTACGATAGTCCCAATAAGGGATCCTTGGCAAGTTAGGAAGAGTACACCTTATATGGTCGAATGCTTGCAAGATGCGGATTCTTACCGAATGAGACCCAGTATGTGAGGAATGATATGCCCAATCCTCTGTAACGGCTAGGAACACTTTCCTAAGCTGAGGTGTAAGTCACATGTGGTAGTTGTCAGCGCTATACATGTCTGCATACCTGGATCTGCTACATGTTAGTTTCTGCAATATTAAGATATATGCTTGAAGATTAGCTTCTTCGAAACATCGAACCATCCCCATTATTCTTCCGAATCATAGATTTCTTTTCATTTTCTTTTTTCTTATCCCTATAGGATCTTGACAAGGTCTTCCCCCACCTCGTCGTGTATTTAGGTTGTTCTAAGGTTGAGAGAACTAAATAATTTGCTTACTATCACCTCAGTTAGTACACATAGAAGCTGATTTTATAATTAAAGAAAAGGAATTGTTCGAGGTACCATAAAGTTGTGAGTGTGTCATCAGCAGCCCATTGGCAAGACCAAGTATCAGTCTTCCCGCATATAGACCACCTATGTTTGTAGTAGCTTGCATGATAGCGGTAGATGCAAAAACACCAATGCATGCTATCCACAGAGATAGCTTTCGGCCGACATACTTAGCAGTAAATCCAGCAGACGAAGAAGACACAAAGGCGCCTAGGACCATCAAAGACGCAATAAGCTGCTGCCTATCGGATGGAATATTCCATCCAAGTGGAATTGATGGGTCTTCCTGCCCAAAGACCTTGAAAATAAAGCGTGAGATACTACTAGTTCGTTTAGGAATGACTGAATTACCTTTAGGAATGGTACCATGGCTTGAAGACCGCCAATAATACCGAAGTCGAGTCCATACTACCATAAAAGGTGTCAGTACACCTTGACAGTAGGATATCGGTCATAGAAGTTAGAAACCACTAAGGACTGTGTAATAACCCACTTGGAACGAACTTAGAGACACCAGGGTCATCGCAATTATTGCTTTCCAGTGGTCCTTGACCCCTAGGGCCTTTTCTTGGTCTGTCGACATTTTGACGATGAACGAAGAAATTGTAAGTCGCGTGAGTAAAGAAGAGATTGTGTTTGAGGGTCTACTTGCCTGGCTAGACGTTGGTTAGATATCCCAACTTAAGAAGCAAGCACCCATGGCATACTCTATGCATGATGACAACCCCAGACACTTGGAACAAGGAATCCACATATCAACTCGCGGTCTGGATTTGCCGTTATGGGCACGCATACCTGTTCTAGCACACGTAGCCATAAATGTTAAGCGATCCCCTGTTACCCCAGCGTTCAGCAGACCTCTTGGGGCTGATCGCCCCCCTTTCCCCACACGATCACAACAACCATGTAGTATTGCCGGCTAATTCATTGCAACCTCATTTTGGAGTTAGCGTTAACCCTAGCTACACGACGGACGAGAGGGGCCGGGACTATATGGATATTTGTGGCTGCACGGAGATTCTCCAGGTCTGGAATAGAACTTGGCGGTATAAAGAGAGTAAGTTGGTTACCACGTATAGAACAACAGACATGGCTATCTCATGCCGGATGCGACGTGAATAGTATAGTTCCTTGATTATTATTAATGTAGGCAAGCTATAAACCCAAACGAACCAATCACAAAACTTGTAGTATGCCACGGCACATCACATTTTATATCCTAGCCAATCTGAGAACCTGCATCTCCACGATAATCTCTCTATTCTTCAAAAGCTGTTCTTATTTAGCTAGCTCCATCCTTCGTGAGAGGTTTCTAAACGGAAAAGGCCAGCATATGTCTCATCTTGGCTTGGTAGGAAATAATGCTGCCGGATGAAATCCCGGTAGGTCGAGATATCCAATTCTACCAAGTAAATAATTTTGTACTCAGTATCCTTGCTGGAGGACGTAGCCCTGTAATGTTCCCGCGAGCATCGAGGGATTTTCTATCTGGATAATGAGCTGAATATATCTGCGCAATCATGATCGCGTTTTCTTCGAGTGGCGTCTGCAGATTCGTAGTCGCTAGCTTCCTGATACCAGCTTTCGAGAAGTGTTAAGGTTTCGTAATAATTCTTCCCAGGTGGCCAGGCTCTCCCTTGGAGGTTAGCTGCGGACTCAAGGTATTCCCTTGCTAATTTATGGTCGACGCTCGTCGTAGGATCGTCCCCATCAGACCGTGTCTTGCTATAACGGGCCATACAGTACTCGCCGACAAATTCGAGGTAGTCTGAAGGCTTAGGAGACGACTGGTTCTGCTCTAGAACTTTCAACGCGACTTTTGGGAGCCTATCATCGCGCCAGCTACATTGATTTCCAAAGATAAGTAGTAAGTCTGCTCGTAAGTTGGATGGATCCTGAACCTTTCTAGATTTGGTAAGGTTGCTGTCGGTATCTTATCGACTTCCCAATGATTCAGGCATAAGTAGTACCGGTGATATGAATCCCATATAGGTCCGAGATCCCACGGCTTCAGTAAAGTGTAGTCAAATGGTTTACCGTCAAACGAGCTATTAAACCTACCCGAGGCCCACTGTAGGGCCCAGTCTAATACGTTGGTATTGTGTTCTAAACTGTGCTGCTGTGAAAACCTGGCGAAAGACACCAATACCCGATGTAGTGGTTGGTTTACCCCATCAATAGCGGCAGCATACCGCGAGAGATAGCTCCAAAGCTCCCTCATGATCTCTGCGTTCGGATACCTTTGGATCGCCATCATCATTTCGAAGAAGGATAAGGACGCAGATGTCTCGAGAATATGGTGTAGAAGGGCAAAAGCACCTCGACAGAACCAGCCACCCTCTTGATTACGGCCTTCCGAGAAGAGCCAGCATCCGTGAGTCAATAGCTGGACGGAAAGGAGGGCATTGCTCGTATGATGGGCGTCCAACTTCTTCAAGTAGTCAGTATCTATCGGACGGGGCTTGATGAATTTCTGAGATGTCCATTGGAAGAATCTCTCCTTAATACAGAGGTCGCCAGGGGAGTCCAGAAGCCTCGGGATTGAAGGCGGTGTCCGGCATCTTACAGTTGGCGGCAAGTCGCCCGAGTCCGCCACTTCGACGAGATCGAACGCGCTAACCCCTCTTCTCCTCATATACGCCTCTACGTCGATTAATTTACCATTTCTACGGAACGTACTTTCTTTGCCGATAGCCAGACGGTGACGCTGTAAGTAAAGGAGATTTGCTACGTCAGCTTGGCGATTATTCTTGAAGAATTTCCATTGCGTGAGCTTCGTCTTGTACATCTTTTGACTTTAAAAGCTGACTTAGTTAATGGACAAAGAAAATTAAGGGGAAACTCGTAAGCTTACGATGCTCGGAAGCCCCATCGGTTCTCCATAATTTCCATCACATCCTTGAGCCGTTTATTCTCGTCAAGGTAAAGGCGGCCAATCTCCGCCTTATGCGTTTCCCAGACTTCGGGAGCATGTGTTCGTTTACGATGGCCGCGATTAGAACCTGTCGACTTCGGCTTCGGCTTCAGCTTCGGAGTCTGTCCTGAACTACTGGACGATCCGGCCACTCCGGGTATTACCATAAGCTCGCCGCTAGCTGGCCCCGACGACTCTAAAGTCGCTTCTTGTCCATATTCAGTGGAGTCTGATCCCGAACCTACGGAATCGGGCGACAACTGGGGTTTCCGAGTTAAATGTACAAGATCGCGGCTCATCGCGTCCGACTTCTGGGTTCTCGCCTCGGGTCGGCCCATCTGTATCCGGCCAATATCCTAGACCTTTCACCGTGTACCAATATACGCGCGATCAGAAAGCAAGGAGCCCATGATTCCAAATGAGCGGATTAGGCTCAACAAATATTGCTCTTAGACCTTAGTCTATCGCACTGCAACAGAGACGCGTCGGTGGGTAAGGTATTGGTGAACAGCTTAGAATGAATACCCAGTAAGAGCGGTATGTGAGTATGGAAAAGAGGGACAATTTACATGGGTTGAGGGATATCTATGTAGGATTTTTGAGTGGGCTGCGGGCGCTTAACCTCTTCTTGCTTCGCCCTAAAGCTCTGCATAACTACCTCACATTTATAAATATGAAAATATTGGCTACGTGGGCTACAAGGGTCTAATTTTACATAAATATGTTCAGGAATAGTAAGAACACTACCTCATATACTCTTATAACGAGCTCATAGGTAACAATTTAAAGGCTTAGATCTTAACTAAAGTAATCTACTACTATTCATATACCTCGTTGACATATCCGAGTTAATAATACATTTCAATAATGCAAGGTATCCAAAATCCGGGGCAGATTCATTTTTTAAGTGGCTAATCCAATCACAAGACCTTGTCAACTACTTATGCCGACCATCGTATTAACTCCGACATAGCCCTAGGCATCACTCGATTCGCGGCGTAGATATATTATTAATGGCCTTTTTTTAAGAGACCGATCGGATTGTGTATCACGTATGACTATTCACTCGGAAAGATTACATACTCCACTAACGTCCGAAATATAAATATAGCAAACTAGATGATTTACTATGTTACGCGCCCGCAATAGCTTTTGATTTCGGAATCAAACAACAAGTTTAGGTTAACTAGGTACTTTGAAGCTCAGACAACGCCTTGTTCTACCCAACGTAAAGGTGGTCAGGCGTCGAAAATAGAAGCACAATTAGTCTATAAACTGTCTAACCTTTAGCATCTATAGATTGCAATGCGCTTTACCAAAGTTTTCTACAAATATACCTTAGGTACCTGTTATCTATCTTATAAGAGCCCCAGCCCACTTACAGTGCCAGACGGTGGTCTCCCTGAAGATTCGCTCAGACAACTAAAGGAACCAAAGCAACTCGGCTAGCAAAACCTCAACCAAAATACTTCGGTTGAAGCATCATCTTACCTTTCTATGTTGTAAACGTGCTTTACACTTCACATTAGCGATTAGTATTAAATCGCAGTTTACTAGCATTAGGAAGAGACCAAATACAGACACGTATGCCATCAAAGTCTCATGGTAAAATATAAATTAGAGGATAGGTACTATCGTTGGATCCTAAATCAGACGCTCAAGCCGCTCGTAGTTTAGCCAGTCTCTCCTTCGTACTCTTCACGATGTCTTCTTCGTTATATATTCCTGTCACGCTGGGATGCTTGGAAACAGCTTCTCCCCATTTATAAAAGTTAGGGGCCTTGGAGGAGATATCGGTGAGTATATGCGCAGGCAAGATACCATGCTTTGGTAGTGTGAAAAGTCGTATGATGAAGCTCCCCGTCAAAACCTAGAATGATTTAGCTCATGCAATTTAGACAATGTGAGCAACGGGAATAACTAATTACCTCGGCCTGCGTAAGCTTGTCGCTGCCGTTGAAAAAAATGCGGCATTGGCGAGGAGGGGCTCGAGTTCCTTCACGACTGCATTGACGTACTCTTTGACAAAGCCTTCTACTTCATCATCGTTCTTGGCGAATGAGGCCTTGAAGAAGTTACTGTTCACCTTTGAGATGAAAGTATCGACGAAGAAGGCGATCCTAGCACGCTGCAAGGCTCCACCAGGGGCATTTGAAACCGGGATAAGATGAGACGGGTGAGCGTCAGCCAAGAAGTCGGAGATAATACCCGACTCGGTGAGGATCTCTCCGTTATACTCAATAGACGGAACTAAACCCCGAGGGTTGATCTTTAGATACTCGGCAGTACGGGGGGTGCTCAAGTCAATGATCTCTTCTTCAAACGGCAGCCCGAGCTCGGCAAGAGAGATGTGTGCTCGGTGAGCCCCTAATGAATGTATTTATCAGTTCATTTTCCCATGAGAATTGGACGGGGCGCTCGCACATGGGCAACGATGGTTCGTATACAACTTAATCTTTGGTGTCGCCATTTTCTTAAGGGGGGTTGGAGGGAGTATATCAAGAGAGTAGGCTGTAAATGTGATATTTGGAATAAAATACAATTACTCCGGCCTCACGACTTCAACTTATATCTACGGACCTAAGGTTTCTACCGGCATCGACGGAGACTGCTTACCAATATGCGGGGTCATCCTGCGCGCAACTCGGCGTGATTACCCAATAACAGAAAGAAGAGGCATGTAAAGAATTGCGCAATTCGTCTCCGAGAACGTCTCAGCTCGGGCATTTTGAGATTAATCATTCCGAGGAACGTTTCGTAACAAACTCACGATGTAATTATGATTCAAGTTGAAAAGGTATACTATCGGTGTATTCCAATCTCTTCCCCACTCGAAAATGAAGCTATTCATCAAACCCATGTCCTATATAGATTCCTCAGATAAGAACGCCTTAAATAACTTCGTTTTAAGCTAACTAATATAATTCATCACACTACTCTCTACTTTATGATCTTTATAATATTATAACAGCCACTTATGCTCCGTAGGCGTGACTTTTAAAGATGAACTAGAAATCCCCAGAATCTTCATTATCAATCATATTAACCGAGATCTGCGAATATATTCACCTTCGCGTTCGTCGTGACGTAAATCTGACCTCATGAAAATGTATTGATGTTTATAATGTCGATGACGTCAGAGACATTGTCGCCGTTAACTTAAATACCCAAACCCAAGCTACGCAGATGTAAGTTATAATTATTTCATATTTAGACAGGAAACAAGACTACACTACAATTATCACGCTACTAAGTCAAAAATATCTCTAAATCAATATGCCTCGAGACGGAAGCGGTCGAGCCCACAACGCTCAAGATCTCTCGCCTGAGACCGACCACAACATCATCCACGGTGCCGGCAACGAGACTGTAAGCCAAGTCCATCAGTCGCCTAACCTTAGGTAGTCTTTCTCTAATAATATTTATAAACAGGACCCTCATGTTGCACGAGCAGATAAGACTGCAGAGCTTCCCGAACACGAAGATGGCGCAGGAGTGAAAGGATTAAAATGCTAGTGGTGGTTCAAGTCAGGGTCTAACACACATGGTCCAGAGAGCGGACAAGGAGGACGTGGAAGCACAAATTAATGCCTTCACTTCGTCAAAGTGTACATTTATTGTTCTTCGGGGATAGTAGAAGAACATGTATAAATAAACAAATAAATGTTTCAAAAATATTTTACCAAAGTACGCTCATGAGTTACATTAATAATGTATTCTTGCTGCCACCATCGGGGAGCTTAGAGCGCAGTATCAACCCTGGATATATTCTTCTATCGACTCCACTATTCCAGTTTGGTTGGTACGGCAGCTGGTTAATTGTCACATAGAGGTATCCATCCCAGCCCACGTTGGCGCTGTCTGGCCAGACAATACGAGGGTCCCTAACGTACGGTACTGTTAAACGAGACGTGTAACTGAGTAATGTTAGCATCTTATACAACCCTAAATCTAAAAATCAACTTAAATAGATGCGTACTTGTATATAAATATTGCATTGTGCTCCGGCATTAGCATATACACGTTACCGAGGCTGTCTCCAGTGAACCCGTTGGCGTTTCCGCCCCTCTGTCCTAAATTCTTGACGTTATCGAAGGCGTTCTTATTAGCGAGCGGGTCGTTATTCGGGTTTGCTCGTAGATACCGAGTCTCTATCGAGTATAGATAATCTGTAGTGAGTGCAGAGTAGTACATGACCTACTAAGGTTAGTCGTACTCGATATCTTCGAGTTCACATGCCTACCTCTCCGTATTGATCTAGCTCAGCCCCATCAATACCCTCTTCTTGGAAACCGAGCGGATGTCCATGTTGGCGTAGATAAAACGGAATGCCATTATAACTGGGAACGACTTCAGGTATAACCTGAGTACTAGGATGTTGATTCAACTGTCTCCAGGACTCCCCTGTCGCGAGGTCGATCATGATGAACCCCGTTCTCCCTTCATTACTGCTGTCTACAATATACGCAATACCGCCTCCTGACTGAGTGACATTAGGCCGAAGGTCAAACCGCAGGTCATTCATGTAAGAGTCTGGATAATGAACCGTCGGAGGTAGGGTGTACGTCTTTCTAATGCTATTTGTAGTTAAGTCTATAGCTACCAGCTTCGGGCCACCCGGTGCGGCGTATGGCGTGCTAATCTTCTCCTCTTGGATGATAGTAGGGCGTCCAGTGTCGAGCACCCAGAGCGTGTCATCAGGTGTCACATATAGTGCCTGCACGCTGATAAAGTGACTCTCATCGTTACTGCTGCCGAATGTGATTCCGTTGCTAACGGCGGAAAGTCCTTGAGGGGGTGTATTCAGTTCTAAGTTAGGGTACGCCACCTCGGCAGTCTCATTAACGACTTCACCCAAGGTGTATGCGTACGTCCCTCGCGTGTAGCAGGTGAAGACTCGCCCATTCTTAGATACAGCGAGTCCAATGGGCCATTGATCATAAAAATAGTGGTATTCCTCTACCGGTGTCCCGTATGTACCTGTGTCAACACGGACATTTCGTACCCCAGAGGTCTCGAACGTACTATTAAGTGCTACTGGGAAGTTGGCTTGTGCCACCACGTAGCTAAGGACGCCAGTTGCGACGAAAAGGGTTGACTTCATATTTAATATATATTACGATATGAAATCAAAGTGGCATATAAATTTCTAGAAATTACTGTTTAATTCTAAGTAGAGAGGTCATATATTATGAAGGGCTTTAACGCCATTACACTACATCAAATGCCGAGGTCCCGGGCGCATGAATACGAAGTGGACGTCAACCAAAATGTTACGTGTTCCGGAACTATACATCTACATATTTTCTAAAATGCATGATGCTGAGATGTTTTCCAATTCGGGGGTGATGTAATGCGGGGATCATCCATTGACATGTTGAGGGGGTTGCAGCAACATTGAATATTTCCGACGGACTGTTGAGCTGATTAATTCAAGCCCCTATTTAAATATTTCTCCTTATATGACCTAATAATAATAGCAATTTTTAACTCTCCTATTTATACCAAAGATTAAAGTGAACAAATGTCAAACAGATATAAAAATATTAGGCAGTTAATCTCAAGGAGCACAATGAGATATGTATTAGATAAATATTCACTTCCAACTTTGTAAACAGATACCTACTCCTACTAAGCTAAGCAGCACAGTGTAACCTTAACCTTTATACATTCAAACAATTAGACTAGTAGTCTCAACATAGCCTTCTATAATATGGTCAAACCATCTTTACTTGAGCTATGCAAGTAAGTTCAGGTCCGAGTCCTTTGACGCTTTAGGAGATGAAATACAAAACGAAACCGCCAAATACGCTGATAGGTATCTCTCTTGATAGCTTATTATCCCGTGAGTTGGTATTTTGGTTGTTATTAACGGTCCTGCTCGAGGGCTTATACCTAAGCTTTAAATTTATAGTTCTATGGTCGTTCGCAAATTAATAGGATCCTTTCTCGTAGAGCTTAGCCTATTGTATCTATTGTAGTTGTAACTACCTACCTAGGTATCTTTCAAAATTAAAAGCACGATACTAAACTGACACATTGAACTTGGGTCTCTGCTGTGACCATATGCATTGGACTGGTCTGTGGTTTAATTCAAACGCAACCCTTCCAATCATGTCGAGAACCTTATCGCGTCCAAGTGTTCGTCGTTGGTCTCTCAGTTGTTGAATACTTCGTTAGCCCCTTTCTCAACGTCTTGACACATTTATCTAGGTACCTGTTATTCTACTAAAATTCTATTACATTCCTTCCATTAACTATATCTTCTCCCAATCATCCATATCATTACATTTTCTTTTCAAATCACTTATAAGTCTCGTAGTAGATTTCTTTACTTCGACTTGGTATAAAATGTCAACCAAGGATTCCAATATGCTTATTCCGCATATCACTATACAAGACTGGAACGATCCATATGAACTTGATGGGGCCAGGCCTGTGTCGTCGTCGCGAAAGATTGTTAGCGGCATACGAACATTCTTCCGCCGCCTATGGTCGAAACGACATTTTTCAAAGTGGAGGTCTAGGAAGCCATCTTCTAATGGAGAAAAGGCAGCGCTGAAAACAGATGAAATAGATGAACTATCTAGTTCATCCCCAGATTCGACCTTTGATATGCCACGGCTATATTTACCAGACAGTGGCGCACACATCAGCCTACTACATGAATGCCGCAAGTCTCTCCGTTGCTCAATTTCCCTAGAATCATCCGAGGAAGACACAGAGCCAACAGAAGAGACTAATACGAGGGAAGAGCGAGAAAAGACACTTCGCATACTCGAACAGCCTAGAGAAGAGCGGGCGACAAAATTTTCCGATACTCTGGATGCGGCACGGAGACACAGACGATCATTCAAATTAGCCACTGACCCTCGGATTGATGCCCAGCAGTTTGAAGAGTTTCAGAGGTACCTTGAGGAAGAAATCGCTGCAGATCTAGCTCTCTGTCTCGGAGTGTGGCGGAACCTCACTGACCAGTTCCTAAGTCAAGCCTGTACTCCCGTCCCTCCCGAGTATCCATCAAGACCATCGGCTTCCGGAATTGCATCTTGTACCGGGGGACACTCGCAATCTATAAACGGAGCTAGTCGGTCCTCATTACAGAACAACACTACCACTCGACGCTCAGAGTTAGGTGCCAGAATCGGCGAGGGGGTGGAACACCAAGACGGCGCAAGGAAAAGGCGAAGCAGACTTAGTCACCTAAACCCAGCAATAAAGGCCCCAGATCCACTGGTTGGATATGATATAGAATTTCCAGGAGCTAAACGTTTACCAAGACCTAGGAGCGGCAAGCCTACAAGGTCCAAATACCTTACCGTACCTTCGAGAAGATGTTGTCAGGAAAGACGCGCATCCGCTCCAAGCTTATTACATACGGTTACAGAGTATACCAGAACAGAAATTCCTCCAGATTCTAACATGAAACGGGAAAGCAGACGCAAGTCAGATGGGCTCGGGTACAAAATCAAAGTACACCAATATCAATGGATGTCACGCCCAGGACTCTTATCACGCATAATCATGTCTCCCTCTCTTGCGTATGTTTTCGCTTAGAGGATACTTTATAGATGGTCAAGATTAGGCAGTGTTGTCGGGATATACAATGCTTTTATATGGGAAATATCATATTTCTTATTGTTTAGGGGGTCTAGGTAGTTATAGCAAATTAGGACTAATTTTTTAACTTAGGGTATAAAAAATATACCTACCTGTTACTTATTCTATTTCTATCATCTCATAATTAAAGACACTGCGGAATATATTTTGTCGCTCAATCATTGAATAGTCAGGCTTGTTGGTTACCTCCTAAATATCAATCGTAACTTAATGTCAGGTAATTAATCATGGCGTAGCTTTAACAAGTTCCAAAGCTCAAGATTTGGTCTGAGCGACCTCAACAAATACCCAACTATTCGAAGCTAGGAGGCCTCATGCGCCAATGGCTGAATGCATAGCTCTAGATAGCCGGGGAATATACGGTTTCCGCAAGTACCATGCGTAACGTTTTAACGCCATGCCGACTTGGGGATGCAGCTATCGTGCAGCCTGGTGAGCATCATGATTGGGCCGACCGTGCCCTTCCCGCGTAGTACGATGCAAAGCCCCTCGCGATCCCGCAGCTTTGTCCCTCATGAATATCGACTATTACTCCTCACATATGAAACAGATAACTACTAAATAGGAGGTGGGGAGATGACTCAAAATAACGTATTCCCTTATTTATTCTAAAGGCAATCATAAGATCAGATAAACACTTAAGTGGTATAAGGATAAAACACTCTGGTTAGAACAACAACTTTTGGCACTTTCATTCTCATAAGTCACTTACTACCAGTTTAGTCCTCGCAAAAGGTCATTCGCTAAATACCCACCCCGCATGATGGCAACCAGCAAGGCTATCCCACGGGAACGACTCTTGGCTCTGCAGCACGCTTACGATACGCTCTGCATATATCTCGGGTTTCACGACGATGAAAAGCACTTCTTGCGGCAGATCCTAGATGGTGACTTCATCGACCCCTTTTTCGCAGAGTATCGGCGCGACTACCTCGAAGCCGAAGTAGAGATCGAGGATGTAGATTGCAATGAGCTATTCAGATGGTGCAGGTCCAAGAATGCGTTCGCGTTGCCCAAGTACGTCAGCTCTAAGACGCCGAGTAAGGGAAACTGGACAGCGCTCGATCATGCGGCTCGGTTTCTCGTCCGTACTCTTCAGTTCAGTTGGGAAAACGATGGCGAGTGGACACATGGGAAATTTGATCCTGATAACGACCAGGATCTGGAGAGCGATAGAGAGTTTCATCAGGTCTGGGCTATCCTGCGGTATCTTCAGATAGAATGGGAAGCCGCTAATATCGACGAGTGGGAAGGGGATAGCATAAGTGAGACTCTCGCAGATGTGTTATCCAGTCGATTATAACTTAGGGATGAAGTTCAAGCCGGGAAGACTCGTTCTCTTTATGTAGCATTAGATATAATGTAGGCTAAGGCGTATAGGGATCGGTAGCGATTCGAAGCGCGTAGTATGCCCGGAGCCAATATTTCTACTGATAGGCTCTAAATTACCAACCCTTACTCTATTCCGATATATCTACAAAACCACGAGATTCTACGAGTGTACAAATGCCTTGGTATTGCCTTAAGTTTACTTAAGGTTTTGTGTCAAGAGATTTTTAATATGTTAAAGGTAAAGCTTTATTAGCCTTACATCTTAGTTTTGCGCTAATTATCTCAGCCTTACGCTAATAGGTTTTAAATTAATAAAATTAATTAAAAATATTTTATAAATATATTATATTTATTTATATAATATTTTTAATTATTTTATTTATTATTTTATAATATTTTTAAAATATTTAATTAAATTTATCTATATCTTATTATCTTTATCCTTACAAAAATTCTTATCCCCTTCCTCCCTAATTAATCATCTTCTATCTATTCCTCCTTATCTAATTCCCCTCTTTCTTCCTTTTTTTTTCTCTCTTCTCTCCTTCTCCCCTCTTTTTCCCCCCCTTTCTCTTTCCCTCCTTTCTTTTTTCCCCTTTCTTTCCCCCTTCCCCTCTCTTCTCCTTCTTTTCTCTCCTCCCTTTCTTCTCTTCTTTTCTTTCTTTTTCCCCCCCCTTTCTTCCTTCTCTCCCTTCTCTTCCTTTTCTTTTCCTTCCTTCCTTTTCTTTTCTTTTCTTCTCCTTCTTTTTCCTTTTCCTTTCCTTTTCTTTCTTTTCTTTTCCTTCCTTCCTTTTCTTCCCTTTTCTTCTCCTTCTTTCTCCCTTTCCTTCCCCCCTCTTCTCTCCTTCTTTTTCTCCTCCTCTTTCTCCTTCTCCTCCCCCCCCTTTCCCCCCCCTCCTCCTCCTCCCCTCCCTCCTCCCTCCCTCCTCCCTCTCCTCCCTCCCCTCCCTCCTCCTTTCTCCTCCCCTTTCCCCCCGCCTCTCTCTTTTTTTCTTTTCTCTTCTTCCCTCCCTCTCTCTCTCTTTCTTTTTTTCCCTCTTCTCTCCCTTCCTTCCCCCCTCTCCCTCCTCCCTCCCCTCCTCTCCCTCCCCTCCTCCTCTCCTCTCCTTTTTCCCCCTTTCTTCCTTTCTCTCTTTCTCCCTTCTTTTCCTCCTTCTCTCCTCCTTCCCCCCCCCTTCCGTTTTTTCTCTCTTCCCCCCCCGGCCTTTCTCTCTCTCTCCCTCCCCTTCTTTTTGGCCTCTTTTTTTCCCTCGTTTTTTTTTTCCCCCTCTTCTCCCTCTCTTTCTTTTCCTTCCTTCTTCTTTTTCTTCCTTCTTCTTTTCTTTCTTTCTTTTCTTTTCTCTCTCTCTTCCTCTTCCTTCCTCTTCTTCTCTCCTTCCTCCCTCCCTTCCTCCCCTTCCCCCCTTCTTGCCCTCCTCTTTGCCCCCCCTTCTTCTCCTCTCTCTCCCCTCCTCTTCTTTTTTCTTCCCCCTTTTTTTTTTTCTTTCTCCTCCTCTTCCTTTCTCTCTTCTCTCCTTTTTTTCCCTTTTTCTTCTTCTCTTCTCCTTTCCTTTTCTTCTTTCTTCTCCTTTTCTTTTTTCTCCTCTTTCTCCTCCTTTCCCCCCTCTCCCTCCCCCTTTCCTCTCCCTCTCCCTTTCTTTTCTCCTCCTCCTTTCCTTTCCTCCCCCCCTCTCCCCCCCTTCTCTCCCTTCCTCCCCTCTCTTTTTCCTTCCCCTCTCCTTTTCCCCTCTTCTTTCCTTCTCTCCTCCTCCGTTCCTCCCTTCTTCCTCTTTCCCTCCTTCTTTCTCCCTCCCCCCTCCTTTCCCTCTTCTTTCTCTTCCTCCCTCTTCCCCCTCTTCCTCTCCCTCTCCTCCCTCTTTCTCTCTTTCCCCCCTCTCCCTCCCTCCTCCGCCTCCTTTCCCCGCTTTCTCCTCCCTCCTTTTCTTCTTTTCTTCCCCTCCTTCTCCTTCCTCTTCTCCTCTCTCTTCCTCTCCCCCCTCTTTCTTCTCCTCCCTCTCCTCTTCCTTCTCTCCCTCCTTTTCTTCCCTTTCTCTTCCTCCCTCCCTTCTTCCTCTCCCCTTTTCCTCCCTTCCCCCCCCTCCCCTCCCCCTCCTTCCTTCTCTTCCTCTCCCCCCTTTTCCTCTCTCCTCTTCCCCCCCTCTCCTTTCTTTCCCTCTCTCTCCGTTTCTCTCTCTTCTCCTCTCCCTCTCCTCCTTCCTCCTCCTTTTCCTTTCCCCTCTTCTTCTCTTTCCTTTTCTCTCTTCCCTCCCTTTCTCCTTCCCCTCTTCTTTTCCTTCCCTTCTTCTTTCTCTCTTCCTCCTCTCCGTTCTTTTTTCTCCCCCCTCTCCTTTCTTTTTCTTTTTTTTTTCTTTTTTTCTTCCTCTTTTCTTCCTTTCTCCTCTTTTCTTCCCTTTCCTCCCTCCCCTTTTTCTTCTCTTCCTTCTTCCCTTTCTTCTCTTCTCTTTTTTCTTCCTTTTCCCTTTCCCTCTTTTCCCCCCTCTTCCCTTCTTTCTCCTCCCTCCTTTCTTTTTCCTCCCCCCCTTCCGGTCTTTTTCCTCCTCCCTCTTTCTCTTTTTTTCTTTTTTTTTTTTTTGCTTTTCTCCCCCTTTTTTTTCTTTTTTTCCCGTTTTTTTTCCTCCGTCCTCCTTTTCCTCTTTCCTCCTCTCTCCCTCCTCCCGCTCTCCTTTCCCTTCTCCTTTCCCCTCTCCCCTTCCTTTCCTCTCCCCCTCCTTTCCTTCCCTCCTTTTCCCCCCTCCCTTTCCCTTTTTCCCTTCTTCTTCCCTCCTTTCTCTCTCCTCTTCGCCGTTTTTTTCCCCCCTGTCTCCCCTCCCCCTTCCTTCCTCCCCCCTTCTCCTTTTTTTTTCCCTCGTTTTTCTTCTTTCTCTTCCTCCCTCCTTTCTTCCCTCCCTTTTTCTCTTTCTTCTTCCTTCCTCCCCTTCCCTTTCTTCTCCTCTTTTTTTTCCTCTCCCTTTTTCCTCCCCTCCTTTTTTTCCTTCTTCTCCCTTCTTTTCCCCCCGTTTCGCCTCCCCCCTCCTTCTCTCCCTCCCTCTCTCCTCTTTTCGCCCCTCCCCTTTCTTTTTTTTCCCTCTCTTTCTCCTTCCCCTTTCTTCCCTTTCCTTTTCTCTTCTCTTTTTCCCTCTTTTTCCCCCGCCCCTCCTCCTTTCTTTTTTTTCTCCTCTCTTTTCCTCTTCCTCTTTCTCCCTCTCTCTTTCCTTCTCCCCTCCTCTTTTCCTCTCCCTCCCCTCCCCTCTCCTCTTCTTCCCCTTCCCTCCTTCTCCTTTTTTCTCCTCTTCCCCTTCCCCCCTCCCCTCCCCCTCCCTTCCCTCTCCCCTCTTCCCCCTTCCTTTCCTCCCTTCTTCTTCTCTTCCCCCTTTTTCGGTTCCCTTTTCCCCGCCCTCCTCCTTTCTTCTCCTTCTTTCTCCCCTCTCTTCTCCTCTTTTCTCCTTCTCCTCTTTTTCTTTCTTTTCTTCTCCTCCTTTCCCCCCTTCCTCCCTCCCTTTTCTCTCTTCCTTCCTCTTTCTCCCCTTTTCCCCCCCTCTCCTCCTCTCTTCCTCTTCCTCCCCCCCCCTCCTCCTCCTCCCTCTCCTCTTCCCTCCTCTTCCTTCTTCTCCTCTTCCTCTCCTCCTCCCCCCCGCCCTCTTCTTTTTCTTCTCCCTTCTTTCCCTCTTCGCCCTCTTCTTCTTCCTCTCTCCCCGCCCCCCTCTTCCTTTCTTCCCTCTTTCCCCCCCCCTCCCCCTCTTCCCCTCTCCTCCCCCCTCCCTCCCCCTTCCGTCCCCGCCCCTTCTTTCCTTTTTTTCCTTCCCTCTCCCCCTCTTCCTCCCTTTCCTTTTCCCCTTTTCCTCCCTTTCTTCCCCCCCCCCCGCCTTTCCTCCCTCTCTCTCCTTCTCCTTTCTTTTTCTCCTTCCTTCTTTTCCTCTTCCTTTTCCTTTCTCCTTCTTTCTTTCTCCCCCCTCCCTCCTCCCCTTCCTCTTCCTCTTCTCTTTCTTTTTCCTTCCTCCTCCCCCTCTCTTTTCCCCTCTTCTCTTCCCTCTCCCCCTCCTCTCTCTTCCTCCTCCCCTCCCCCTCCTCTCCCCTTTTTCTCCTTCCCCCTTTCCCCCCTTCCTCTCCCTTCCCTCTTCCTTCTCTTGGTCCCCTCTCGCTCTCTTTTCCCCCTCCTTTCTTTTTCCCCTTCTTCCCCCTTCTCCTTCTTCCTCTTCCTTTTCCTCCCCTCCCTTTTTCTCTCCTCGCCCTTCCTCTTTTTTCTTTTTTTTTTCTTCCCCCTCTCCCTTCTTTTCCTCTTTCTTTTCCTCCTTCTTCCTTCCTTCCTTCCTCCCCTCCTCTCCTCCTTCCCGTTCTCTCCCCCTGCCCCTCTTTTTCCTTTTCTTTCCCTCCTCTTCTTTTTTTTCTTCCCCTCCCCTTCTCTTCTTTCTCTCTCTCTTTTCCTTCTTTTTCCTTCCTCCCTTTTCTCCTTTTTTTCCTCCCCTCCCCTCTCCCCCCTCTTCCCCCTTTTCCCCCCCTTCCTCCCTTTTCTTCTTCTTCTTCCCTTCCCCCTCCCTCTTCTCCTCTTTTCCCTTTCTCTTCCCCCCTTTTCCTCTCCCTTTCCTTCTCCCCTCCTTCTTCCTCTTCTCTCTTTTCCTCCGCCCTTCCTTTTTTCTCTCCTTCCTCTCCTCCTCCCTTTTTCCCCGGTTTCCTTTCTCTCCTTTCTTTTTCTTCCCCCCCTTTCCCCCTCTTCCCTCTTCTTCCCTTCCTCTTTCTTTTCCTTTTTTCCTCTTCTTCCTTCTCCTCTCCCCTCTTCCTTTTCCTCCTCTCCCTTTTCTCCTCCCCCCTCTTTTCTCCCTCTTCTTTCTCCTTCCCTCTTTCTTCCCCCTCTTCCTTTCTTCCTCCCGTTCCCCCCTCTTCTCCCCTCCTTTCCCCCCTCTCTCCCCTCCTTTTTCCCCCCCTCCCCCCCTTCCCCCCCCTTCCTTCTCCCTCCTCCTCCCCGTCCTTCCTCCTCTCCTCCCCTTCCTCCCTTTC